GATAATACTGTTGGCGCTGCGCTCGGAGATGCAGTACGACTTGCTTCAAACCAAGCATTTCATTGACATAGCGCAGAAACATTTGCATAAAATGCTCCTGTATGTTGACTTTAAGGTTGGTGAAGATGCTCGTAGCTGTGTATGCTGCGGTCTGTTGGCTACTTCGCATGCGGATGGGGGCGAATCCGTGAACATTACAGTACTCTTGAACCCGTGGACGCAACTCTTGCGCGAGGACCGGATTGCCGTTGTAGCCCGGATTGTTTAGCAGCTCAAATATCACACTAATGTGCTTGTCGGTGATGTCCGGGAAATCGTGTAGAGGATGATCAGCTGTAGTGGAGAGGGCAGATGTAGCAGTCAGGACATTGTCTTATGGGAAATATACACTGTAGTGTACCTCAAAAACTCACCAAGGTAGTACTTGAGAAAGAAGGTGGTGTGGCGCGCAAGTACGTGAACATCGCCGATGAACGTTGTCAGGCGCTCCCTTTGCACTTGATTGTGATTATGGATTCGGTGAAGGGAAACCTTCGTGCTGGCATGCGTCTGTGGGCGAGGTCGTTGAACTGGTGGTGGTGGCGGCGGGGGTTCAGGCACCAGTGATCCACCCGGTGTGCTGGGAAAACGGAAAGGGATGGGAGCGGGGAGGTTCAACGGACGCTGCAGACCCCTTTCCACAGGTGAAAGCCCTCGCTGCTGGTGCTGCCCGTCGTCATCGCCGGAACTCTCACTGACCATGTCTGCAATTGCTTCGGGCAAGTGGCGATGGACAGACGGTGGGAACTCAAATCGCGGGGGTGATTGCAATGGTGTCTGCACAGCGGTCGGCAGACGTATGGGCAACCGCGGGGTAACTGGAGTGACCTTCCTCCTCTTCCGCCGTGGTGTGGTTACTCCAGTAAAGATGCCACACCACAGGTGCCCCTGGAGCGCTTGGTGTGATGACATGTTGGCTGTGCTGTGCCCTAAGTCAGCCGAGACGGGTGTTGCAGGTGATTGCCGTGATAGCTGTGTGTCAAGGAACTCGCGTCAGTGCTGTGGTAATGAAGCTGAGAGCGGTGAGGAATTGCGGTTGTTACCTGGTGGCGGTTGGAGGTGAAAACGAGGATATATATGCACGGCATCAAAAGCCGATCTTGCCTGATACGACGATGCGCTCTTTTCCTACTCCCAGGATCTATGTTTTTTTTCCTCACGGAGGTTTTTACGCCTGGGAGAGGTTTTTACCGAGGCATCCACGACTACGACGGCGAAGCGATGAATGACGGAAGTTGATAGCGTACCGCGAGTGCCCAAAATCCAGGCTACACCTCAAGCGATTGGTGTTGGAGGTATCATCCTCCCGAGATGCCCACGTGAGGGCCCCCACTGCTTCCGGGTAGTAGAGGAGCGTGTTGAAATGGGGAACTCAGAGGCGGGTCGGTTACGCACTGAAATGGCGTACGGCGGGAAGCCGGGGCGCGCTGGAATGGCGTATGGCGTGGAAGCCGGGGTAGCGTTGTGTTGTCCAAATCGGGTGATCCGTTGATGGGGTAACGTCGCTGATTCTCTTTATCAGCGCATTTCGCAGCGGATATAAGAGGTTTGCCTCATCAGTGCACAGCTGATGTATGAGGCTGGGTAAGACCGGGAGCCGATAACACGTCGCATAGAGCGGGCGCGTTGCCGCCGGACGTAGGTGGGATAAGTACGGTGTCCTTCTTTGAAGTAACGGTAGTCGAATCCGCCAGTCCATTGTGGCGGTGGTGGTCTTGAAGAGGTGGATCCAGATCCGCAAAGATGGGGTCTTGTGATCCGTACAGCCCGAAGTTCGCCTTTCGCTTTGCAGAGGCGGACGTCGTGTGTGGCTGGGTGGACTTGAACGTGCATGGCATGGGCCATGGAGGCTGCATCGGGGGCTTCCTTCTTATTGTTCGTGTCCATGATGTTACCGGGGTAACTGGCTTCTGTTCCGGGGCTTGATAAGCGTATGGGATGGAGTAAGCCGTAGCGCACTGAGAAGGCGTATGGGGTGCCGGTGACAACGGAGTCATAGATGGCGGTGGCTGCGGCCGGAGGTGGATAAACATACGGAGCGGTGGAAGCCGGAGCGCGCAGAAGGCGCATGGGTGGACTCAGAGGTTCACTTCCGTAATCAGCGAAAGGAGAGAGCGTTGAGAGCCGGGTTGAGGTGCTGGAGTACCTCTTGGGGTGTATGGCTGACGTTCCGGGGCTGGATAAGCGTATGGAGCGGTGCAGGCCGTTGCGCACTGAAAAGGCGCATGGGGTTGGCCTCAGAGGTTCACCTTTGAACGATGGACGTGTGCCGGTTGGGATGTATGGCTTACGTTCCGGACTTGAATAAGCGTATGGGACGAGATCTAGGCTGCCCCTCAAGCGATTGCGGAAGTAACGAGAGCCACCGGCAACCTCAACCTCCAAAAAGCAGTGGCAGAATGCTGCCCAGCAAGAGTTAAGCTAACAATCACGCCTGGCCATGCCGGCAGTGAATACCACGCCTGGCCGTGCCGGCAGTGGTCATAGCTCTAGCTTCTAGTAGCAGGGTAACAGTGCCATTGCATTCTGTGGAAAAAGGTTTGGCAATTGCCGAGGATCTTGGCTGAGGAGAGGCATACAGTAGTGTGAAGAAAACGACCCGGGTGCTGTGAGTCACGTCGGACGCGCCGACAGTGGAGACTGACTTAATCTTGCGGGTTCGGAGCTTTTATGGACACTGGCTGTATCCTTGTGAACGGTTAGAAACCACTTTTAGGAGATGTGCTGCCCATACGCGCGGCCTTACAGCCTTCACGCTCGGCCTTACGCCCACGCTCGGCCTTACAGCCTTCACGCTGTAGCCATTAGCAGTCATTAGCCCTCGGGACGGGGTCAGGGATGGGGATGTATTTATACTGTATTATCGCTCGAGTTGAAAGAAAAGAAGCTTAGTAAGCACAGCCTTCTCCTCATCCATTGAACTCATGAACTACGTTCCTCGTCCAGAGCATATTCATCGGAGTTGAAATCAGGTTAGGGTTAGGGTTAGGGTTAGGGTTAGGGTTATATCCGATACGCATCGCCGCTCCGGCAGCAAAGCTGACATGCCACCCGAGGCTGGCTGGTTGGGGTTTATTCTCCGGAACAGTAAATATGTACTCTGTACTAAGCTACTGCCCATCACCATCCCACCGCTCGTAAAACAGAATATATGCCTGCACCTTGCTAACCTCCTCCCACGTCGCCGCCCTCGTATGCGTATCGCTACAGTACGCCCATTCGCTCTCTGTCGTTTCTTGTTCCGGTGTTGCAGATGTAGGGGCTTTCGTCTCCGCCCCCTCTTCCGCACTCGCTCCAGCGTCACCAGCGCCATTCGCTGGTGGTGGTCGCTTGCTAACCCTCACATACGCCACATAATGCCCCGAAAACAGGCCCCCACCATGCACCACCCCATGCTAACCTATATGTGTGGCGCATCCCTTAGCTGCTGCTGCCCATACAGCTGTTGAAGCGGGCCGCATAACCACATACCCACGAATCGCCTCGGCCGGCTCAAGTTGCAACATCCCAAACATCACAAACGGGCACGTGCCCGAGTGTGGCGAAAATGGTATCTAATCGGGCAGCTGGGAGTTAGGAATCCGCAACGGTGTCACCCTTCAGGAAGTGGAAGTCAGGTCAGGTCAATGCGACCTCTGATGTAGGCAGGAATACCCACGCTCCGTGTCATCGATAAGATGTAGGTGTACAGCACCCGCTTGGAGACCTCCGAATGGTTAGCTTGCGCGGATCCTCTGCGTGCACATTAACAGAGGGCGTGGAGGGCGTCTATCATCTCCTCGAGCCCTTTGGTTGTCCGGTGGGCATAGCTTTGACTCAGAGAGAACGACGAGGGCCAATGCCCCAGTACTGTGCGCAAAGGGCTTGGGCCATTGCGGTCTGCACCGTTGCATTCATCCGCCTTCTGAACAGGATGTCGTAGCTGCTCTTCGCAAGTTGCCATGATCAGACGATGCTCCTTCACCCCGACGGGGGCCCCACATTGGACCTTGTGGTGCAGCATCTGTGCTGATGTTGACTGCCCCCAAACCGTTACTTGCTCTGTTCGCTGGCCGGAAGGACATTCCGGGGGGTATGACACCCCGAAAATGCAAACTCTTCCAGATCAGTGGGCCAGAGGGTGGATCTCGCTCCGCTGGTTCAGTCGGTTAGAGCGTCGGGGTGAGTTGCGAATGCGGTCAAAAATACTGTCATACTGTCAGTCCATTCTCTCACAAACGGTACGAAACATATTATGCTCAGTAGGTCACAGGTTCGACCCCTATGCGGAGCACAATGTTTTTCCCTTTGTTCTGAAGGCCGAATCGGGTTTCCAGCGTTATTGCGAATGGGCCGCAATAGATACCACCCTAGCCTCCCCGAAGCAGTTGAGGATTCCTGGATTGGTTCGGAGCATAACATCCGGATACATAGAGCATCAAGCGCATGGGTCTGCTCTTACAGGAAGTTGGCGAGCAGATAAGCGGTCGGGATGCCCACTGGATCCTCCTTTCCAATTTCGACAGCGCGCTCAGGGTCGGAGAAACAATCACATTTCCGAGTCCAATTTCGCCTCAATAATCATATGAACACCTAGAAAGTCACTGCTCACACAACGAACTGCGTCGGAGACATTCACTCCTCAATAACTCCCCCACTGCACGATCCCAATCCAATCCCCCACCTCACAACCCCAACCCCCTCGCCACAAAAGTCTGCGGAAAGATCCCCTCCTCCGCCTGCTCCCCCTCAGGCACAACCGTCCGTCCAAAAGCCCACCCATTCCCATAATCCCACTTGATCACCTTCAGCGTCTGCCCCGGCGTGAGGGTGAGCTGCCCCGGGCCGGTGGATGTATAGGCGCCCACGGCGATCACGGGCGTGTCGGGTGGGATTCCTGGGGCGGGGGGAAGGACGGGGGCGGGGGGTGGGGGGGCTGCTGAAGATGTTGGGAGGTTAGTGTGGTGTGATTGGAAGAGGGAGGAGAGGGGGGGGGATTCTTACCGTCGGCGTTGGAAGACGTGCGTCGACCAATTCCGGAGGTGGGTGTGGGCACGCTGGGTTTGCGGACGGGGGTAGCTACCACGCCACCTACACAATCAGCGAAACCACACATTATTTCCCTCCATTGGGAGACTGATGAACGTTTGATGAGGGTTTACCTGACGACGTCTGCTTCTCCAAATTCTTCCACCGGTCACGCACGCTGCCTGTTGCCGGCGACGATTCTGTTTCGTTGTGTTTTCATCTCGTCAGCAAGTGTTGCGCATCCCTCTTTATCGTCTCCATTCTTTCACACATACCAGAAGGCGAATCCGCACTCTTTTGTTTCTCGGGGATCCCCGCTCCCGTGGCTGCAAAACATACCCATGATGTTAAAAATAGCGGACAAGGGACAGCCCAAAAACACCAAAACCCGGTGATTTCCTCAAACGTACGAGACCGCGTCTTGAGCGCACTCCTCAACTGGCTCTGGAAATCCACCTTCTCCTCCACCGGCTTCTTCATCTCACTTCCCGCACCCGCAGGACCACCACCAGCGCCACTCTCACTCTTCTGCGCCCGCTTCTGCAACGTCATCCGCAACTGGTCCTGCATCGAGACCGGTTCCGGTTCCACGGGCTTTGTGGGCGAGGGCGTGGACGGTGTGGTGGGTTTGCGGTTTTTGACGGCGAGGGCGAGCTGTTCTTGGAGGGAGAGGCCGCTGCCGCCGCTGTTGGGAGAGTCGGTTGTATCGGCTGGATGGGGGAGAAGAATGTATGTATGTGTGAGATTGAATGTTGTTGACGGGGTCATTTTCTGCCGGGGGGGTGAGGTATACCTGCAGGAGGCGGCGGAGCCCTCGGCCCTTTATTCTTCAGCGCGTTCTGGAGCTGGGCTTGTAAATCGCCTCCACCTTTGTGAAAGAACAAAACCCAAATTGTGAGTTTTCAGAAACCCATATCGCGTCAATTGCGTATTTCGCGAGCATTACCTGACGACGGCGCAGGGGGCGGCGGCGGCGGGGGTCCTCCTCCGAATCCGCCTGAAGCAGGAGGCGGGGGTGGGGGTGGGCCACCTGCACCTGACGGCGGTGGGGGAGGTGGGGGCGGCCCGCCGCTGGAATGCGTCGGAGGCGGGGGAGGTGGCGGCGGGCCACCGGCGCCAGCCATTGGAGGAGGTGGAGGTGGGGGTGGTCCACCACCACCGGAAGTCATTGGAAGTGGGGGCGGAGGCGGGGGTCCACCACCACCAGCAGCGATTACAGGCGGGGGGGGAGGCGGGGGCGGGCCACCACCGCCCGTAGCGATACTCGGTCCACTGGCTGCGATGGGAGGCGGGGGTGGAGGCGGTGGACCTGCTGAGATGGCCGGTGGAGCTGGTGGGGGAGGCGGCGGCGGGGGCCCCCCACTGCCTGCTGTAATCGGTGGAGGAGGAGGAGGGGGAGGCGGACCACCACCACCTGCAGCCGCGGGTGTAGGGACCGGGGGAGGCGGCGGCGGAGGGGGCCCAGCGGTAACAGCTACCGGAACCGATGGCGCGATGACTTGCTCCCTCGACGCGGATTTGGCTTTCTGCAGTGCGCCCGGCGCGGGAGGTGGCGGCGGCGGCGGTGGAGGGGCAGCTGCAGAAGATCGGGGCGAGGGTCCAACGACTGGAGGCGCCGGGATCCTGACCACCCCGCGGTTGATGGACATTTCGCGGCTGACGGGGCTGATGATTTGGTTTTCGAGGTTGAGGGTGGGGGATGTGTCGACGTTCAATGATTCTGTAGACAGAAGATATCAAAAATTAGGATTCCAAAACGGTAGTACAGAAGATGGGACATTTGCAGAGGAAAAACTCACCAATATGCTGCACCTCCGACGCCCTCCTCACACTCTGCCCCTCCACCTTAACAGGAATCGGCTCCCTCCCTCCCTCAATCGAGTGCATAGAGGTCAACGACGCCGCCTTACCGCGCACCAGACTGCTCTGCGACCCGAACGCTTGCAAATTCGTTATCGAGCGCGATTGCGCTAACCCCGTTAAGCTCTGCTGGGCGTGTGCGAACGAGGTTGATTTGGGGATACGGCCTTGCTGTTGTATCTGTGCGACGGTTTTGGGGTTTGAGGGTACGTCGATGCCGCGGTCAAGGGAGCCGGAGGATCGGGGCCCTGCGAAAAAAAGGCATTCCGATTTAGCATTCCAGGCGTTTGCTTCTCCCACAACGAATGAACGGATTTTTTTGTTGTGGTGAAAACCCACCTTCACCGGCCCCCTGCTCCAAAAACACCACATCCTTCAAAACCGACGCCCGTTTCGTCGCCCCGCTCTCCGTCGCCAATCTACTCATCGTCTCCGATGTCACATTCGACGACCTCCGACTGCCCCCCATCATCTCACCCGCACCGCCTCCACCCGAAAAGAACGCCGTGATATTCGTCCGTTGCGCCAGACTCCCTGACCGCGACCGCCCGGAAGACACTGCCTGTTCGAGAGTCATTTTGGAGGGGGAGTACACTATCGCGCCCCCGGAGTGGGAGGAGGTGTTCGTTGGTTGACGAGAGGCGCGGCGGGAGGAAGGAGGGAGGTTGCGGATGATGCCGATGGATTCGTAGGCGCGGAGGTCGAATTGAAGTTGGGGTTGGAGGGGGAGTTTGGGTGTTGCGCCTGGGGAAAGATGCATTACTTAGATTGCTTGTTTCCTCGCGACGTTGTTTCCGATGGACTGGAGGCGGGTCATCTGACGTACCTTCGAGCTTGATAATCTTAGGACACCTTTCAATCACCTTACGCTTCCCCCTCCCCAACGACCGCTGCGTCACTTTTTCCTCAACAAGGTCCATATGCTGCCAAGCCATTTCATCAGCGCCTCATCCCATCCCTCCCCCACAACTCCAAGAACATCAACGTCTCCCAACACATACCTGCCGAACCCCCTCAACCCCCCTCCCCACCCCTCCCAAAACCCCCCCTTGCAAGTCCAAAAACCCACCCAACAGCTCCGCAGCCTCACTCAATTGCCTCGTGAGCTCCACAACCCCCTGCTTAGCCTGCGCGGCGCTGGTCGCCAACCCCATCGCGTACGCATTGCGGTCGGAGATGACGGTGGTGGGGCCGTGGTAGAGGTCTTGGGCGGATGCGACGGCGGTGCGGAGGTGGGTGTGCGTTGTGGTGAAGGTGGTGAGGTGGTGCCGCAGGGCGTGTAGTTTGGCGGTTAGGGGGTCGGTGGGAGGGGGTGGTTCTTCTGCGCTGGGGTCGGGAGGGGGGGCGTCGGTGGGCGGGCCGGGTGCCACTTCCGGTGCGGAGAGCTCGATGGCGGACGCTGAGGCCGAACCTAGCGGGGTGGTGGCGACTTCCATGGCTTTTTTTCCCACTCTGGTTTACGTCTGTATATCTATGAGGTGCGCTTTCCTCTCTCTGTTTTTTCCTTCAGTTATTTAAATAGGATGGAAACGGACGGGACGCAAAGATGCGGCAGATGCAAGAGCGACCGAATACTACGTACTTCCCACCTTCAAAAGTGCAAACCGCCTCATTCTGTTCTGGAGTCCTCGGTCGGAAAGACGCGTGAATCATGCTTACCTCACCGCAGATCGGGCTTTTGACATTGTTCCCACTGTTCTTTAAGTGGGGCTCTACCCACCCGCCAACATGTGTAGGGGAGGCGGTGTGTACATGCTCTATGCACTGGCAGGAGGGGGACAGGTGAACCGGAACAAACCATCTGCACGGCCACCACAGCCCAGTCAGACTCAGAATACGCCGGGCTTCCAATCAAATTTTCACACTTGTATTTCGCGGAAGTTAAGTAAGAAGACGGGCGGAGCGGGCATCTGTGGTGGTGTATTCACAAAGAGATAAAAATCAAAGGGGTGGTGGGTCAATGATTATTTCCTCTAAGCGGAGGCGGGGGTGGCGCGGGACGCTGCGGTCCTGGCGCGGATCTGCCTCTTCTTGGAAAGCCTGGGAGCAACGGTGTTCTCTTCCCTGGCGACCTGCTTGTCCTCCTCGACCAAGGTCAGCTCGATGTGGCAGGGGTGGGACATGTAGGCTGGATGGATCGTGAGAAAGTGGCGTTAAACGAAGCCGCAAGGATTTTTTTGAGAGATACGAGTAGTGATGTACTTACGGTTGATACGACCGTGAGCACGGTAGGTCCTACGACGTTGCTTGGGGGCCTGGTTGACCTGGATGTGACGGACAACGAGCGAGTCCAAGTTCAATCCCTTGACCTGATGAATGTGTGATTCGTTAGTTTATCAAATTTCCTCAGACATAGGTCCGCCACCATCAGATTTTGTTTCCCACAACATACCTCGGCGTTGCTCTCAGCGTTCTTGAGGAGGCCGAGAACGAACTCGCAAGACTTCACGGGCCACCTGGCCTGAGTGACACCCCACACCTTGGCCTGGGCAGTACGGCCGACACCGCCAGAGAAACGACGGAAAGGCACAGCCTGCTTGTGCTCCTTGACATCACCAAGGAAAGTGACGGCCTTCCTCAACTTCATGCCCGAGATGGTCTTGGCGACTTCACGGGTGTTCTTGAAGTGAGTGCGGAGGTAAGAACCCTTCGCCTTGACGGCTGTGTTTTCGAAAAACAATATCCGTCAGCGTGTCTGTCCCATGGAATCCTCACGCTCCCAGTTCTGTCCTCAAGAAAAATCCATCGGTCCCCGTTTCCCCCACGAAGATTGTCCACCTAGTTGAAGCCGAGTGTGCGGGGTCGACCATTCCGCTCCATGCCACGCAGGCATGTTCAATTCTCACGAGTGGCCCCTCCTCTACCATGCCGCATATCGTTGCCTCCTTTCCTTCTGCTTCTCTTCCGTCGTCCCCCTGGACTCCTCTCCACGCCACCCCTGGTCCATTCAACCCTCCTGATGCCCCAACCCAGCAATCCTAAGCACCCCCCTCGTCATTCGCAATTCGACACTCACACTTGGCGGGGTTCTCGGGTTCGGCAGCGTAACTATAAATCACACGTTCGTGAGCCCACACCACCCTGGCATAAGTTCACTCTTCGTAAATCGAAAAACGTACCGGCCCATTGTGTCTGCTAATGACCTATAATCGGAATGACGATGTCGTAAGGGAGTTTCGGAACGAACGATTCGAGTACAGCGAGTCGATGGATGGATGGATAGAACGTCGAGAGGTACGTTCGATAGTGGTGTGAATGAAAAAAAGCGATGGATGCAATGAATGGATGGATGGATGGTAGTCGGATGGTTAGTATTCCCACGCAATGTCCACATGCAATTCCCAAGTCGGCTGATTCGGACGCTCTTTCTGCAAACAAAACGGGCAGCCGTTCGCTCTGCCCGCCGTGGTTGCTGTGAGTGGGTAGGTGGTGCGAGTGTGCTTACCTGTAATGGGGGTAGCGTAGGTTGATGTTAGCGACCACGAAACGTTGCTCGTAGATATGCCTTGCTTTCCAAACCGCAAATACGCTCTCTCGCAGGCGTTCTGTCAAAGGGGACTCTCGCAAAGAGGAAGAAACCGCGATTTAATGACTCGGGCACGCACGTGACTGGATTTGATGACCACAGGCCTGGATCGAGGTTATTGTGACACTTTTACTGACAATATATCCTGCCTTCCCTTGGGTGGGCGGAATCGCATTCGATTTCCTGTGCTGGGGTTTTGACTTGGGATGGCTGTAAGTATCCATCACGACCGTCATTCGGGTTGCCTAGCGCTCCTAGCGCTACTTTGCCTCCGTCTGGATTTTAGCCGCCATGTTCGCATATTCCGTGACCCGGATGTACGGAACGTTCTCGGACGCTAAACCACAGACAGACCACGCGACAGGTAAGCGTATCCTTCGCGTCTTCTCATTCACTAATCTTGTCTCCTCACCTACTATATTGCTATCAACTTACAGCTGGCTCGTAGGAAGTTGACTGGCGGGAACCGAGAATGCTTTGATAATCAAAGAAGTGAGGGGCGGGCAGGACGGGAAAGAGGAGGAGCCTCAGGCGAATTCGGCGGTTTCGGCAGTCTCGGCGGTTTCGCTGGCTTCCCTGGGCCCCGGCACTCGGAGGTCACATTCGTCGTCAAAGAGGTCAAAGCTGTCTGATCCCGGACGAAATTGCTGGATCCCGTCCCCAACACACTCTAGAAGAAGCCTCTTCAACTTTACGGCGAAGAACAAGGAGAACAACATCCAGTATTGATGCAAAAGATGGATGTTGTTCTCCTAGTTTGCCAGTTTAGCCACACGGAGTTAGGGGCGACGTGGAGTAGAATACGGATTCGCCCATTCCCCTTCCCTCCAACATGTTCTTTGCATGTTTCAGAAATATATTTGCATTGAACGTATTACTATGGGAACTGGTACCTCAGTCGCGTCGCTTCGAGGGATGTTTTTCCCCAAATCCAAGCTTCCTTCCGCTGTGCCTCGGATCTGAAGGAACTCCAAAGCCACCCAACATGATAAATCTACGTGTCTACCTAATACGCCGGCACCCTCAACCTCAGCCTAAACCCCTCCCACACAATCGTTTACCGTCCGTCACCCACACCGCCTCTCAACCCCTACGCTCGCGTAACACTTCACAATCTCCTGATCCTTCGCATAATGCTCCGGCACCTTTGTGATGTTCTTTGGGTCGATGTCGACTAGACCTAAGGTGTAGCGGATGGTTCTTGGTTGCGAGGAGGAGGTGGGGACAGATATGGTGCCTTCGTTTTCTTTTGATGGGGCTGTGTGACTATATGATGAATTAGAAGCAGTGAGTCAAGACCGCACATGCAAGTGAAAGCGAGGAAGCTCACCCATCATCCTCAGTGTTCTCCTCAACCCAAACGGTAATCATAACCGAACAATCCTTTAACGTTGCAGACAGTAGATACTCATACACCCGCTGTCTACTTTCCTCCACCCCCTCCACCGCTCCCACATCATGTCCCAAATACCCCGCCACAACCCCCTCCCACTCCCCCAGCGTCGGGTTCATCTCCTTCAACTCTGTTGGTAGCGCATTGTAGACCGTGATGATCCCTTCAATGTCAAGGGAGTCGAGACCTGCTTGGTGGGTTGCGAGACGCGGGAAGAGGGGTTGGGAGGTGATTATGGGGGTTAGGAGGGTTGTGAGGAAAGCGGCTGGGGTCTGTGTGGGGCGGATTAGAGGAGAGGATACTGAGAGGGGCATTGATGAGGGATGCTTACCATGTCGGTCGAATGGGATGCACGCATTAATGCTTCCACCGCGGCTTTAGCAGTCGCCTAGATAAGAGCCATCAGCGCTCATCCACAAAAGCTCACAGCAACAACAACAAACACCTACACTGTCGACCCCAACACATTCCCCCCCAACAAAAACCCTTAGATTATTCTGCGGACACCTAACCAACGCATCCACAGCCTTCGCAACCCGCCGTTGATCGCCCGAGTACAGGTCCAGAGGGCAGAACTCGCTCGGCGGTATGTGCTGTTTGTAGTGCTGGTGCATGCAGTAGCGGCATGTGTGCAGTTTGACGGGGTTGATGTTCGGGGAGGTTGGGAGGAAGCCCCATTTGGGCTTTTGAAGGCAATCGTCAATGACTCCCCATAGTTTGGCAGGAGACCTCAAAAACCTACCTTGATCTCAACAGTGATGGCCTCCCCACCATCACGACCATCAGTGCCCGCAACAGTCAGATCCGGAATCAACGCCACAAACTCCTGTCGGAGGTCCAGATCCCTGTTCCGCCTCGCTTCCGGTCGTAACGCCGCGAAGGCTGTTGATAGGGCTTGCAAGAAGTCTGGGGTGACCTTCACGAGTCTCTACGACAGAAACCGGGCCCGCTCAGAACCTCCTGATGCAAATTGGAATTGCTCGCCCCGACTCACAGTCTTAGCGACATAATCCCCCCCAACAAGCGGCCCAATCACCCGCTCCTGGAACCCCTGCTCATCCCCAAGACTCATGGGTGTCTCCGATGTGTCATCGCTTTTGCGGACGCGGAGGACATGGCCTTCCTGGATGGAAGTGTTAGGTGGTGTCCAGCCAGGGTGTAGCATAGACACAGCATTCAACTTACTAGGGGTGGTTGTGAGCCGGTGTAGGTGAAGACAACGTTTGCATTGCCTTCGTGTTTGTATTTCCAGGAGGCTGGGGTGAGGATGGGGTCCATCTTGGGGGAATCGTGGGGGGATTGTTTGAATTTCTAAAGTTGCCGGAGTTGAGCGTTCTGCCCTTTGCGCACGGTTCGCTACTCTTTGGAGGTTGCTTGCAAGGCCCACCGAGGAAAACTGGGGGCATATTTGTTTGTTCCCAGCAACCAACAGAGTGGTAGGAGAAGTCTATTTCCCTACGACACCAACAAAAATATAGCAAGTTTGAAGCAGGACGAGCATCGATGGAGGCAAGTTCGCGTTGCGAGGTAGCTACTAGATGGCGGAGATGGATGCCTTCGCGCTAAATTGAGCTCGGGGTGGAGGTGGATATCTTACGCTATTGGCCTACAGTACTGTATGGCCACTTTTCATTTTTCTCGCTGACGTTTTGCAGCCGGCCTGTGTTATAGGTCTGTGCTCTTTCTTCCGTTGATGTTTTGCGGGGAACCACATTCGGGAGTTCGCCGTTTGGCCACGGCCATTTAATAACCCCCATCGATGCCGACTCCCTCCTGCTTTTCACCCAAAGTCCCCTCAACGATGAAGCTCTCCCTACGCAGCCTCCTGTGCGTTGCGGTTGCGGGGCTCGGTTCAGTCGTCGCGGCCCCGGCTCCGGCTGCAACAAAGAGGACTTTGGGTAAGCGCATACTTTGACCATGATGCTTGCCGGTCGAAACTTAATCCCTCCGCTGGCTCTCTCTCCCTTTTACGCAGTCGACCCATCATTCTATACCAACCTCGTCCGCTACGGCAACTTCGCCGCCACCTCCATCGGCCAAAACTGCCCCGTCCCTCCCGACCGCTCCACCGTCCTCAACTACATCAAAATCAACTTCACCAACACCCAAGCCATCGTCTTCCGCGCCGACACCACCCGTGAAATCATCGTCTCGTTCGGCGGCAGCAAGGCCCTCCGCGACGCCGTGACCGACATTTCGTTCGTCGGCGTGGGTTATGCCGCATGTACAGGGTGTTCGGTCCACTTAGGATTCCGCGGCGCGTGGGTGTCCATCTCCGAGCAGATCCGCAGGGCGATTGCCGGTGCGCTTGCTGTGAACCGGGGCTACACGGTGACGCTTACGGGACACAGTCTGGGCGGCGCGTTGACGTCGCTGGCGTTTGCGGATTTAAGGACGATGCCTGAGATGAGGATCGCGCAGGCTTGGGCATTTGCTTCGCCAAGGGTTGGGAACCATCAGTATGCGGCTTATGTTGACCTGCTGGCCGGAGCGACTGATGTCGATGTCGGCAGCTTTTACCGAGTCACCCACGCAAATGGTAAATGTGTTGCTTTTCTCTTTCATATGGGGCAACGTTTCCTAAAGGCAATCTCTCTTCGGGCGAAACAGATGGGGTCCCCCTCCTCCCACCCACAGGCTTCGGCTACCGCCACTCGAAAACCGAGATCTGGGCCGGCAACGACGCCAGCGGACAGCCGAGCGCGGCCACTACTTATCGCTGCTACGGGAATGAGCCGGCCGACTGCGTCAATTCGCAGGGTGGGGTGGGGATCAATAATGCGCATGTATTTTACCCTGGGATTAACTATGGGACTACTTGCAAGTAGACGGGCGATGTGGATGCAGGGCGTATGGCTTCATAGACAATTTAGATTTATGGATATGGAGATTATTCATGGACGTATTTGTTACCTGTGTTTCTTCAATTCATAGCCATTCTGCTTGATATATCACGAACTGGTTGCCAGGGATGCGTCCTACTGAAGACTGACAAAGCCGGAGAAGCGCGACCGCATGCAGGGTATATGTTGTTTTTCTCGCTGGAAGAGCACGCCCGTGAGCATCTCGCTAACTGCATTATCGTCTCAGAGTATCAAAGCTCGAGTCCTCGGAGAGGGACAGGTCGCCAACTTCTATATTCATCGCGGCGTATTCATCGGGATGCGGCGACGAGGAAATGATGAGCGCGGAGGTTCGACTCCCGGTTCTGGCCCACGTGCGAATGCGCTTTGTGTCTTTTTACTTCCCGTTGTGAAATACGCGTGCGGGAGCGTTTTGCAAAACAACGTTCGAAGACGACTCCCAACTCACCCAACATGCCTCCACGATTGCCACAACTGCAGTTCGCTAGAGCCTGCATCAGACGCCCGTGGGGACGTCTGCTACTACCGCACCTCAACGCGCACAGCAGCAGGGCAACACCCCGTCTTCTATCAACATGGTACAGTCCAGAAACTGTTCCTCATAACAATTCGTGTACTTCGCTCATTCCCATTCCCGTTTTTGCAGGGGCTCAGGCCTAGACTCCAAACTAGGCCACGGCGACCAGACGGCACTCACTACTCCCAAGAGTATTGAGCTGTTCGATGGTGTGAAAATTGACGACGTGGTATGTGGGGTTAGCCACACGGTGGCGCTGCTGAGGGGTGCGAGCGGCGGACACCTCTTTTCTTGGGGATCCAATTTTTACGGGCAGGTATGTCTCAACAATCGAACATCAATATGAGGGTGATATCCACTCAATACTAAAACCCCGTCTTCACCCCTTTAGGCAGGCCACATCCCCGAGTCCAGCGGCTTCCTCGACGACGACGACGACGACGCGCTGCCCCTCCCCACGCGCCTCAAAGGTCCCTTATCCTCCACCGACGTGACCGCCCTCGCCTGCGGTGACTTCCACACCGTCGCGCTGACGCATGCGGGGACGGTGTACACGTGGGGCGGCGGGGCGTTGGGGCATGGAACGGAGTATCATGATTCGAACGCGATTGCGGTGGGGTTTTTTGGGGAGTTGGGGAGGAGGGGGGTTAGGGTTGCGGCGAGGGGGAATACTACTGCTGTGCTGGCTGTACCTGTTGGGGATGGAAGTGGAAGTGGGAGTGGGAATGAGCAGCAGCCAGCGGAACTCTACGCATGGGGCCACCTCGGCGCGCACACCGCCCTCAGCCCCGTGCTCATCTCCCACGTCCTTCAACACCCCTTCATGAACAACGCCGCACATATCGAGGCTATCGCAGTGGGGGACGGCGTCGTCGGGATCGTTGGGGTCGAGGATACTCAACAACGTCGATGCCTCATCTTTGGCACAACACCGACAACCGACCCCGCAACAGGCATAAAACCACCCGATTACCCCGAAACCCGCCCCAACCCGCGTCTGGCAGAGGTATGGGACGCCCCGCCCGTCGCGGACGTGTTGCTGGACGCTGTGCCAGTCAGAAAGATAGCATGTGGTGCCGATTTTGGGGTCGCGTTGCATGAGGGCGGGACGTTGGCGTTGTTCGATATCGGCCGGGAGGGTGCGGAGAGTCGAGAAGTGCTCACGGACGTAGCGGACGTAGCCCTCTCACCCACCTCATTACTGGTACTGAAACGGGACGGGAGTATCGTCGCGTGGGGTGCTGCCGCCGCTGCTGCCGAGACATCCCCACCACCGGAATCAAAACCCCAAATGAAGACGAAATGGTACTGGCCGTTCGGGTCCGGCTCGACTTCGACGGGGAGTGATGCTGGGAGTGGGCTACACCCGCGTATTACGGCGGTGAGGATTACTGGGTCGCCGCCACGAGTTGTTGCAAGGATGACTGGGGAACCCCAGGCGACAAGGGTTGAGGCGGGGTGGGATCATTTTGCGGTTTGGTGAACATAAGTGGACCTGAAATCAGAGGAGAACGATGTCAGTAATTCGACATCATCCCCGTCCTGTGGTGGAAAGTATACCTGGTGACGGGCGTAGTTTGACAAATATAGAATAGAATGCTCGGAAACCGCCGATGTACATAGATAGGTATCGTTAAGTTCAATCCACGCCGTATAAAGCACACGTGTATCAAAGCTCGAAGCATTCTAGGCCTTGTTCACTGAGAATGTACATTTGACGAAAGTGTCCGTGAGAACCTAGGGCGCTAATCTAGCCATCTTCCACCGTTTCCCACCTTCCGTCCTCCTAAACTCAATCCGATCATGCAACCGACTCGGCCTCCCCTGCCAAAACTCAATCCGCTCCGGGACAACCCTAAACCCGCCCCAAAACGGCGGCCGCGGGATCTCCTCCACCCCTTCAAACCTCTTCTCCACCTCCCTCTCCAAACTCTCCAACTCCTCCCTCCCCTGCAACGCACAACTCTGCGGCGACGTCCACGCCCCGATCCGCGACCCCCTGGGGCGAGAGTTGTAGTACTCATCGCTCTCGGCCGCGTCTACCTTTTCGGCCCGGCCCTCGACACGCACACTCCGCTGTCCCCACCAGAAATTGAGCGCCGCCCACGGGTTCTCACTCAACTCCCTCCCCTTCCGACTCTCATAATTCGTGAAAAACACAAACCCGTCCTCATCGTAATCTTTCAGCAGGACCATCCGCGACGAGGGCCGACCGTCGCGGGTGGATGTGGCGAGGTTCATGGCGTTTGGCTCGACGGAGGTGGTCAGGGCGTCGCGTTTGGCGTCGTTGAACCAGGATTCGAATTGGGAGAAGGGGGAAGGGAGGATTTGGGTGTCCAGGAGGGTGTGTTGGTTGTAGGTTATGCGCATCGCGGCGAGGTCCGGGTGGTGGATGTGATGGGTGGGGTGGGAGGTGGTGGTGGGTAGCGTTGTGGGTGGGATGATGGAGGTGACTGGGCCGGCGTCGGTGAGGTTGGTGTTGGTGGACATCTTGAGGATGATCTTGCGGGATGTGATAAGGGAGGAGGCTGGACGCGCTGTGAGAGGATGTGCTAGCGGACGAAGAAGGGATCGTGCGTGGGCGATATGCTGAAGGGGGGTGCGCATTCCTCAGCGGCCGGTCTATGTCCCGCCTGAGATGTCCAAGATGTAGAGGGGAAAAGGAGGGAGAGGAGGGAGGAAAAACGAGGAGGGGGACAACCGGCCGGCCGTCACGCGCCCCTTCCCAGTTCCGCTCAGAGTTCCGCTCTTCCGCCACGAAAGACAAAGCGCACCCTGCGGAAACGGCGACAGGGCAACCCTGCTCTTACGCCGTGGAACTGTAGGGACCCAAGAGGTAAAGCCCGTCCTGCCAGCTCGCTTGCCCGTGCAGTGCTGCGTCCAGTGAGCAAAGCCATGTCGACGACAAGTGTCACCGTTGCCGACAACTTCACACCTCCCGCCACGAGTCAAAACCATAACCTCCCAGTTTTAACAGAAGCGGAAGGTGACCATGAGAGCCCACCAGAGGAAGAGAATGATTTCCAGTTGATCGACTCGTTCGAGAAGAAGACTGGTTATCTCCTTTGCCTGGTATGTATATATGTTATAGTGTTCAAAGTCGACCACGTTCGAGGAAAGAGGACGCCCTGAACTTTTGCCTCTCCAGAGCTACTTCTTCACGACGTGGAGTGTGAGGGCGGATGAGTGGGCCACCGGTTGGTAGCTTCCCTTTACATACGCATCCATGGGTCCGAAGTAACCGCTCACTCATGTCCAGTGTGCGCTCTCCAGCCATTTTCCTAGCCTACATCTTCCCGGACACCCTCCTCCAAGTCTCGCTATACACACTCGTCGTAACGGCCTCAGCCATCATCTTCAGCTCAAGCATCGGGAGGCGTGTAGATACCGCCCGCCGTCTGGTCGGTGAGACATCTTTCCCACTCGCTCTTAAATCATCCACACTCCCCCAACTCACACCCCCCGTCTAAAACATTGACAGGTATCCGCGCCTTCCTTATCACCCAAAAGCTGTCGATTGCACTGACGGCCCTGACGCTGTACGCCACATCGGAGTATCTGATTGTGCGTGTAGCATGGACGTACGTGGGCTTTGCGGCGGTGTGCGTCCTGGGATGCGCGTTGAGGCTCGCCAATGTGGGGACGACGATCGCTGTGGAGAGGGATTGGGTGGTGGTGTTGGCAAGGGGGAAGAGTGGGGTTTTGACTTGTGAGTGGATGGGAAAGTGGATGTTGTCGCCTGGACATCGTCAAGCGGGGAACTGATCCTGGCATTTTACATTCCAGCGTTAAACAGCCATCTCCGCCGCATCGATCTCCTCTGCAAACTCCTCGCGCCGCTGGTCGTCTCAGCAATCAACATCAAAGCGTCGACTCCAACCGTCATGCTCGTCGTCGCCGCCATGAGCATCGCTACCATCCCCGTCGAGTGGATCTTCATCACCGCCGTGTACAATCGCGTGCCTGCGCTCGCCGTCGCCAAGAGCCCTCGGGCTGCTGAAGACATTCACATTGGCGAAACCTCCCCCGGCGATACCTCACCACCGACCCTGCCAGAAGCAACCCCCATGTCACCAACACCCCCACCACACCGCACCCGCTTCCACAACTTCCGCACCTCCATGCACACCTTCACCCACGACCCAACCTTCCTAACCTCCCTGTCCCTCGCCCAGCTCTACTTCACCGTCCTCTCCCTCAATCCAGTCATGATAACCTACCTCCTCTCCCAATCCTTCACCCAACCCTTCCTGGCCCTTATCCGCCTCCTCGCGGTGCTCTCAGGCCTCTCCGCCACATTCGCAATCAAGCCCATGGTCGTGCATCTCGGACTCGTGAGAACGGGGCTGTGGAGCGTGTGGAGCGAGTGTGCTTGTGTGGCGGTTGCGGTGGGGAGTTTTGGGGTGGGTGGGGAGAGGAGGGTGGTTAGCGCGGGCATGCTGTTGGGGGGCACCGTGGCGAGTAGGTTTGGGCTGTGGGGGTTTGATTTGGCCCAGATGCAGATCTTGCAGGAATGGTATGAGCACTTTGCGGCCCCCCCCCACTCTCCTTTTCAACTCTGCGTCAACCACTGACAGCCAATGCACACCCCACAGCGTCCCACCAGCGACCCTCGGCCTAATCTCAGGCCACCAAACATCCCTCCAAAACACATTCGACCTGCTCGCCTCATTAGCAACGATAGTCTTCTCACGGCCAGAACAGTTCTACATCCCCGCGATCATGACGTTTGTGGCGGTCTTATCGGCCAGTCTGACGTTTTCGTTATATGCGAGGAGGAATAGGGGGCATTTGTTTCATGTTGAGAAGTGGGTTAGGGTCGGGGGAAAAGGGGGGTGGGGATGGGGATGGGGACGGCAGCGGTAGAGGGGTTGGAAAGTGGAGGGGCGGCGATGGAGCGAGGGATTCGATGGCTCTCCGTAGAAGGTTGGCGGTCTTACTACGGAAAACGACAACCCCACATCCGCTGTCTGACGCCGGCTGCCTGGTTGGGCCCGGGTGCTTACCCGCAGCTCAAGTGTGAAGACGTCCACACCAACTCTGCATTCTCTTTGCTCACACAAAGACTCTATCAACATCGAGATGGCCATTGGACAGTGGATGAAGATTCGACGCGGCACAAGCAACAAGTGCGCTTTGCAGATGATGAACAGACGGATGATTAGAGACGAGGGATTCCCCGTCCGCGGATACTCTACACGTTTTCCGCCTTCTGGGTTGTATGTCATCTTTCGACCAATTCGGTTGGCAAACGTTGGGTCGTATTTTCGGACTTTACGTTAGGAAGATCAGAATAGCAACTACATATACAGTGTACACCCCTGCGCACGGAACGGCGGCGAGCGGATACTTGTCGAGGTTCCTTCTCGAGAATCCTGTTGATTGCGGACTTGATGCGGAGATTGAATAGAAGCATCTGTGAAGCACCCCCTTCCCTCTTCTCGCCCGTATTCCAAGAAACGGGGCAACATATGCATCGTCCGCCCTGACGCATTCCCTTTCAATGCTGACTAAAACACCAACAGAGCACACAAGCGAAGGTGCTGCTATCCTGTTGACAGTTTCGCTGTCGCTTCGCAGTTTTCGGTCAGGGCTCACCGCTCACCGACTCACAGATCCTTACGAGAGCTCAAGACAGCTTACACGGATTGCGGGCACCTATAGTTGTACAGTACTGTATGTACACTGCGTTGGTTGACGGCGTCTGCCAACCCTGGGAGCTGCCGAGCGGACTCGAACTTCGCCACGCTCTTCTCTCACGCGTCCCAACACACACGGCACGCGTCACAGTAACACGGATTGCTCACCACAACGCGGTGCGATTGGCCGGACAGAGTGACACGGATTGCGGGCGCAGTGCATGACTGTGCCACCTAGGCCGGACAGCGGTCACACGGATTGCGGGCGCAGTGCATGACTGTGCCACCTTTTGGGCGTGACTTCCTTCCCCGACCTTCCACGGCTTCCCCACCTCGCCCCTCCGCCGCCGTCTATAAAAGGACGGCCCGTCGCCGCATCCCCTTTCGTTTTTCTCCAATCCTCTCTGGCCTTTTGGCTAAGATCAAGTGTAGTATCTGTTCTGTTTAGTTTGACAACTAAACCTATCCACATGTTGGATATTTTTGTCAATCATATTTTTGAAACTCGCCGAGTTACCGTGGGCTTGCTCACGGCCTTGGCACTGGTGTCCCCGGTATTGCACTACCTCCGGGTGACGCCGAAGCTCTTCCGAGCACCCTATAAAATAAAGGAAGAAAAATATGGAATGTGCTCAAAAACTTGTGCCTTACATGTCAATATTGAGGTGTGAGGAACAACGGTTCAACGAGCGGAAGCTTTTCCGCGGTGCCATGAGAGCCCGTATGCTCTCGTTGAGCGATGAGAGCGACTACGTAGAAATGGCTTCAATACTCGGCAATGTGGCGGGTTTCGGAGACGGGTTTCGGCGAGGAGCATTGGATGTAGCGGCTGATTGTGGGTGTTGTTAGATTCGTGTCATCAATCCAAATGTAACCGTGCTCTCAACGTCTGTCGCAAGTAAAGAGAAGACGATGGGGTTAAATCCTGGTCGTCGAAGGGGATGCGTTTTGCTTTGACTTTCAAACACAGAAAGACGATTTGGTCCAGATTCTTGTGCGCGACCGGCGGGGCGGATATCTGGTGTGTGCGCGGGCTTTGCGAGGGTCGTTGCGGATGCAAACTTTGGTGAAGCAACGAACGATGCCTTGGGTGCAGGAAAATGAATCCCCCGCGCCGCGGGAATGTATCAGTGCCTATACTAGTTTGCTGTCCAGCCTTTTCCAACGCAAGTCCCGAGATTCGACCGTCCTATTGCTCAACGTTTCCCTATGAATATTGCAACCGGGAGAGAGACAGGGGGAGGGAATAAATAGGAGTAGGGTCGGGTGAGGGATGTCGAATGGTAGCCAATTACGATTAGCGCCATAGACGGATGTGTTGCTCATCAGCCGCCGGACGGACCTTTCTGAATGCACCACGGCCAGAATGGTCTTCAGTCTGCCTATCATTCAACAAACGTCTACTCTATCCAAAATTCCATAAGTTACGTCCAAGAAAGATGGCTCTATCCAACCTCTACATCTGCGCCTGTATTTCCCCCTTCTCTCCCATCTCCCCCACTCACTACGCCGACGGGGCCACGTCCTTCCCACCCCCACCCCCATCAATCATCCCCACCAACACCTTCAACACCCCCGGAAACGCCTCCTCGCGCAACACTTCCATCTCGCTCTCGCCAAACTTTGTCAGAACATAGTCGCCGACCTCGGACTGTGATTTGGTGGCGGGGCGGCCGATGCCGATTCGGATGCGGCGGAATTTCTGTGTGAGGGCGGGAGATGAGTCGGTGAGCGAAACCTAATGGGGGTGCGGGGAAGTGGGGGGGGGGGGGGGGTCATGGGAGGGCACTTACGTCTGTGCGGAGCGAGGCTATGATTGATTTCGTGCCGTTATGACCGCTACGAGAAGGGGAACAATGTGTAAACTCGGGGGGGCAGCAACTATTTCACACAAAGGATATGGAAGACGGGGCAAGCTTACCCAGCACTCCCGGCATTCTTGATCGACACCGCGCCAACCTTCCTCTCCAAATCATCCTGCAGCACAACCACATCTTCCGGTGCGACGCCATACTCGCGTGCTATAAGAAACCCCAAAAACCCCGTCGGTCAGAACAGTTCTCCCCTCCCTTTCCCAGACGAGTCACACGCACCAGCCCTCGCAACACTCCCCCCACACGTATTCATGTACCCCTTCGCCTTGTAGAACACCACCCTCCTCTGCCCTGGCATCTCAGCAACAAACCCACCCACACCCTTCTCCAGCTTCCACACGCTCGCCCCCAATTGCTTGACGCTGTAGTCCAGCGCCATCATCCCGACATTGTGGCGGGTCAAGGGGAGGCTGTGGTTGCCTAGGCCTACGATGAGGAGGCGGCTGAGACTTGTTGTGGATGCTGCGGGCATAGTTGCGCTGTCGTGGAGCTCAGAGTCGTCAAAGTCGGAACGGGAGGATTTGTTGGTGGTGTGTTTTTTTGAGGTGCGAATGACCATTCGGTTGGTCGAGAGGGTTGATTTTTGTTGGGGGGGGGGGGGGGGTTGGTCCTTATCCCTTGTCAGTCAGTCGGTCTTGGAAGACTTTGGGGTCGGGGTTGACGATGTGTGAGGGGGTATTCCCGAGAGGGAGTTGGGAATGGCGAGAATGGCACAAAGCGTTTTGACTGCGGATAAGACCAGTTTTGGTTCGCCGGTTTCTCCAGTCTATCGGCAGCCGGTATTCTTATCGTTCGTAGGCGAGACTCTCAAGTTTGTGATACGGGCCTGGGGTGGGCAGTGTGAGCTCTCAGCTCAGGGGCTTTTTTATGTGGGATGGCGGAAAGCGGAAACAGCGGGAAGGTTGTGGGCGAGTCTGTCGCGTTGGCTGATTACGTTTACTCCCTCACACTCCCGACTCCCGAGCACGCTTGCCCACGGCTCCTGCTTCATGCTGAGCGTAACCCATGTCGTACGTCGTCATATTCTCCGTACATACGATGCAAAATGAGAGCCGCTCGCTCGCTAACTATATATCACACATAAGCTATGGACTACACGGTAATCCAGTCTACTCCCCTCCCAGAGCGAGGGGGTGGGAGGCTTGTTGCGAGCGCATCCATAACAACGTCTCAAGAGTCAAGACCGACGTGGAAATCCACCAACCTCTGAGTGTATGTCATTACGCCTCCTCACATCAGAGCAGACCAAATCTCCCGTGGGACCGCCCCCCCACCCACCAGTATGTACATAGAAAAGAAGATCATCCTCCAACCCGGCCCCCCACATCCAACTATAAGAGGCATGCATATTTTCCATGTGTTCCAGTTACGTCGCAGGTTATGTACTGTATATGAGCGCGCTTCGTGGTGTGCAAGTGTGTGTGACTTGAAGTCTCCTCAACCGGTCTCTCGACTCGTCATTGAAACGTCTGACGACATTCATTTAGATCCGCCACAAGCGCACAGTCGTATCCATCCCTCCCGAAATCAACGTATCGTCCATATGCCGCAACGCGCGCACCGGTTTGGTGTGCCCTTCGAGGATCTTGATGGCGGATGTTGTTCGGTTGTATATCTGAAAGCAATAATCATAAGTTGTCATAAGAAGTGTGATCTGAAGCCGGGATGCGTGAACTCGCTAGGCCTCAATCTCGAATTCTTTACCTTGACGTTACTCGACCCAGCAGCCACAGTCAACCTAAACATATCATGGTGCAGATCAATGACGCCGCCCTGGAAGCGGATATCGTCGATGGCTTCGCCTCCGCGGAGATCCCAGACCTAAAATCAAAGAATAAAGATATCAATCTCACATCCCCTATACCCAACCCCAACGTACCAACAAAACCCCAACCACATACCTTAACAGTCCGATCAACACTCCCACTAACAACGTTACTCTGATCAAATTTCAACGTCGTCACCGCGCCCGTATGTCCATGGAGCTCCCGATGACATTTCCCCGTCCGCAGATCCCACAGTCTAATCACCCCGTCCCCGTACCCAGCAGCAAGCGCATGTCTCCAGAACTGCAGCGCGCCGACGTGCCCGCCGACGTTGTAGAGTGTGAACCCGGCGCGCGGGGGGAGGACTGAGGAGGTGTTTGTGCGGATGAGGTCCGTGGGTGGGGCGACGACGGAGGTTGCTGGCGGTGGGAACTCGCCGAGGAGGAGCCGGTCAGCGCGGTCCATCCCGTCCTGGTCGACCCATCGTTCGGATCGAAGTACAGCGACCTCAGCCCCCGTTTCGCGGTCCCACTGTCGGATAGTCTTGTCGGCTGAGCCAGAGACGAGCCACGAGTCGTCGAACATCAGGCAGCCGACGCCGCCGGTGTGGCCTTTGTAGGTGTGTACGGAGATGTCTTCGTTGGCTACCGGGGTGTAGTAGGGGGTTGAGGGCGGGATGTTTGAGGGGTGGGCGGGGTTGGTGGAGGGGAGAGGGGGGAGGTTGGAGAGGTTCCATTGGCGGATGGTGTGGTCGCCCGAGCCGGTCATGAGGGTTTGGCCTTTTAGTTGGAGTGCTCGGACCCATCCTGTGGTGAGAGAGGTGTTGGAAGGTCAGTATCTATCCCACCTTTGACCGGTGGCGCTTCTTCGAATCGAGGTTTACCTGTATGTCCAGACAAGGAAGCAGCGCACCGATGACTACTCAAATCCCAAACCCTAATCGTCTTATCCGCGCTCCCCGTCACCAGGGTCCCAAACGGCATATCAAAATCCAAACACTCCACGCTGTCCGTGTGGCCATACAGCGTCCTGAAGCACGTGTTTGGCGGAATCTCCGGCACATCATCCTCATCAACGTCAATATCAGCTGTGATCGCCGCCGAGTGGCCCTTCAGTTTCCGGATCGTCCGCTCAAACGACTGCGATTCGTCGCCGATGGATCCAATCTTGCTGTCCAGCTCGTCCAACAGCACGTTGACCTTCTCTTCTTTCGCGACCACCCGCTTCAGTTTCGCGGTCAGATCCTGCTTCCGTCGACCCAGATCGGTTAACAGATCCTCCACCTGTCGGAGCTCATCCGACAGCGCCACGCGGGTGTTTTCCAGCTTATCGCTCTCGGCCAGCACCGTGTCGCGCTCGTTCAACAACTCAGAGAAGAGTCGGGCGATGTTGTTGATCGATGCGGCGTGTAACCGAGCTTTTGTCGGTAACTCCTTCCCGCCGCGTGGTGTGGGTGGCTGGAACGATGTTATTATGCTTACTTGGCTAGAATTGCCAAGGTTCAGCCCCAGCTTGTGCGGGGAGTTCAGAGACGCCGTGCTCGCCATCTTCGGGTGCAGTGCCCGAAAGCCTTGGTAGAATGTGATCGAGTTGTCGGTAGACAGCTCCTCGTCCAATTCAGACTCCTCGCCCCCGCTGACGACGTCCGCCAGAACCTTCATTGAGGAGGCGCCGTTCGATCGGCTTTCAACTAGTGTGGAGGAGGAGGAATGCGTTGAGTTTACTAGCATGTCGCTTGCGGCGCTGGCTTTCCGTCGGAGCTGCATTTGTGATGATCGTTTTTTGACAAGTGATGGTGTGGGTGAGCCTTGTTGACGGGCATAGTTGTTGTTTTGGGGAAATGGATATGAGTCCAGTTGCTGCTCGTTATCGCTATCATTATTCTCGTGGTGCATGACTCTAGGTAAACTTCGGATTGACAGAATGGAGGATCTTCGTTTTGTTAACCGTCGTGGGGAAATCGATCTATCCCGACCGTTTTCTTGTGGTGGGTGCGCCGAGTCACTGCAAACCAAGAAGATGTCACTCATAAGCAAAAGGAATGAATCAACAACCTTGGAGAATGGCCACCACCCACCCACCTATCATCAGAGAAAGGTTCCTCATGCAACCCCCCCTCCAGCTCCAAATTGGCTTCCCCTTCCTCATCCGAGTCCTCAAACGGCTCCTGCTCGAACCCAGCCAACTGCTCATTCATATCAGCTGGCGGCGCATTCGTCCCAAAAAGATCGCCGGTCGTGCTCTCGGAAGTATTCCGCCTATACCCTGGCCGGCCGCCGAGGACGTACGACCGGCCCCATGGGTCTACCCGTTTCTCGAACGTCGAGTCCTGCCGTTGCAATAGGGAGGGCGATATGGCTCCAAAACTGGGTTTGCGCATGCCGGATAGTGATGGGACGGACATGTCTGGAATGAGGCCAGGAAGGTCAAGTATGGCTCCGGAGTGTGACGCAGGTATGCAGTTGTCCTATCCACTTACCTTTCGCTTTTTCAGACCATTCCTTCTCCAACTCAACCTCCCGCCAAAGCTTATCCTCGCCCACGGGCGGGGGCGGCGGAGCCCAAGCATCGTCGTCAAACATGGAGTTTGAACCCATGATATCCTGAGGCTATGTGTATCGGTCAAATGGGGTAGGTGATCTAGCTATAGACGCTCGGCTAGACTTTGCTCCTCCTATCCCAATGTGAATGTGAGTGAGGGATGTCCTTAGCGACGGCCACGTGGCTCTATGGAATTGGCGGGAAAAGGCGACAAGTTTGAGCTTAACAGAATGGTGCCAGCAACAATATGGAGATCGGAGTCGATGTAATGGAAAGGGACTTTATGAGTATGAGCCTCTAGGAGAAGGGCTTGGAGGCTTTCGGAAGTCACGGAAGTTGCGTGGGAACGTCCCGTTGCGACTTTGCGCTGTTGGCAAGCCCCAGAGCCTTGTTGAGCAGAGGAAAGAGACAGACAGAGAGAGAGAGAGGCGGTTTCGAGCGATGATGACGCATGCGAATCCGACCACTTAGAAGGATCGGACGCTCACGTGATTGCACGCTCATGCAAAAAAAAAGGAAAACAGTTTGAACAGGCATCCCGTCGAAGCGCTCGCGTTCAACCTACTCCGGGCATAAAGGATGGTGCTACAGTACCACACATATGTGATTTGGGTATCTACAGGATATAAGCATCGTACATACGAAGGTTTGCTAAACGAGAACAAAAGAGCCTCAAAGAAGACTGAAGCAAACGCACGCCCAACGCCGTTCACTCAAGACACCGCTCGATATCAACCAACTCCGCTCAAGTATACCTCCCAATCCTTACCTCCCCCACCTCCTCCTCCTCCCCCTCCCCATGCCCCTCTTTCCTATCCCCCTGCCCATTCTCTCCCCGACCCACCCTCCCCTTCAACTCCTCCACAACAGCCTCCAACCTCACACAACACCTCCTAACAGTCCGATACTTCTCCTCAACACACCTCACCCTTTCGGCCCCTTTACTAACCAACCCCTCCACAACCCGGGCATGTTCCGCCGCATCCTTCTCCAATCGTTCGTTCACGCTTTCCAATCGCTGCGCACGTATCTGCAGGGATGTGTGGTCCGTGGAGAGGACGGTGTGTTGTTGGGTCAGCGCCGTGTGCGCGTTTTCGAGGTCGGCGAGGGAGAGTTCGAGGGAGAGGATGCGGTCGAGGAGGAACTGCGTTTCCGTGCTGCTGGAGGACAGTTTGGCGGGGTCTGATATGGATGTCGAGGCGCGAGTGCCGGCGATACCAGCGGTGATACCGCTAACCCCCATCCGCCCAGAGTTCGTCGTGCCCCTCTCAACAACCCCCCTCGACAACCGTTCAATGACCCCCTCACACTCCCGCAACCTCTCCATCTCCGGCCGAAGCACCTCCAACTCGGTCTGCAACGCAAAGATCTTCTCCACATCTTCGTCCGTCTTCCGCGTCGCATCCCGCAGATCCCGCGTGAGCATGTCGACGCGTTCCCTTAACGCGTTGTTCTGTGATGTGAGGGTTTCGGCTTCGAATTGGTAGCTGCGGATCCGTTTGGTCAGGTCGTCTTCGTGACGCCGGGAGCGGTCGCGGAGGGATGCGGATTCGGCGCGGAGACGGGTGAGCGTTTCGTGGAGGGTGTGTAATTCGCTTTGGCGTTGTTTGAGGGTTTCGAACTGGAGGAAAAAAAAAAGAAAGGCCGTAAGTCAGAACGAAAATGAGATGGTGAAAGAAAAGGTATCTTCACCCACCACACTCTGCCGATCCGCATCCTTCAACTCCTCCATCATCCGGTCCTTCTTCAGTTTGCGGATATACTGCAGATGGTGCCAGCGCATGTAGGCTTGGAAATTGACCTCGTTGAGCAGCATCATCAGCTGCAGGCGGAGCACGTCCAGATCCTGCTGCGTCTGACTATCCGCGTTGTTCCCACCGTGTGCATGCGGCGATTTGACGGCCTCGTAACCGAAACTTTCCTTGATCCCCAGAACAGATACGCGCAACGCCCTGTTCATCTGCAAGATAAGGTCCAGATCGAAATCGACCGATTTGCTCGCATTGACTGCCACACCATCAGTCTGTGTTGACACCACCGCCGGCTCCGATACAGCCACAGCAGCAACAACCGGATCATGCTCGCTTCTCACAGAACCCACACTCTTCGCATCAGCGGCAAGCGGCGACACCACGAGCGGGGATACGGGGTTATTCTTCCCGCCTACAGCCCGCGTGTCCCTTGGCGAGGAGTCGCGGTTATCCCCCTCGGTGGCCGGGAAGAGGCGGGGCGCGACGGCGAGCTGGTTGTCGAGGATTGTGAATGCGGTCAGGGACGCAAGTGGGGTGTCGTGCTGTGCTGTCTGTTCCTCTTTTAGACCCTGCACCAAGGGCCTTTGCTGATGCGAAGCGAGGAGTGGGGAGATGGCCGGTACACGCAGCTCCAAGCTTTCCACGACGATTTCGGACGGCGGTTTCTGGATGTTACGAATTGTGTTGCGTTCGTCTGCTGGAGTCGAGAGGATAAGATTTGGGTGGAGTTTGTGGGCTTCGACGAGTTTCTGATAAATGCGATTGTGTCAGTCAGGGTGGATAAGGGGGTTGATTGTAACTCCAAACCAAGAACTCACCCTAAACCGCCCCCCCACAACCTTCTCCAACTCCCAATCATCCGCATCCAACAAGCGTTCCGTCAGCTGCGCCAGCGGATCGTCCGCGATCTCAAACATCGGCAGACTGTTGCCTGTCTTCACCGATGGCGGTGACGACTCGTCCTTCGTCAGTACTGAACGCACGGCGGCGACGGTGGTACAGGGGAACATGCCGTACAGGAGTGTGTAGTAGTTCTCGATGGCTTGGTGCACCGCGGCGAGGGTGTAGTCGGTGAGGATCGATTTGGCGCGGGTGGAGGCTCCTGTTGATCATCAACACAGCTGAGTGCCATGTTCATGGATAGAGATAGATACAAACGCAAAGTCTCCCTCCGCTTTACCTGCGCCGCGGGACCCCTCACTTCCTCCACCAGGGTTGTTTTGCTCCAGCCCTTGTTTGCTCTCATCCTCAGCCCCTTTGAAAACGCCCACGAACACCGCTTCCCACTTCACCACCCTCACCAATCCCGCCATGAGCTCATCCAGATACTCCGCCAATCGCGTCGCCACAACCGGCAGCAGGGCCGTAAGCACACTCAACGTAGAGGTCAAAATCGCCGGGTTGGTATCCCTCCCCGCGCTCGCGAGTAACGTGGCAAACAGCGGGGTGTCGATGATATAGTAGCAGGGCGCCTCCTCGCGTCTGATCAGCTTGGCGAGGAAGACGAGCAGGTGCAGGCGGTACTCCTTCATGAGCGCAAACTCGTTGAGGATGTCAAAGAATTCTTTGGGTTTTGAGATTGCGAGCGAGATGAGGATCTTCTCAAAGTTGAGACAGGAGGTGGAGTCCCAGAAGGCGCCTACGCGGCGTGTGGTTGTTGGGACGTTGGACTGTTCGATGGTTGTCGATGCTCCCCGACCCGGTGAACTTCCCCCCGATTTAGGCGTGGTCGCAATGCTATCCTTCTCCCAGAACGCATGCCGTTCAGCAAAATAGGTCCACGCCACCGAGCGCCTGAACTGGCCCGCGGCCGTCACGTTCCCCGCCAGCAGGTTCGTCTGCGATCCCCCATTCCCCGCTGCCGCCGTCGCGCTCGTCGCAACCCACGAGTCAGTACACAACAACGCGACCGCAAGCTCCCCACACACATCCAACAGCGGCCTCCACCTCCCCGCCACCAACAACGGCCTGATCAACGCCTCCCACCAATCCGCCGCAAACCGGGCCGGATCATATATCGGCAACAACCGCTTCAACCACGCCGCAAAGATCAGCAGCCGCGTATCTTGCGTCGAGGATACCTGCGCCGGCGTGAGTTTGTACGCCCCTTTGGCGTTGGCGATCTCCTTCGTGGGCGCGAAGGTGGTTTTGAAGAGCTGGGTGAGTTCGGTGGCGAGTTTGTCGACGGAGGGGTTGTAGGTTTGGATTGTGAGGGTGCTGGAGGAGGAGGTGGCGGAGGTGGGTGAGGCGACGGGCGGGTGCGTTGTGGTGTAGGCGTGGAGGATGGAGTAGGCTTTGGAGGTGTTGATGGGTGGGGGGGTTGGGAGGAGGAGGTCGGAGGTGCCTGCCTTGAGGTCGGCGGTCAGACAGGAGAGTACGTCTCGGGTCGACATTTTGGAGGGAGCGCTGTGGGAGAGCGGTCGGTGCCCAGCGACATGAAGGAAGCCTCAATGGTCCGGAGGGTGGTTGCCTTCAGCGCTCTTCAGCGTGCTATGGGAATCTTGGGAATGCTTCTCCCTACGAGGTGTCCAAATGGGCCTCTGAACCCTCCCTGCCGCGCCGTCTCCGCACAGCTTCCAATTCACACTTGCAACGCCCATCCCAACCGTTTCCTTCCTCCTCCTCAGCCATCCTCAGCCGTCCCGAATACACCGTGCAGCACATATGCCCATACAGAAGAGGACGTAGACGGACACATACAGTACGCGCCTGTACAGAAACAAGTAACTCCGCGATCCCCAAGATGGCCACGTTCACCACCACCACCGCCTCCTTCGAATCCACCGCCCCAAGCAACCTCAACGACGACGACACCCTCCGCTCCACCAACGACGACGCTTCCATCTCTCGTCTGTGAGTGCCAAAGGGAACAGCGACCTCAGTCTTGGTTTCATTCCCTGAAACGCTCTTCGGACGCTGATGGTGTGTCTTCCCAGCGCGGCTGTCAATCTCGGCTACCTGTCCGACCCGTACGCCAAGCACTTCGTGAGAAGGGGGCAAAAACGGCCGCCTGTTATCAATAGAGGTGAGGATACACTGCGTCCTTCCATTGAAATCGTTCCTATGCACGCGCGATGTCACCGCACTCATCGATACCGCGTCAGGGTCGCAGGCACGTTCACGCGATCAAAGGCGCTGGAAACCCTCATAGATCAGTTCTTGGATGTGGATCCGCGAGGGAAACAGATTGTTAGTTTGGGTGCTGGGTCGGATACGAGAAATTTCCTGTTGAAAGCGGCAGGACGGCAGCCGCGGAAGTACTTTGAGATTGATTTCCCGGAGATTGTCTCGAAGAAAGGGCAGACGATCGCCAGAAATCCGACGTTGGCAACACTTGTGGGACCTTACAAGATTGGTCTGTGATCCACTCTTCTCACCGTCAACATCTCTCAAATCTCACAAATCCTCTTCCCTATCACCCATCCAGACCGCGGAGGCCTAGCCCTGCACGGCTCGGACTACCACCTCCTATCCGGCGACCTACGCACCTTCGCCTCCCACCTCATCCCCCATCTCCAATCCCTCGGCCTCGACACCACCCTCCCGACCCTCTTCCTCTGCGAATGCGTGCTCATTTACCTCCCACCTGCTCTCTCACGCTCAATCCTAAACGCCACGTCCTCGCTAGTTCGCAGCGGCGGCGGAGGTGGCATGTTTGTGGTGTACGAGCAGATCCACCCTGATGATGCGTTTGGGCGGGTGATGGCGCAGAATTTGCGAGGGAGGGGGATTGAGTTGCGTGGGTGGAGGGAGTGGCCGGATTTGAAGGCGCAGAAGAGGAGGTTTGGGGAGTGTGGGTGGGAGGAGGCGGGCGCGGTGGATATGAATATGTTTTGGGAGGGGTTAGGGGTGGAGGAGAGGGGCAGGTGAGAGATGGGGAATAGGCGGGTGGATTTTACCTTTCAAAGCTGATTGGTGTCGTTTGTTAGGATATCGAAACTGGAGATCTTTGATGAAGTGGAGGAATGGCAGCTGTTGTCGGATCATTACTGTGTGTCATGGGCGGTGATTCCGGGGGAAACCGAAGCTGGGGATCAGGAACGGATGCAGCGGATTGGGCTTTGTCGAAGTTGAGAACATGGCGTATTTGGAAATTGCTTTCGGCCAGAGTATTTGGGGAGAAGTAGTTGGGGTAGCCAGAAGCTATAGATGTTGGGGGCGAGATGAGGGGGGCATGATGTACATACATAGGATGAAACTGATGCTCGTGCACCACCAGAATGAGGTAATTTGTAATATATACAGTACATTGGGGGAGAATATAATGAAGGAACCATGTCGGGCCAAGTTGATGCAAGCCGACCTATGAGTAAGGAACCTCTCAGAGCCGCTTTGCGAAATGCATCGACACTGCTCAGAAATTGAGCCCCAGCCACTGCTGCAAACAATGCCCAGACACAGCGGCTTTAGCTTTCATATGCATTGGAAAAGCCTACGGAAAGCGCTCAAGTCAATCCATAGTATGCCGGTCAAATCACGCTCTTCTCTGTGAGCTCGATCAACGGCAACGACGTGCTGAATGATGTGACGCTTCCACTGTTTCTTGACAATGGTAAAGCACATGTAAAGGTCGCTTAAAGGCACATTTTCGTTCGCCAGAACATGCTTCATGTGGTCCGGAGTCCATTTCAGTATGCCGGCGCTGGTATCCAATTTGTGTGCAATCGTATAGAGATCCTTTGACAAATCTTCGCGGCGACCGACGTAAACCTTCATATAAAATTCGTCGGGCAGCTGAAACGGTGCCCACCACAGTGATGCCTGATCCCGGCTGGGACAGGACTCGACTATGACAGCCGGAGTAAGTACAACGCTGTGGACGAAGAGAGCCAAAGCGAAGGCGCAGAAGATGGCATGAGTAACATCTTTGAAGGACGGCATGGTGGCCAATTGTTCGACTCCTGTGGAAGTCTGGCTGTCAGGAGCGTTGTGAGCGATCATGAACTCGGTCGTGTGGGGAACGGTGATGTTCCTCAAATTACCCTACCTATCCGGTTGAAAGATCCTGCAGTGCAATGGGTTAGTGTTGGCATGGAGAGACACAGAATGTTCAACATTGCTGGCTTTCAACCTCGCTGTATTACTCCACTCATTGATCAACAAGTGGAGGCCACTACGAAACTACTTGCTGGAAAATTGGGATCCCAGCAGATCTATGCCGTGTGGAGCAGACACATGTCGAGGAATGACGGGGAGTTCGACAGCGAGTGGGTGGCTTGGAGCCGTCAATCTGTGGCGCCACATTAGGGACTCTGTGCATCACGTGACCAACCGCCCTTTCGTTCCACGCTCAGTTCAACGGGCTCTTCCCAGCATGCCTTTCCAAGCAAACAGACGCATTCAAAGGTGGGTACGCAGTGAGCAGGATACTCTTCAGCAATAGAGCGCCCTTGGTAGTTTGAGGAGTGCTTGTACAGCGTCCTCTCCGCCTGTCGGGTTGGCGAATTGGGACTAATGTTGTCTCGGCCATTTTCAGTTTTGGGTCACTTGTTCTGTAGTCTGTCACCTATCGTCCTCAGTACTCCACGCATCCGAACAGGACGCTCGATAGACACTATAGCATTCTGTCTCCATACGAAGTCGAGGCAAAATGGGAAAAGCAAAGAAGAGTACGAAAAAGTTTGTCAAGAACCACTTGAAAGATGTGGTTCAACGGCGGAAAAAGGTCCAATCAGCAAACAAGCACCGCAAGGGCGGAAAACCAGCCCCGAAAGCAGAAACACCAGTAGAGGATGTGCCAGTGGAAGCGTCGGACATGGAGGCAGACAGTGATTCCGATGACGGCTTCGATGACGCCGGCTTAGCACCCGGTTCGGATTCGGATGCAGACAGCGACGCTGGCGCTGGATCAGAGTCGGATGGGTCTGTAGATGATTTGGAGGATTTAAGTGATCTGGAGGGGTCGTCTGATGCTGGGTCCGACGAAGGGGATGAGGAGGAGATGGAGGTTGACGGCGTGATTTCCGAGAAGAAACGGGCAAAGAAGGATCTCAATGTGGACATCGCGGATCACAAACACGAGCTGGAGGAGCTGAAGAAGAAGGACCCTGAGTTCTTCAAGTTCTTGCAGGAGAACGACCAGGAGCTGCTGGAGTTTCAGGATGAGGAGGAAGTCTCGTCAGGGGATGAAGCGGAGGACGCCGCAGAAGGCGATGATGCTATGGACGTGGACGAGGCCGAGGAAGGGGAGGAAGAGGAAGAGCTGGACGATGGAAAGACAGTCGTAACAAAGGAGATGATTGCGACCTGGCGAGCGTCCATGATCAACAATCACAGCCTGCGGGGCTTGCGGAAAGCGCTTCTAGCGTTCCGCGCGGCTGCGATTGCGGCTGACGCTGACGCCGATGAAGACTCGTCCGTGTACAAGATCCCTAGCGGAGCAGTGTCGAACAGTCTCTTGTTCCTGTGTGTGAAGCACGCCCCAGCGGTCTTCAACTACCATGCTTACGGCGCGCCTACCGAAGACGGAAAGCCACGAAAGGGTTTGCCCACGAGCTCGTCCAAATGGAAGAAGATCCAGCCGCTCGTGAAATCCTTCCTCACCAACTACCTCCGCCTCATCAAGAACATGACCGACCCAACTCTCATCAAATTCGTTCTCCGCGAATCCGACGGCGCCACTCCCTACTTTGCCAGTTTCCCCAAACTTGGGAAGGACTTCTTAAAGAACCTCCTGCACTTCTGGACAGCGCCCGCCGACGACGAGCAAGTCCGCATCGTCTCCTTCCTGTGTATCCGCCGCCTCGCCGTCGTCGCTCCCACGCCCTATCTGGACCTGGGCATCAAAAAAACCTGCCGCGCCTTCGCCGACCAATCCCGCAACACCAGCGTGCACACATGGACCACCATCAATTTCATGATGAGCTGTATCGTCGAGCTCTGCGGGCTGCACCTGGCCACAACGTACCAACACGGCTTCGTGACCATCCGCCAAATGGCCATGCACCTCCGCAGCGCCATTACTACAAAAACAAAAGAATCCTTCAAACAGGTCTACAACTGGCAATTCGTCCACTCGTTACGTCTGTGGACCCGCGTCCTCGCCACTTACTGCGACGTCAACAGCCCCCTCGACTCCGGCACCTCCGCGGCACTCCGGCCCCTTATCTACCCGCTCGTGCAGGTCACGATCGGCGTCATGCGGCTCAAACCCTCGTCCAAATTCTTCCCGATGCGATTCCAGTGCGTGCGCGCCCTTACGGATCTCGCGCAGCACACTCAGACGTTCATCCCGGTCGCGTCGCACCTGTTTGAGATCTTCGATAGCGCTGAGTTGAAAAATAAGGCCAAGCCGTCAACGCAGAAACCCATCGATTTTACACTCGCAATCAAGGCGCCCAACCCCTACCTTGGCACGAGGGTGTACCAGGTCGGAGTCGTGGAGGAGGTGGTGAACCTGCTGTTCAACTACTATGGCGCGTTTGCGTTGTCGATTTCGTTCCCGGAGTTGGCTGTTCCCGCGATTTTGCAGGTATGTCGCTTTCTTTCATCGATTCCGGTTGGGGCTCGCGACTTACGTTTTTTTTTTCCTTCGGGATTTTGCAGTTGAAACGATATGTGAAGCGGTCCAAAAACTTCCAGGTTAACAAGCAGATCCAGCAGCTTGTCGAAAAGGTACGCTCTCTCCGACTCCGAATGTCGTTCACATATATACGAGAAACCATCTAACCATCCCTGAATGAAAACCACCAGCTGGAACAAAACAGCCGCTTCATCGAAGAAAAGCGGTCCGCGGTAGAGTTCAGCCCCAAAGACGACGCGCAAGTGGTAAGATTTCACCCTTCCTTTCCCCTTCCCTCCCCCCTTCCACCCCACTCATCCCCTCTGTTCCACCAGCGTCTCTTCCTCACAACAATCGATCCAAACGCCTCCCCCCTCCACAAACACAACACGGCGCGCCAAGCCCTTAAGGAAAAAGAGATTGCGCGTCTGCATGCCGAGGCGGCGGCTGCGAACAGGGGGAGTGAGGATGAGGATAGTGATGATCAGCCGAGGAAGAAACGGGGGAAGAAGGGGGCTGATGAGGAGGATGGGGAGAGTGATGGAGAGGATGAGGTTGTGGAGGAGGATGGAGATGTGGTTAGGAGGTTTAGGATGAGTGATGATGAGGAGGAGGACGAGGAGGAGGAGGAGGACGAGGAGGGGGAGGATGAGGAGGAGGATGAGGAGGAGGATGAGTAGATGTTAGAGCAGGTAGAAGACGAACGCGTGTTTTACTTTGGTGTGCGATTTGAGAGCTGGAAATGGCGGTTATATGTCAACGCGTAGCGTAGCTCTCCTTTTTTGAACGGTGTATTTATGAGTCGTATGCATTTTATCATTATTCCCTTGCACAAGGTTTGTCGCTGTTCTGACGGTGCTTTGGAGGTGGACAGCTGGACATGATGTCGACGGGATGCCGAAATCTCGCGACGTGCCGGTCGGAGTGACACAATCTGCGCATTAGCAATTCGACAGCGCGATTTGCCGCTGACAGGCCCCGAAAATAGCTACATAGACCGTCCTCAACAAACAAACTTCCCATGCGGTATGCGGCGTGCGGCCCGCCCGCAAGGAACCATCTTCCCCCATGCGTTTTACCGCGATGGAGGGAAGAGGATTGTTCGGACAACTCTATAAATGAGGGACGGACAGATAATCCTTCCGCCTACTCCTCACCAAAGCAAACAAGCAAAGCAAAAAGCCGCACATACAAATATAGTGGTAAACGAAAAACCAACACAACACATCCCTTACAACAAAACCACCCAGAATGACAGCTCAAATCGAAACCCCGGCGCCAACCGGCATCTTCGCGCTCTTCAAATCCCGCAAATCCCTCCCGAACGTGCGCGCCGCCGCCGCCGCGGAAGACCTCGCCTTCATCCGCCGCAACTCCTCCGTGCCCTCGGTGGGCCCCACCACCACCACAACAACAACAACAACAAAAACCTCCACCGACCCCTACACCAGCTTCATCAACCTCGTAGAAACAGACCTGGTGTCCATGCAGAAAACCCGCACGCACCACCAGATGCGGTGGAAGGTGCCTGCGGAGGTCGATGCCGGGAAGGCGTGCAAGGGGTGTTTGAGGTTGGGTGCCAAGGGGATTGGGTTTGATGTGGAGCGCGTGGGGACGTTGAGTTATGTTGTTGCGAGGTGGTGATTGCCCCTTGGGATGATGAAGGGGGGAGTGTATATGGCGTATTGTTTGTGGGCCTTTTTTTTGGGACCTAGATGTAGTATACCTTTGTAGAAAGCTTTGTACGAATAATAATGTTATCGGCGTAATCAATATCAAGTCTACGATCCTCCAAATATGGCTTGTGGGAGATGTTTGGCAAAAGTCCCGGGAAAACGACGGGAACACTGGGGGTGGAAGGTCACAGCCCCCTGGTCTAGACTTTCAAACTCCCACCATCCAGAACGCTTGCGGAGAAATGTCAGCGGCAGCAATATCTCATATCAGCAACCCAGCGGCAGCAATATCTCATTCACAAAACTGTCCAAAAATTGTCCTCATGTATAGGTGTGATGAGGGTATTCCACATCCGCGTGAGAATCGGTGCGGGGGCCGTAGACGGGTCTCCTCACACAACACTAACCGCCACCCCACTCTTCGCCGCCTTCCCCGCGTTCGCCGCCGCGACCAGCGCCTTGACACGATCCTTGCACGCTTTATCCAATTTACACGCCCTGGCAATGTGATCATGGTTACCATCAACAGCACCTCGCCCCCTCAAACTTCAGAATACATACGCCTTGTAATAAGTAGTAGTCTCATCATTATAAATCTTCGCGTTGGAAATTATCAGCGCGAAATCGGTCTCAAACTCCGAAATTGTGGTATATTTGCCGTCCTTCAGGTTATGTTCCATTGTTGCCAAATCTGTCACCAAAAAAAAAAAGAACAATCAATCCTCATCCCCCGATTCCTACCCTCAAAAAACAATCAAAACGTATGACAACCCCTTACCCATGGGATTCCGAATGATATCGTAGTAGTCTGCGACGCCGGAAACCGGCTCGCGGAACGGCCATGCGGAGGGGTTGTCGCGCAGCTCGGAGAGGAGCTGGGCGAGGAGGTGGTAGAGGGGGGGTTTGCCTTCTGATGAGCTTCCTGATCTGGTTGCGGAATCGAAGAGGTGAGATAATGTTTGAGGATGTGAAAGGAGAGGGTGGTACGTACAATTCGCCTAGCTCAGGCCGCCATCCCGCCTCGCCTTGAAGATTTCAGTTTTTCGTGAGATGCGCTATGGATGTGAGAGGTAAGGACGAGGAGTGATGACTTACGCAACCCCGGCACGCCCTCCGGCTCAATCTTCGCCTGCCCCTCCTCGAACACCAAGCCGGGGTATACTCTGGTCGACAACGACGCCTCTTTGATTTTCGTAAACACCGCCTGAAAAGATCACGCCCTTATAATCAACATCCCTCTTGCATCTGCATCCAGTAGCGAGTGAGGATTTTACCTTCCGATGCGCATGGTAAATATGATAGATGTCGAGGTATTTCACTTTCGGGAAGAAGCTGCACTGCAGCAGCGTCGCGCCCTCGTAGTCTTTGATGTACCCGACCCATTTGGATTTTTCGAGGGTTATTTCTGATGTGAAGCCCTGCGTTTTCCGAGAGACGTTGAGTGGTTTTGCAGGGAACGTGGGTGATTACTGATGCGGGAAGTGATAGGGAACTGATTCACGCACCTGTTTTTTGAAGAACCCAATAGCGAGGTTGTCCGCGTATGTGAGGAGGTACTCGACGCCCCACATGGCGCGGACGTGGTCTTTGAAGTGGGCTACTAGTCTTGCGCCGTATCCCTACCAAAGAGATCACGTCCATAAATACGCTTTCCTGCTTTCGGATGAGTAGGCACATTCCGTGGTCTGACCGTCTTACCGTGGTCTGACTATGACTCAAAACAGCGAGGAACACAATCTCGGCGAACCGCCGTGGTCCGAAGGGGCGGAAGGTGATCCCGCCCACGACGTCGCCTGTGTCGCGGACTACCACGCAGCTCCAGTGTTCTCTGTGGAATGGAACGAGGGCGGGTGAGATTGGGAAGTTCATAGAAGCATGGATCTCGCACGGATGGTTGGATGGTCGAACGATAGCCAGCTCGCTCCGCTCGCGGCAAAGAGGTTGGGCTGCGTGGGTGAGGGGTGTATTGCGACTTTGGTGCAATGTGGCTCGTCTAGGGCCCGCCTGCCTCAAGCAACCTTCGCTCGCCGCGGTGCGCGTTCGCTCCGGTCGTCCTCGTTGACGCTCGAACTCCCCGACCGAACCAAACCCTCACTTCGCTCGGTCGCTCCGCTCGGGCTCCCCCACCCCATCCCTCATATTCTCACATTCTCAAAATCCCTTCCACATCTTTCATCCCACCCTCTCATCTCCCCATACCTCGAATAAACAACCCTCCCAATATATTCCCTGGGCATCTTCGGCAATTGAGCCTGAATAACGGCTTTCACCTTCGACAACAAGGTCAAGCTCTCCCTGGTCCCATCATTCTGAACGAGTTTAAACATGACACGGTTCGTGCGTTCTTCCTCGAGGACACGCTTGTTTTTCGGGTTGCGGACTTCGGGGAAATGGTCTGTTGTGTCCATGTCGGAGTGGGGCAGGGAGGGGGTTGTTGGTGTTGCTGGTGGTGCTGTCGAGGTTGGTGGTGGTGTTGGGTGGCCGTTGGGTATCCGTTGTGGCGGCTCCTCAGGAACTTCGGTTTTTATGACCCCATTTTCGGTGTTGGAGATATCTGCGGTGGTATCTGTGCGGCGTTTCTTTGTTTTAGGGGTGAGGTTTTGGTCATCTTCGGGTAGCTCTCCTTCTTCTTCGTCGGGGGTGGGGCGTTTGGTGCCGTTTACGAGCGGGGTTGGTGATTCCTGGTGCTTTTGGGACATGGCATTTTGAATGAGGAACACATGAGGAGACGGGTTTTGTGAAGGACAAGAGAGCCGGGGAAACTGGGAACGGCAAGAGGGCAAGCGATTGAGTGGAGGGAGATAGGTGTTATACCTTGTCCATAGCTGGGCGCCTGTTATGCGAGACAACGAGTAAACAAACGAGCCGTTGGAAAGAAAGCTCAGGGAGAGTGTTGTCACGCCTTGTTGTCACACCTCGCACTCTCTCCCATCCGGACACCCACGCGTTCGTACGAGATCCTCCCCTTTCTCCCTCCGTCCCTCCCTCCCACTTGCTTCAACCAACAAGCCTCGTTTCTCCAGGCTCGGTCTCAGGGTTCTCGGTTCTCACTCCCTCTCCTATCCCCACCCCAGTCCTCTCACTCACAATGTCCCGCCCACAACGCTCACGCAAACAAGTCAACTACGCTGAAGTAGCTTCCCTCGACGCTCCACTCTACCAACAAGACCTCTCATCATCCTCCAAGCGAGGAGGAGCAAAGACCGCCACAAAAGGCAAGGGAAGGAAGAACGCCGACGATGCGGAACACGTGCAGTTGGCGGAGAAGGCGGGGGATGATGCCGTTGATGTGGTGCGAGATGGTGGAAAGGAGGAGACGGGGAAGAAGCGGAAATCTGACGCGGCTCAGGATGGTAACGGTAGTGGTGATGCAGACCCGCAAACGGAATCCCCTGCTCGACCAAACAAGCGATTGAGCGTGCAGGTACGTGTGTACCATTTTACGAATGATAAAGTGTTGGGAATGGAAATCTCAAGATTCGCCCTTTTACTAGGAGCGAAGGGAACAAGCGGATCTCCGTCTAGCTATGGAAAGATCCATGCATGGAGGAGGTGCCGACGAGCTTACGATGGACGTTGCACAATCAGAGAACGCTGTGGGCGAGACGGGAGTGGCTGGGTTGGAGAATGGTACGGCGGCCTTAGGATGCATTGTTCACAGGGATTCTCTGGTGACCAACTTCTCACGCCAACGAATTCTACATAGACAAGGCGGATGCACCGAAACCAAAGCCAAAACCCGCCACAACCGCCGCCACCAAACCAAGCACCACCAAAAAGCAAGTCACAAAACGCAAAACCACCCGAAACTCCGAGGACGAGGACGACGAGCCATCTGAATCTGACGCGGAGGTCGATGACGAAGATGGCGACGACGACGACGACGACGTGAAGCCCGCCCCAAAGAAGAAAACCACAAAACCAACCCCTAAACCTGCTCGAGGGGCAGCAGCAGCACATCTTCAACCGAGCACAGCAGCTAACGTCTCATCGGCACTACGGACCAGCACACGACGTCTGGTATCCGCACCCGCTCCTGCAGCTTCTACGACACCCCCAACCTCCGCATCATCCGCAACACGCCCCACATCAGCATCAACTTCAACATCCCACACATCCACAGCGTCACCAGGCGCCGCAGCCTACGTCAACGCGCTGCCGTTGCGGTTGGGGCAGTCTAAGCGCGCAAAGTTGAAGCCTTTGTTGAAGTGTGTGCCGAGGCGGTGATTGGGGTGGCGTAGAGGGGAAGAGGAAGGGGAATGCTTGGGGATGGCGGATGGGGCGGCGTAGGTTAGCGGTTCTGTGAGTCGAGATCAAGGTCGTAGGTAGCCAAGGCGTAGTTCACGAACTTTCCATACTATTGCACCATGACTTTATTCTTCTTGAAATCTGTGGATATTATGCCCAAAAAAGTTATCCCAGACCTTCGTGTGCGGCCTTCCTGCTTGATTATTGAGCTTGAAATGGATACCAAGACACGAAGTCGGGAAAGCTGGAAACCGCGTCCTTCGAGGATTGACGCTCGACTTCCCCGCTCCGACCCTCGACACTCCAACCCCCAATCTCACAGACCCATTTCCCAATACCCACCCACACCACCCACCCGGCAGCATGACGACGACAATCGAACCCGCCGCAATCGCTCCCGCCGTGGAGTCGCATGAATCGTGCATAGGCGTTTACGTAGATGCGTGGTCAGCGGTCAGGGCAGGGGAGGGCTTTGGCGTAGTGGGAAGTAGGGGGGGGACTGTTTCGATTAGGTTGGAATCAGCTGTTTGGTAGCGCCTTAGGCGGCATCCCGCTGGGGCAATCGTCTTGCAGGTGTATCTATATGCGGCATACTTATACTGTAGTAGTGGTTTGGGTCCGAAAGTCTCTTGAAAGGTCTCAACGGGTCTCGGAAAGAGGATCGATGCCACTTTACAGCTCACAAGTGTTTCTGCAATGGGACGGCGTTCTACCAGCCAGAATCCTGCCGAATACTACGTACTGTGCGAAAAGGACGATTGTTTGAGCCACACGGCCCCCAGTTCCTACGCGTTGGCTCTCACCAAGTGCCAACAAACTGAAAAGCAAAAAGCAAAAAACGATCCTACCAGGAGTCGAACCTGGAATCTCCTGTTCCGTAGACAGGCGCCTTGACCATTGGGCCATAGGACCGGTTTGATTCCGAATCTCCCTTTTCTAATAAATTGCCGTTGTACCACCATAAGACCGTTTATGATTCGTATGCGATATATCCCGCGCCTGAAGGCTATTGGCAAGAAAATCAGCCCGCGGGACGCGTCTATGACTAGGCAATCAGTCCGAGGCGTAGCCGAGGATCTTATTCCAGTCAAGACAGGCCCAAGGGCAATTTTTGGCCAATAGCCCGAAATGGCAAGGGGTATATCGCACTAATAGCACACTCACTGCGTTCTACACATGTTTCTGCATATACAATGAGCTCACAGAGAGTTTTGGTGAAGGCTTGTGTTGGAATTGCAAGTTCAATGTCTGGAATCAGATTGCAGATTGCGGGGCGATTTCACAGAAATAGCACTGGTGTGCTATTCCACGGAAATCATCCCGGTGGCGCAGCGCGTTTACTATGCAGCAGGGTGATTCCAGGTTGGAATAGCACTGGTCTGGAATCACACCCGTGTGCTATTACGTATCTCACTCCCTTTCCTCGTCCGATAAATGGCGCTCTTACCCATTGGGCCGACCACCTTTTTGCTTCCAGAACACGTCATCTTCTGCCTGGCGTACAATTGGAGTGGTAACTTTGAAGTTGGACACTTTAAGGGAGTCTCCTGCCCCGTAGGCGGCCTTTGGTGACAGACAATGGAAAGATGGAACCGCAACACATGGATTCAATTCAACCACTACATACGATACATCCTTTATACAGTATCAAACCTATGTAAACTACAAAATCACAAACAAGTACGTAGCAGGGAAGCTCCTTCTCCTATACGACGGAAAAGGCTATAAAGATACCGCAACGGACAAGGCTATCTCGATGGCCGGAAACGAGACCCACACGGATACCTTGGTACGCGGTTTCCGCAGCCTCACGGTCGAGCTCCTCTGCAGGATGAGAACCGTGCAAGGCTATCCTTTAACGTTGTACAGCCACCGAGCGACTTTCAGCCCCGGAATGCAGCAGAGATTGATTAGGGTAGACGGGAACCCTGTCCCCATCCTCGAGACATTGATCAGTGGTCCGAAGATGATGTCCAACGGTCTCCGCGTCGGTCTCGGTTCAAAAGACCAAAGGCGTCCCATGGCGTTTCACCCGTACCGTCACCGTCGAGCACAGGCGACACTGCCCTCAGCACCAACAATTCTGTAACCACCACCACCACGTCTAACTTCATTGCCCCTTATATTACCGTACTCCCGTTTATGCCGCGCAATCGCTCATTATGCGACGTCATGTCGAGCGCCGCATGAGTTTAGTCTTCAACCTGTCCCGATTGCGGGGCGCTCATTTCCAAGACAGTGGGCTCTGACCAGATGTGGTGCACAACCTGCCACACAGCAATCTCTTGGAGAACGGGTCAGAAGGTATCCCTGCACCACCACCCCGACGCCCTCCGTCAACTCCCAGCGGGATCCCACCCACTGCAGGGTTCTTTCGACCTCATAGGACATGCAGGCTCCTACCTTGTTGCGGAAGGGACCCTCGCCGGCGTTGGTATATACCCCACATGAGGCATCATGCGCGTTTACAAGCATACGGACTAGTTCATGGTCGTTCAATCAGATAAAGTAGCAATATCGTTAGGATACCTTGGTAAAATAAGTACGTACTCTCGAGACGCCTGTCCCTCTGGTCATGGATCATACGTACAGTACAAGTCAAACCAACTTGTTGGGTGTTGGTGCTGCACCAATCGACATGTGGCTGGAGAGAATTCTGCGTTGCTAATGCAAATGCTTCAGCTCTATAGGGATATATATCTACATAACTACACATATACTGTACATAAGGAAGACTACGTGACCGAGAGCGAAGCGTAACAATGCGAGCATTTATATAGAGACTCTAAGCACTCTGATCAGCAGTATAGGGGCATCGAGTCTAGCGATTATATTGTCGATCGCTTGGTCTAGGGTAGTTCGAAAGGACACGGTGTCGGCCGTCCATTCAGGCGCGGCAATTGGACCCCCTCGACGCAGTACACAAGCCGTAGGTGTTTGCGGCCATGGTCCCGAGGCTGTTCGTGATGGCCGTCATGGAGCTGGTGGAGAAGCCTTCTACCTCGAGTCGAAGCCTCTCGTCAGTGAGCGTGCGAGTAAGGGTGTTCAAGCCGCGGTAAACAATGAAGATGAGGACCACGGACGCGACCGCAACGACGACGCTAGAAAGTGCCATAATGTAGAGGGGCCATACGGGGGCCCGACGGCCAGCTTGGCTAGTTTTCAGGGATTCTGACATGTCTACTGCTATAAAGTCATGAAGGATAAGACAGGAGGCCGGCGGGAGGAAGGAAAGCGCATAAAACATCTATCTGCTTTCTGCCTCTATTGTGTACGTACCTTTCCACTGCAAAGAAAAGCGATTTGGGCGGAAGATGATCTGGAGGTAAACTTTTAAGGCCGTTTTGGAGTCGAGCGAGCCGGAGGGAAACGAGGTGTGAAAGGCCCGGTGGCGCAGCATGGAATTGATTTAGCAAATTAAGGTTAATTTGCGGTCACTCAAATTTACTGTACTGTACTGTACAGTATTGAGTTTTATTACACACTTTGACTCCACATATTTTGTGTCTATGTTAATCTAGACTAGCTCCCAACTCCACGAAGCCCGTCTCTCTCCCAAAAGCCTCCCAAGCCCGTCCGTCAACCCACTCAAGCCCCACTTGCCAACCAACCGCTTGCGTAAATGCACATCGACGAGCTGAGCATGGAAGTCCTCAAACTGCGGTAGCGGGTCAACTTCACCCTCGGCACCGTCATCCTCCGGTAAGATCTTCCACAACCGACTGGCGAGGGCGCATGTGCGCGGGTATAGTTTAGCGAACACGGTGTCGGGAGGCGCACGCTCGCTCCAGAGGCAGGCTTCGCCGCCGCGGATGTGTTTTCGCGCTTCTGCTTTGTCGGCGTTGTATATATATGATAAGTGGGGCCTGATCTCCTCCGGATACGCCTCAAACGACCACACCCGTCTGATATCCGTCACATCCTCGCCGTAATCGAAGTAACAGTGGGTGGTCGGGGACACGATCGCGCTCAACGCGTGGGGTCGGTTACCGTGGGCATCGGGTTGCACGGCAACCAAGGCGGGGTGGAAGCCGTTCCAGGACTGAATGGTGGCTTGGGGAGGCAATGGGTGGGTTCGCGTGGTGTGCGTGAGGACCTCGTCCCATCCGATGGGAAGGCGGGAGTGCGTGTCGGTGAGGTGGGTCAGGAGTTGGGAGATGAACCAGGCCTGTATGAGAGACGGTGGGTGTTGGTTTAACGTAGAAGGGAAAGAAGTGATACTTGTTCTGGTCAAACCACCTGCAATCCATCCCACCCGTCCAATCCCTGCTTGTCCACCCTCGCCCTACACTCTTCACACTGCTCCCATCGGGTCGTCGGCACTTCATCCCCACCGATATGCACGAACGGTGACGGAAACATGGGCAGCGCGTCGTCAAAGACCTGTTTGAGGAACTCGATGGAGGCGTCTTTGCCGGCGCAGTAAACGTCTTCGAAGATGCCCCAGTCGGTTGGGACGGGAAGGGGCTGGCCCACGCAGCTGAGGTGCGGGTAGGCGGAGAGGGAGGCTGAGCAGTGGCCTGGGAGCTGGTGGGAGAACCATGTAGTATAAGATGAGCTTGTGCCTCTCCTTATCTTATGGCATCATCTTGCCAAACCATGCGAGGAAACTAATGTACACGTAAAACACACCTCGATCTCAGGAACAACAGTGATAAACCGTTCTGCAGCGTACTCCACGATCCGTCTCACGTCCTCGGCGGTGTAGAAACCGCCATACCGCTCGCCATTCTGGTCCCGCCACGCGCCAACAGCAGTCAGCTCGGGAAATTGCGGCAGTTCTAGTCGCCAGCCTTGGTCGTCGACCTAACATAGACACATGCGGAAGCCCCCACATGAGCCACTTTCATGTATGACGCGCAGAAAGAATGTCCACAGTCCTACGTTGGGCCCAGCAAACCCGAGCTGCGAATACAAGACGGCCGGCCACACTCACCAAATGCCAATGGAAGACATTCATCTTATGATACGCCAACAAATCCAAAAACTTGATAATCACATCAACAGGCATGAAATGCCTAGCAGAGTCCAACAACACGCCCCGCCACGCAAACCTGGCTCTATCAAGTATCTCCACCGCCGGCAATCTGCTTCCACCCTCTGCATCTCCGTTCGAAGAATCAACAAGCTGCTGCACCGTAGTGAGCCCATACGCGATCCCCACGGGCGAGGACGCGGTAATCACCACCCGGTCCTCCGCGATGGAGACACAATGACGCGAGGATCTGACGTCCGTGACGCTCAGACGTGCGTAGGCAAGCTGGTGTTGCGTTAGGAGGTTCGAGGTGTATGTTTGCTCTGCCTCTGTTACGGTCACATCATCGGCGGTAGCACCATCCAAGATGATCACCGCGTTCTTGAGTCCCGTTATGGTGTCAAGGACAGTCTCCTCTGCGCGAAGGATGCGGACAGTGGGTGGGGAAGCGACGTTCCATTTAGCGGCTGCTTGAGCTGCGAGACGTTCGAGGACAGGGCTAGTTGCGTGAGGTGACGACGGGAAGGTAATGACGATGATCTGGGTGGTTTGGGAGAGGGTGAAGGTTGTGCTACTTGAGGAGGCGGAAGTAGAGTAGGTTAGACGAGTTGGAGGAGGGACGATGAAGGGAGTGGGGGCTGGAGTGCTGGTCATTATGGTGATGTGTCTGCGGTACTGTGCTTGTTGGGTGTGAATTCAAATCGAGAACGGTGAAAGCTGGTGAATGAGGTAGACATGTAAGAGCTGACGCGCACCAAAGGACTGCAGACAAGACAAGCAATACATCGACAGCCAATATCATATGTTCGTGTGCACTTACACGGATATACGACGGAGCGCCTTCATTGCGTTGCTCTTGTTTACATGTAGGAAAGTTTGCGGTCCCTCGCGAGGTATAGAATATACAAAAAACCCCGTGGGGGCAAGGGGGGTAGCCAATCCGAAACCTATACGCCGTACAGTCCTTAATCTACTGTCAGTCCTGCCGGTCTGCCAACCTTTCACTCGTCGAATGAAGTTCAAATCTCCAGCGGGCTTGCTTGGGGATGGCTAATGCAGGCTTCGCAGGGGCATAGTATATCGGACGGTGACTTGATAGAAACGGAGGGTGCTTTGAGTTGTGTTGTTGGCGTTGCCGGCAGGTTATGGTGGTATAGCCGTGTGTTCAAAACTCGATGGAACCACAGACGGCGGGTTGTATCGGTGGCTATCGACAGATGCAATGGCAGAAATGGCGGTTCAGGTGGACTTCGGAAAGGCTGACCTACTGAAACTCGAAACATATGCACCGATTGAGGGCGTGTCAGGCCCTTCACTTTGACGGTCCAAGCTTCATCCGCCGAGTTGAGCCGTTTTCCCTATGTCTTGTATTCCCCGATAGCTTGCTTTAGACTCTCGACCTGCGCCGCAAGCTCCAGTCTGACCCCCTCTGCCTCCTTTGCCTCTTCTTCCTTCGCCCACCTTTCTGCAGCAGCTTCTTCCTTCCCAGCATCGCGCTCCGAGCAGCTATTAATCACCATGTGGTGTTTGACGTTCTCCTCCTCAATCTTGCGCGGAGTATCTTTGTTTGTCTCTTCGTAGCATCGAGGTCAGATCGGAAGGTACTGATCTCGAACTGGTGTTTGGTGCTCGTCCGTCACCTTTGCGGCGTATATCTCTGCGAGCGAAGGATGTCGATCTTAGACTGCAACTCCTCCATTTCTTCCTTATCCTTTGCATCCTTCACCGCTGGGGCATTCTTCTCATCATGGAGATCGGAGTGAAGGCTATTGATCTCAGACTGGTATTGATCTCAGCTGGTATTGACTGTTCCCCTCCTTCGTCCTTGCAATGCGTATCTCGGGTTCTTTCTTCGCAGCATGGAGCTGCAAGCGGAGGGTATCGATCTCAGAATGGCACTCCTCGATGTCCTGTTTACTGTTGCATCCGTCAGCTATTCGGCATTTTTTGCAGCAGCGAGGGTCGAGCGAGGGTGTTGTTCTCCTCCTTCGATGTTGCTGTGTGTATCTCGGCTTCGTTCTCCGCCGCATCGAGCTGCGAGCGAAGGATCTCGCCTTTTTCCCTGCATTGCCTAAGCTCCTCCGCTGCTCCCTTCCTTTGAACGTCGTGCTCGGAATGGAGGCTATCGATCTTACGCTTGTAGTTGCCGTTCTCCTTTCGTGTCCTTTCCAAGGAATGTCGGCAAGAATAAGTATCGCGTCTGCGTCGTCTTTGGCAGCATTGAGCTCCGAGCGCAGGCTTGCGTTCTCTCGCGTAGCTCTTGTAATTCGGCTTTGAGCGTTTCGTTCTCCGTCGTGAGTCTGTTATGAGGATGCAATCCACGCGTCCCAATCATCCTGCGTGAAGACGTCGGGTGGGATACCTGACGCAACCGGTTTATGTCCATACGAGAGGCGGAGGGGATCCACAGTCGGCGTGGGTGCTCGCCTGTCAATACTCTGTTGAGTTCGCAGGGTGCGAGGCTGCGTGCGAGAGGTGCGAGGTGTGACAGACAACCTGACGCGGCTTTCGGACGTTTGCTTCGCACCATGTACATACATCGTGGATTGATGGCAGTTCCGGCGTTTTCCACGACGGGATCGGACGGAATTGAATTGGGGTGACGCTTGGATTCTGCGCGCCCGTTCCCGAACACCTTCCTTCGCAAACCGGCAAACTTCCAGAACGCACTAAAGAGACCACAGGACCCAGCATGTCGCCCTCTATTCATCACTCACTCCATCCCACGCTTAAAGCACAACCACCATGACTGGAGAACTTAAAGCCTCCAAGGCCGATATTCGCCCAGCAACGCTCGACGACGTCGACGCCATCGTCGCAACCCTCAATGAAGCCTACAGAGGCGACGGGGGATGGACCACCGAGGCGCATCTCGTCCAAGTACGCAACGTTGTGCCCATCCCCACCCCCACCACCCTAACAAACTCTTCCTCCCCTCTCCCAGGGCGACCGCGCCGAGCCCTCAGAAATCATCCCCCTCATAACCTCCCGCCCACCCACCGCCGGCACTCTCCTCGTCTACCATCCCTCCTCATCCCCCCAACCCCTCGCCTGCGTCGACGTCGAGATCCGCCCCAACAGCCGCGGCTATTTCGGCCTGTTTGCGGTCCGCCACGCGTTGCAGGGTAAAGGGGTGGGGAATCTGTTGATGGAGGCGGCCTTTGATAAGATGAGGGAGCAGGGGTGTACCGTGGCGGAGATTACGGTTATCCATGTGCGGAAGGAGTAAGTGGCAGATGTGTGGTCGCGGGGTGTAATTCCGGGGGGGCAATAGTTTATAGGTTCGTTTTTCTGTTTCTAGTATCATTGCGTGGTATCAACGCAAGGGTTTCGTCTTGACGGACAGGATGGAGAACTTCCCTGCAAACGCGGGACGATCAAAGTTGCTGCCTGGCGTAGATGGGCGGTTTGTCTACCTAGAGAGACAGCTTTGATTCGTCGAGCGGCCATTTGGATTCGCCTCATGTTATCGCGCTCGAGCGTTCCCAAGCTCCGCAGATATTGCCGCCAGGGGTGGTCGTCGACACCGCTGCTGAGCGAGAAGAACTAAAAAATAGTCCGCAGAACCCCTCACATCGTGAAGATCCTCTCGGCTGCGGTATAGGCCTTCTGTGGCTTGTTAGAAGCACACACTACCCCGCTGCACTCTCAAAGCGTATTATGCTGGCATCAAGAGATGTATTCTTGCGTAGAGAGCTTTGCTCGAATAAAGAACTTTTGATTGCAGTTTGTCAACATTTGCCTTTCCGTCCAGTGGGCTCGAATCTTATGTGGTTGGGAGTCTCGAATCTCTGGCAGTTTCCCGCCGTGGATGCAGTTCTCGGCGCCGAGATGGTGACCGACGCAATTCAATCACATGTTTCTTGCGCCGAGTCGTATGTATGCAAAATGATCAACCCCAGAGCAGGGGCGGCTAGCCTACAGAACTCCTTGTTACAGATTCTGCCCCATTCTTGCTCCAGATGTTGTGATCATCCATTGTTCTGGCAGAGGACCTGAACTGCAGAATCGTTCGGCGATGCCCCACATCCGTACGTTCCGTCGCCAATGCCAAACAACCCTCCTCGTTAGACCGGCCAAGAACGCCGGCCAAGAGCGGGTCGTTCATCCGCTGGTGCAAATCGATCACATAACGCTGGTGTAACATCTGAACAGATCGGAAAGTTAAGGTTGAGGCGGTCGGTGGCCCCTCCCTATGCAGCAAGCCATCCGTAAACGTCGTAGCTACACCTGCACGATGTTCAGCGATCCTAGTTGCTTCACGAAAATTGAGAACCGCATCGTCACTCCAACACTGCGGCAGAACTACGCTCCGGACATCTACTGCGAAGCACCGGCTTTTTGCCTGCGGGTACTATGGCATAGGACTAGTTTCTTTCCTAGGGTCAGACAACCTCCTCGCAGTCGCCTCGATCCAGTTGCTTGGGCGACGAAAACCTGATTGGCACGAAAGACGACACAGGGGGATGTCTGACGGGGCGGTGCGGTGGACGGCCGGGTCGGTTGCGTTCAAGGCTGACTCGTCAAAGTGAGAAACGAGATGGTCGTCCGAGACTTTGAGACTTTCATCAGCCAGCCCCTGCGGCATGCCAAAATCAGTTACAGGTCGTGGGTAATTCGTCGTGCTTCAGCGCGACAACTAGACTGGAACTTCTCCAGGAAGATCCATAACACAGGAGTACTGCTCATTCCTGGAGGACCCTGAAAACGTTGGTGTCATGATGAAAACGTTGGTGTCGTTGGTGTCATGATCGCTAGGAGTGTTAACGCGCAAATCACGCTCCTCAACCCCCTTGCGAGTCTCCGGCCCACGTCTCCCTTACACCTCCACCCTTTCCACAACGATTTCCCACCTGGACGTCGGCCATATCAGTTCTATTGTCCCACAACTCTCTGTGCGCTCTGATAAGCCCCGAATGCCGCCCTTCAAGAACTTTTTGCGTATATTCCTGTAGTTGTTGCGCCACATATGCTTCAATGTTGATGACCTGCACGTTGCTGACCTCCAAGGCGGCCACCTATGCGACGAGTTCCTCCCTTCTCTCTTGACGGCGTCGAGCTCAGGCTCCTTATCCTGGAAGAGCGAGAGGAGGGTCGGATGTGCGTGGACGGTTCAGCGATGCGCCCTGAGTACATACAAGCAAGGGGAAGGAGCTCTTATTAGGTGAAATCGACGACGAGCACCGCCCCTGGCTGCGTCTTCCGGACTCGTTGGAAGGCATATGGCGTCCTGATGCGAGGTGTGGCTTGTGGCCATTGATTGATCTCCCCAGGGCTGGCCAAGCACGCGTCGCAAGCGCGAGTGTTACAGAAGCAAAAAGAAAGTGCATTCAGGTAACATACCATTGACGCGGTCATACTCTGAGCTGAAGGGCGTGGGAATCGAACCGGTTACCTGCACGTCTGCAGACAAGGAAGATTCGCCACTACGCCAAACAGTATATGCTGGCCACAAATCTGGTTACGACGCCCCAGACATCATTCCGAGCATATAGCCACCACGGGTGTGAGCAAGCCCTCTCACTATCATGGTTACGACGCCCCAGATATTTACAGTGTGCCTCGTGCAGTACTCCACCCCAAACTCATCAACCCGCCGAACCCACAAACGCCAACGACCTTCTGCCGCCCGTCACCTCCCTCAAGGGCGACCCGTGGCTCGAGTCGGAGAAGAGTGGAAAGAACCGTCTAGATTCCGTTAAAATGCAAAGAGAAGCCGAAAATCGCGGCGCGCCCGTCACCTCACCGCTAAGCTGAAAGAGGTGGAAGACGAACTCGATCCTACTCTCGACGTGTGCTACTAGCCAGACATATTTTGCACACAGCATTCAGTCCACTGCATTCAGCCATTCATGTGAGCATTCAGTCCACTCCAAGGCACTCACCCCCATGTCTCAGCGCAAGGCTACCCCCGAGTTGCTACGCAAGCTCAACGACTTGGCGGCGGCAAGCAGGGTGCTTTTACGCACTCTGGAAGAGAGCGAAGACATCTACGTTCTTGAGCTAGCGCTGAACGGCGATCCGCTTCCCGATGCGATGCTGCAGCTGACCCAGCAGTGGGACGCGTTGGTCGGCGACATAGATCTGTCTATGTTCACGCGCTGCCGGCTGCATGTCGACTTGCGCGCAGCAGGCTGCTCACACAACGATCATTGCCTTGTTGACGTGATGGCGCAGCTTTTCCTTCATCACAACAGGCCGTTAGAGTTGCCTGTCTTAGATGCGTCTTCGTGGAGAGGTGGCGAGGTGTACCTTGACTACGGCCACCCGCTGGCGTGCTTCGCCGCCGAAGCCGACGTTCTTGTAAGCAGAGATCCTGTGCGGTCTACGTTCACACGCCGGTTCGACGATGCCAGCCGTGATTGGTCGGGCGTAGACTACGTGCTTGTTGTCTGCAGCTCGCTCGCGTCCGAGAGTGTATTCCACGAGAGCAACTGTGTCTCCGTCATATGGTGGAACATCTTGGATACAGACTCGCCACACTGCTCTAACGAGCATGGGGGCATGTATGCAGAGGGCACGCACGACACTGTAATGGCGGCGGTGCTCGATGCTATGTACAATCGTGGCGTGCCCCCCAGCGCCTGATACACCACGACACGTATCAACCGCCCCGATGTGCGTTTTAAAATCCAATCGGATGAAGGCGAACCACCGCCGGTGGGGCAGCAAAAACTCCTTACGAAAATGTTGCTAGAAACGCTCGCAGTCGCGCAACTCAAGCAGGATCTGAAGGAGACACGAGAATCTGCACGAGAACGAAGGCTTCACCGCCGCCGATGACGAAACCGACAAATCGCGACCCCGACCCCCCATCCCGCCCACCGCTCCTTCTTAACCTCCGAGAACCCAAATTCGTCTCCGCCCTCGTAATCGTCAGCAGCATCAACCCTTGGATTCCCGTCGCAAAAGCATCAGCAAGCCAGTCCCCACAATTTGTGTCCAAGATTTCGAGGTTCGGATTGCATCAGTGTTGCTGATCGTCTACGGCAGCCAGTGGTGGCTCTACGCTTCAAGGGCCTTGTTCATGGGCTCCTAATGGAATTGCTCTGATGTCCACACGCTCACAACGCTGGTCACAACGGCATTACGCAGGATTGTGGGACCGACGCGAGGCTACCACATCGTACGGCTCTTTGGACGCTTCCTCCTTTACTTCCTCTCGTGGCAATTCCTCTTCACCGAGACCGGCAGGACAGTTGGAATTGTGCCTCCCAAGCACCAGCAGCTCGATGACTACCATCACTTCGGCAGTATCAATCGTCGAACTAGATCCATGGGGCCCAGTTATCCGGTATCGAACTTCGGACTGGACTTCACCCGAGGCACTGGACTTCACCCGCGACTCGGCTGAAGTCCAGTCCGAAGGACGAGCCCCAAACCCACCCGCGATGTATTATGTGGTGTGGTATGATGACGGTGAGCCCGGAAAGTGGAGGAAGTTGGTTCAGGACTCTACGTCGATGAACGTCGGAGATTGGTGGCACGTTGAACGGATAGGGGATACCACCCATGTCTATTCTTACGTCCTCCAGTGGGACCTGGATAGCCCATATGAACGGGGATTTTTGCGGGCGGGATGACAATAGAAGGGAGCGAAGGGACCGCGGAGCTAGGATAATCGGACGTGGGCGCTCTTCTCTAAGGGGACTTTCGTGGCGGGGGGGATATGCGCCGAAAACATGTATGAGAAGGAATATATGGCGGGCCTGGCCGAGTCGCGTTCGTAATGACAATAATATTTTGAAAACAAACCATTTGGCCTCAGCACACCTCAATGCACAATGCCACCACCACACCAGACAGCCGACGTAACCTTTTGGTTAAACGAACTGCGGGGCCTTCTCGCATCGGGGGAATGGAAGAACCTAGAACGTCCCGTCGAGATTCTCAGACATGTAGACGGAGGGCATCCCGACCACGCCCGCGCCAGTAAGTGTCGTGCTCCCACCCGTTCTCCGATCCTGAGCTAAAGGCTGAATATGGGATATAGTAGCAGCGGGCGAAACCCCGAACATATCATACGTCGCCGACCCGTTTCAGAGCCCGGACTTTCACGCATTCTTCTCGGCGGTGGACCCGGCGCGATTGTCGTGGGATTCCATTCACCGGTATTTGGAGGGAGATCACGGGGCTTTTCGTGCGAGGTATCTTTCATAGTGCATCTCTTGCGACTGTCGGAGAAAAGGTGTCGAGATAGCTTACGCGCAGGACTAGCAGCGATGACAAAAGTGTGCAGGTCCCGGAGCATGTACTGCTTGTGCTCGTCTATCTGGCCGTGTACGGAACGCAAACGAGGGATGCGACACGGGAGGAGCCTGAAGGGCTGAGAAGACTTAGGACGTTCGTGCAGAGCAAGGTGTGTGGGCAGGGTGGAATCTTCAGACGAGCGGCCAAATAAGGGGTGCTGAAAGGATGCCATTTTTGAAGACGTTGAAACTCGTCTCGGCGTCTCCACAATTCTGGTCGAGTGCGTTCAGCGAGCGGAATTTGAGGCTGTATTCTATCGTCGAGGGAGGCGGCAGCGCAAGGTGAGGGCGGCATCTGCGTCGAGGGCATCGAAACAGTCCGCGATTTTCCTCGTTCCTAAAGTGCTGTACCATCGATTCAGCAACGTACAGCTCAACGAGGTGCTCGAGGCCATACGACTACGACATGTCTTTACCCTACCAGTATTGGGCGCGGCGGAGGCGGTTCCGCAACCTGCTGATCTGGACATCGCAAGACTGGGTGCGATCCTATCCTGCAGTTTATTCTCGGTGGTCGAGTTTGCTGGCCGTAGTGAATTCGTTGTAAGTTTGCTGGGAGGACCGCTACTTGCACAAATGGTGACGAGCGCGCACTTGCTGAACGTCAGCTACTCTAGACGATGGAGAACATCAACCTGCTGGCGCGGTTCCAGCATTACCTGCCAAAGTCCTGGTTCGTTGCAGACTTCCTGGACGCCCTTCTGAAAGAAGCTCTTCGATTGGAAGTTTCTGTGGATCCAGAGGCTATTACACGTCTGACGGCCATCATGAGCCTTCTGGCTGTATGGATGCGCAAATCAGGTACGCTGACTCCTGCATCTGCCATGCCTTACACCACGTGCTCAAGCATGTCCACGCAAACAGACGTCGCGGAAAACACAACGCTGCAGTTCACGACCACCGAGCTAGCAGCAAGACTCGGATTGCGGTCCCTCAGCGTATCCCAGAAGCGCGACCTCCTCCTCCAGAGCTTACACACCCTCTGCCACGCATTCGGCAAAGTCGACCTGGATCGAGACGTTGTCGCCATGGAGGCGATATGCCAGGGCCTTTCCGCTTTCTGGCAGTTCAGTGCATCCCAGCAGGATGGGCTTTATATCGCGCTCGTACAGCTACTCAAGGCGTCGCCACCCACGTCGCTCGGGGCTGTAGTTCGGGCTCTTTTGTCGGCTGCTGCGCCGGCGCCTGATTCTGGCACATTTTTCAATGTCATCAAGGCGATGCAGTTCTTTCAGCATGTGACGGGATCGTTTTGTGAGGATGTGAGCAGTGCTAAACCCGCGACGAGGACATGGAGATCGTTTCTTTTGCGCACGCCGGCTGAGCCCAGCGAGCCTGCTTTATGCCTCTTTCAGCTGTTTGAGTGCGTAAAGCAAGCGCATGCGGATGCAACGGATATATGGGGAAAGACGGTCGCGCTGGCTGCCCTCGCTGGCCTGACTCGGGGTCTCGAAGACTCGTTAGGCAACGGTGAAAACGTTGCGAAGGATGTGCTCGAACTGAGCGCACGGGCCCGCTCGGCTCTGCTATCAGCAGTGTTGGACACTCCGGGCTCCTTAAACAATCTGGAAGAACCCCGCTTACTCGAATGCTGCCAGCAGGTCATAACATACACAAGCGCCGATACCCTCGACATCTGGCAACCCAACCTCACAGCCCACCTACTTAACACAAGCGGGAGCCCCTTACTCACCACCCTCCTAGACACAGTCTTCATCCACCCCCAGGGCCTCTCCATCGACCACTCCCTCGTCGCCGAAGCCTACTCCACACCACACCATGAAACCCCCCCACCCATCATCGCGCAGCTCACGACCAAAACCACAAAAGAGACGCAGCACCCCATCACCGCCTCCCTCGGCCGGATCTCCCGCGTCATCGGCACCCTGTGCGGCGCCATGTGGGTAAGCGGGCAACTTGAGGGTGTGTATGACGCAGTGCGTAGGATGGAGGGGTTTGCGGGCGAGATGTACGCGGAGTGGGAGGCGGTTGGGGTGAAGGAGATGCCGGAGGACCGGGAGCTGTGGGTATATTTGAAAAGCGTGCTGTTTGTGGTTAGTGTTGTGGGGTGGCGGGTGACGGAGAGGATGTTTGATGCGCCATCGCTGCGTGTCGCGGCCAGCGAGGATGAGGGTGTTGATTACCAGTTGGAGATTGTCAAGCAGCTTCTACGCACGTTTGCGCATTTGCATTTTGTCACGGCGAGGTTCGGATTGGGGGGTTTTGCGACGTGGGAGGAGACGGTGGATGGGCTTTTGCAGTGGGTTGAGGACCGCGAGGGTGGGGATGCGCGGCGTGGGCGCAGTATGCGTGATAAGAGTGTGTTTGAAGAGATTTTGGAGGAGCTGCAGCCAACTTATCGGGGGATATATGGTACGTTCGAGCCTCGACCCTATTCATTGCAGTGGAAAGTTCCCTCCTCCTGGGGTATCCTAACCATCTTTTCTTTCCGATTCTCCCAGTGCATCCGAACACAATCCTCAAAACCCGCCTCCTCTTCACCCTCACCCTCGCCCTGCGCCACTTCCACGCCCTCTCCGCGCCGTACATCTCCACCCACCTCCTCCCGCGTCTGTACCCCTACCTCTTCTACAATTACCCCACCACAACCGCCAAACCCACGCTAGAAGACCAAGACCTCTTCGAGACCTCCCACGCGTTGTGCGCGCAGCTGTTTGCGAACGCCGGGAGACGAGGGATGAGGGGTTTGGTGTGTGCGTTTGCGGAGTGGTATGTTAAGGGCATGGTCAGCTCGTTTCCGGAGACGGTGGATTGGGATTTGTGTAGGAGGGGTGTGGCGGGGGTTTTGAGAGGGTTGGCGGGGGTCGGTACGGGGCCCGCTGGGAGTGGGGATAGGCGTGGGGGGGAAGAGGAGGAGGATGGTGAGGGGAGACCGAGGAGGGTTGTGCCGGGTCGCGGTGGGATGGACGCCGGGAGTGGATTGGAAGTGGATGAGGAGGCCTCGGCGCGGAGGAAGGATCGCGTGGCGAATGCTCTTCACGCACACGATGAAGAGCAGCAGTATGATGGTTATGAAGATGGTTATGATGGCAAGACGACTCTGGCGGTGCAGGAGGAAGCCGACCGGATTGCGTGGACGTGCATCGGGATATTATTGGAGAGGATATCCCGCCTATCCCACGAGTCCGAGGCCGACGTGAGCAAAAAGCAGCGATCGGCAACGACATCATTCACCGCCCCCCGCCTGCACGACATCCTCACCGCATCCCCACACACCGCGCGGATAATGCACCGCGACCAGCTGGCTATGGTATTGTTCGACCAGATCAACACGGTCGCGTTGACCGGGCTGGAGCCTTTGCTTGCTACCATCCGGTATCTCTTACTCGGCAGCGCCGGGTCACAAACCGATGTGGCGTGGCTGTGGCTTTCACCCCTCCTGCACCCCTCCGACCACGATCATGCAACACACGCCGACGACGACGACGGAATAGATCACAAACCGCCACCCCTCCTCGCCGCACCGACCCGCCACAACCCAGACACATCCCCGCTGTACAAACACCTCTTTGACGCCGTCGCGGCGCCGAACCGCGGGTTTGACTATGCGAGGCGGGAGAGGTGTGTGAGGTGGTATTTGGAGGTTTTGGAGGGGGCAAGGAGGGTTTGGAGGGAGGCGGGGCATGGTGGCGGTGCGGTGAAGAGCGAGGTGGAAAGCGAGAGCTTGCAACTTCGTGCAAAGTTGTAGGTTTTTCAGTGCGAATCAGGGACGCGAGGGTCAAGGTCATTTTTTGGAGAGTTTTCGTATAGTTCAGATGGTAGAACAATCGCTGCGAGTGGCGTAGGGTTTTTTTTTGTAATGAGAGCCATTATCGTCGTCACCATACCGGTGAAGGTCCCAATGGAAGTGTTTAATAAATTAAGACGAGAAAAAGGAAGATGCTATGATACAGTGGCAAACCGGTAATGCTAGTGTGTTTGCTAGAGTGGGCGTGTGCAGTGGATTGCTAGGGTGGGGGCGTGTGCGGTGGATGTTTGAATGCGATGGCGTGCGTTGAACGAGTGAGATGTGGGAGGAAAAAAAAGCGACACGCTACGCTATCTACGCAACAGGAAAATGCTCGCTAAACTCATACGCCTCATCCACCTCCATCGCATCCCCCTTCCCCTTCCCCTTCTTCTTCGATGCCGACGCTACCGATTTCGCCGCGGGCGACTTTTCTTGTTTCGGTGTCGCGGCTTTCTTGCTGGGTGTTGGTTGTGCAGACGCTGCAGGGGAGGATTTGGTGCGGGATCGGAGCTCGTAGCGGGATGGGGTGGTGGGTGGGGAGGGTGAGTCCTCGGTGGTGTCTTCGACGAGTTGGGGGGCTTCGTCGGAGTCTGAGCCTTCCTCATCTTCGTCTCCATCGTCTTCATCAACCTCCTCATCGTCGTCCTCCTCATCACCCTCTTCATCCTCCGAAACCTCATCCATCTCCATATCCACCGCCTTCGGCGGACTCGACGGCTTCAGCACCAAAAGCCTTGTCGCAATCTGGCTTTTGGATTTAAGATCAGCCTGTAACTGCGCGTCTTCGGTCTTGAGGAAGGCCGTGAGGCCGAATTCGCGGGTCCATTCCTTCAACGTCGCGGCGGTGGCGTTGCTGGAGGAAGGCGTTGTGGAGTCGTCGGATTTGGGTGGGGCGGCGTAGAATGGAATACGACCAGCGTTCCAGTCTTGCAGGACGGCGCGAGCAGAGTTGAGTAGGTCCGGTGCGCCTCCCTAAGTGACAGGGACCGAGATGGTTCGTTAGAGAAACTTTCGATTTTTTCACGATGATGTTCTTCCGATGTGCGATGGCTCAGAGACTTAAATAAGAGAAAATCACGCGCTGCGGAAAACCCCCGCAGATCACTCTGCATTTTCTCATCACGGCCGTAGGGGAAGGGGAAGGCGGGTCCATTTTATATGACACAGGCCACAGAGAACTTACCCGTCTCAGCTTCAATTTCTGGCGAGCGACTTGGACAAGGAAGTCTTGGGTATCTGCGAATATCGGCACGTTGTAGTGGCGTACCAGTTGCTCTGGTTTAGAGCGGCGTACGATCACATCGACTGCGGAATTAAGTGTGTCGATTAGGTTTTGTGGTTGAGAGATTTGAACAGTGAGAGAGGCCCGGGGGTCTTACCTAATGATATTGGGTCTTCCAACATCTCCACCGTCATGCAATTCCTGAGCAGTACTTCCGCCTCATCGTCCTCCTCAACGCTCTGGCTGTAAACGATGCCCGGGTATTCGAGCAGGTTGATGCCATCTGCTAATGGGACCGTGTCCGCACCCTTGGATGAAGAAACCTTGACACCCTCCGCCTTCGACCGCTTCAAAAGGTTGACGATGCTGGCCTTTCCGACGTTGGGAAATCCGACAATTCCCACAGTGACTCCCTTTTTGCTCTTTGAGTTCTTGCGGAAATTTTGCACGAGTGAGATCAGACTTTGCGCGAAGGTGGTTGCCCGGTCTGGGGATGCGTTCATGGATATTGACGCTCCCTCCTGAGCCGCTGTGGTGAATGCGATTGTTGGGAAGTCTTTCCGTAAGCGGACCAACCATTGCTCGACGATTTCTCTCGGTACCAGGTCTGTAGACGAAGAGTGGGAAGGAGGTGAGCACTTGGCAGAGATGCACATATGCGCCGGTCGCATCGAAAAGGCTTACCGATCTTGTTCAAGAGGAGGACGAGACGCTTTTTCGCCCCAGCCGCCAGCACCATCTCCTCAATCTGACGTATCCGGCATCCCATAGGGTCCCTAGCATCCAACACCTCAAAAATGATGTCCGCATCCGCTACAACGTTCTTAAAGTCGGTGTAGAACGCTTTGCTATCGGTCTTGCCAAGAACAGCGTCCAAAGTCGAGCCCAGCGAGAACCCCTCACTATGAATCGACCGGGTGAGGTCGAACAGCTCCGCAAGCTGGGCAGCATCCTTCGCGGACGTGGCAGACTCCTCCGTGAAATCTCCCAAGCCTCTGTTCTTTTCCTGCAGCTTGCGACGCTCAGCCCTCTGGCGTTCCCTCTCCTCCGCTACTCGCTTCTTCTTGGCCTCGGCCTCCTGCAGAAGGGTGTCCTTGCCGGGGAACAAGTTGGGGATTCCCGGGTCCTTCTTTGCCCTCTTTGTTTTTGGGTGCTTCTTGGCTTCCTTCCTCTGCTTGCGATGGTGCTCGGCGACCGCCTTCACGGTCTTGTACCGCCTGCTCGCAGAAATTCGCTTACTCCTTGCCTTCTTGGGAACCATAATTGCGGGCGCTCAGAAGAAACTGCGGGACAGGTACGATGCGACACTCCCCGATACAGTTCAAGCCAAAAAAAAAAAGAAGCTCGGATACAGCTTCCTTGGTGATTAACGCTGAACGTTGAGTGCGAAAAAAGTGCAAGACACTGCGAAAGCAAAAGGGGAGAAAGCAGAAAAGCCCAATTCGCGGGCTAGTCATGTGCTCCCACGTGATCTGTTGTTCGGACGCCCCGGCTATGGCTGCGAATCCTCACCGTTCTCGTCCAGGTTCTCGTCAACGACGAACTCGCCGCCGTCCAGCCCGAAAAGTGGACGGTTTTGGACACCCTTTTCTGGGATTACTGCCTGAACCTAATGAAGCTTGATATGTTAAAGCAGTCATGATTTGAGAATATGAAACTACGCGCACATAGGCAAGCTGCCCAAATTGAACAAGGTGGTACTCAACAATGACAGCGGCGAGTTTGACAGATTGAAGCCGGTGCTGACAGAGGTATCATCGATTCGCTTCCTATAGCGAACTTGGAACCTATGCGAGCAAGGTTTCCTTGCCTCAGAACTTGTAGCTGTAGGTATTATAAGCTACTTGAATTCTGTCACTTTTAAAACTGGAAGGTTTCGCGGACGTTCCAGTGGCGGCGGCACCAGCAGCGTCAACCGGAAGTATCACGACGACGGCATCGTTTGTTCCATGGGAAAAATGGCCAACTGGGATGTGACCTTATGCAAATATCCTAAGCCTCTGGAGCCCGGTCTAACTAGGTGGCCCGTTATGCCCGAGGGGTTCAACTTCGTAAACCAGAACCTGGTAGCTCATATACGTAGTCTGGGACGGTTTTGACGGCTTAGAAGCATAGATCTGTAGAGGGGCTCGAGGCCGCTCTTTGGTGGCAGAGTGGAGTGAGAGTCATTATTACGGGTCTGACACCTCTTGCCTACTGTCTCGCGAACTGTTGTCGCAGAAGAATGAGAGAAAGAGGAGAAGGACGTGCGGCCAACAGAAGACGAAAACGCGCGGGGACTCGTCGACTTGCCAAACAGCTGGTGAACCTGAAGACTGGCCGCATGTCCTTCAAGTTCACATCTTGTCGGCGTCTTCCTTCGTGCACATAACTTTGCCATACCCGTCAGCCCACAGAGAGCCTGCCTTCTCCTACCACACCGCTGCCTCCTACCTATCCGCTCCACTCCCCCAACCACCGATTTAAAAATGGCAAGTCTCGCCCCCTCCCCTACGCGTAGCCCTCCCCCCAAACCCGATGGCCCATCCGATCACACCCCTGACCCATTCCCCCTCCCCACTCACAGGCGGACCCAGTAGACTGCGCCCTGGACCTGATGCGGCGCCTCCCCCCGCAAAAAGTAGAAGAGAACCTTGCGAACCTGGTCGAGCTCGTCCCGCATCTGACCGAGGATCTGCTCTCCGCCGTCGACCAGCCGCTCAAGCCGAGGCGATGCAAGGCGACGGGGAAAGATTATTTGTTGTGTGATTATAATCGGGATGGGGATTCTTATAGGTAGGGTGGGGGGAGGGATGGTGGTCGTGGGAGAATGAGGGGAGGATTGAGTGAAAAGGATGGACAGGTGTCGAACTCGTTCGACATCTTGGACCAGCTCACTGAAGCATAGGCTAACTTCTCCGTTATACTCCCTCTCACTCCAGGTCACCGTGGTCGAATGCCTACGAGCCCCCACTCGCAGATGGGGCCCAGCCATCCGCCAAGCTGCGGAAGCTCGAAGTTGCGACCAACGACGCTTTCAACACTTACCGTGAACTGTGAGTTTGGGGGCTGTCGATTCAGTCCTTTCCCGATTCGTCATTGGATGGACATTGTTGGGGTGAAATGCGAGGGGTTCTTCTCATGCGTTTGATTGGATATATAGGTACTTTGATGGGGGAGTCTCTTCCGTCTACATGTGGGACCTTGACGAAGGGTTTGCGGCGGTTGTGTTGATAAAGAACGGTACGTTTGCATCAGCGGTTTGGCACTGGGACATCCTCCCTCACTGCGGAATCCCAATGCCTCAAGCTGATCTGCCTCCAATACCCCGTCTTTCCGCACACACAGTAAGCGAAAGCGACCCAGCCCAAAAAGGGTCCTGGGACTCCATCCACGTCATCGAAGTCGCCGAACGATCCTCCCGCGCAGCACACTACAAACTCACTTCCACCGTCATGCTCTACATGGAGACCGGGGGCGCCAAGCTCGGCAACGTCAACCTCTCGGGGAGTCTCACCCGTCAGGTATGGAAACAAAACCTCCCTCCCATCCCACTCTTCCCCCTGAACACCCCGTTCCCCACCAACCCCATTCTGTCTTTCATTTTTAGGCCGAATTCGACAACCCCCTCGAAGATTTCGGCTCGCACGTCGGCAACCTCGGGCGGATCGTCGAAGACATGGAACTGAAACTGCGCAACGCTTTACAAGTGATTTATTTCGGAAAGACAAAGGATATCACCAACGATCTGAGGAGCGTTAACCCGTTGGGCGATGCGAGAAGGCAGGCGGCGATTCAGAGCGAGTTGATTGGGAAGTTGGTTGCGAGGAATCAGTAAGGGCGGACGCGGGAGTTTACGGAGATGGGGAGTTTGTGGGGGTGAAGACTTGGAATAGGGTGGACGTTACGCTGCTGGAGGAGCAGGTTGTTTGGGCGTAGATCACTGGAACGAATGACGACGGGGTATCTGGGGTAGGATAGATAATCGTCCACATCGGAATTGGCATTTAGGCGGTGGTGATATGTAAATAAAGAGGCGATTGCCAAAACAGTAGTCATTTTCGTGCGGCGTCCGAAGTGAAAAAAAAAAGGTCCCCAGAAGTCCCTCTCTCTAGATCTAGTTTTAACGCGCCAACATCTCCCTACAATAAGCAATCCCCAACAACGGCGGGCCCAAGTACATCGCCCCCCAAAAGAACGCATTCCCGGCCCTCGGCCACCTCCTAAACCCGGCCCACCGCGACACCACCACCAACGGGATCTGCATCATCTGCATCCCAAACAAATAGCATCTCACCCTCCCACTCAGCACGATCATCAGCAGCTCATGCAGGCACGAGGACAGGAAAAACGTGAGGAAGGTCGCAGAGCGGCGGGACAGCTTGTAGGTGGCGATGGACTCGAGGTACACGTGGCGGAGGAGGAATTCGTGCACCGGCTTGTTCCATTTGCGCGCGTAGTCGTCGAATGTGAGCGAGTTCCACCAGTCCGAGTAGAAATGCCGGTCCGCGAAGCGGGTGAGTTCCGCGAACCAGGGGCAGATGCACTACAATGAGAGATGAGAATCACATTACGGGTGCGTCAGGTTAGGGGGGACACGGTGAACCCCGGGGAGGGGCAGCGAACCGACCCGTACCTCAAAGATGATGTAGAAGATCATCATGTAGCACACCATGAACGGGATCAGCAGCTGTGTGATGCTCTCCGCAAACGAGAGGTTTCTCAGATTGGCCAAGACAGGGTAGATCAAGTGCTCGATGACGATGTACAGGCACACGGCGATGCCCAGGAACCCGGCCGTCTTCTCGAGCAAGTAGGCGATGCGGATGCGGTCCGTGCGCGGGTACTCCAGCTCGTACACGAGGGTGGGGACGAGGAGGTAGTCGATGAAATTGGGCAGGGTGACGTTCTCGGGGAAGGCGGTGGTTCCCTTTCTCAGCTCGATTTGCAGCTCAGTGGCCTGTCGTTTGCATGTTTCCCACTCGATGTTGCAGACGGTGAGTTCCGCGGCGTCGGTGGTGTCGTCGAGCGTTTTCATCCGCGCGGCGAGCTCGTCCATCCGGATCGTGCGGCGCTGGACTTGCACCCATTTGCCGAGCATCTCCCGGTTGTAGGCGAGGTAGGAATGCTGTTTCATCAGCATCGCCATCGCGTGCAACGTGAACATGCCTGTCTGCGGCCAGCTCCACGGCGCCCGCATGGCCCACAGGATGCAGGTGAGGAACCAGGTGAGCTGGTAGGTGTGCTGGAAGGTGAGGCAGATCGCGCGCGGGGAGAGGTGGCGGTGCGTGAGGAAGAGGGGTGCGAGGTGCGTGAGGAGCTTTTGCCAGAGGAAGATGGTGAAGAGGCTGAGGATTAGGAGGAGTTCGGAGAGCAGGAATTCGGAGCTCTGGTGGGGAACGCGGGAGAAGACATGGGATTAGCATGAGTGGTGGTGGTTGATGAGCGTGTGTGATTGTAGATCATCATCAGATATGCTGAAGCGATGGGATCAAAACAATACCCTGTCGCTTCGCTCGCGAAGGAATTAAAGTCACCAAGGTCGCTATGGCTCCCAGACCCTCCCTTCGCCTGAGCATTGGGGCTCCCTGTCGCCCACCTACCACCTACCTCATAAAACATCTCCCGAAACAATCTGGTGCCAATAAATTGCCCCTTGCTCTTCCAATGATTAAACAGATTCAACGCCATATACGCCGCCATCGTCATCCAAAACAGCGTAAAGAAGCCCCTAAACGAGTTCTGCGTATACTGCATCGTCTCCCAATCCATCAACGACGGCCGCGCTTTGAATGAGTTGGCGCGCATGCGGCCGCAGGGTGTTGCTTCGCTTTTGCCATTCGCGGTTGAGGTGTGGGCGTCGACAATGACATCCCCGCGGTTGGGAACCTGGAGTGTTGAGGAGGAGGAGGAGGAGGAGGAGGGGCGTACGCGGGTGACGAGCTCGCCGGACTCTGTCGCGGCTGTTTCGAGGTGGGGCCCGTTTGCGAGGGCTTGTTTTGCAGGGTGTTTCAGCTTTGAGGGGAAGGAGGCGGGGGTGGGGCGTTTGGAGGGCATTTTTTTTTGGGGTTCCGACTGCTTGCTTCCCTTGCGATGTGGTTTCTTTCGCCGAGGGAAGGTCGTCGGCCCTCATCGCCCTATATATATGCCACCAGTATCGAGAGCGCCTTCTTTGCTCGGACACGGCGACGGCCGGCGCAAGCGGGGGAAGAAGCCTCTCCGGAGTTCATGTTCATCAACGCTGGCGGCGGCGACCCCAACCAGAGCGAAAAACGGGTGGAAAGTAGCAAATGTGCAAGGCGTCTGCACGCGTTGGGGGGCGCCCATGTTGGCGACGTGGGAGTTTTTGACCCACGCGTCGTGGACAATCAATCGCGCGTCTCTTCAAATTCACACGCCACGCCGTATTGTAACAACGAACCGAACAGCCGAGGAAACTCCCCTCAGCAGCAGCACCGCGGCTTGGACAAACCCGTTTCCATTATTGATCCAGGCGCACAACGGGCCCGAGGCACATCTAGTGCCGCACCTACATGCTTCCTCGGACTCCATATGAGTGACATTTAGCTCCTCTCAATACAATCATCAGGGTCTTGTTCGGCCCCTAACATTTGGCTGCAAGACAATATGTATGGACCCAGGCACATGTACAGTATGTAGGTCTGTAGCTGCCTCGCCGTTTATGCAGGAAGATGCCCGATATCTTCTCTTCTCTTCAAAGAAACGCGCGACGTTGCAAGAATTCCCCCTCCCGCGAAAGAAGACTCAGACTGCGACATCCTCAGCGCAAAGCAACCTACCTACCAGGACCACATAGGCAAAATGACCGCACAGCACGCTCCTGCTGCTGGGGTTCTTCCCAGCGCCCCTATAACTGCACATTGTGAGCTTTTGTTAGTCCAAACCTTCTCGACCACTGTGCCCCGAACCAAAGTCTTAACACTCACCCCCCATCCCTTTCCTTCGTACGATCTTGCCTTCGCCAACTCACAGTACATAAAGTAAGCCCATCGGAGGAGTCCTTGGAGAAGCTATACGAGACCTTGGAAAAGTTACTGGTCGTCTTGTCGAGGTACGGCGCCTCTGATCACGTCCCCGCCTCTAACGTGCTCGCATCCCTCAACCTCCAACACTTACCCAATCCCGCAGCGAAGACGAAGAAGGCTACTTCGCCCGCCCCATCTCCCTCACCGCCAATGCCTCCTATCTCGCCCTGATCAAACAACCCATGGACTTTGCCTCCATGCAGCAAAAATTAGCCCGAAGAATTTACACCGCCCTCTCGCAGTTCCAGGACGACTTTGATCTGGTTATGAAGAACGCCATGCTGTTCCATCCGCCGACTGATGAGGTGTTTTTGCTCGCGAGGAGGCTGCATGGGTTTGGGACGAGGTTGATCAATGGGCTTTATGGGGGGGTGCCGAGGGAGGTGGCGGTGGGTGAGCCTTTGTATCCTGAGATGGTGAGTTTAGCGAGCGGCAGGCGAGCCTTGGTTTGTTCGAGCGGCAACGATCGAAGCGAGGACGACTAGAGCGAACGCCTGCGCGAGCGAAGCGAGCGTCGCCGCAGGCGCAATTCGCGTGAGCGACAGCAAACGGTCGTGGTTTCTAGGCAAAGTGGGTTGTATCGTTCAATCATCCAACATTCAATCTTATCTTCCCCAACCTCCCTCAACAGCGACTCAAAGAGCGGTCATTACGAACCCAAAAGATTGCTCTAGCTCAACCGGGCGTCGATGGAACCTACTTCTTCTCCACGGCCCAAGCAAAAGCCCTAGACGAAGTCCCCATACGTACGTGACAAAAACCCCCCCACCCAATCCCTGTCCGATCCCCCTCCTAACCTCCACGTGTGAACTCCCCCACCCGCACAGCCGACGACGTCCTCAAAGTCACCCTCGTCCCGACCTACACGCACAGCCACGGCTCACCCGCCACCTTCCGCGCCACTCTCCCCGAATACATCGACGAACAACCACACCAACAGCAGCGGAAGAAACGAAAACCCAACGCACCCGTCCCCGTTAGATTCCACGACTATGGACCGTTCTACTCGTTCGCGCCGGCGTTTTCGTCGAGTAATGCAACGCTTTCGCCGCAGGAGTCGGTGTTGATGCGACGGGGGGAGGCGGCGGAGGTTATTGTATTGGAGCCGGAATCGAAAGCGGACGACGGGGAAATGAGCGGTGATACCCCAGTGAGAGTGAGGGTGTACACGGGCACCGACGCGCCCGACATGGATCTCGGGGACGACGACGCCTCTCCTGCCACCGTGGAAAACCTCACACACCTGCTAACCGACCTAACCGACCTCATCGGACCCCACCCCACCAACAGCACCACGGCAACGGGAGTAGCAGCGACAACCACCACCCCGGCCCACATTCAACGCCTGCTGGATGAGAACGCGGCCCTGTTTGAGCGTTTGGAGGCGTTCCAGTACGAACGGTTCGAGGACGGCGCGCCGGGGGAGATTGGTGGGGATGAACTGGCTGCTGGTACGTTCACGAAGAATCCCGTCCCCCGCCCCCATCCTCGACTCACAAAACTTACCCTTTTTGTTTATTTGGTGTCCCCAGCATCGAATCTGATCCGCAACCTCCACACCCTCCTCCACTCCACCACCCCATCCACCCTCCTCCCCGCCCCGCAGACGCAACTCGCACAAATGATACCCCATCTCCACAAAACCTACGAGCCGCATTTCAGGGGCACGTTGCCCGGGTCGCGGCCGTGTATGTTTGCGTCGAATCTGGTCGGGAGGGGGGCGTTCCCGGGGGGCGCGGGGACTGGGGTGGGGGTCACGGGTGGGGGTTTGGGGGTCGGGGTTGTGGGCAGGAGGGGCAGTGGTTATGGGGGGGTGGGTGGGGGAGGGGTGGGGGGACAAGGGGTCGGGCAGAGGACGCAGAGGTTGAGCGGGGCGTATGCGCAGACGCCCGGGGTTACGGCGAGGTTGCCGACGGGGCAGGTTGTGCAGTTTACTGCGTGAAAGCGGGGGTGTGAGCGGCTGGGGAAACGAAGGCAGACGGGCGGGAGGAAGGCGAGGAAGGACCACTGCGTTCGTAATGTACGGTGTACAGTGTACAGGCAGTGAAAATATGCCCACCGTGCCCGTGAGTGGCCCCCGCTGTGAGGGTCAATACATGAGCAAAAGAGTGGGGGGGTTCCAATCAGGACACCGTTGGATTATGTATCAGAGAACAAAGGAGTCGGGCCTGCAAGCGCATATAACAGCACTGTTGGTGGATTGTTTGTTTGTTCCATACACGTATATCGTGGCATAGACATGACACACCTAACGCAAGGTTCCGGTGTCGGATCCCACATCTCATACATGCGTGGGTTTATAGTCCACCATCGGACTCGCACCAGTCTATATGTTACGTACACCTGTCTATATCTTGCGGGGGTGAAGGGCCCGCCACCAAAAAGTTGTGTCAGGGGAACGGACTGATCGTCGCAGCTGGGGGATGGAGGGCGGTGTCGTAGGCGCGGGTGGGGGGTATGCTGCAGATGTTGCCGGAACACGGGGCGGGGAATGTTGGGGTCGGCTCCGACGTGTAGGGTTGCGAACGTTTCCCGTCCGGTGTTCCGTGAGATGGCACAACCCCACGCATTTCTCGGTCGCATGCATCGTGTTCTCAATACCTCTTTTCTTCATCCCTCTCTCCAGGCCCGACTAAGCTCTACCGCTTTGCACAGCTCACGACGTCCCAGTCGACCCGCTATCCGACCCCGAATGTGTCGCCGTCCTGTCCCTCCATTTCGCAAGCAGGGCCTCGTGGTTGAACCCTGCGGTGGCTTCGCGGAAGGCAAAGACGCCAAAGATGAGGAAGAGGATTCCGCCGGCCATAGTGACTGCAGCGGGGAAAACAGACAGACGGGGTCAGTGAGAGCGCACAACACGGAAAAGAGCCATAGTGTACCCCCCCAAACTTACTAGTCTTGACACTGATCCTCGCGGCCAGCATCCGTCCCCCAACCACCGCAATGGTACTACAGACGGCATGCCCGACCAGCGTGCCGATCGTCACCCACCAGAAATCCTCCGCCCCCGCCAACGCCACCGTCGCAATCTGCGACCGATCGCCCCACTCTGCCAGAAACGTCAACACGAACGCCTTGATCCAGACCGGGTGCGCCACTTTCTTGACGGCTGTCTCCATGGCCCCTAGTAAGTCCGACACGAGGCGGCCAAGGTAGGTGCCCGTCGCTGCGGAGGACACGATCCGCGGTTTCCCGGCATCGGACCCCTCATCGCCGCCGCCCTCAGCCACACTCAGATCATGCGAACTATCCTTCTCATCCAACTCCGCCGCGACTTCCCTCAACTCCTCTTTCCCCTCCCCGCCATGCATCCCCCACGCATCGTGCACCATCTTGACCCCAAACACAAAGAACAGCACACTGGCCCCGAGCTGCGTGTACTCCTTTGAGATCAGCATGGGCGCAATGTGGCCCAGCACCGCGGACAGAACGGTCATGATCCCCAGCGCGGACATTGCGGCGGAGAAGATGAGGAAGCGAGGGGATTTCATGGCGAGGATGGCGGCGATGAAGAAGGTTTTGTCGCCGATCTCGGAGACGAGGATCACGCTTAGGGACATTAGGAGGGACTATATGTCCAGGGCGGGGTGACGGGGTAGATCAGGCTGCGGCCGTGTTGACACGTTTGGGAGTGGACACCGTTTCCGCGGCTTACCTGCAAACCAGACTTGGACATCGGGCCTGTGGGCGTATCGCCGGTGAGACCGGCATCGGCCTGTTGGAGAGGATAGGGTAGGATGGACCAAGCACGCACAGGCGTCAGTCGAAGGGGAGTTGTGGTTAGGCGCGCCGTAAACGACGGTTACGTACCTCTGCGGCGGCGAACGAGGAGGCAGCCATTTGTGGAGGAGGTTGAAGGAGGAGAAGGAGAGACGAGGGAGGGGAGAGACCAGAGAGAGAGCCCTTGTATGGATGAGGGCTATGAGGTATGGCTGGGAGTGCTGCCTGTGTATGTTATGGCGAGGGGAGTGTGCGAGACGGGCGTCCACTGCACACCCCTTTGACTCTTTGAGGCTCGTTCACGCGTCGCCCCTTTCCCAAACTGCTCCCAAACACCCCGTCCGCCTGTATATATCCCCTCCTGCAAGTGCCCCTCGGCCTGCACAGGTCCCATGCTCGCCGCCATGGACCAAACAGGTACAATACCCTCCACCCATTATGTGTGCTCCCTTAAGATCACTCAGGCGCGCACAGTCAATTGCGAAAGGAAAGCGTCAAAGTGAGGCTAATTTCTCTCGTACTTCAGTGTTTGTCCAAATCACCGAGGCGATATCTACCATATACGATCCTTCGGCGTCGAACGACCGGCGGCGGTTGGCTAACGAGGTGTGTGTGTGTGTGTGTGTGTGTGTGTGTGTGTGGGAGTATTATCGTATGACAGCCGAGGGCCCCGCCGTCAACACGCAACGTACTTAAGTTCCCTCCACCTCTTAGTACATCGAAGCCCTCAAACAGCACCCGCAAGCAGCCCTCTGGGGATACCACCTCGCACATAAGAATAGCCGCCAGCCGGACCACATCAGACACTTTGGGCTCACTTTGGTCGAGAACGCTGTCAAGTTGAAATGGAGTGGGATGGGGGATGAGGAGAGGGGGGTTGTGAGGGATGGCATTGTTGGGCTGGTTAGGGATGTAAGTTTTGGGACGCCGCGAGCGAAGCGACGGCGCGCGGTAGGGCGCGCGAGTGATAGCGAGCCCAACTGGGCCGTAGTCCTAGCGAAGCGAAGCCCGGGGATGCTTGGGATGCCGAGCGAAGCGAGGAGAAAGCGAGCGATCGCGAGCTCAACTCGGTCATAGTCGGAGGGATTCTTGAGGTTCCGAGTGAAGCGAGGCCGAGCCTACTGGGCCAGAGGCCCAGGATTGCGGATCACACACCAGCGCAATCTTCGTGTCGCGAGCGGAGCAAGCAGGGTGTCGGTCAACCATCCGCTCCAAATTGAAGGGTTGTTGATGGTTGATCGATTAATGGGATTGACGGTTGACAATTGACGGTTGGCGGTTCTTGGTTGTTGATCCTTCCCTTTCCTCTCACGCAGGGAACGATGGACATGGATGTGGAAAAGACGTTCGTGAAAGAGAAAGTCGCGCGGCTATTTGACGAGATTGCGAAACGGATGTGGCCATTGAACTGGATGGACATGGACGTGTTGCTGAGGCAGCTGTATGAGCAGAGTGTAGGTGTGGTTGGGTGATTGTTCGAACTGCTAGTGGAATGCTGACATCCGCGAACTCACACCCACCTGTATATACGTAGTCAACGCATCGAGAACTAGTTCTGCTGATCTACCGCTCCCTCACCGAAGACATCTTCATCTACGACGACGCCTTTGCCCAACTCCGCAAAAAGGAGCTGGTAACAGGGATGATGGCAGTAACAATGAGCGCCAGCGCCCTACAGGAGCTAAACGAACAGCGCGGCGCAGACGTGGAGCTCGCGGGGATGCCCTCCAACATCGCCCACTCGGACTACGAACTCATCCTACGCATAATCCGAGCCAACCCGGAGAATGAAGGATGGATCGTGCGATGGATGCAGGCGGCGGATCAACTACATAACGAGTGGATCAGTCTAGCACGCGCAGCAGCAGGAGGGGATCAACAACGAGCACAGACGGTCGAGAGATTGGCGGTGCTGACTCTCAACGCCGTGGCGGTGAACATGGAGTGGGTGCCTGGACGGACGATTGAGCAGGCGCGTGTCACCTACGCGTGCATGACTCTGCTGCTGTCGGAATCGGAGCCGGTACGTGCGGCGGCGGTGGATTGCCTGTTGGTGCTCTTTTCGCGACAGCCGGGCCAGCTCACCGACGACGCGCGGATGAACTGCATGCTGAAACCGCTGTTTGTGGATGGGTGCCTTGACTTGCTCGTCGCGGCGTGGGCACGGGCGCATGGGCAGCAGACCCTCCTCGCACCCACCGTCATGGAGCCAGGCAGTGAGCCCCTCGAAGAAGAGGGATACGCGTTCGTTAAACGGCTCGCGCAGACCATCGTCGCCCTCGGCGATGTCCAACTGCTGCTGAAGAAGAACGCCATCACCCCGCCTAACTTATCCAAATACCTCGAGCTGTTGCTCGTCATTCTCAGCCACCCTTCCCTGTTGGTCGCATCCACCGTCGCACCACTATGGACGGAGATCCTCCGCCATGCGCATTTCCAGACCCTACCCGAGACGACGTACATGCTCCCGCCGCTACGGGAGCTTGTCGCCTCCATGCTGTGCAAGCAGGGCAATAAGGCCCGCGTGGAAGCGGCAGCATACTACACCGACATCGATTTCGACTCGAAGGATTTTTACGAGCTTGCTGAGAATGATCTGCATCAACGGTTACAGCATATCATCAGCACCGCCGCGACGCTGGAGCCCGAGCAGTCGTTCCTCTGGGTCGCAAGACGTATCCAAGCCATGCTGGGACAACACTCAAACGAACCGGGCTATATCCAGCTCTTTGAAGGAAACGCGGAACTCCTCGACCACGTCATGCGCGGCGTCCGCCCTGCTCAATTGGTCACCGGCAGCACCTCTTTAACACAAGCAATGCAAGACCTCGTCCAAGTCATCCTCAGCTACGAAACCCCCTCGGCAGTGCTCACCCGCATCCAACTCAAGATGATTGTAGCCCTAGCAGAAGTGCTCAGCGGCGCCCCAGACCTCCTCCTCCGCTGTCTGCAGAAACTCTTCACCTTCGTCACCTTCGTCATGCCCGACGAACAGGGATTTATTGCCACGGGTGCCGGGATCAGGGACGAGACGCGCGCGCTGAGACGCACGGCGTGTAGCTCGTTGATCAAGTTGGCTGTCGCGATGCCGGAGATTTTGGTCACTATCTATGGCGACATTGGCACAGCGGTGCGGGGGTTGAAGACGGGAACGGCGACGTTGCCGTCGGAACAGGCGCTTTTGACGGAGTTTTTGCTTGCGATTGCGTGTTCGGCGGCTGCGCTAAGCGTGGAGCAGAAGGAGGGGGAGTTTATGGGGCTGGTGCGACCGGTGGTGGACGAGTTTCAGCAGGCGGTGGATCAGATGGCCGCGTCCCCGGAGGCGTTGGTGCATTATTCCGGGCTGGGGATCGTGCTCGCGAATACGCAGTACCTGCAACCAACCGACACCCCATCCGATATTCCGCCTCCACTCCTCCAAGAACTAGAAACCAAACGCACCGACCGCGGCAAACTAACCCATCTCCTCGGCGCCCTCAACAACTTCCTTAAACGCACCCTCGAAACTTCGGGGAAAGACCTAGCCGCGACGCTGTGGACACCTCTCCTCCCCGCCCTCACCCAAAGCACACTCACCCTCATCAGCACCCTCCACGGGGTCCACTCACCCACCACCTTCGACGCCCTCCCGACCTCCACGAAACCCCTCGTCCGCGGCTCCCACAAACTCACCGCCACCGACGGCCCCCTGCTAAAACACCTGACATCCATCCTCCGCACCCTCTCAACCCTCCGCGAGCTGTCCTTCGGCATCCTCACCCACCTCACCCACCTCGGCCGCGTCTTCTACACTTTACCGGATCTGCTCACCACACACTTTCGAACGGCCGTGTTTGAGACGGCCGCGGGGCTGGGCGACCGGTACTGGAAATCGACCATCAGCAGCGTTGCGAGGCCGGTCGTGATGCATTGTCCGGCTGATGACGGGGATGACGGGTGGTGCGTCGACGCGGTGCTCCAGAATGTGTTGTTACCCCTGTGTGAGTTTGCGACGGCTCGGTTGGGAGGCGAGTGGAGGGCAGCCGAGGAGCGGGGGTTGGTCATGGGTGTTGGCGGGACGGTCGAAGAAGGCGGGGAGGAGGATGTCAGCGAGGATATCGACAACGAACGCGTGTTGAGGGATGTGACGCGCGCGTTTGCGGAGCTGGTGACGGGGGTCATTGCACTCGCGCCTGCACCCACCACCACCACCACCGCCAAAAAACCAGACTCAGACTCGCACCCGCCAACACCCTTCACGCCTTATAAGCACCCGCACCTCGTCCAACCCCTCCTGACCCAGTTCGCGGGGCCGTACCTCGCCGCCCTCCTCGCATGCATCACGTATAAGGACACCCTCGCGGCGCGGAAGGCTGTCATCGCGTCCATGAAATTGGTCCCCACCCTTGCCGCCTTGGGAAACCTGGGCGGGGGTACACGGGACCTGTGGAACTGGGCATCCACGCCGCTGCTCACAACGTACCTGCACGCGCTGCGCTCCGGCTACTTTGTCCCGCTGCACTCGGACCTCTTTTCCGCCGTCGCGGAGTGTTATGCCACGTTTCGCCCGCTGTGTGAGACGCCCGCGCAGACCCTCGCTGTGGTCCTCTCCCCCGCCGTGCCGGTGCAGAAGATCAGGGACTTTGAAGCGCAGATCTTGGCCACGGCCAACAGCAAAACGCAGAACGCGCTCGTGAGGGCGTTGCTGGGGCAATGGGTGGGCGTTGCGGTCGGGGAGCTGGGGAGGGAGGACAAAGTCGGCGGCGGCGGGCAAGGGTTCGTGTTGGATAAACGGCCCGAGAAGGCGGTGTTTGAGCGGCCGAGGGTGAAGAGTGAGCGCAGACGCGGGGAGGAGGAGGAGAGTGAGGACAAGGCGAATGGGTGGTTTGGCGGGTTGTTTGATGAGTGAAGTGAATCACGCGGGCGTGTGCGCGCCAGGTCCAGAAAGGGGGCGTCCGTTGGATTTGACTACTCTGGAGGCCATAGAACCGACACGACAACCCCCGGAAACTCATCTCCTGTCCCCGGATGAACTCACACACCCCGGCCCTCGCCGTAGCTTACGGAAACACCTAACATAGCGTAGCTAGCGAACTTCGGCGCATCTTTGGAACGGAGTTAGAGCGTATGTAAGGGTTGTAAATTATGCTCTATGATTTGATTGCTCTTCTGCAAAGGTACGTATCAGGAGAGCGTGCGTGCTCAGGAGCCGGCCTCTGCTATTCATCAATCTCCGTGTACTGAGATACTACAAAACGGGGTGTCCGCGAGGGGAATGATGTCCTCCAGGAACAAGGCCTTGCGCAAGGCCTTTGGGGCATGCCCGTATTCCAAACGCTCGTCTTTGATATACTTCACAGTGTCCACCGGAACCTGCAGGCCGGCTGCGTCTGAACCTAGCGCCGACCGCAGCGCATCCCCATCGAAGCTCGCCCTTTGCTTGAACGTCGTGTGTTCAACGCCTTTCGTTTGACAATAGAGCCGCTCGCACTTGCTCACAAAGTCGTAGACGGCCGTTCATGCTCTCCGCCTTCTGACGCTTCGCGCGCTTCTGACGCTCCCGCAACTCCTCGTCGCGTCGGGCTCGCTCCTCCGGCATATCGGCGAGGACCATGTCCATCTTCTGACTTTGGGCTTCCATCATGCGGCTTTGAGACTCGATCTGGTGACGGAGGTCCACGAAAGGGCGCGATCCGAATATCTCCAGCGTCGGTTTAGATCTTTCACCAAACCCCCGAGCTCCAGCGGCCGGTACATATGTAGCGTGCATGTACTGCGTCTGATGCTCCACAGTGGATCGGTCGAGGAGGGGTGCGACTGCGTGTAAAATAAGGGACCACCAAAAACCCTTCGAAGATAGAAAGCGTGAACTTTTTAAAGGCGTAAAGACTTACATCATTGCCAAGCGCCAACGAAAAGCCCTCCTTCGTTGAGCTATCTGCCGCCTTGACCGTGCCTCCATGTATCAGCCGCTTGCAGTCCAAACGGGGTCATATCAGTCCGTTGCAGTGCGGTCAGAATCACGAGATTGTGGCTGCACTGCGACATCCTCGGGTCTATGATGCACATTCGAGTGGTTCCTAGCCATAGAGCGTACTGTTGACAAGCGACCCTTTGGGTTGGCTTGGAGATGAATACCGTCGCTAAGCGGGACGAAACATCGAAGGCATACAGGTAAACCACACGGCGTCTTCTGGAAAACGTCCTTTGCGCTTAACTTGTTCTGCCGCCCCTTTCGTCAGAATGTTTGGGTGCCCCCACTCCACAGACCTTCCTCCTGTCCTGACCGGTTTCTCGCCATGTCGAATCAGAACCCCCTTTGTCGATCAGCGGAAATGCACGAAACTGAGCTTCCCCACAATCTGTGCTTTGGTCCGCTGGGGAAAGAGGACTCTGAAAATCCTCGCGGTCAGCCCCGTTGCCCTGCGTTCATGCATTCAGAGGGTGTCGCGGATTCCAACTCTGAGTTTCGAGCAGTTCACGAGTAAGTAGCGACGAATGCAGCTACTGAAAATGAAAACCACTTCCTGGCAGGACAGCGGCGCTGTATGCGCCCCGCGGAAGTCCCAGCACTGCATAGTCTGCATTCCGGTGATGTGCTGCAAGCGGGCCTTCATCAGGGCCACGAGCTCAGGCGTCGTGGGGTGATTGTTCGGTATCAATGTCCGGTTCACTGTTGGTTTCCGTATCAAGGACTGACAAACAACTGTCCGTTCATGTGCTCCATTCGGTTGATGATGCGCGTCGCTTGTTCCTTGAATCCTCAATGCTAGTAACTAGGCTCGGGAAAAGTTGCAATGGTGGCTTTGAGGTCACGGATCTCGTGATAGCGCAGCGAACCCCATGATAGCGGTCACCAGGAGAAGGAGAACGAGCAGCCAGGAGATATTCAGCACCGAGGGGCATTTCGGCTTCCATGACCACGCCATCGTGGGATTTTTTGCGCGTACGGAGGCGGAGAACGGAGCCGCAGGCAAGTCAGTGTTGCGAGTAGTGCCAGCAGAGGAGGAGAATAAGTCACTCGACTGAGAAAGGAGGGAGGATGGGGTGAAGCTCAACAAATGCAGCCTTCTTCGAGCTCGTTCATTGTTGGCCATGACGGTGCAGAAGACGGTGGGTGGAATATGGCAGTGAGAAGGCTTGCTCACACCCGTGGTGGCTATATGCTCGGAATGATGTCTGGGGCGTCGTAACCAGATTTGTGGCCAGCATATACTGTTTGGCGTAGTGGCGAATCTTCCTTGTCTGCAGACGTGCAGGTAACCGGTTCGATTCCCACGTCCTTCAGCTCAGAGTATGACCGCGTCAATGGTATGTTACCTGAATGCACTTCTTTAAAAAACCTAATATAATATTCAGAAGCTTTACCTAATATAATATAATAAAAAAAAATTTGCTTTTCCATTTTATTTTAATTACGCGCACGAGTCACATGACGCTTGGAGGCATTGAATTCGCATAAATGCTCAACCCCCCAAGCAGCCCCCCAGTTCAACACACAACCACCACAGGCAGAAGCCAGCACAGCAGCAACAATGATCGACATAAATTCACTGCGTCCCGATAAGGGCGGAAACATCCAGGCTGTCAAGGACTCCCAGCGGAAGCGTGGCGGCGACAAGGCCGTCGCTCTCGTCGACGAGGTCATTGAACTCGACCAGGACTGGATCAAAGGTGCCCACGCACACGGCCACAGTTTGCGCTTGAGCTATTCCCTAATCTGAACACCCCACCCGCAGCCCGCTTCCAGGCCGACGAAGTAAACCGCAAAATCAACTCCATCGGCAAAGAACTGCAGGCCCTCGCTAAAGCCAAACAGCGCGACACGCCCGAATGGACCGCTCTGCAGACCCGTAAAGCGGAAGCAGAGGCCGAGAAGATCGAGGCCAACAAGATCTCTGACGAGAAGGAGAAGATTCTGAACCACAAACTGAACCTCATTGGGAACATTGTGCATGACAGTGTGGTCGACTCGAAGGATGAGCGGGATAACTTGGTTGTGAAGAAGTGGTGGCCGGAGGGACGGACTGAGGCGGCGGAGATGGAAAAGAGAAACAAGTTGGGTGGGAAGGACGCGAAGGGCGTGGTTGGGCTTTATAGCCATCATGAGGTGCTGGAGAGGATTGCGGGCTACGATTCGCAGCGGGGTGAGTGATCCCATTGGGATGGGAGAGGATCGGGATTTTCGGCGCTTTTCGGAGAGTCTATGCGACAAGCGGACGGCGCTGACGCATTTCGCTTGATTTGTATTTGCAGGAACCAATGTGGCAGGCCACCGTGGTTACTTCCTAACAGGGCCCGGGGTCGATCTCAACCTCGCCCTGATCCACTACGGCCTCGACTTCCTCGAAAAGCGCGGCTACACCAAACTCTGGACGCCCTACTTCATGAAAAAGTCCCTTATGGCCAAAACTGCGCAACTCGAAGAATTCGACGAAGCGCTGTACAAAGTCGGCGGCGAGGAAGCCTCCACGGACGCCGCGGAAGAGGACCGGGACGAAAAATACCTCATCGCCACCAGCGAGCAGCCCATCAGCGCCTTCCACGCCGGCGAATGGTTCACGGAACCGGAGAAGGAGTTGCCGAAGAAGTACGCGGGCCAGTCCACGTGTTTCAGGAAGGAGGCCGGCGCCCATGGCCGTGATACGTGGGGCATCTTCCGCGTGCATCAGTTTGAAAAGGTCGAGCAGTTTGTGCTTACTGAGCCGGAAAAGAGTTGGGACATGCACGAGGAGATGATTGCGATTGCTCAGGAGTTTTACCAGTCGGTAGGTGCTCGAGCCCCACTTTCCTGGCACATCTACCTTTTCCCCCAAACCACCTAACCACCCTTTCCCTTCGCAACCATTAGCTCGGCCTCCCCTACCACGTCATCTCCATCGTATCGGGCGCGCTCAACAACGCCGCCGCCAAAAAGTACGACCTGGAAGCCTGGTTCCCCTTCCAGAACGAATACAAGGAGCTTGTCTCCTGCTCCAACTGCACCGACTACCAGACCCGTCTACTCGAGATCCGCCTCGGCGCAAAGAAACTCAACGACCAGACAAAGAAATACGTCCATGCGTTGAACTGTACCCTCACAGCCACGGAACGCACCATTTGCTGTCTGTTGGAGAATTATCAGACGGAGGACGGTGTGGTGGTCCCACAGGTGTTGAGGCAGTATATGGGCGGGAAGGAGTTTTTCCCCTTTGTGAGGGAGCTGCCGGGGGGAAAGAAGGTGCGTTGAGCAAGGTGCACACTGTTTCTTGAAAGTTATCTCGCCCTGACTTCTCTCCCTTTTCAGCAAGGCAAACCCGCAAAATCGACCGCCGACGCGCTAGCGAAGGACGTCAAGAAACTGGCCGTCTAACCCACCGCTCCCCACCTCCACATCTCACTTCACTTTATAACCCAGCCCACCTACCTAGCTAGCTAGCGAACACCGTTTTCTTAGACCACATTCTGTACATTTTTATATTCCCGATACATATATATTGTTCATCGACTAAAAATATGTTTCACGTGTTCAATCCATATGCACAGAAGCAGCCAAAAATGTCAAGTATCTGATATCATGCACTACGTCCCCAAAGGCGGCAAAACCGTCCCATTAGGCCACCCCACGGCCCCATCCGCACTCACCCACACCGGCCAACTATACTCCATCGGACTCCCCCCACTCACAAGCGCCACCCTCACATACCACGGCATCCTCCTCCCGCCCACGGCGCCCATCATCTCCACCCGGTACGTCGCCCTCGGACCCCTATACACCTCAACATCGTTTAGCAGCAGCGAGAAGGCGTCGTAGGGGAGGCCCGCAGGGATCGTATAATTCCCCGGGTCATACGCCGTGGTCGCCGTCCCCCCGTCATCCGCATACCGCCACGCAATGGTCGCGTTGTTAGCCAAGCGGGCTTGATCGATGACCAGCTCGGGGCGGGGCACGCTGACGACCTCATCGCCGCCCGTGTTCTCGAACGCGGTGGCGAGCGGGGACGCCGGGCCCCAGCGCGCGACGCCCTGCACGAGGAGGCCCACGCACGCCCACTGCAGGATCATGCTTGCGCGGGTCTGGATGCGCGTGAGCGGGGCGAGCAACAGGCCGAGGATGTAGTGGTGCAGGTGGATGTACAGGCCGAGCAGCTTGGGGAGGAGGAGGTACACCGCGACGGCTGCGGCGTAGGCGAGGAGGTAGGAGCCCAGCAGGCCGTGTTTGCGGAGATGGAACAGTTGGATGGCGCAGATGGCGAGGACGAGGGGGAGGGCGATGATAAAGATGATCAGGGTCTGGGGGTCGGCAAAGGCGCGGGAGGTGAGCCCGAAATTTGTCAGGGGGGCTGTGATGAGTTCGAGGTGGAGGATGAATGTGAAGGGGGCGATGACCAGGATGGCCGTTTCGAGGGGGAAGCTGTGGAGAGGGGTGGGGAGGGTGTGCCGGATGACGTGGGTGTGCAACACGTGGGTGAAGGCGAGGAGGACGAGGTAGGTCCCGAAGGCCGCGGACGTCCAGCCGTCGCCGTGGATGGGGACGGCGCCGAGGAAGATGGTGTACCAGAATCCGAAGGAGACAAATGTGAACGTGAACAGGGCGCGCGAGGGTCGTGTGAATGTGGTGAAGAGTAGTGCAAACACGAGCAGGATCGGGAGGTAGGCCCACGATCTGTCCGTGCAATGGGCCGTGTGCGCGAGGGCGCGGACGGTGTATGATTTGGGGAACCAGGAGTCGAAGCCCAGGGAGGTGATTCCATTGCTCGTTGTTGACGGGAAAGCTGTGGTGGCGCCTATGAGGTCAATAGCCGCGCAGCCGCCCCAGTGGTTAGAGATGAGGCCGGCGTGGATGGCGGAGGGGCAGAGCCAAGATTCGGCGCGGTAGGGTGCTGATGCTGTCCCTGATGATGGTGGGGGGCCGCCGCCGACGACCCAGGGGACCAACCACCCCTGCATGGTCCCGCCCAACCACCTTCTATTCTGATTTCGCGTGGAGGCGCATTCAGCGGGGCATCGGATAACGAAACTCGCGTTGGCAAACGGCGAGCAATACATCCCGTCCAATCCACACTGCTGGCTCGCCCATGCCCATAGCTGGTCCGTGCACGAGACGTACTGCGGCGCGCCCTCTGATGTCGTCGCTTTGTAGTTGTTGTCGGACACGAGGAGGGCGAAGGTGAGGAGCCAGAGGAAGGGGTAGAGGAATCGCGGGATGAAGCGCACGGTGGATGGGAGGCGGTCGAGAAGGGTTGAGAGGGGTTTGGAGATGCGGGGGAGCCAGGGATGTGTGAGGCGCGGGTAGGGGTGCAGGGTTGGTGGGCGGATGCGGAGGAAGAGCTCGAGGCGGCGGAGGAGATGGAAGAGCGAGGATTTGTGGGTGGCGGGGAGGAGCACGGATGGTGGGGCCAGTGGTGTGACGGGGGTGTGGGAGGGGGAGGAGGGGATGGGGACGATGGCTTGGTCGGTGTCGGAGTGAGAGGAGGGTGTGATTCGGCCAGTTCGGGATTTGGGGTGCCGTACTCTTGCGATGCTGCCTGTTATACCGTCCTCCCGCTCTATGTCCTCGACGTTCCGAGAGTGGTGAGTATCGTCTGCGGCGATTTGAACGCCACTCCCGATTCCACTTCTACTCCCACCACCGCGAAAGGACTCTATCCGCGTCGTTGCCGAGTCCTCCTCGGTCGTTGCGGTATCTGCAAGCGGTCTCCAGTCCTTGCCATTATCGCTGCCAGTGCCCTCGGCATTCCCTACGTTTGCGATATTCCCCCAACCCCCAGCATGTGCTTCCTCCAGCGCTTCCCCGTCTCCTTCACGACCGGCGCCGGCGCCAAGCGGCATTCTCTTTGTGGTCAGTTTATGTCCCTTCTCGTTTCGTTGGTAGTAATACGGGCGTTGGAAGTGTTGAGCCGGGAGAGAGGGGAGAGGTGTGACATTTCACCTTTCGGACGCGGCGCTCCTCGTCTCCCTTTCTCTCCCTTTCTCTCCCGTTGCTCTCACCCCCACCCCAATCACGCACTCTCATCCTCCCCCTCAAGATGCTAATAGCCCTAACCGGGCCCCCCTGCTCCGGCAAAGCAACCATAGCCCACTACCTCACAACCTTCCATGGCTTCCAACCCCTCCTCCTCGCCGCAACAGCACACCACGCCCCCAAATTCACCTCCCAGCTCCGCCAACCCCTCACCTTCCCGACCGCGGAAGCCCTCACCGCCCACGTCACGCAGCACTGGAACCGCGATTTTGTCCTGGTCGCGATTGGGGATGTCAGGGATTGGGAGGTTATCAGTAAACGACCCTTTGCGATGTTGGTCGGGGTGGACGCGCCGATGAGTGTGCGGTATAGAAGGGTGTGCGAGAAAATCAAGAATAGGACACACAAGGAGGAGGAGGAGGACGGATACCCCTCGGAGATGACGCTGGCGGAGTTTGTAGAAGCCGACGAGAAGATACTATTCGGTTCAGGATACGGGTCTGACCTCCCATCCATCTCCGCAATGACGCTCGAAAACTCCACGCCAACATCACCCCCAACCTCCTCCGCCGCCTCCACCTCCTCCACCGACCCCCCACCAACCCTCCACACCCTCCTCCCGCACGCCACCCTCCTCCTCTTCAACCCCTACCCCACCCTCCCCCTCCTCCACGAACACCTCCGCCTCACCCACCTCACCAACCCGCAACGTCTCCGCCCAGGCTGGGACATGTACTTCATGGCCCTGTGCGACCTCGCCGCGCGCCGCAGCAACTGCATGAAGCGCCGCGTGGGGTGTATTCTGGTCAAGAACAATCGCATCATCGCGACGGGGTACAATGGGACACCGAGGGGGGTGACGAACTGTGCGGAGGGCGGGTGTCCGCGGTGCAATAAAAGTGGAGCGGGGTGTGGGGTCGGGTTGGATGTGTGTTTGTGTTTGCATGCTGAGGAGGTGGGGTCATTCATATATCGCCTCTCATTTTTTAATTCTCGTTCTTCACTTTCGCTTCCACTCATACATGCATGCGAATTATGTTTTTAGAACGCATTGTTGGAAGCAGGCCGCGAACGCATCGACGACGGCCGCACCATCCTCTACTGCAACACCTGCCCTTGCTTGGGGTGCGCGAAAAAGATCATTCAGGTCGGGGTCAAGGAGGTCGTGTATGCGCAGGCGTATGGGATGGATGGGATGACGGAGCGGTTGTTGACGGAGGCCGGGGTTGTGTTGAGGCAGTGGGTTGGGGTTGGGGGTGGGGGGGTTTGAATTTGGGCAGGCACGCGAAGGAGCGGCGTAAGACAGCCTCGTGTAGCGGTTGGTTGGACAGATGTGTTCTCAGGCAGGCACAAACATGCGAAGACGTTTAAGCAGATCAAATAATCACATTGAAATGAAATAGATAGACATAACTTCCTCTACCAGACCAGACTCCACACGGATCACGTACAATATGCCCATTCTACACTACGCCGCAGCGAAAAGGGTGATTTCACGAGCTAATCAATAGGTTCAACGCGTTCTTGACCCTGTCCGTATCAAACGCCGCCTGTATCGAAGACAAGAAGGATTCAGCCGTAGCCAATGCGATCCACTGGTGAACAATGAATTGATTGAAAACAAAAAAACCTTAGTCATCTCCACAACAGCCCCCCTACTCCCCTCCACATCCTTCTCAATCTGCTTCATTTTATGTGTCGCCTGCGCGATATTCGCTTCACCTACAAAGACCGTCAGTTATCCACACACCCCTCACCTCTCCCTGATATACACGCAAAAACAACGCACACTCATCCCCCATCTCCTGCACAACCACCCGATCGGCCTTGCGGACTTCCTCGGTGTGTAGAGCCAGCAGCTCGATGGTGGTTGACCAGCCGCAGAGGACGGAGTGGTAGTGTTCCCGGAAGGATTTTAGTTGTGTGTCTGTGGGTGGGAGGGAGTGAGGTGGTGGATGGGGGAAGAAGGGGTGGGGGAGGGGGAGCGGGGGGCGTTACCTTGATGCAACCAAATGGCGTCGTATTTTCGTGTTGTGGATTCGATTTGGTGTGTCCTGCAAAATGCGCGAGAGATAAACAACACCCAATCTCTCCGTAAATCACAAAGCAGACGCACATACCTCTCCTTCTCAGTCTCCGCGATCCGCTTCTGGATCTACACCAGGGTCATAGAATCGTCGTTGGAACGGATCATACAAACCGGGGACACGTCGATGTGAATGTTTCTCACCTCCGCCATTTTAGCGGCAAGCGTGACGTCGTGCTTTGACATGGATTTTTTGGCGCGTTTTGTGGATTGCTTCTTGAATTGGGCTGGCATGGATGGTGGATGAGGTGGGTCAGCGTTGTACTGCCTCGCGATGAGGAGTGGGGACATGGGACATCCCGTTGCCCGCATTGCCTCAAGCGAAACGCTCACTGTGCTCGCCACGTCCATTGCGTTCGCTCGCTTCCCTAGCTGTCCCAGCGTTTCCACCCCACACCCACCCTCACCCAAACAACATACCTTGAAACAACCCCAGCAGCTCCGACAATCCCTGACTATTAGAGAATATTCCCATGCTCAGCACTTTCGTCATCTCTGCAAGGCATGCAAGGCATGCAAGGCACCATATCCTTGCCGAACCTCTGCCCACCCTCGTCCTCCTTCTCCCCATCAGACACGCCATCGCTGTCGGTTGAGTCGTACGAGACGGGCGGTTTCTTTGCTGGTTTGCGTGCTGGAGAATACTATGAGGTCAGACGGACATGTCATCTTGGGAAGGGGGGAATGTGATGATGTGTACCTGGGGCGCGGCCTTTGCCCGCGGGTAGCTTGCGGGTGGTGGGTTTTGCGATGGCTTTCTTTGGCATGGTGGATAGTGTCCAAGGGTTGGAGGTGTGGCGAGTGTATGTGCAGATTGGGCGGTGGGACAATGGAGCAGCTGCTGAGCGCCTGGTCTTCTGGGTCCCACGCGTTGGTCGCCTTTCCTCCTTTTTCTCACTCCAATTCGCACGGCCAGGTCCAGTATGTATGGCGACCAGCTGCAACGAGACCCACCCAGACATAGATACAGAGAACACCAATGGAACCATTACCCACTCCCGCTGAACACCCGGATGGAGGCCACCTCCCGCAAACAATCCTCACCCCGCTCACCCTCCAATACCACCAACGCGTGCCTATCCGCCACTTCCAGTTTCCCTCCCTCCCCACCTTCACCGCCGCCAATCAGCACCTCCTCCTTGCCTCCACCCTCCACTCCCCGCTCTCCCGGCGGTACCCGCCCGCCGCCGCCTACGCCCGCGCCTTCGTAAAGATGCTCGTGCGGAAAGCCGAGGAATACGCCCCCGACGGGGAGGTAAATGAGCGCGTGCTGGAGACGTATGTCGGGCTGTTGCAGGACGGGAATGGGGCAGGAGGGGGCGGGGTCGCGGCGTATGCGGTCGGAGATGGGGAGGTGGCGTATACGAGTTATGCCATTCCGATACGTGGGGAGGAAACGCCGGCAGGGATAGACTACCTAACCCTGCGAGAAGAAACTGCTAAAATCTCACAGGGCACCACCGGCCTCGTCACCTGGGAAGCGGCCCTGCGGTTCGGCGAGTGGTTGATCCACACGTACAATTCTGACAACACATCCTCCTCATCAAGCATCCCGTCAATCCCACCCAACGCCCGCATCCTCGAACTCGGCGCCGGAACAGGCTTCCTCGGCCTTCTCCTCGCCCGCCTCGGGACCGCAGCAGCCATAACACTCTCCGACGTCGACGACGGCGTGCTGGACCGACTGCGTGAGAACGTCGCCATCAACAACTCCCCGTCATCACTGGATACCCCTCGAGTGATACCCACAGTGGAACGACTCGACTGGACCAATTTGAACAAAACACATCTAGAACGCCTCGACCCAACTCATATCGTGTGCGCGGACGTCGTGTATGATCCGTTGCTTGTCGAGCCATTGGTCGGTGTTCTGCAAGCCTTTCTTGCACTCCGGCCCTCCCCGTCACTGAAGATAAGACCAATACCGCGCATTGCTTACGTCGCCCTTACACGCCGCCAACCTGCTACACGAACCCTTTTTATGGACGCGCTGCATGCGGCGGGGATCTGTGTTACGACGGTGGGGCTGAGCAGTGGGGATGAGAAGCCGCCGGAGTGGTTTTGGCATGAGCCCGGATGTGGGGAGGTGGATTTGTTGGTTTTGCGAAGGGGTTAGAATTAGATAGAGCCGAATGTGATAGAATACAAAGGCGTAGGAGTTGTAGAGATGGATCTGTGCCTTGGGGTGGATCTGAGACGAGAACCTCGAACATCTCACAGTGTGGAAAGAACGGGACACGCACCGCTCTAGGCACCGGCGTCGACTACTGAAGACGGCGACAGACGGCTCCTCGCGCTGGCGGTGCATCTGGTAACACTCTCAGCGTACTAAATCTCAAGCGGGCTTCCGTTTTCATTGTTACGATACAGGATCTCCATGTCAAACATCTGCGATTTTTCCGTGCACATCGACGACCGAGTCGGACTCACACTCCTCGGACTCCTACACCCACGGTACCATTGGCAACTCCCACACCCACACACAGGCCTCTCAGATCGTCAGAGTTACCGAACCCATAATCCATCCATCCCGACGCCACTCTTCCTGGCCCCAGCAACCTTCCACATCATGCGCCTTCCAGGCCTTGTGCACTCCGACCGCTTTCTCGTGCCGATTCACACCCGTCCATAGAACCCCCGGATCCGCACAGAGTCCACCGATCTCGACGGCCCCGGCAAAAGCTTCCGTTTCCATCTCCCCATTGGGTCCAACACTGCCAGCGCCCGCAAACTCCCGCCCAGACCTTATTCAAAGCAACAGCAAAAGTATCCCCGTCGGTGGTCAATCCATACGCCACGCTCCTCAAAAGGAGTCGCTGGGGCGTATCCATATCCGACTGATCCCGGCGACACATATCCTCCAGGGGAGATATGGAACTTTGCGCCCCTCGGGATCAAATGAACCGACCCCTCCGGCCTACAATCCGTACGCGATCGCACAAAACCCCGCCATCCCGCCCCGCCCCATCCTGCATCACCTCTTCCAAAACCCCCCCTGATTACTCCAACACCTCCCTTACACCATCCCCCCTCACATCCGCGGGCCACACACAAATTCCCGTCCTATACAAATAGAGCACAGCAGCAAACATGCGCGGGTTATGGTCGAGGACGTAGTGTCCTTGGCGTCTTTGCAGCGAGGGGGCCCGTTGGTGGGGGGTGTGAGGGTGGCGAGGAGGGAGCGGGGGGTAGGTTTGGGAGGGTGCTGCGAGATCGGTGGCGAAGAGTGTACCGCCGACGTGTGAGGCTTAGGATGTCGTACATTTTGTATGAATGTGTGGTGTTGGGAACGAGGGTCGTAGTGGGCGGGTATGGGGGTGAGAAACATCCGAGAGAGTCGTAGGTTAACAGCTGTGAAACCCGCCCGGTCCGGTTCCTCTCTGCACAAACACTTTTTTTCACTTTAACCCTCCCAGTGAGTTGGATCTGAATTGAAAGGCCCTAGCCACAGAACTCATAGTCCGTCTTGCGGGTTTGAGAGACTCGCGACGTCCTATGCATGGAGTTGAAATTGTGTATGTACAATGATGCAGATCAGCGTAACGGGGCAGGGGATGTCCTCCATACTTCCAAGTCCATAGAGTCCCACACCTACGCCACAAAACGCCCTACTCCCCGACTCCCCTCGTAAGCCCCAAAAGCCTCACGACCTCCCCAACCTCCGCACACCAAACCGCAAAACTCTTCGGATCCCTGAACGCCGCACTCACACTAGTCGGATCCCACACCTGTTTCGCCGGGTGCGTGTCGTCCAACTCCTCAAGGAGCGTGAACCCGTGCTTTGTGAGGTAGAAGGAGCGCGGTTTGGGGTTGGGCGAGGGTGGGGGGATTGTTATCGTTCGTTGGTCGGAGGAGGTCGTGGCGGCCGGGGAATGGGTGGAAGTGACGGCCAAGGTCGGGGCAGAGTACCCGAACCGTCTCGCGTTCGTGTAGATGTAACATGGGGGTCGGATGAGAGATGAGGTGCGGGAGAGGTAGGCGCAATCCCGCAGCATGGCGTTCAGCCCGCCCAGCATGGGGTTCCATACGGACGGTTTGCGGTCGGCGCCGCCGAAGCTGGCGCAGTTGCGGACGAAGCCGGTGTCGGTGCGCCATTCGATGATGGAGAAGGTGAAGACGAGGCGTGGGTCGGATGATGGGTCGCGGAGGGTTGTTGTTGCTTGGGGTGGTTGTTGGGATGGTGTAGGTGGGGCAGCTGTGGGGCGCCGGGGATCGGGGAGTCGGAAAAGGCCATTTGCATTCGCAGTTTGCTCTTTACCGCCCTCATCCTCATAATCCCCATCCTCATCCTCCCTCGTATTATCAGCCCCATAATACCGCTCAGCCTCCAACTCATTCTCCCCCTCAGGTACGACCAAATCCGCCGGATGCGCGCGGTTGACCCACCTCAGACTCAAAAACCTCCTCACACAGTTGCGTTTCGGCGGCGGCTGGTCTTTCGGGTTCACGCCTTTACACAACAGCTCAATCAGCGCGCGGAGAGTCGTTATCCTATCCAGCAGCTTCTCCCACGTTGCGAACTCGGGCCCGCCGGAGGTCATGAAGCGCGGGTTGCCGACTTCGTGGAGGTACATGTAGGGGAGGGAAGCGTGCATCAGGGCTGCGATTTCGGGGGTGAGTAAAGGGGTAGTGTCGTCCGGGGGGCGGTTGGACTCGGTGGTGAAGTAGGCCGGGTCGAGGGTGGGGTCGTCGTTGATCAGAGGTATGCGGAAGACTTTTTCCTCGACATTTCCGGGTGTGAGGCGGACGTGGGAGAGGGAGCATGTTGCGCGGCCGGGTTCGAAGAGCTGGCGCGGGCGGTATTTGCCGGTGCGGAAGGTGCCGCCGCCGCCGCAGTCGCTGCAGAAGGCGTAGGTGCGGTAGCAGGGGGCGCAGATGATTTCGACCATTATTGGGGGCAGGGCGGGGTTTTTGATACCTCCTGTTGTTGTGCTGCGGGGTTTAGAGAGGGTGGATGAGGAGACGCCGTTGGGTGAGGCGTAGGCTGCGTGCGGGGAGAGGGAGGGGGAGGAAGAGCTGCTGGAGCCGGTTCCGGTGGGGCTTTCGAATTGGAGGCCACCGACGCCAATGACTGTTTTGCAGAGCATGCAGAGCATGTCTTGCGTAAGACAAACCGAGTGGTGCTCTGTCATTTTGCGTTTGCGGCGTTTCGATGCTGCTGTTGTCGTTGTTGTGTTTGATACCGCGGATGATGGTGGTAATCCAATCGTGTTTGGAACACGTCCCTCACTCGTGCCGTTCAACGCCGACGCTGCCTGACCCGTACATGATGCGCAAGTGACGTTGACCGTATGCGATCCAAGCGTACAGTCATCCACGCAATGCAGCTGGAACATGACAATATGCGCCTTGCACACCTGACAGTTCCCGGTGACGAGGTCCGTCTTTCGTTTGCGTCTGCGGTACCGCGAGTTAGTAATGGCGCCCCGGCCGCTGGCGAGGGTGGTTATGGGCTGGATGGGTTCCGACCTCTGCGGCTCAGGCATAGAGGGTTTGTATGCGCTGGAGGTGTTTATTGGTGACGCGGGGAGTGCCGGTTGTTCCATCGCTGGCAGATTATGTGACGTGAGTGGTGTTGGCACACTCGGAATAGATGAAGTTGGGGAGGACAAACACAGAGGCCCAACATCTCCCATATGAATTCCATTCGGATCGTGATTTGCCGAAAAGCCCTCCACCTGTCCCGTGCCACCCACTCTATCATCGTTCGTATGCATCGGAGGCTGCGACGTCACATCCATTGACTCAAACACATTCGCAGGACCCTGCCGCCTGTGAACATCTATCTGCGCACCGACATCCATCGACCCGTTCCAGTACAGGCCCGCCGAATCCCGCTGAAGATCGTGCCGCTCCTGTTGTTGTTCCTGCTGCTGCTTCTGTTGCTGCCGCTGTTGTGCCTGACGCTGTTGCTCCTGTTGCTCATAGAGCTGTGGGTCCGGATGGAAGGGCGGGACGTTGATGTGCTTATGCATCTGCATCTGCGGCTGTGGCTGCATATGTGCCTGCATAGACTGCGTCTGCCAGTTGTACAGCCCTTCGGCTTCGCCGTCAAAATGCGCAGAAGGCGGCGTAGCTGCAAGGGCGCTGGTGAAAGTGCTTGAAGCGGACATGGGTGATGGGTGTTGTGGTGAAGCAGGCATCTCTGTCCTCAACTGTTGTCGTGACTGTTGCTGTTGATGCTGTTGATGAGATACGTGATAATGATCCGGAAGGCTGCCGGCCACCTCAGCGTGAGAGGGCACAACAGGAGGCAGCTCGTAAGCCCCAAGTGAAAGCGAGTGTTGGAACATTGCCGTCTGGTTGCCGTGGTAAAAGGGTGGCGCCTGCGGTTGAGGCTGTTGTGGAGCAGGCGACCACAACGATTGGTACTGACTATTCTGATGCATCTCCTGCCGCGGCTGTTGATGCATACCCTCCCCAAGATGCTGATTCGCACCCTGCTCACCCAAAAAGCCCACATATCCCATCCCCATATCCAACCCAGCCCCTTCTGGCGTTGGCGCCAACATGCTCATACCAGCGTCAGCACGGGCCGTTGCTCTCAACATCTCCAACTGCAAGTCCATCTCCCTCAGCCGTAATTCGTTCTCTGTAGCCGCTCGCTCGCTGTCCTTTGCCTTCCTATACTCGTGGACGACGCTGAGGAGGGTGTCGAGCTGCGCGGTGGGTAGACCGGTGCCTGCCATAACGTTCGAATGCACGGTGTGGAGGGTTGAGTAGAGAACGTCTGAGAGTGGGTCGTCTCTCGGTGGGTGGTTCGTTGTTGTTGTGGTGGTGTTGGAGTGCTGCACTGCGGGGCCGGTGGAGGAGTAGAATCGCTGGCCGCTACCGCCATTGTCGGTGCCGTATTGCATTGAGTAGTGGTTTGGAAGTTGCTGCTGGCCAGCCATTTCGACTACGTATGAAATGAGATATCACCAGAGCCAGAACCCTGGTTGAGGCGGGTGGGTGGAGTAGGTCCCGTGGGTCCTCTGCATATATGTACGTGAGAGAAAGTAGGGTGAGAAACAAGGGGGATGGTTGTTGTGGAGGAGTCGGAGGTAGGAGCACTAGGGCGAGAAAGCCATATGGAAAACCTTACGATCCGACACGCAGACAGGGCTTTCCCACCATATGTAACTTCCGTCGTACTACTTAAGGATACTACGCGCGATCGCCTGAGTTAGCGTCAAGAGTCTCCCACCTCATATGAGGAGCTGCCGACCGCTGATGCTGGGTGTATGGTAGTAGGTACTGTACTAGCCAGGCATGCAAGGGATATTATTATTATGGCCGCTGTCACAAGTCACACGCATCGGCCTGCATGGACTTTCATTATGCGGTAGCCTGAGCGTCTTTGACCGTTCATCACTCAAACCGAGGGGCCCAAATTAGCCTCCGGTTCTGGCATGAAAAAAACTCGCTGCGAGACATTTCTGCGGGCATGACATCCATGGGTCTGGTTCTCTGGACCTCGCCACCCGGCCTTCGAGTAACTCATAGTAACGTTCATGATACGCGCTGCTTTTCTACCGTTCATCCCTCCCCTCCGGCCTCCGGCATGTCCGTCGTGCGTATCGCCGTTCATGGTTGTGAATTTGAAGGGTGGCTGCGGCCGCACATGCATGTGCAGAAAACCTGATTTATGGACGCGTTGACATCAAGTCCGCGGGGTAACCGCAACATATGCATTTCTCTCGAGTCTTGGATCGATCGTTGAGATCGTACGAAGGTGCGGGACACCCTAATGTGGGGCTGCACTGGGGCATTATTGTTCGCAGGATATCATACGATGAAAGCGCTTGCGTGTCGCTACGAGTGATATCTAGACTGTCTCCGACCGGTCATAAAAGTCCGGAAACCTCAGCGGTGGAAATGAAAATGACAGGGTCAGGCTAACTGACAGCGGTTAGATTGTATATGGATGGGTTTTGGTGATATATACAGAAAAAGCTGATACAGAGAGAAAGGGGCACGAAAGGCAAAGGTAATGCACAAAGACGATAGTGGTGATGTCGGAAACGGAATGAGAGTAAGAAAACCACCCCGTCGGTCATCTATCTATGGGTCATCTCGGTGATTGTGGAAAGCTGATCTATGCTAAGAACACCAGAGTAGCCAAAAGCAAACACATTTCGTCCCATCCTTCACCCCTCAATAACCAACTCGCCCTTCGTCTTCTTCCCCGCCTCACTTCCAACATCCAAGAACGCCTCCTCGTCAACAGTATGCATCGTCCTCCCCTGCTCAAAGTTGGCGCGTTTGGGTACCAACCCCAGCTTCTCAAACATAACCTGATCGTCCGAAAACACATTATTGGGCGTTGTCAACAATTTATCGCCCGTGAAGATCGAGTTGGCGCCCGCCATGAAGCACATGGCCTGTTCCTGCACGCTAAAGCGGACGCGGCCGGCGGAGAGACGGACCATGGATTGGGGCATGATGATGCGGGCGGTGGCGATCATGCGGATCATTTCGAAGATATCCACCGGGGTGTTGTTTTCGAGCGGGGTGCCTTTCACGGCGAGGAGGGCGTTGACGGGGACGGATTCCGGGTGGGTGGGGAGGGTGGCGAGGGTGTGGAGGAGGGAGATACGATCTGTTTCGGATTCGCCGAGGCCGATGATGCCGCCGGAGCAGACGGAGATTCCGGCGTCGCGCACGGCGGCGAGGGTCGCGAGGCGGTCGTCGTAGGAGCGGGTGGTGATGATTTTGGGGTAGTGTTCGCGGGAGGTGTCGAGGTTGTGGTTGTAGGCGGTCAGACCAGCTTCTTTGAGCTGAGCGGCCTGAGTAGGGGTCAGCATGCCGAGTGTGCAGCAGACTTCCATATCCATGGAGCGGATTTCGCGCACGTAGTCGAGGATCGTGGAGAAGTTGGTCTTGCGGCCGTGCAGGTCGCGCCAGGCGGCGCCCATGCAGAAGCGGGAGCTGCCGGCTTCTTTAGCTTTGCGCGCTGCTCCAAGAACTACGTCTTCTTTGAGGAGCTTGGAGGCTTTGACTTCAGTGCTGTAGCGCGAGGATTGCGGGCAGTAGGAGCAGTCTTCGGAACAACCGCCAGTTTTGATGCTCAGGAGTGTGCACTGCTGGACTCGGCGAGGGTCGTGATGCATACGGTGCACTCGTGCCTGTGAGATAATGGAAGCCGGTGAGTAAATGCCCTCGCAAATACCATCCCATTCTCGGTGCAGATAAATCCCAGAAGCCACCCATCGAACAATCCCTCACACGTACCGCATGAAACAACAACTCCAACAAAGGGCTATCAAAAATCTCCTGCACCTCCTCCTTCGTCCAGTCCGTCCTCAGAGCGCCCGTCGCGTGTTTCTCCGCAGGCGACACTTGCACCTCATAACGGGCCGTAGCATGAGCTCCCTGAGGAGGTGCAGTTGGTGCAGTGGTTGATTGTCGTTGAGTAATGGGGTTGCGGTCCAGGGTCGCCAGCGACCTCACGGGTGTTCGCAACTTGGGTATCGAGGCGGTCAGGGAGGACAGACACCGGCCGGTTATGCTTGCGGTACGGGGGCGGGTGAGGAGTGACATGATGGGATGTGTATTCGTTTTCAGTGCTCTAAGTGGTTGTTGTGAACTCTGCAGATGGACTGAATTGCTGACGAGGAAACGAGTCGGGCTCGATGTCGGGAGAGATCAATGGCGACGAAGTTGACGGAGAGCGGGTATGTGACAGACCCAACCAAACAAGCAATGACCCTCAGCAGCGAGACCGACTTGTAGAGGCGCTGTCGTCTATGTACGTGCTGTCTAGAAAGTGGGAATGAGAGCGACAAGAAGCGCTCCTCCTAAAGCCTTTTTGCGGGAGAACGGAGAACGGAGAATTGACGGAGAGTTCCAAAGCGACATCGATCCGCTCATTGTTTAGCAAAAGTGATTAGAAGGCGATTAAGAAGTCGCTCTGTTCACAATGTTCCATGTGGACTAAGGTTGGCTGGCCAAGAGGACGATCGTTGGTCACAAGGTTAACAGACGCGACGCGTTCATCAGCCATCCAAAACCGTCACGGGAACCCGTCACTCATTTAGCACTTACAGTAACAAATGAATACGCGTGAGCATATCGAAATTATTTATGTGCCATTCAGACTAAACTTCAGAAGTCGCTCACGGCGATTATGTACCAGGCTGTACAAAAAAAACAACAGGCTCTACACTACGCCGTCATGAAGAAGCACTTCTTCCATCCACTAACGCACAAAGAAACGGTCGACTAGAGGGTGTCTTCGTCCGGCGAGCGAGCTAGATTGGAATGCGGCGACCTTTCCAGCACAAGTGCTTAATAGATTTGCGTCCAGTACGGAATCCTTGCAGAAGCCGAGCTCTAGAACGCCTCCTCCATTGTATGCAGAGAGCTCACTAGGCCAGTTCTGTTTCACCGAATTGACATTGGTGTTTTCCGGAGCTGGCGGAAGATAAGTGATGACTCGGCCGGCCTTTCTGGTAGTCCACCTTGGCAGCTTCAGGGTCCAGGCCAAGGATTCCACTCAAGCACGATGATCTGCTCCAGAAGTTGTGAATCTGGTGAGTGCCCTGGTCCATCCTTCCGGAACTTGAGTGACGTTCGGAAAGCAGCTCCAGTCTGGGAAGAGCACGGAATTATGCACAGACGTCCCTGTCACTCGAGAAAATATAGATAGCCGCCTGAAATAACCTCCACAGCTCTTGAAGCGTACCGCCTCGGGTGCGTAGATCCATCCGAGATTGAGCAGGCGCGGCGACTTCCGTAGGGTGGAACTCATGTCTTTCGTCGATCAACTTGGTTATGAAGATCAAAATATTGTTTTCCCAGCAAAAGGCGTAATTGTTTGAGTGATCCTGAATTCGGATCGCCAGGCTACTTGCCATAGAAGGTGAATACCGCTCTTGGCGGGTGGGCAATCGTGAGAAGTGTTTGTAGTTTTCCGCAGGCTAGAGCGTTCCAGCGAGCGCATCCTTTTGTGTCCTGCAGAACAGAGGAGTTGCCTAACTCGAAGTCTTTGACCCACCGAAAGCGTTCAGAGTTCGCATCTAGTGCTTTGAAGAGCTTATCTAACTGCTGTTGGTCCTCGATGTGGATACGCGCGGAGAGGAGTAAGTTGAGCGTTGAATAATAAACGCGACAGCTCAGCACCGTGACAGCACGACAAAGTTCTGTTCTTCTTTCCCGTTATGTTGAATATGCGTAGAGTTATACGGAGAGGAAGCGAACGAACGGGTGTACCGCTGGCTCCTGGTGGTAGTGCCCGGACGTTTCGTCTTTTCCGCAGATTCATGTTCAGGTGCCTATGCCGAAATGGTGAGGATGCTGGAATTTGCAGCTTTCGCCGTCACCGTGGGTTTAATTTCATCACGTAAGTGTGGCTTGGGTCGGAGTTTTTCCTATTCTGAAGGAATACAAGCCGTCACCGAGGCGTTATCTCTCCAATACTCTTCCCTCGCTTCACATCACCCAAGAAACACTGGTTGCATACATACAGTTTCCATACATTGTAATCTGAGTTCGACGGCCCCGGCATTATATGGACCTTCTGGACAGCCAACTCAAGTTCGCGACGCTTGATTATCGACGAAGCGGCAACTGTGTGACAAACCCGTACCGAAGTACCCAGCGACCGACAAGATACTGTATATAACTTTTCCGACGGGCACAAGTACCGCTGGATTCTCTCCCGTGCGCTGCTCCCCCTCGCCTGCAGTACGCCATCAGGGTCGACACCGGGACGCCATGCATGCCTTGGGTGCTTGGTCTCCTCTGGCTGAGGAACGCGTGAATGGCGACGTACGAGTCGGTCTACTTTGTCGGCGCTCAACAAAGGCTTAAGTTCGCGACGCTGAGTTGGCCGGGAACTCGGCGGCCACAGTGCAAGGATCGAGGGACAATATTCATCAGCATCCCGGAACAAACGCAACGGGAAGAACTATCGATCGCCAGATCCGGTCTCGCTGGATGGACCTCCTGGACCAGGAATGCTGATCCGATAAAAAGTCTGAAATGTATTCGCTCCGCAGTCATTGTGGTGTTATAACAATGCGTCAATATCGGTGAGCAATGAGAAGTTTTGTCCTTTGGCGGGGTGATAACCACGTTGTGCACGTCGTGGCGTTCGTGGGCGTCGGGTGTTTGTGGAAGTTGGGGCGTTCTGATTCGCCGACCAGGTGCACATGTCAGCCTGAGGAAACGGCCTCTTCTCGTTTAGACCCTTTTTGCCTGTCTCTTGGCGCTACTCCGTACGAAACTCGAGCTCGACGCTGAGAAGAAGCTTCCACGTATGCCCCCACTTCTATACGTACGGCGTGAAGCGATACAGAGAGAGCCGCCGTCCTTTCGCTTTCCATCACAATTTCTACAACATGTATCATCTCAGCTGAGGCCGCTTTCGGATACAACCCATTCTGCAAATCAACGCTTCTACATACATCGAACGCACGCTTTTCCTACGAATCACCACGATTAGACCATTTCGACATTTTCAACCACTTCGACCATGGGAAATTGTCCGCCGTCGTTTGCGCCGCGGAGTATCAAGACTGGTCCGCTGCCAGCAACGTCAATGTTACGAAGTGCCAGCAAGAGAGTGTCACAGGATTCTCAGCTTCCCGTGCCGGCCTCTGCCGCCCACCTTCCCGCTCTGCGGTGTTTTTAACAACGTGCAATTAGTATTCGGTCGAACGTCGGCTTCGAGGACTAACTTCGTGGGCGCGGGTTCCTCAAGCCGATGTCCTTCCCGACCTTGCCACGGACGCTCAGTATACGACTGCAAAAAGTGACAAACACGCACCATGAACCAGGCAAGGAAATTCAAACCCCCGATGGTCATCTGTTTCGGAGGCTGTCTCAGGTGCACTTTGGTTGTTACGGGACGTTTCATTGATGGTGATTTGAGTCTCCTACGATTTTCACGGTCCGTGCAAACGACGAGGCAACGTCGTGGACGCCGGCGACGACTATCATCTTGCCCTTAGAAGCGCCTGTATATGTGTCTTGATGACCCTCGATTTCTGGTCTTGCGATGCTCATACATTTCAAATCATTGGACATCGCTAGCATTGTTGTCTCAGTCCGCAAATATTTCTCTGAGGAAGCAATCCCGTCATCCAACCCAATTACCGCAACGTCTTTACAGTAGTTGAAAAAATTTGTCCAAACACTGGTCAAAACCGAGAAGGGCTCAGTGGCGGTGATTATCATGTGTAAGTTGCTTTGGGCGATGGCCAAAATCATGCAAGCGAAGAGAAGTCTGTCGAGACTCATCAAGAGATTGCCGTCCCTTTGAATATCAAACCAGAATTCAAGTTGTAGACTGTGGCCTGTTGTACCGATGTTGATCTTATATGTTACTGTCCTGCGGGACGAGACGCGGGACCAGCAGATCCCGTCCCATCCCGCGCAGGACGACCCCCCTAATGTTACATCGCTGTCGATCTTCTGACATATGTGACTTGAAGCTCGAGCCTAGCGTTTGTGACACCCGAGAATATTACATGCACACCAAAAATGGTCAGACGCTTTGTGGCCTGTGGCTGCTGAATACGCATACGCATGCCGGGGAAGATCGGAGAATCGAGGCATTTGGCACAAGTATTAACAATGAAGTCATCGTGAAAAAGTCTTCGAAGGAGGTATCATGCATACACTGCCATACAGTAGAGGCGCCATGCGTTGTGATAGTTCTTGGCCGCGCAATACGTATAATCTGATATCCGACATCTTTCTTTGGCTTTTGGGACGTATTCTACATGGCAGATGACTGTTTATCTGTGCTGAGTCTTCGCCAGGCAATGCCCTAGCGGGTAAAAGGCGTACGTCATCTCGTTTCCTGCGCTATGGGTATCTTGTCCACCCCTCTGTTCAATCCACGGTTGCTTCTAGGGGTTGGCGGGCGAGCGTACATTGCAGGGAGGGTTGGCGGGAAGTATCGTGTGCGCACATGTCCAGGGTCCTCCCCAGGCCTCGACATTCAGACATTGACAGGATTGTTTGTAATGGCAGCATGGCTTTAGAAGTTCCGACGACAAGCTTAACCAAAGTTCATCTCAATCTGAAGAGGCGTAAACAATTGTCCCAGCCTTTCCTCGCCACTGTGAAAAATGATGCCATCATTGTTGTCCTGGCACTGCGATATAAAGAAGCCCCAGGGCCAAAGTCGAGCTATACAACTACCACGGCAGGAGTTGACGCGTCCCAGCGGGCAACGACGAAGAAAACTCTTCTAAGTCACTCGAGACAGTCTGCTTGTACAACATCGACACTTTTTTGAAAGCCACATCGCATTATTACTAGTCGGAGGAAGGAAAGGACTTGCATCAATATCGAGATCGACAGCATCTTCATCAGTGGGCGTCGATAACTGTGGGAGGTAAGAGGTTGCATATTCTCCTTTTTCTGGAATGTTATGCAAGCCCTGGGGAAGTAGTGGCAGGAGGCGCAGCGCCGTGAATGGGTGTCTGGGAAATCGACAGCGTGCGTCCTGTCATTTTCAATCCCGCTCCCCTGCGACTCCATGCGTAGCAGCAATAATTCCCCGGACGCTGTTAATACTTTATTTGAGACTTGCCCGTGCGAAAAAGAAGCCAATATTTCTGAGAGACTCCGCCCCAACGTTTATAAAAGCCAGGACATCCCCATTTCCCTCTCTCGTTTTCCTCAGTCACTCACGTATTGACTTTCACATTATCACCAGACCCGAAAGCAATACGACTTCATATCAAATTCTTTCACTGCCTTCACTCTTTTTGTCTCGAAATCCCTCCTTTCGCTGCACAACATCATGACCAAATTTGCCAAATCCATCTCCACTCTCCTCGAGCCTATGCCGGGAGCCACCAACGTCCCCCGTGCCCGGAAGTGGAGGGCACTCGTGGCTGAATTCATTGGCACGATGCTGTTCGTCTTCTTTGTCGCCGGTGAGTATCACTCGACTCCCTCAAATTGTGCTTGCTTCGTTGCGTCACATCTCGAAGGCTTCTGCCTTGTTCGGCATGTCGTTTGTCGTTAATTTGTGCATTGTGTTCCGCTCTTCGCCTTTGACTAGGTTCCGTTGCCGTGCCCTCAGGCCTCAAAGCAGACCCCGTTGCCTCGCTACTCTTCATTGGATTAACTCAAGGCCTTGCCCTTGCGGTCTTTGTTTCCGTTTCAGCCAATATATCCGGCGGGTTAGTTGAAGTTATTCTTCTTGGGCAGCATCTTTTATGCTATGAATGATTCTCATCCTGAAATCCATTGGCCCTTTCCTTCGGTAGGCATCTCAACCCGGCGGTGACTCTCGCTTTGCTGGTTGCTCGAGCGGTCTCCCCAATCACCGCCCTACTCTACATCATCGCCCAGATGCTCGGCGCCGTGGCTGGAGCCGGCCTTTACCTAGCCACTATGGGAACCGCCCGTAAGTCGTTCGTTTGATCGTCTTTACGTCATCCTGTGGGTTCATTGTAATTCTTCGGCTCATACTCCTTTCCCTTGTTCCCTTCTCTCATTCCAGACGCAGATCATCTCGGCATTACCACTCCTACAAACTTCGACGGCGGCAACGTCTACCTATTCGAATTCATCCTCACATCGGTGTTGATGCTTGTCGTCTTCGCGACGGCAGTCCACGGGTCCATCCAAGGTCACGTCGTCCTGGCCCCGATTCCCATTGGGATGACGCTGGTCATTGCAAACTTCCTCGCCGCGAATTTCACTGGCGCTTCGTTGAACCCGGCTCGAACTTTCGGCCCTGCTGTCGTTGCCTCCGCCTACTCCGATGTCGCGTTCGCCTGGCGCGAGCAACACCTGTACTGGCTCGCCCAGCTCTCGGCCGCTGTCGTCGTCGGCGTGCTTTACAAGATGATCTACTTGTCCGCACCGGCCACAAAAGCGCAAGTTCGCGAAGCCGGGCTTTTGGGAAACTCGGCCGCGACCGTACAAGGGATGAGCGAAGCGGAGCTCATCCGCCGCTCGGCCCGCGACGAGGCTCCGGCCATAATAGACATCCCGGACATCCCGGAGCAGACCTCCCCCCGCTCCACCCGGAACGACTCACTACCCACATCTGCGTCACCGTTGGTACATACCCACCCTCGTTCGGCCCTGGCCCACACCGTGGTCCACATCGACAGCGTGACGGAGACCGCCGCTGCTGGTCTTCCCCGGCGCACATCCATCCCTCCAATGGTGGGCGTCGGTACCCAGAGGCAGACAAAGGACGCTTTGACGGAGACCGCCGCTGCTGGTCTTCCCCGGCGCACATCCATCCCTCCATTGGTGGGCGTCGGTGCCCAGAGGCAGACCAAGGACGCTTTGCCGGTTACAAGCGCTGGGTCTGCTCGCTCGCGTATGCCTTCGGCGGGAATCGACCGGTCGGTTATCGACTACAGTCGCGCTCGAGAAGTTGTGAGGTTATCATTCGGGGCGGAGGAGATCCGCGTGTGATTCTCCCAAAGTCGCATGCATGATGCCACTCTTAAGCAGGACACTAGGACAGGAATGGACGTAAGCGTCATGTATTGGAAGCGCTTCTGTTGTTGGTTCTTTTTCTCGATGTTAGTTTTTGTCATATAAGTCATGAGTAACGTAAAGTAAACAATTCAAAAATCATCGACGCAATGTTTCATTGATCAATGTTGAGATGCCATTCGTGCTTCCCACAGTTTGCTTGCGAACCGGGAGCCACATTGGGTGCCCGCCAGCCAAACCGCAAAACACCACCTCAAACTCCAAATCATGCTGTCATTCTTACAAACCGTAGGAAGGGCAATGGAGTGGCTACTGCACTAATAGTGTGTGGCAATATCCATGAGTTCCAACTTATTCTCATGGAAGCAAATCCCGAACGTAGCCATGACCAACTCTACAATGTGCTGTGTTTGACGTATTATTTACAATAGAGCGGGCAATCATTTATACACACAAAAATGTTCGCAAACAAAAATCCATAGCACAAACGTCGCTCTCCAGCTTCTCTTCCTGCGTAGCGAAAATTCGTTGGTGTGAGCGTCCACTCACGTCGATCTCTCCAGTTCTCCTTCGCACCCACTTAAACCATCGGCTCGCACAAAATGTCGTCCGCATAACATATTCTATTTGGATCCTCCAGAATATATTCCATAAAGCTGACCATAGCCGCCGTCGCCAACTCGTCCGCTTCGGTGTTTCCCTTCATCTGCGCATGCCCCTTTACCCACGTGAGTCTCGTCGCAGCCTTCCGGTCTCTGATGACTTTGTACAGCGTAAGAGCCGGTTCTTGCTTCCCGAGACGCCTCGCCTCTCGTTCTGCGCTGGAGAGTTCCAAGAAGACTTTGGCTGACCCTTCGGCGTGAATCGAATTGACGGCATTGATGACGGCTTGGCTATCAGTGCGAACCTCCGCATCGATCCCGGGGCCAATCTTTTGCAAAGCGATCAGTGTCGCCGAGAACTCAGCATCCGCGGAGCTCACACCTTTCACGACTTGTGAGACGTGGTTTCGCTCCTGGTTCGGAAAGAACACTCCTGCCCCTGCGAGGTGAAGGATGGTGTTGCGATAGCCTGGGACGGGCCAGCGGATTTTTCGGTAGCCGCCGTCTGAATAGCACACGATTGGCTTTTCGAGCTTGTTGACGACCCCATTCTCGTCTGCCTCCTGGCGGCTTCCGTATTCGAACTGCCTCTGGGCGGTGTTGTCCTTGAACCTCACTTTCAATTTCGCTAGTTTCGCCATTCTCCTGGAAATTACGGAAGCTTTCACCTTCTTTTTTGTTGATTTCTTGTTCGCCAGGCTATTTGGTGCAGGTTTCGCGCCATCGATGATCATCATCGATTGACTTTCCACTGCAGATGATACCATGGCCGTTGCTGGTTCGTTGAGCTTCCTTTGCTGCGTATTCACTACTGCTCGGGTGTCACTGATGCGAGTCGTCAATGCCCGGCTTTCTGATATCGGCGTCGTTTCATCGATGATTATCACCTCGTCCCTTGTTACGGCGGATGATACCGTGACAGTTACCGCTCCGTTGTATCGTAAGAGTGGGTTCGAGGTTGGTGGCGCCGTCAATAGGGACGGATCGTGCGAAGTATCGATTGTGGGGAGGCTTCCAAAGCCGGCAGATTCCACCGTCGAGTTCTCCACTATGTCCATAGCGTCCGGATTCCGTGCGGCTTGGGGAGCCTGCACGTTACGCGCGGGTGGTAACTGTACTCCACCTGCCGGTGGCTCATCGATCAGAGGTCTCGCCAATATGCCCACCGCCCGCAGCTGCCTGTTTTCTTTCCGCCTCACCCTCCTCTTGACGTGTCTCGACTGGGAAACCGAAAGTATCGGCGACTGGTGGCGAGATCGTATTGTGGGGACGTCGGCACGGTCGGAAGCGACTTCGTCGTCTGCGGACTCCCATTCGCCGTCTTCATCTTCTGAGAAAACCACAATGGGCTCCTGCTGTACCTGAGCTTCGTTTTGGTGCATTGGTCAGGCGTGGGCGTTGGCACGCGATCGTGCAGGAAATCGCACAGGAACTTTCTGCAAATGCGTCCTCCAGCCTGTACGCCTGCGTTAAGGAATCTTTTTCCCTGGCTTCGGAGGGGTTTTGCGTGTATGTACTCTTCGCACGACGACGTTAGGGGGTGGTGGCCGGGGTGGAGGCCAAAGTTTTAGGAAGGTGTGGGAGGGATGTGAGGCTACTGAAACGCAAATGGCATGTCTTGCCCCGCTCAATTTGAACGTCACTCACCCATCCCTGGACATCCTGCACCTTACTCTCCGTGCGTCCCTCCAACGTCTTGATCATCTTGAGAACAGCAGAGTTGTTCGTCGGCCACATCAGCTCCGCAAGGAGGTGGTGGTCATCACAGCAAAAGCAACGACGCGCATTGAAAACTGGACGGTCGTAGCAATGCTCACGTCGCTAGCCAAAGCAGCCTGCTACGCGCTGGGAGGCTACTCTACCTTCAAGGCCCTGAACGGCAAGGCCTCTCTAGGGAAGAAGCAGCGTTGGGCTTGCTTTTGGATTGTGTTGATTGCGCTGGAGGTGCGTGCGTTTGTGACGGAATGGGTCCGATGCCGAGGACATGTCGTGGTCATTAAGGAAGCGCCTCCTTATTATGGAACGCAAACTGAAGCCAGTTCTGAACTCATGATGCTAGGGAGTGGAGTATCTGGCGGATAGGGTGGTGTTCTGGTACGTCCGCGCAGACATTGCATGCATGACGTCGTAAGCCATCTCACGCCGATTGTCCACGCCCTAAGGGCCCCTTTCTACGACCACATAAAACTCGCCTTCATCCTCTCGCTCTGCTACTGGCGCACCAAAGCAACTACCCCGATATTTAAGTGGTACATTCATCCCATACTCTCCGGGCAGCAGAAACGGATTACATATGTAAGTTGATGTCGCGAGCCGTATTGTTCTTGTGCCATAAACTGAATACACACGGTGAAATAGGTGGAGACCCAAATACTGGACGCTTGGATGAGCGTTAGCAGCCGATTGGACCGTGTCATTCTCCGACACATTCCAACGAAATGGCCGGTACGGTGTCTTCCCCGTCAGATGCGGCATTTGTGGTTCCATGCGCGATAAGTAACCCGTTCCTCAATGTAGAACTGGCAGGCTTTCCAAGCAGTCGTAGAACCTCTCCATCTCGAATCTGACGACGACAGCCAGCAGCAGCAGCGCATAAGCCAAACGTCCAATCCCAACCGTCAGCAAAGACCCCCATCACCACCGCTCCCAGCACCATCCGTGCTCTCCCTTGCCTCCGATATGAGTTTTGACCATGAGGACAGGGGCGACGATTTGAAAGAAGGCGCTGCAGAGCGGGAAGGCAATGAGGCAGGGTCGTCTGATGACGAAGGTTGGGAAGAGATATCCGCCTCGTTTGAAGCTACGCCGGCATCATTCGGTGCATTATCCCCCGTCACAAACGCACCAAACACAACAGACCCATCCCATTTCCCATCCCCACGACCACCATCAACAGCCAACCCACCAATAACCCACGACACGTCCTTGTCAACCACTTCCGAATCCTTCGGCCTGCCCACATCCACACTGGATGACCTTGCCGCCGAGCCGCTCGACGAGCTTGAAATCGATGACGACTATACACGCCATGACGACGCGCCGGCGAGCCCTACGTCTCGGCATAGCGGGTCGCCCCCCCGTCTGACATCGATATATGAGAAGACTGTTGCGGGAATGCGGATGGATCGGCGAGGTGTGTCAAAATCTCGGTCTCGTTCACGGTCAAGATCTCGGTCCCGGTCGCCACATGGTGGGCGAGGTAGCACGAGTTTACGGAAATCGATCTCTGTCACGCAGATGGGCGGGGAGAATGAGTCCGGTCTGGGTATCGGATCTGCCACGCCGAGACCACCGGAGGGGGATATGGGTGGGGATGCGTTACGAAGGGTGGTCAGGCCGACAACAGCGGGCAGGGGTCGCACGGTGTTGTCGTCGTTGAGGGCTGCGAGGAAAGGCGGAGGTGGTGCTGGGGACTTGGGCTTGTGAATCCAACCTCACAACACAGACCCCGGCATCGTTGTTTCCTTCCGGGCAAATTATCTGATGGCAAGCGGTTTTTGGATTTCCCTCTGTTTTTAAATATCATACACACCCTCTTTTTATCCATATGCGTACGTATTCAACACATGAACGAAGGAAGAGGAGCTCTACCTATTCAATATATACTATCACTCCATACAAATCTCCCCTATTCGTTCGTATGCATTCCACACACATAATATAGTCAAATCTACACACTGTTCAACAAAGACACAACCCCGACCCCTCCGTCCGCCCTCACGCTCCCGCCATCAACCCACTTGACGCGCACGCCCCGCCAGGCCGGGTCCACTTCCCTTCTCGCTTCTTCATCGAGATGCGCGGCCGTGGATGTGATGAATACGATCGTGTTGCCGTCTGTCGATGTGAACCCGGTGCCAGAGATGAGACGGGATTGTATCTCCTTTTCAGCCTCACGCTCCGCTTCTTCATCCGTCCCCAATTGTGTGGTATCGAGATCGACCACAAGATCCCAGACACCATCAACATCCCGCAGCACTTCCACCATACTGTCCACATTGCCGACATGTCGCGCCATAAGACTTCCTTCGCCCTCGCCGTCCTCCCCTTCCTCGTCAACACCTTCTCCCTCCGCTACAGTCACATTAAACGCGGATACAACAACGCTGTTCAGGTTTGCGGCGCGCGTGATGGCGAGTAGCAGCGGGGATTTCGTTCGGAGGGTATGCCGGCGGAGGGTGTGTGTGAGGGCGAGCGAGGGCGGTGTACCGGAGGTTAGGACGATGAGGGGGCGGGGGGTCGGTGGTGGCATCTTGAAAGGGTGGGACGACGGCAGGGGAGATGGTCTGGGAGCCACAGAACTTACAGAACGCGGAGCTTTTGCCAGACTTGTCCTCTTGCCCACCGTTTGCTCTCCCCAATCCTGCCCCCAATCCTTCCAACCCACAATTGCCCTCCCTGACAACTACACTCCTGCCCCCTCTCAACCCCTCAGATAACCACCGTCCAAACCAAACCCGCTCACAGTTCACACCGACGCCAAAACACCATGTCCGCCCAAGAACCCCTAGTCTTCGTAACCGGCAACGCCAACAAACTGCGCGAAGTGCAAGCGATTCTCTCCCCCACCGGCCTCGCCGTCACCAATCACAAGCTCGACCTCCCCGAACTCCAAGGCACAACGCAAACCGTCTCTCGCGAAAAAGCCCGGCATGCCTGCGCGGTGCTCAACAAACCCGTGCTCACCGAAGACACCTCCCTCTGCTTCAAAGCCCTCAACGACCTGCCCGGGCCCTACATCAAGTGGTTCATGGAGGGTGTAGGCCACGACGGGCTGAACAGGATGCTGGCGGGGTTTGAGGATAAATCAGCGGATGCGGTGTGCACATTTGCATACTGTGAGCCTGGGCAGGAGCCGGTGATTTTTGAGGGGAGGACGAGGGGGAGGATCGTGCCGGCGAGGGGGCCGACGGATTTTGGGTGGGATGCGGTGTTTCAGCCGGATGGGTTTGAGGAGACTTATGCGGAGTTGAGGAAGGAGGTTAAGAATACTATTAGCCATCGCTATAGGGCGTTGCAGAAGGTGGTGGAGTTTTTGCAGAGTCGGAGGGCGTAGGTGGGCGGTTGAGAAGGTAGATGGGACAGCGACCGGATTATAGACTGCCATGGCGGTGTACATAGCAATCAAGAACTATCTATATCTACATCAGACATCAGCATCAGCATCAGCATCAGCACCACAGGTTCTATGTGACATTTGCGTGTACATACATATGCTGTTTGTAGGGTGTCTAGTGTCCTCTCTGCCCGTCTCCCTTGCGGGAATCGCGGTGGGAAAGTTGGGAAAAGAGCAAGAGAAGGAATCCCTGACCCTCACCGCGTTCACCTCGTTCCGAACTCAACCTACGGTAAGATGGCTGCCAACACCCCCACCACCGAAGGGAGTTCCAAGGCTTCGAATGGCGCCGCCGCCTCGAGTGGAGGAACTGGGTCTGCACTTGGCCTATTCTTGAACGAGCGCGGGCTGGCCTTAGAACATTGCCCGAAAAAGTTTCGCAAACTTGTTGCGAAATCGGAGGACGGCATCGGGCGAGGCACCACGGTCTTCAGCTCAGAGCCTCTTGCGGCCGTCGCCACAGACTTGGCCTGTTGCAGCTACTGTTTTCGTTTTCCAGATGAAGAAGTGCAGCTCCAAAGATGTGCGAGGTGCAAGGGAGCCCTCTACTGCGGGGCGGAGTGTCAGCGACAGGACTGGACGGCGGGACACAAGAAGGTGTGCAAGTGGATGACCTCTGGCGACGGCGACTTGCGGCGAGATGTGGAGATGCTAGTCAAGGTCACCACAGCGTTGACCGACGGCGATGCAGCGAAAGCGATCAACATAGAGGCCTTTGCGACGCTAGTGGGGCATCCGGAGGTCGTGGATGAACGTCACCGTCAGGCTGTCATCACAGCCACGAGAGCTCGGGACCGAAAGATTGCTTTTTCCGACGGTGAACTAGCCTTGTTCCTCCATCGCTTCCATTGCAACAACGCTTCCATCGCGGACACCGAGCTGTTCCCCATCGGCGAAGGAACCTACCCATTAGGTTCCCTTCTCAATCACTCCTGCAACCCAAACTGCACTGTAGTCTTCAGGGGACGCACCCAGGTCATTCGGGCCATCCGTGACATCGAAGCTGGCGAGGAACTGACCATCACGTATGTGGATGCAATGCTGAAACCTGACGACCGCCGTATAGCTCTTATGGAAAAATATAGATTTACTTGCGTTTGCGACAGGTGTGGTGGAGATGGAACACGGCGAGCGATGGATGGGCGAAGTGCGGACGAGATACCACCTTCTGGGAAGATCTCGCCTGATGTGGTCGGGGAATCTGCAACTGCTTGCCGCCAATTGAATCTCTCGCTGTGCAGTGAACATGGGTACTATTGCCCATGTTCAGCATGTAGGGTTCCTGAAGCACTTTCCCATGTTCCGGTCGATCCTGTTAACGGCTTCATGCTCGTCGACCGCTTCCTCCACGGCAGGCTAGGCGAGTGGGTCCCTCCTCCGCTGGAGCTCTCGGGATTAGATGCGCTCGACAATGTGCACTCGGCTTTACACGACCCAGCTGGGTTACCTCGGGCACCGTGCTACATCACGCAGTTCATCGGCAATGTCTTCCGGAAGTTACAATTGACGACTCACCCCGATTTGAACGATCGCCAGTATCAGATTCTGCATGCGGAGTTTCTGCAAACAACATTTGAATGGGAAGCCACAGCTGAATGCCTGGGCGGGTCTCGCATCGTCCACAGCATGGCTGCATTCCAGTATCTCTCGAAGCTCTTCCAGACGGCGAAATGCGCCGGTCCCACCAGTGCCCAAGGGTGGCCATCCGCTATACTCTCGCTGTACATCCTCGCTATGTATCTGGTGTGCTACGAACGTTACCATCCGCTTACGACAGTTCACCTGGTCTTGACTGCCAAGCTCTGTCTGAATGCCTTCATCGCCGAAACGAACATCCCAGTCCGGGCGAGTGAGGCAGCAGCTAAGAAAGAACGGGATGCTAAGTGCCGACGGGTTTTACAGGTCATCGCATGCGTGTTGGACCTTGCGAATCAGTACGTGGGAGTCACCTTCCCGGACTCTGCGTATGGAGGGTATAAAGCCGACATAGCTACTATGCGCAACATGGTGGGAACGGAATCGATACGATTTGGATATCAGAATGCGCTGGGGACAAGATGAATAGTCCAACGTTTTCTATTTGCTCGGGCTGGGGTATACGTAGGTTCCGTCCTACTGCGTTCTATGCCTGCTTCCCCTCGATCGTTGCTACGCCCATGAGCTATATCTCCTGGCTGCCTTGATTCTCCTCATCCGACCCGCCATGCCTATTCCCTTCCAATGAGTTCGATTTGAGAATCCTTGCATCTACCCCGCTATACCCATCACGCTTTGCATCAGCGCACTCCAACATCATCGAGTGCGTCGGGCTTGCCGTCCCATGGCCCATCGGCGGCATAATTGACTCCTGCCCGAGACCTGTCCTCGTCTTCGTTCCATCGGCGTGACTGTGACCATTCCCCCCGGAGGTGGTGCTAGCCTTGCCCTGCTTCTTCTCGAAGGTCACACCATCATTGGCGTCCTGGCCACGCCTCGGCAACGCGGCCATCAGCACCCTTATACGCGCCATATCGGTGACCAGCAGATATGGCTTCAGCACGCGCAGCGCCATGCCCAACCCCCACAAAACCAAGCCTTCCATCGAGACATCCCCCACGTCCGATTTCCTAATCAGCGCCACGGCGTAGATCGAGTCTGCTGCAATGAACAGCACGATGCGAAGGAAGAACGCGATGAAAAAGGATAGTTGCTCGGAGGAGATCGCGTCCCGCATCCACCGACTCAAACTGGACGGGCTCAAGAGCTTGAATGTGTTGCCGCGGCCGCTGGACGAATGCGCTGTTTCGGGGCCGGTTTTCCGTGACGATATCTCGGGGCTTTGATATAGCCTGTAGAGTTGGCGGTAGATCAATCACGATTCCGCTGGCTACACACCTCGCGCGTATGGGTCGTCACCGATCGGCGTGATCTCGATACTTACGCCCTCATGCAGTATCCGTTCAATAGGGTGTCGATAAACAAGGCGTAGACTATGTAGGATATGAAAGGAAATGGTTAGATTGTGGGTTTTGAGTCTTTTCCGTCATGAGCTTACCGATTGAAAAATACAGCAGCCCATCCGAGAACATGTAATCTTGATTCTCCCCGTGTCCCACGTAATTGATCAGGGGCATGATTTCTGGAATTGGGCAGAGGCATGTCAAGGGACATAATGAGGGATGGGGAACCGGATTGAAGGACGTTGAAGGGACTCTATAGCCACGACACCGACTCCTCCTTCCAACTCACCATGAGCGCCCACGACCAACCAATTCAGATTTACAATACCCAGGAAGACATAGCGCACCCACGGTCTGTTCAGCCTGCGCAATGGCTCGGCGACGCGCAGGTAGTTGAGGTAGATGACCAGCTGCTGGCCGACGGTCTGCAGCACGGCGCGCACAAAGTAGAAGAAGATGGAGCCGGTCCATCCGAAGAACCATTCATTGCCGTTGCCTGCGTGAGTTGGGTGTGAGTTAGTGACCAGTCAGATTTTGGGATTAGAGGGGCGGGCGAAGAGATTCGGTCCACATACCTACGATATTGAAACCTGAGGTCATGATCTGTACGGCCACCGCAGCGATGAAGACCCGCGACGTGAGCCTGTGCTTGATGGAGAAGATGCGGTCCGCGAGCAGGGCGAAGATGTAAACCTGCGACGGTGATTCTCATGTTGAGCCCCTCACGCCCTAATGCCTTGAACGAAAGCATGAACCCGCAAAAAACTCACATGAAGCACAATCTGCAAATACGAATTGGAGAAATAGGTCGAATCGGCCACCATGAGCGCCACTTCGTCCCCGGACATCGATGCATACAGCCCTGCAGACTCGCCGCCGCCATCATCCCCGCCAGTAACATTCTTCCCATCAGAACCGTCAGGCAACCCCGTGGGGGTCGGATCTATTATATCCGTGTCCGACATTGGTGCGTGCGATGAATTGTAAGTGCTAGGTTCGAAAAAAGTATGAGCGCGGAGAGCGGGAGGCACCAAACGGCGGGGAAACGACTTGCCGGATCTTTATATCTCTCGGCGCTGGCGGAGAAGCGGAGAAGACCCGGTCAACACAGCAAAAGCGGGTGGCTCCAGCTTCCAGCGGGGCTTTCTGTAATCCACCATACCAGGATGCGGGGAGAGATTGAACCCCCGGCTCGGCGGCGAAGGGGTCGCGCTGTCGAATTTTAACACTTGCCGTCACAGTCGATTTCGAAGACCCGTTGATGAGATACGGAATGAAAGACTGGAAAGATGCGAAAAATCGTAGGTGTTGTAGCCACCCATATCCGATGGTCTTCAAGGATCATATGTCTCCACGGGCCGAGAACGGGTTGGCATTTCACCAACACTCACAATACACTTATATACAACCAGTTCCAGAAAACCAGAATCCAAAAAAGCACAAAAATCAAAAATGTGTCTATCGTCTCGTTCCAAAACTCTTTTCCGAAATCCCCCCTCAATGTATCTCTCCCATTCGCCTCACCCCCCATTCTGCGACCCCCCCGCCGCACTCCCCGCGCTCGACCCACTCCCACTACCCTTTCCCCTCCCGCCCCACGAAGTCCACCAATGTCTCCCCAACGTGCCCTTTTTTCCCTTCCCTCCCTCAGCCAGCGGCTGGTCAGGTAACGACACAGTCCTCGCGGCGTTTTTCCTGTCGGCGAGGTTTGTGAGGTCAAGGGGTGAGGAGGGGAATGGTGCCGGGGTGGATTGCTGGATGGGCGGCGCGGAGGCGATGGCGGAGGGGGGGTCGGAGCTTGTGTTGCTGTTGTTGCGGCGGGCGGTTGGTGATGTTATGACGTTGGTGGGGTGCACTGTCTCGTTGGTGGTGGAGGTGTGGGCGGCGCCATCGGGGCTGACGACTTCTACCGGGTGGTAGTTGGGGTTGTCGGGGCTTTTAGCGGGTTTATCCTCGAAGTAGACAAACTGCAGCGAGGAGAGCCTTTTCTTCTTGTTCTTGCGTGGTTTATGCACCTCCTGCGTCGCGGTCCCGCCGCGGACTGAACTCGGCGCCGATGGTGAGATGGTCAGCGGCGGAATACCAGGCACGTGATTCCCATCCTCCTCCGATATCGTCCCCGTAGCCGTACTGGGCGCCGTATTGCCCACACTACCATCCCGTTCCAATGGCATCGACACCGGCGGCGGCGTCCCCGTCCCCCCCGTGCGGTCCACCAACGACCCCACACTCGCCGAAAACGACGGCGCCTTCCTATGCTTCCCTCCCCTCCTCCTCGGCGGCGTCTCCGCAGCCCCCACCTCGCTAACCACCGACCCGCCCAGACTGCCGCCCAACCCCGGCTCAGACGAACTCAACCCACTCTCACTCGCGCTCCGCATCGGCAACGCCGGCACGTCCTCCGACGACGACGCGTCAAGCATCGTCTGCGTCAACGGGTTGGCTTTCCTGAACGATGATTTCAGCATGTGCGCCCACGAGCCTGCGCGCTTGACGTCTGCGCCGGTGGTTGTCGTGCCTGGAGAGTCTTCGGATATCACCGAGGACTGTTCGGAGGGGGTTAGGTCGACTGATTGGGTGTGTTTGCGGACCGAGGCGCGGGGGGAGGCTGTGTAGCGGCGGCGCATTGTGCCGGTGCCGGGGGTTTTGCTGTCGTTGGGGGTTGGTGAGAGTGGGGCGGATGTGGTGGTGGTATCAGAATCGTGGGAGTACGCTTTGAGTGCGAGGGCGAGGAGGTTGTTTTCGTGCGAGTAGTGGAGGAGACAGAACTGCATGCGGATCGCTTCGGCTTCGGTGAGCCAGGTGTTTTTGTCGTAGGCGGAGATGGCTTGGAAGGAGTGGGTTTCTTGGTGGAGGTGCACTATGCGAAAGATGTTTTTCATCCCTAACATCAAATGTCAGATCACAAGTTACACATAGTTATGAGAACGCCAACACCGTACCATCGGCATCAGGTTTATCCAGAAACACCGCAGCCTCCAACGGGATCGGCGGCCTGAACAGCAGATACGAGTCCGCGGCCTTCTTCGACCGGATGATCATCAACAGATCCGTGAAGAACAAGACGGAGACTTCCACCGTCCCGTTGGTGTTCTTTTTCAGGTACGTGAACGTTTTCTCGGTGATGAGTTCCCGTCTTCCGTTTGCTACTTTGAATCGCTGAATACATGGGAGGATAGCCCCCAAAAACCGTCGGTCAGTATAAAGTGTGGGGTGGGGCCGACAGGCAGGTGATGTGATGCCACCCACCTCAACAACCCCATTGAAATCCAACGAGTCCTCAATAACATGAATCCTCCAATCCGCCTCCCATTTCCTCACACTCTCATTGATCCCCGCCACCTTCTCCTCAATCCCATTGATCAACTCATTCACAACCTCATGCTCCAACGTCGCCTTTGGTAAATTCGACAACAGCCGTTTAAAAAGGATCGGGTACCGGGTCACGCGGTGCATCGGTTTGACTAGCAGGTCCGCGAGGGAGAGTTTGTTGAGTTTTGGGTTGGATTCGCATTGGGTGAGGATTTTGAGGAACGTCGGGTCTTCTTTGAGGCGCGCGAGGGTGCGGCGCGCGTTGTGTTGGTTGCGGCAGTAGACTTCATAGGCCGCGAGGGAGTCGACGTGGCGTGAGAACAATGATATGATATCGGTTAACATGTCTTTGGTCATGATATCCGGCATCATGACCTGCAGTGCGTTCGCGATACTCTGGTGGGTGTCAGCAAGTTCCTTGAGGTTAGCAAAGATGTTGGCTTCGGATTCGTGGGTGAGGACGGTGGCGACGGAGAGGGGGCGGAAGAAGAGGGCGACGATGTTGTGGAGGTCGGCGGTGTAGTTGATTTCGGTTTCGGCGATTTCGAGCAGGACTTCGCGTTCTTTGCGTTGGCGGATTGCGTCTTCGCGGGTGAGCGCAGCTGGTTTAGCGTTGGGAGAGGTGGTGCCGCCGGTTGGGTCGGCGCTGTCAAAGTTGACCGTGAGCCGGAAGGGCGTGTCGATGAGGTTGAGTCCGAGACGGAAGGGGTGGTCTTCGTGTCGGAGGGGAACTTCCTCCGCGTCTGCCGTTTTGTACGATAGGCGATAATCCTCGGCGTTACCCGAGAACATGAATTTCTGCAGGGCCATGGTGATCAGCTGCTTGATGGTCGTGTCGGTGGTGACGTAGAAAGTTTTTGTGGATTCCGCTTTACGTGCGGAATCCATCGTCACGATCTTCACCACCTCCCCATCAGCCGAAATGTTCTGCAACACGGTGGTCGAAGCGCTCCCCATCCGTCGATGCCCGCCCAACGTCGCGTCCCCAACCTCATCCCTTGGGGCCGCCGAGATATTCGCAGCCGCCGCAGCCGCCGCAGACAACGCCGCCAACTGCAACCGACATTTCTGCAACTCATGCTTCAACGCCTCCAGCTTCCGATCCGACCGCTCCATCTGCGAATCCACCTCCACCGGCATCGGTTTCTTTGAACTTTTCCCCAACTCCCCCTTCGCTCTCCTCAAATTATTCAATCCGTCTCTAATCTTACTCTCAATATCAATCTCCCTTTGTATCGCCTGCATCTTCTCCGTCGACCGCGCCATCTTTTCCGAGAGGACTTCAGACTGGTCTTCGACGTCGAGGGCGGTGCTGGGTTTCACGCAGGAGACGTGGGTTTCTTTGCGGCACTGTTTGTGGCACATGTACCCGCAGGACTCGCAGCGGTAGGTGGAGATGGGCGCGTCGAGGGGGTTGAAGCAGTATTCGCAGTAGAGTTGGTCGGTGCCGGAGTATTGAACGAAGGTGTGGGCGAGGTCGTTTGAGGCGAAGACGACTGGGTTTAGTTGATTCTGGGAGCGGTCAGTGCTGAGTCACTCCTGTATCGGCATACGGCAAGGTGGCAGAATGACTAGTAGACTCACCGTGGACGTCCGCTTCCAATCCTTCATAACATTTGCCGTCATCTCGTCCGGACTATCAGGGGTGAGTGGTCTGCGTGGATCGTTCATCGAAGAGGCACTTCTCGATCTGGATGTGGTAGCTTTTCCGGATTCCTGTGTATTCGAGAGATCATCAGCACACGCATTCAGGACAAAATGCCCAATTCAAAATCCCCCACCTTCTGCGAAGACTTCCGGTGCAAAGAGGCGCCCGCGCCCCTCGCCCGAAACCTCTCACAGTCCACCCCCATCACCTCCAACGTCGTCATCAGCTTCTCCCACACCTCCCCGCTCTCATACGTGAACGGAGGCATGTCCGTGATCCGCTCCGCCGCCCTGTTGTACTGTATTGTCGTCAGGTGGCGGGTGCCTCTCAAATCGTTGCGCATTGCTTGAAAGAACGCCGTCTCGATGAAGGGTTGACCTGCTGTCGGACTCGCTGGCGCGGCGTCTTTATCTGAGGACGGTAATTGTGGGCTATCTGAAATGGGTGCCCCGTCGTGGATGTCGTGCAGCCAGTTCAAGACAACAAACGCCATGTCGTCAAAAAGGATCGGGGTGGGACTTTCTAGGGTGAGTTTGATCTTGTCGATCACGTTCCGTGCCAATTGGTAGTGTTCGGGTATTTGTCGCAGAATGTACATTGGCGATGTTCTCGACAGGTATGTATTGTAGATGCGGTATGCTTGGCTCTTCCGTGCGGAGCTGTACAGGTATGGAAAGTCGACACGAAAGTTCTGAGCGTCCATTCGAAAGTACTATCCGGAAAATGGACGACCCAACGTTTCAGTTTGTTAACCTGTACTCGGAAAAGGCCGGCGCGTCTTACATAGAGATTCTCCAGATTTCGCCACAGAAGAAACATCAGGAAGTAGCACCTATGGTGTATGCAAACGTTAGCATATCACTTCACTGTGAAACTTGACGCACCCAAACGATGGCTTACCGCGTAATAGGATGATTCCATAACCCCGAAAACCCACGAGAGCTGATGTCTTTCAGGAATCCATCTTTATCCTTCAAGAGGGATGTATCTACCTTGGGAGTCGGCCGTGGATTTCCCGTCGATGTGCTGGAAGGGGCCACTGTTGCGGTCGCCAAAGGTATTTGTATCGTACCGTCTATTGTGGATTGCTTCCGGAGGTGCCTTGTCAGGTTTGATAGAGTGAGCAAGTTGCTCATGGACTGGAAGGAGTATGATGACCGCGAGCGAAGCACCGGAGGCCGAGCTGCAGCTGCCGGTGCCGCGGCTACGGACTGGGAAGTTATTGAGGCGGATTCGGTTTGTTGTGGCGAGGTGGTAGATGTAGTCTGCAGTATTTCTATGGAGCTGGCACCCAGTATTGCCGAGGTGAGGTCTGTGGTGCTCATCGGCATTGGAGCGTCATTTTGCCCGACATCTTTGACCGACTGGGCTCTTCTAAGGCTGGCCAGGTTTTGCCCCAAGTCCCGAGGAGTCATTGGAGACGCCAGGTTATCGAACGAGTTGCTGTATTTGGAAGCGGCTTTGAGGCCAAAATGACCTGAGGTAGGACGCCATTTCGACGGGGCGCCGGCGGCCTTGTTGTTTTTGTTTGAGGCGAGACTATCTGTGGAGAGCGACTCGTGCAGCTCGTGCTGGCTCAGGGCCTCGTCGATATCCATGTTTTCACGACGAGGTACGGGGAGGGCGTCTATGTATGAAGTATGTGGGGGTGGTGGTGGTGGGGGTGCGTTATGGATGTTTTGTGTTAGCGGGGGGGCGCCGATGGCCGAGCGGAAGCAAGCTGCGAGCGCTGACTCACGCGTGTGATGGGCGTTGGGCTTTGGGAATAGAGCGAGGAGACCGCAGAGAGCGACGACATCTCGCCCAGCAAGCTACGTCTGCGGCAGACACTTCCGCCGAACCCTCCCTCTCTTCCCCTCTCCCCCCCCACCTGCTGTGTAGGACGATGAAGGCACCACGCTTCAAGGCCGTCTTCTTCGACATGGGCGGTGTCTGCGTCCACAGCCCGCTCGAGGGGATACGCACCTTCGAGCGTCAGAACGGAATTCCAGAAAACTACCTGAACGTCGCAATGTATGTACTGTACTCTCGGAGGTAGGGGGGACCCTATCCCCGCTCAATTTCATTCCTGCTGCCTTACCCCACGTGGTGTGTTTGCTGTCATGTATCTTCCTGTGTGTCTCCGTGCTTCCATGCGAGAGGTGGGACCCGCCAATTTGATTTTGCGTAGTGCGTTCCCACGTGCACTCCACTCTCCCATCCCAGCTCTTCTTCGGTGTGTTTACACTAACCGGAATGCTCAATTCTCCTCCGTACGTTTTGGTAGCTCAGTTCAGGGCGAGCATGGAGCGTTTCAGAAGCTGGAGCGTGGGGAATTGAAACTGTCAGAATTCTATCCCGAGTTCGGGAGGCAATGCTCCGACCACGCGACGAACGCAAAGGCATATGTAGAGTATCTCGTCAAGAAGGGCGGAGAACGAATATGTATGTTTTGTTCAACTTACTTCACGCCGGATGTGGGCCGTTTCCACCGCGATCTCGTCGTTCCTGTTTGCGATCGGTTTACTCACGCTTCTATTTTTGCAGCAGAGGATCAAATACCACAGATCACAGTCGATGGCAAAGAGCTGTTCACTTTCATGATGGAAGAGGCACAGAAACCTGACTTGCTGGTCCTCAACGCCGTCCGCAAACTCAAAGGTGATCCATAGGACATTGAGAAGGTGTTGATGCACCGGGCAGAATCGTTAACCCGGATGTTTTGCGATTTCAGAAAGCAAGCGCTTCAAGATCGCTGCGCTGACCAACAACTTCCAAAGTGAAGAAACGCCGACCGCCGACCCCGATTCAGCAGGACAGGCGTTCGGAAGACCACCCGCGGAGCTTGTAGCGCTGTTTGATGAGTACATCGAGTCGAGCCTTGTCGGTATGCGCAAACCAGATCCGGAGATCTTTCGCTACGCGTGTGATCGCATGGGAGTGCAGCCGAGTGAGGCTATCATGTTGGATGATATCGGCCCGTAGGTGTCATGAGTGGAGTTTGCGCGAGTTCGGAAGGCGTCTAGATCTGCAATGCTAAAACGCCTCGCCGACATTGCAGAAACCTCAAGGCAGCCAAGGATGTCGGGATGACACCCATCCGTATGTTTGATCGCACCACGCAAAACTGTGCGCTCTCATGTTTTCGAAGCGTTAACCCATTCCTCATCCCACAGGAGTCTATGTCGGTAGATCCAAAGAAGCGATCGAAGAGCTAGAAAAGTTAGTCGGCATGAGTCTATTAGAAAGCCGGGAACCTTCAAATAGCAGACAGCTCCGTGACAGGCAGAAGACCGTTGTAGAATCTTCACGTAAATACAAACTCTGAACTGTTTCAATCCCTTTTGTAGCTGCAAAAAAGCGTATTGAATATCATTTCTTCTTTCCCATTCTCTCGTTATCCGATCACCTCGATCTTGTTTCATGGATTCCCACTGTTTATGAAAATTCGAATGTTCCAGCACCACACGCCCGCCCATCCACTCGCAGCACATCGATTCAGCGCAATTCTTGCACGCACACTCGACCACCAACTGCTCGATACGATCGAAGTCGGCGTGGAGCGAGGCCTGCCGATGGAGTTTGTCGATGGACCTAAAAGTGCTCCTGGGCATCGGCCGTTGATTCCTTTTGCGGGGGATGCGTGGGATGGGTCTGACGAGCTCCGGACTATGAAATCGATCCCGTTGGATACGTACCGCGGTACAGCAACACTGGAGGGCATCGAGCACGTGCTCTCGCTCACCCGCCGTCGACTCGAAAACGGTGAAATTGCGCACGTACACTATTCAGCTGAAGAAGAGCGGGACCCCAAATTACCCAGGGTGGAGTTCACCGAGATGCGGCCGGCGGCGGATTGGGTGGTTAGGAGACATCGCGGTGCGGACGGGGAGACTTGGAAGGCTGCTAGGAAGGTTCCGAAGGAACTGATGGTAATGATCATACTTGTTCTTCGGGTCATGTATCTCGGCAACCCCCTTCCTAGGATTGATTAATTTTTAGCAATCAAAGACAAAAAACATCGAACGCAACGCGCTCGGTGATGCACAAGCAGGATCTGGGCAAGCTGCAGACGAGGAAGACGAAGGGGTTGAAGAGGGGGGCTGATGAGGAGGAGGATGATGGGGAGGAGGAGGAGGGGGAGGCGCCGGCGCTCGTCAAGAAAGTTAGGGTTGACTGACGGGGTTGTGAGGGAGGCGTGGGCCTTGGTTTGGCACCACATACAGGAGGCTAGGGTAGGCCGCGAGACAGCACACATCGATAGTCATCACTCGAAAGCAACGCACTGTATTTACAGTATATTTATCAAAAGTTCCATTTTCATCGCACACGAACCTATGCACTAAAAGAGATTTCTACAAGCTATTTTGCTGTATGCTGGTGTAATGTGAAGGTCGGGGTTGGAAGGCCCCAAAGTGAGCCCATTGTGAAGCATGACGAATGTGGGAATGCCAAACAAAACGGAAAAACGGGCGGCCTCAAAAACCTTCTGCGCACACTTTGGCCCCAACCCCCACCATATCTTGGTTCTTTGAAAGCGGGTTGCATGTCTCACGGATACGCCGGCGGTTGCTCCCCCTCTCCAACTCTTCCCTCCGCGCCACCCGCGCCACCCGCAGTCCCAGGATGTGCTCCCTCGGCCCCCCTCTCAGAAAACGCCGGCGGCAACGGGACCGGAAACACAGGCGCCGCGTTACTCGCCGATGCTGATCCAGACGGTGCCGCGTTGGCGACGGGCGTGTACATGGGCAGGGATTCTTCGTGGGGGAGTGTGTCGCCTGCGGATGACGTAGAGTCAGAGATACGACCATACGGATGAATGTGAATGTGGGGATAGTGCGGAGAGGGACGAACCAGTGAGCCGCGAACGTAGCTGCATAAACATGCTCGAGAACTCGAATCCGCCCCTACAAAACCATCAAAATCCCGGATATCAGTCCCGTCCGTTCCAAAAGCTGCATTCGAATCCCCGGAACAGTGATCCCCCTACCCCTCCTTGAACGAGAATTTTGCCCGCCCGGGGAGTGTTAGCCCGCCGTTGGGGATTGGTTGGACGGTTGCTGCATTGAAAAACAGAATCAGATCAGCGTTTCCGCTAATGAAACTGACGGACAATTCTCACCTTCGTAGTAGTTGGATTGTAGCCAGGGTTGTTGGAATTTGCCTTCCCTGGGGGACGAGAGGATAGATGCGTTGGTTTCCGACCTTCCATCGCCCACGTACATCCCCACTGATAACCGTCGTTCCGCCGCGTGGTCCCCTATGCGACGGCCAACGAAAGGTTGATGCTCACTTCAGACAATCCAGTGGGACCTACAAACGCCGCAATACGAAGAAAGTAAGCCCAATGCCGCAGCCAAACCGCACAGATGAAGGCATCCCCTGCACCCGCTCCCCCTTTCCCCCTACACCACTCACATTCAAATTCTGGAAGAAATCCATCTGCGGCACCGAGACATATATCACGCGTCGATTTGCTGTGTTCATATCAAAACCTCTTCAGACAACCATACATCCGGAATGGTGTGATGCATATCTCGAGCCACTTACTGAGGAACAGTGTCCCTTTTTGCGAGTAGAAGTTGTTGCCCTGGCCGGGGTAGCCGCTATGGGAGGGGAAGTGCCAAGGAATGTGTAAATTAACCGTCTCACTTTGGACATCACCGGCGGGTATGGGGTGCAACACAGGGGTGGGACTGAAGAGACATACTTTCCACTCTCATACTCGAGCATCACACCCCCTACATCACAGAAATAGTATTGGGACAGGATTGAGGTAGTGGAAATGAACGGTCAGAGGCGCGGAAGCCAAGATGACTCCCACGACTTCATGGGAGAAGTGTGCGTACCTTGGTTGAGGAAGAGTTTCTCGCCCGCGACGAGGACGGGGGTTCCGTCTGGGGAAAATATGGCTCCGTTGAGGGACATATTTTGTTGTGTTTTGGGAACAGTTGGGCTTGCGGGCTGTTTGGTGGGGGGGGTTTGGAAGGGTGGGAAATGCGGACGGTTGAGCAAGTTGTGCAGATCGGCGTGTCATGCCAAGTTGCCAACACAGAAGACACAGACAGGCCAACAACAGAGACAAAACTAGGACTCCCTTTTTCGACCCAAATCCTCCCACATTCCAACTCCCTCCCAACTCCCATACCAAGAACGATACCCCACCCAAAATGGACCTCTTCGGCCAATACGGCTCCGACGACGAGCCCTCCTACGCCCCCGTCATCCCCGCCAAAAAGCAAAAGATCAACACAGCCCCCGAAGTATCCACCCAGGACCTCCAAACTTTCAACTACATTCCCGAAATCACCACAAAGGAGATTGCCCATAATGTGCCGTATAAGGATCTGGTGAGGCCGAGTCAGGGGCCCGAGAATCCGTTTGCGACGCAGGCCACTGCGCCTAATCGGAATGTCCTTACTGGTATGTTTCGTGACGGTGGCGAGAGACTGTGAATGCAGCGAGCGAAGCGAGGCGCAGGGCTGCTTGAGGTTGGGCGAGCGATAGCGAGGGTTTGCGGGCGGAGCCCGGCTGATTGCATCGTAGGCGCAAGGTCGCTTGGAGCACCCGAGCGTCAGCGAGCGGATGGAATCGCGCAAGGCAGCCTTGGACGAGCGAAGGGAGGCGCAGGGATCTTTGAGGCAGGCGAGCCCTAGGCGAGCCTTGGTTTGCTCTGGGAGCCCGCGGCGTAGCGAGGGCGACCAGCGCAATACTCCCCTAACCACGGCTCTCAGCGAGCCTCAACGAGCGTCAGATTTTTTGCGAGCGTAGCGAGCTTCGCACACCGCAGTCCAATCTCCTTGTCGCGCGGGAAGCGAGCAGGTTATGCTTCAACCATCGTCAAAATATCCGATCAAACAGTCATACTCATCGTTATATCTCCTTCATCCCACTTAAATCGCAGGCTACGTGGAAGAATATGCGATATCGAGCTACAACTTCGACTCGATGTCCCGAACCTTCGACAACCTCGGCTACGCAGTCGACCCCAACAGCAACGGCGAGGTGTTTGTTGGCGACCTTGCGAAAGCTACCGCAACAGGCGGTGCAACGATTTACGAGACAGGCAACAAGGTGAAGGCTGCAGAAAAGCGGAAACGGAAGGCAGCGGGTGATCCGGCATCTATCGACGGATACGCGGGTCCGTGGGCGGGATACGAGGGGGAACATGTGCATGTTGAGGCTGGGGTGGGACCGACGGACGAGGAGATCGCGGCTGCTGAGGCTGCAAGCACGCAGGAAAACGTGAAAAAGCCGAAAACCGCAGACGAGGAGGTTGGGAACGAAAGGAGTATCTTCCATGGCAAGGACGAGAGGGATTATTTGGGCCGAACGTATATGCATGTGCCTACGGATTTGGACGTGGATCTGTCTGCGGAGCCCGGGATCAAGGACTGCTTCTTGCCAAAGACGCTGATTCACACGTGGACCGGACATACGAAAGGTGTCAATGCGATACGGCTGTTTCCGAATAGCGCTCATTTGTTTTTGAGTGCGGGGATGGACAACAAAGTGAAGGTGAGGGCTGGAAGGCTTTGACGCTCCATATGATTTGCTTGGATTTCTCACATCTTTAACAAACAGCTTTGGGACGTCTATCACGACCGCCGCTGCCTCCGCACCTTCATGGGCCACTCCAAAGGCGTGCGCGACATCACATTCAACAACGACGGCACGCGCTTCCTCTCCGCCTCCTACGACAAATACATTAAGCTCTGGGACACCGAAACCGGCGCCTGCATCTCCTCCTACACCACCAAGCGGATACCCTACTGCGTGCGCTTCAACCCAGACGCCGACAAGCAGCACCTCTTCCTCACCGGGTGCGCCGACAAGAAGATCTACCAGTTTGATGCGAACTCGGGCGAGGTCGTGCAGGAGTATGATCAGCATCTCGGCGCGGTGAATACGATCACGTTTGTGGATGATAATAGACGGTTTGTGACCACGAGTGATGATAAGACGCTCAGGGCGTGGGAGTTTGATATCCCCGTGGTTATCAAGTATGTGGCGGAGCCGAGTATGCATTCGATGCCCGCTGTTACGTTGCATCCAACAAGTAAGTTTGCTGCCCTGCCTATTCCCTCTTCCCACTCCCACTCGTCACGCAACTCAACTGACACCTTCCCCACCGCCCAGAAAAATGGCTAGCCTGCCAATCCCTCGACAACCAAATAGTAATCTACTCCGCCCGTGACCGGTTCCGCCTCAACCGCAAAAAAACGTTCCGCGGCCATCTCGTCGCCGGTTACGCATGCCAACCGTCCTTCTCGCCCGACTCGCGGTTCGTGACGAGCGGGGACAGTGAGGGAAGAGTGTGGTTCTGGGACTGGAAGACGTGTAAAGTGCTGAAGAAGTTTAAGGCGCATGATAAGGTTGTGATTGGGACCGAGTGGCATCCGCATGAGACTAGTAAGTTGTTTACTTGTAGTTGGGATGGGACTATCAAGTGAGTATGAGTGGGTGGATTTGTGTGTCGATTTTGGGTCTGCGCCTGGCGGTTCCACTGACTTTTGTTACGTCCAGGTTTTGGGACTAGAAGCCTAAAAGAGACACACCACCGGGCCAGCAGGCAGGAAATGATACGCTGAAGGAGCAGGCGAAACCAAACCCCATGAATCGAACACAACGTCCCTCTCGTCGCCATCAATTCACCGCATCGTGTACCCGTCCCGTTCGCCCGCTCGCACACCCGACGGTTGAGGCTGGGGCCTTTTTAGGTCATTAGTAGGATGCGATGATGTTTGGGTTGCACCTGTAGATATGCATCTCGTCAAGCGCGTTGAGGGATCTCATCAGATGAGGTCTGTAGGGTGTAGTAGAGAGCATCCCTCTCCAGTTTGCTCGCTCATGTACGCTGGGCTTCGTTGCTTGTGGTCTTTGTACATATGGTAAATTATCAAAACAAATGTGTATTCCCGGTCTATGATAGGTGCGTAGTGTGAGAATAAAGATATTCTAGGGCCTAGAAGCGTGCTCAAATGGACAGGGCAGGAGAAAGGGAGAAACCCTCCACTCCTATTACACGCCCTCACTGCCTCTTCTTCTCAACCTTCGTCTCCTTCACGGCAACAACCCTCGCCGCCGTCGACTCCACGACCACAACCCTCTCCCCACCCCTCACAAGGCCCCCAACCTTCCCCACAACCCACCTCCCCACCACATACCCCCCATGCCCCACCACACACCCCGCCACCACCACCAAACTCCCGACAATCCACACAACCCACCACGGCGCGAACCACATCGCCACACTTATTCCGTACCCCACAACCGCCGGCACCACCGCAACCCTCCAATCCACATGCCCCGGTCTGTCCAACCTAAACTTCTCCCTCCACCCGGTGGCCTCCCACACCTCCCCGACGACATCCCGGTCCCCGAAACTCTCCCTCGTCACCTTCACAAAGTGCTCGAGCTGCTCGCGGACGTACGCCACGACCTCGTCGGCGGTATACCCAAACTGCAGCGTGGAAATAACGGTCTGGATGGTATGGTCCACCGTCTGCGGCCAATTGGTTAACGTGAGCGTGATGGTCGCTTCGTCGGTGGACGGGTCGGAATGGACATGTGTCGTGGATGAGCCGGCGGGCAGGGGGATCCCGAAGGCGGAAAAGAGGTCGTGGATCCCGCGCAGGGTGACGGTGAGGTAGAGGGATTCGTCGTCGTTTTGGCCGCCGGTGAAGGGCGGTTTTTGGGAGGAGGAATCATCGTGGGGGGGTGGGATTATGATGCCGGAGGAGGGAGGGGCGGCGTGGGCGTGGGATAAGGGGGTGAGGAGGAGGAAGAGCAGGAGGGTGGCGGATAAGGCGGGTAGGAGGAGGCGGAGGGAGCGCATTGTCGGGGCGTTGTTGACGGATTGGGGGGTGGGGTTTGCAGCGCTGTTCGCACTCTGAAAGCAAGCGCTGAGCAGCCACCGCATTGTCGCTTGTTACGGCCGCTGACCTGGCCGGAAATAAATCCCGTAATTAAACTCTGGCATGGCACGTGGCTCCACGTAGTGATTCAATGCCGTGCGCGCTCTCTTGTCGGTGTCTGCCTTCCCTTATGGTGTGGCCCGGCTCGCCCCCTAGCCATACCTTCCATATCATGCCCCCTAGCCATACCTTCCATATCATGCCCCCTAGCCATACCTTCCATATCATGCGCTCAAGCAGTCCCTGCTACACGCTGCATGTCTTTTGATAAGGCGGCAATGACGTCGTCTTCAACATGGCCTCCAAAGATGATGTCGTCTTAAACGCGTAAGCAGTGGACTCTGAGGGCCCTTCTGGTCTGGCCCGGCCCGCCCCCTAGCCATACCTTCCATATCATATGTCTTTTGATAGGAGGCAATGATGTCGTCTTCAACATGCCCTCCAAAGATGATGTCGTCTTGACAACTTATGGAAACGTGGGGCGAGATAGGTGCCAAAACGCGTTGTGTAAGCAGTGGACCCTGAGGGCCCTTCTGGTTTGGCCCGGCTCGCCCCCCTACCCATACCTTCCATATCATGCTCTCAAGGATTCCCTGCTTGCGCTGCATGTCTTTTGATAGGAATCATTGATGTCGTCTTCAAGATGGCCTGCAGACGGCCTCCAAAACGCGTCTCCACCCTGCTTACACTACGCGTTCTGGAGTCGGATTCCCGACCCTTTCCCACCCAATCTCGCCCACGTTTCCACCCAGCTCGCAGTTTCTCTTGGCAGGCCCGTCGCGGGCCGTGGTGGCCCGGCTCTGCCACGTTTTCAGGACGCAACCAAAAACTCGCAACTTTTGCTCGCCCGAGGTCTATAAAAGAAGGGCCTGCGACGGCTTCCCTCGTTCACTTTTTCTTCACCAAACCTCGCCTCGCCTTCAACTTCCCTCCTTCGCCTTCAACGCTTCGCCTATCCGGTCTCGCCTTCCTCGTCACGCCTCGGTCGTCTTTCAAGTTCCCTGCTTCGCCTTCAACGCGTCTACTATCCGGTCAAGTCCCTTCGTCGTCTCATCCATCCTTTCCCAACGCTTCAACTATCCGGTCAAGTCCCTTCGTCGTGTCATCCATCCTTTCCCAACGCTTCGTCTATCCGGTCAAGTCCCTTCGTCGTCTCATCCATCCTTTCCCAACGCTTCGTCTATCCGGTCAAGTCCCTTCGTCGTCTCATCCATCCTTTCTCAAGTACCCACCACCATCCTTCCCCATCTCTTCACAAGGTCACACCGTCGGGGGTACAAGCGACGTTAAAAACACCACGACTCCCGCTCATCGCCAGCGGTCGTGAGCTCGCCAACTCGGCTTCGGCTCCCGTTTCCGGCAACGGTCGTGAGCTCGCCACTCGACTTCGACTCGGCCGGCAACTTGACTTCGGCTCCCGTTTATCGCCAGCGGTCGTGAGCTCGCCACTCGACTTCGACTCGGCCGGCAACTCGACTTCGGCTCCCGTTTCTTTCGCCAGCGGTCGTGAGCTCGACAATTCCGCCTACGGCTCCCGCTTACCGGCAGCGGTCGTGAGCTCGCCATTCGCCTCCGAATAGAACTACATTGCGGTTGATTCCTTCGGGATATGTAGGCAGCGCTTCGGCGTGCACCGTATCAAGGTCCCCATCGGCTCCCGTTTCTCGGCAACGGTCGTGAGCTCGCCAATTCCGCCTACGGCTCCCGCTTACCGACAGCGGTCGTGAGCTCGCCAACTCGACTTCGACTCGGCTCCCGTGTTTCCGCCACCGGTCGTGAGCTCGCCATTCGCCTCCGAATAGAACTACATTGGCGGTTGATTCCTTCGGGATATGTAGGCAGCGCTTCGGCGTGCACCCCATCAAGATCGGTTCGTTCCGCCTACGGTCGTCGCCAATTCCACCTACGGTCGTCGCCAATTCCGCCTACGGTCGTCGCCAATTCCACCTACGGTCGTCGCCAATTCCACCTACGGTCGTCGCCAATTCCGCCTACGGTCGCCAATTTCGCCTACGGTCGTCGCCAATTCCACCTACGGTCGTCGCCAATTCCGCCTACGCTCGCCTTTCGCCTTCGGAGACAGGAGAACTACATCGAACCCTGATTCCCCCAGCCGGGATATGTAGGCAGCGGCTCCGGCCGTGCGGGTGTCACTTCACGTCGCCAATTCCACCTACGGTCGTCGCCACTTCCGCCTACGGTCGCCAATTCCGCCTACGGTCCGCCAATTTCGCCTACGGTCGTCGCCACTTCCGCCTACAGTCGCCAATTCCGCCTACGGTCCGCCAATTCCGCCTACGGTCGTCGCCACTTCCGCCTACGGTCGCCAATTCCGCCTACGGTCGTCGCCACTTCCGCCTACGGTCGCCAATTCCGCCTACGGTCCGCCAATTCCGCCTATCGTCGCCATTCCCCCTACGCTCGGCCTTTCACCTTCGGGGAAAGAAGAACTACATTGAACCCTGATTCCCCCTAGCGGGGATATGTAGGCAGCGGCTTCGGCCGTTCGGGTGTCACTTCACTTCGCCAATTTCGCCTACGGTCCGCCAATTCCGCCTATCGTCGCCATTCCCCCTACGGTCGCCTTTCGCCTTCGGAGACAGGAGAACTACATCGACCCCTGATTCCCCCAGCCGGGATATGTAGGCAGCGGCGCCTTCGGCCGTGCGGGTGTCACTTCACAGGTAAATATTTCTTTGTGGTCTCGTGTTTCTTCACTCTTTACTTGTACAATATAATATTCAATAAACTATCTCAACCATACAAACTTTGCTCTGATTCTACTGTCTGATGTGTTTTGTTCTCTTGATTCCCCCGTCCAAACTTCTTCCTACGCATTGAACATCTGATTCTGTTTCTTGATTTACTTGTACTCCACTATAATATTCAATATACCATCTCAAAACATACAAACGTCGCTATGAGTTACTGTCCGATCTGTTCTGCGCGCTTAATGTCTTGGTTAAAACTTCCTTTCTAACGCCTTCGTCCCAACTCCTTTCAGCGATCTTTGGTTGTATGACTTCCGCGTGCTCTCATTACGACGTTACGGTCAAGCCCGCCTGTGCATGCGACTTAGTGGATGGTTGTGACGAAGGGCTCCATCCCGGACCTATAGCGCTGGGATCAAATGCAGGAACGAAGAAGGACCCATTTCTACATTCATTAAGGGCAAGTCTCGACCCACGCTTGGCCCGAAAGCAAAAACGAAATGGCGGGAGTTCAGCATGCACCGAGACTCTAAGGATGGCATTGGTGCGGGCAATGCCTACACTGAACATAGTCCACGATCTTGTCCCTGTTCATGTGCGGGACGCGGCGGTGGTTGAGAAGCATGATGGTTGCTTAAAAAGCATCCCGGTGCGCACATCTGGCATTGACGATTGCCGCTTGCACTCACCGAATGAAGAGCCTAGTTCCACAGCTTTGAATTGGAATTAGCGGAATCGATGCTTGCGGAGGTCAGGCGGATGGTGCGACCAGTGACCTTGTTCCTCTGTCCGACACTATAGCATGTCCTTTGCTGAAAGAGCGGCGTATATCCATGTGTCTCCAAGACGATGCAGTTTACTACAGCCACCCGCAACGGGCGTGTGCGATTCGCTTCGCCTACTTAGCACACTTAGAATGCTGGCAGTCAGTGTAGATCACCGGCACATCACAGCTGGATGCTCCCTCTCAAAAATTCTTGCGGTTGACGATACACACCCATGATGGAACTCCACTTCCTGTTCAGGCCATCGCAATCAGAAAACAGTTAGGGGGCTATGATAAGGGCTATGAGTACCACCTGGCTCCCCGTCTTCGAATTTCGGCCGTTCGACTTTTCCGCTAAAGTGAGTGGTCAGCGAGCGGAAAGAGTGGTGTCGACGCCGCTTTTGCCGAGCGTCAGCAATGACGGGAAATGTGGAGCATCAGCAAGCTTAGCTTGAATCAATCTGCGAAAGGTAGCGAACGATTCTTTTTTCGTTCAATCCAACCCATCATTATTGTTGCGAGCGTGAGCGAGCAATGTATAGTTGATCTGCGGTCCACCGCCGTTCATCGCTTAGATCATCCAATACCATTCATCGCTTCGACCATCCACCGACCATGCCATTGCTTAATTCCGTCGCTCATCGCATCGCAAACTTGTTGCTCCGTGGGTCGTTTTTCGCTGGTCGGTACAAGCTTCCAGCGTGCGGCGCCACCGACGCCGACCTGTTATTGACAACGACGGCTCGCCATGTACATACGGTTTTTTTCCCCGTGTTTGTTTCGAGGTAACTGGCGGGAGATGTGCGATGCAACCCTGTCTCCGTGTGCTTTGAAAAGCAAAGTCCCTCGAGACAGTTCCATACAGTGGGAATACGCCGTGGTAGATGGATGTGGTCCAGGTCGAGCATCCAGCAAAATCCTGCCAAAGTGGCAACTTTTCGTCCATGAGCTGGCCATCTTTGTCAGTGGTTCCTCAGATCCACTCAGGGTTTGTTTCACACAAAGGCGCAACAACTGACCTGTTCTTGTCGCCAGTAAAGGAAAGGGATAGGGAGTTAGCAGCAGCGCTGAATGTCTTCGCCCACCTGACGTTACCCAGTGTGCGAAAATCAGTCAGCGCTCATCCTTACTTGCTGATGCCCATCCAGCCGCCTTGTACACTGTGTTGCAATATCTCCTCCTAGTGCAACATCAATAAGTCAGATACACACTCTTGTAAGCTGGTTTCGGGCATTGACAGAGCAGGACCGCCATTGGCAATGGTCAGATGCTCGGCGTTTTCGATGCGTCATTTAATCTTTGTGATTTTTGCTCCACTCGAAAGCAGTGCCTCTGCTCTTCTCCGCAACCAGGACTGGCTTAGTGAGCCGAGGATTGTGATTTGTTTCGCCATGGATATGGAAATGCGCTAACGCCGCTACAACATGTCTTATGCTTGCTGGCTATCCATGAAACTGTTAGCAAGAGATGCCACTCAGTCAAAGTATATAAGCCAAAGCAAGCGTAATGCGAGAACGAAAATGTGTTAACAAAGGTAACATGACGGCCAAAGGAAGCAGAAAGCAAACCAACGAAGTCGGGAGAAAGAAATAAATACACAGGACAAGTCGTCCTCCATGATTTAGGTGGAGGTGTGCACTGGCATTGTCCGGGCCGACCACCCACCCTCTGCCGTTTCTATATGAAAGTACGTGCCAAACATCTCGGGCATGTGGGGGCTGACATTCCCGAAGAAAGGAAGACGTCTCTATCTGACAACCAGCCACCGTCTAAACGGAGAGCGAAAGCGCGGATAGCCCTTCCAGAAAAATGCTAGGCTAGTTAACCGACATCCCATGCGGTATACTGTGACGCCCGCCCGCAACGAACCATCTTCCCCATGCGGTTTACTGTGATCGAGGAAGGAGGACGGTTCGGACAACTCTATAGATGAGGGACGGACCCATTCCTTCCGCCTACTCCTCACCAAAGCACAGAGGGTTGCATTGAAAAGCAGAGACTTGGCGATGCGCGCTCAGATGTAGGCGGCCGGTTCTCTGTGCTTGAAGATTGGGGGGCGAACGCGAGAGGATGGCCGCTAGCCGTTCAGACAGTGAGGAACGCGCAACTGTTGAAAAAGAGCGCAGTAAATTGAGGCTCCACGTAAGCACGCGTTGAGCCGACTCCGACTTCGAAAGAGCGGCGCAGAAGGGATACGCACCAGTTCGTCATGGGCCATTCTGACACGTTTTAGCCCGCCCCGTTGGGATAGAAGCTGGGTGTCTTCCTTCATTTGCCCTGAAGGGAGGTAATAACGCAAAGGAACAAAGAGCAAGCACGGAAAAGTCGCTCAACTCACCCAGAGGGATAGACTCGATACGATCTCGGCACGTTTTGTCAGATATACGGCAGCCCATCCAGGACGGCCCCCCAAAACTCGGCGAAAGCGTCTTTCAACGAATCTTTGCAGAAAGACCCGGTCGCTCTTGTTTATGTGAAGGGAGAGGATGCGCAACTGCCACGTCAACCGACAACGAACCCGTACATACATTGTGTCTGCTTACGCGACGCGCAACTCCGCCCTCTTATCTCCAAGATTTGCATGAATGGAAGACACACTCTGTTCTTTCACCCCTTCAACACGCCCGCTGCGAGCCACCAGGTACGCCTCCCCTCCAGCTGGTCGAAATCTGCACGGATTTCCTCCCCTCGTCCTCGCCTCGCCGACGTCTATAAAATAAGACCTCACCTCGCCGCCTCTCCTCCTGTTTTCTCACTCAACTCGCCAACGCACTGCTACATCAAGCATTGGCTACTTCACAAACATCACAAGATAGCACTACTCTCAACCGCTTCTTGTCTCAAGCAACCCACATCTACTTGCGTATCTGGCTCCCCCTTCCAGCACGCTCATCGGCCAAACCGCATGGCATTCGTCGGCACCTCATCAAGGCACCAAGTCTTCACAGCCATCCTTTGACGCTGCACTCGCCGTCACTAGTACAAGTCACTATTACTAGTCCAACTTATCATAATTCGACGCCACCATCCGTCGACGCCGATACCATTCTTCGTCAACACCACTCGTCTTCGACGCGACCAGCCTTCGATACCCATCATCCCTCGAAGCCAAACCTACTGTCGTCGGCGCCCCGACCTTCAAGCACTCCTACCCTCGATGCTACCATCTGTCGTCAATACCACTCGTCGGCGATGCTACTTCGAGCGCACCAACTCTGTCCGCCAATTGTGCACTCCTACGTATGTGACCATCTCCGTTTACGTGACCAAACTCAGCTGCCTGCATCAGACTCTTGACACTTTTCACTTTACTCCTAGAGCCACCCGACCGCCACTACCATTCGTCGACGCTCCTACTCATCATCGGTCCCAGACGCTTGGAAGCTACTTCCCCCCATGGTCTGGGGTGTCAGACCCCCAACACACTGGGCGATCAAGCGCATGGCCAAGGCGAAATAACCACCTGCAAGGAAAAGCGGGCGAGAAATACCCGGTGGAATGCTGTTATCCCGGAAGAAGACTCCGTTAACAACGGCCGGGGAAGGCCTTAAACCCGCAAGACCCTGCGATACCAACCGCATACTGAGGCGTCAGAATACTCTCGGGAGGCGAGGATAAATGTCCCCCCCCATGGTCTGGGTTGTGAGCACCCCCAACACACTGGGATATCAAGCGCATGGCACGGCGAAATAACCACCTGCAAGGAAAAGCGGGCAAGAAATACCCGGTGGAATGCTGTTATCCCGGAAGAAGACTCCGTTAACAACGGCCGGGGAAAGGCCTTAAACCCGCAAGACCCTGCGATAACAACCGCATACTGAGGCGTTAGAATACTCTCGGGAGGCGAGGATAAATGTCCCCCCCATGGTCTGGGTTGTCAGACCCCCAACACACTGGGCGATCAAGCTGGAGACCAACCAGTGCAAAAATCCGCATGTCAGCCAAGGCGTTATAACCTGTCACGATGTTGTGTGTGAGGTGAAAATCCGGCAAAAGATGCCGTAACAGCCGGCTGCCAACCTGGGATTGGACTGCCAACCGTTGGACAATGGGATCCCATACTGGACGGCCTTCTCGTGGCGGTTCCTGTCGTAGTACCTGGGCTTTGTGCCCGGGGAAACCAAAGGTCCAGTTTTCTTATACTTTCTTGTATCTAATGATATCGATTTGAATACAATACGACCTACTTCTTCACACTTCTTGCGATTCGTCGTTCTTCTCTCTCTTCTTCTCCGCTGTTCCTGCTCAACGCATCTCAGTTGCCCCAGATCCATCTGGCCAAATGCCGAACGGAATCGGGAAACGTCGCAATGTTTGACTGTTCTCCTCGCAAATGCCGGACGTATTGCAGTAAGCGAGACGGGAGCGCGCAACACACTGCTGGAGAGAATTGGTATGGCGGAAGCAGATTCGAGTTAAACTCACGGGAGCCGCACCCTGAAAACAGCTGGAAATCTCGTCGCATTCTGAAATGGTGAAAGGATCTCGCTTGAGACGTTGTACAATGGGTGGATCGGGATAGACAAAGAGCCGTAGAAGATTGCAGACCGAGGGAGGGAAACCGCGGAACCATACCTGAAAACAACCGCGAGAGGCTAACCTTCTTGGTCCGGCATCGGAGAGAAACAGGTGAAGAGAATCGGCGTCAGGCAGGATGCAAAATGCGGCGGCGCGACGAAAGGGAAAGAACTGCGGCAGACTGAGGATGGCCGAGATACAGCTTTACATTCCAAGTATTGAGGAAGTCGAAAACGATGACTCGTCACAAAGATGCTCTGAGCGTAGTGCATTCAATTTTGAACTTCGCACATCCCGAACGACATTGCTACGTTACATTACATTCTATCTAGCGCCCAAGCTCACACGGTAAGTTATGGATTCGGTCGGACATTTGCTAGAGTTCTGGATGTATACACATCGATGTGGACATTACACATTCGTATCAGAGCATCATCTGCGCCCTACATTGCCCCTCGAAGCTCGTCCTTTCTAATTCCCCGATGACCTATGGATGTTCGATATTCCAGCAGCTGTCAGGTTGCATCAATCGTTCTCCGGCCCGCAAACGGTAATCCCTACCCCCCGACCAAGGGCTTCATGAGGTTATCATATCGCGGGCGATGGAAGGGCTCGCCATCATGTTGTCACTCGCTTCTGAAATGGCGGAGTTTTCGCGATATGTGCTCGGCGGTCCGATCCCTGATGCTGGTCGGGAGCTGCTGATGACTTTGGGTCTGATGCACTCGATCGTCAAAGGCGACCTTGCGTCTACTCCGCAATCCCACCTACGCGTTGTCGATTGTTGGTGAACATAATATTTGAATCTCCAAGCAAAAGCTTGGGCGTCCTTGAAATGCGCATGATTGTGAGATGGAAGTCAGATCGGCCCCGCGGCAACCACTGCTCATTTGCTTGTGATAGTCTGGGCAGCGAGCTTGACCCACAAGTCGTCACATAGAGGGCAAGGGGTGCTGTAACCGTAGTCGAGTATCAGTACCACATAACCGCGGAGTTCTCCAGCGTTTTTGCGCTTACCCATTGCCATAATCGACCTCGGAGCTCTCGACCATATTGTGACGTTCTAAGGTTCCACTTCAGCTTGAGAGATCTGACAACCGATTCTGGAGTGGAAGGTCCCCGGGCACGCTTCCACTACCACCGCAATTCGTATTCCGGCTCGCTTGCTGCATGTTGTCATACTTGGTAGTAAGGAGCACGGTTGTACTTTCGCGAGCCACCGCTCTCGATATCCACGGTCATTCCTAGTCGCACACGACCAGCCGCAGATGGGCAAGGTGGTGGTGCCTCGGTCTCTTGGAGATTCCGGTCCCTGTCGCGTTTGATAACGACATTAATGGTAGCGTCGACGGGGATGGTGAAATCCGCAGGCACCATAGGCCTCCTCAGTAAGTCTCAGACCATGATAGGCGGTAGGGCCTAAAATAGGCGGTTAACCCCAGCTTCCACAGCCAACATACTTTCCTCTCCCGAATCAATCTGAGGAGGTTCCTGCTTGCTGTTCAAAGAACCGGATTAGGATGTCCGAATTTGAGACGTGGCGCAGTCCACGCGCCATGTTATGCCCTCAGGTTCGCCCCGACCATCTCGACCCCATTCCGGCACGCCATTCTACACCGACTTTCGAAACAGGGAGGAACTCGTACTGTGTACCTGTCACAGGGGACGTCGGGGCTGACTTGTGGCTAATAAAGGCCGCTCACACTCAGGTGGGAACCCAAAGAATCTCGACTGTCAATTGAGCGACACACAGGTGGACCCTGCGGAGTTGTCATATGGGGTTAGCCTTCAGCCAGAAAGCGGAGCTCCCATCTCGAGGTATGTTTGGAGTCTTCCGGAACTGATTGCTGGTCCTTGAAAGTCAACCTAATCCACGATACCACATAGGCCCGGTTCCAAACGTATCAACTCTGGTGAATTGCGGACGAGTACGACCCGTGTGACCCTGAAAGCGAAAGGACGGTATTTTCGACTTGCAAACCTGGGTCCGCTTCGCCGACGACGTAGACTTCCGTATCATATGGAACTAATCGAAATTGTCGAGTGTTGAGTCAAGTCTTGAGCCGTTGGATGGAAAGAATATCGCTTCGACCGCGATAGACTTTGTCCGTCCGACTCGCAGGACTGTCGGCGAGTGTCGAAAGCGAGTTACTCCCAGGCCTTCCGCATCCAGATGTCGAAGCGAATCAGCTCGGCGGATCAGCTGGCGGAACCCCTGCAAGTCACGACGAGGGGAGGGCCACTACAACAAACGACCAGATCTTCATCAAGTCTGCGAGGCTCGCTCGTAGACTGTCGAAGGATGTGCTGTATCGTCGAACATACGCTCGCAGCAGTGCGCCCCCATGCACCTCCTCGTCAGCTTCACGGAACACAGAACATCTCACTCTCCTTCCATACTTTCTCCTCGCGTCAATGCGTAGTTCACCTATTATAGTTTGCGTTAATGTACTTCTTCAAGCTGCGTTCCTACAACTACCCTGGAGCGCCTGTTGATGTATGTACAACATGCCCATAAGATGGATGTCTCTCCTGTCCCTCTCCTAGTGCGGGCGCTAGTGAGCTCAGGGCTTTCAGCGTATTTGTGCGTCTGCTGCGGCGCGGCCTCTGAAATTGTAACATGATTCAGGGCGGACCTGGGCGGAAACCGCGGAGTAGGGTGTGCCCGACTCGGTCAGCGATGAGTGGGGTAACGGGCCGAGCCGACTCGAATGACAACGGCCGCCCCCCTGTCCTGTCTGCCATTTGCCAGAGGTCCGAAAAGCCACCGAGATCAAAACCGATGGCACACATGCACAAAGCACATGGATTGCTGGGAGATGAAATCGGCGGGTAAAAAGCGGTGAAGGCGGGGTGGGTGACGTGCCGATGATGAATGAGTCATGGCCGATGAGTCGACGCGTTTTGTGAGATGGCCATATCTCCCCTCGCTCGCCCACCCATGGGCCATCACTGCTCCCGATGCCGATGATGTCGATCTCTGACGGGGGCCTCAGCATTATCGGCGACCTCGTTGTTATCGACATGGGCGACATGGCCAGCCTCATCCCCGCTCGCTAAATACTTATATCTCACTCGCAGCTGCCGGTCTTCGTCGCCGTCGCTGCCATATCTGTTTTCTGGTCTTCGGCACTCCGCTGGGAAGATTCCGTTGCAGTCCCCGGAGATCGCCATCGCCTTCCTATACTGTCAATTCACATGGTCTATACAGGCCCCACACTAACCGCCAGTAAAGTACGGCGGATAGCCCCACGTTGCATATACCTCTTGCAGAGTCTTCTGGCTCACGTCGAGTTTGTAGGTCACTTTGAATCCCAATTCTCACAATGTTGCGAGCACTCCGCCGGCCGACGCCGACGCTGCCGGCCCGTCTTGCATGCATGCATACCAAACTGCACCGACCACTGCGAGTCGCTCTCCCGACCATCCCTACAGCACGTCTTTTCACCTCGCAATCAAATAGCTCGCCACTAACGCACGCCGCACAAACAACTACCGTCAACGCCTCAGTCCCAGCGCCGCTCCTCCCTGACACCACCCGCTACAACGCTTTCCTCTTGCAGGCTCTAGGACGGGCTAGTAAGGCAACGGGCAAGGAAGGTGTCGTGGCGCCCGCGGTACCTTTCAGGCGATATAGCAGTGAATCTTTGACGGGAGATGGCGACGGCACTTGGACGCCGCGACCAGGTGGGGCGTTGAAGAAACCACCACCTGCGAAACGCGTTGTGATTGTGGGATCGGGAGGACTGAGTATCGGCCAGGCTGGAGAATTTGACTACTCTGGTGAGTGCCGACTTTCTTTTCGGTGACGGGTTTTGTCATTTTGACGTGGGTACGAATGAGATTCGCCATCCTTCCATGCATGGGAGTGGAGGTGACGCTTGGACGGTCTTCTGGAATTGCTGCATGCAGACTATTCAGATCTCGCTTACTCATTTACATTCTCAAATCTTTCTAGGCTCACAAGCTATCAAAGCTCTGAAGGAAGAAGGGGTCCAAACAATCCTGGTCAATCCGAACATCGCCACCATTCAAACAGGGAAAGAGCTCGCAGATGTTGTCTACTTCGTGCCGTCGAATCCAGAATACATCGAGTACGTCATCGAGAAGGAGAAGCCAGATGGGATCCTGCTCGCTTTCGGAGGACAGACTGGCCTGAATTGCGGAGTGGCGCTGGAGCACAAAGGGGTGTTCAAGAAACATAACGTCAAAGTGCTGGGAACGCCGATCAGGACATTGGAGCTCAGCGAGGATCGGGATCTGTTTGCGCAGGCCCTGAAAGGTATGCCCTTGAAAATATTTGACAACAACGTACTCGAGTGCTTGCCATGAATGCTAACTCGCTTCCCTGTCGACCAGATATCGGTATTCCAGTGGCTCAATCCACAGCCGTCTCCACCGTTGACGAAGCAGTTGCCGCCGCCGCACAAATCAAATATCCCGTCATCGTTCGTGCAGCATATGCGCTCGGCGGTCTCGGATCCGGATTCGCCAACAACGAAGCGGAACTTCGCGAACTCGCCACCTCCTCCCTCTCCCTTTCGCCCCAGATCTTGGTCGAGCGCTCAATGAAAGGATGGAAGGAACTCGAATACGAGGTCGTTCGCGATGCAGAAAACAACTGCATTACCGTGTGTAACATGGAGAACTTTGATCCGCTGGGTACACACACCGGTGATTCGATTGTAGTGGCTCCCAGTCAGACGCTGAGTGATGAGGAGTACCATATGCTTCGCAGCGCGGCCATCAAGATCATCAGGCATCTGGGGGTTGTGGGAGAATGCAATGTACAGTATGGCCTGAACCCGCACAGTCTGGAGTACGTGGTTATTGAGGTCAACGCGAGGCTTTCAAGGAGCAGGTATGGTGTCTTGATTCCATTCTGACGGAATTTCTTCGGGGCTATCACTAATTTCCTTCATATTAACAGTGCGCTAGCGTCGAAAGCCACCGGCTACCCTCTCGCCTTCGTAGCCGCCAAAATCGCTTTAGGCGCATCCCTCCCAGACCTCCGCAACTCCGTAACCCGCACGACAACCGCGAACTTTGAGCCCTCCCTCGACTACGTCGTCACCAAGATCCCGCGATGGGATCTCGCAAAGTTCCAGCACGTCTCCCGCAACATTGGCTCCGCCATGAAATCCGTCGGCGAGGTCATGGGTATCGGCCGCACATGGGAAGAGTCCTTGCAAAAGGCGATCCGAATGGTTGATCCGGCATTCGTCGGGTTCCAGAGCTTGGATTTCGGAGACAATCTGGAGACGGTGCTGCAGCAACCTACCGATCGAAGGCTTTTTGCTGTCGGCAGTGCCATGCTTGACAAGGGATATACGGTTGACCAAGTGCATGAGCTGACCAAGATCGATAAGTGGTTTTTGGGCAAGCTGGAAAACCTGGTCGAGACAAAAACAGAGCTGGAGGCGTTCGTCGGGCCGCAAGAAGTGCCCTCTTCAGAAACGAAAGACGTTGATGGGAAACCGCAACCACCTAGCTACGACCTCACCACCGCCACGATCCCCGTAACTCTCCTCGAACAAGCAAAGAAGCTCGGTTTCTCCGACACACAGATCAGCACCTACACGAAATCCACCCCCCTCGGTATTCGCGCCTTGCGGAAATCCCACGGTATCATCCCGCGCGTCAAGCGCATCGACACCCTTGCCGCGGAGTTCCCAGCCGAGACGAACTACCTCTACACGACGTACAATGCGACAACCGACGACGTCACTTTCGAGGACAAGGGAGTCATGGTACTTGGTAGCGGCGTGTATAGGATCGGGAGCTCGGTTGAGTTTGATTGGTGTGCGGTTGAGGCTGTGAGGAGTTTGAAGCGGTTGGGGTTGAAGACGGTTATGGTGAATTATAACCCTGAGACCGTCAGTACCGATTTCGACGAATGGTGAGTGTCCATTTCGTTTGTTGAAGCTTTCGGTGATGGTCAAGATACTAAAACTCAATTCAATGCTCCTTGCAGTGACCGCCTCTACTTCGAAGAGCTCTCCCTCGAACGCGTCCTCGACATCTATGAACGCGAATCCTGCACAGGCGCTATCCTCTCCGTCGGTGGTCAACTCCCACAGAACATTGCACTACCCCTCCATCTCCTGCCCAACATCAACGTTCTCGGAACGAGCCCACACGACATCGACCGTGCCGAAGACCGTGAAAAGTTTTCGCGGACCCTTGACTCCATCGGCGTCGACCAGCCTGAGTGGAAGCAGCTCACTAGCGTTGAGGAGGCGTTTGCATTCGCTGATCGCGTCACTTACCCTGTTCTTGTTCGCCCGTCGTACGTCTTGTCTGGTGCCGCTATGAATGTGGCGCACACCAAAAGTGATTTGCGGCGGTTCTTGGCGCTGGCTGCTGATGTGAGCCCGTTGCATCCCATCGTGGTTACAAAGTTCATTGAAGGCGCGCAGGAAATCGATGTCGATGGGGTGGCGAGTGAGGGCAACCTGCAGGTGTATGCCGTCTCCCAGCATATTGAGAACGCAGGTGTACACTCCGGAGACGCTACGCTGGTCCTGCCGCCTGTTATGGAAGGCGAGGTTGGAGCCTCGAAGGATGGCAAGATTGGTCTGCGTGGTTTGACACCCGCCATCGTTGCCGACTGCAAACAAGTCGCGGAGAAGCTGGCCAAAGCATTCAACATCACCGGCCCATTCAACATGCAACTCATCCTCCAACGCAGCCCCGTCGGCGAGCCCGCATGGCACACGCTCAAGGTAATCGAATGCAACATCCGCGCCTCCCGCTCCTTCCCCTTCGTCTCAAAGACCCTCGACACAAACTTCATCGACCTCGCCACCCGCGCCATCGTCGCCCCACACACCCTCCCAACCACGACCACCACCGACAGCATGCTCCGGCCGCGCGCCTACAAAGCCGTCAAAGTCCCCGTCTTCTCCTGGACCCGTCTCGCCGGCGCCGACCCCTCCCTCGGCGTCGAGATGGCCTCCACGGGCGAAGTCGCCTGTTTCGGAACCGACGTTTACGAAGCTTACTTTACCGCTCTGGCCGCCAATCACAACTCTGGGTTCAAAACCCTGCCCATGCCCGCCGGCTCGACCATCGTTGTCGTAACGGACGAACTCTCCGACCTCCCCGAAGCGGCGTACATCGTCAACGGGTTCAGGAGCTGCGGCTACCGCGTGCTTGCTGGCACACCCGCGACCCAATCCGCCTTGGACCCCCATCTCGGATCCGAAGCGCTCCACCTCTTCCCAGCAATCGACAATGCGAACCGCAAACAGGCCCGCGAAGCCTACCTCTCCCACACCGTCTCCCTGGTCGTCTCCCTCGGCCGTAAGAAGGCAATGAGCGATGCCCCGACGACGCCTTCGGCATCCAAACCGGCGGCCGTGACTGACCCGGCTTACACGCTCCGCCGCACGGCTGTGGATCTTGGCGTGGGGATGCTGAATGAACCGAAGGGGTGTGTGGTGTTTGTGGATGCGTTGAAGCGGTATGTGGGTCCACCCGAGGTGCAGGTGGAGAGGAAGAAGAGGGCGGTGAGGAGTTGGGGGGAGTGGGTTGGGTTGGGGGCGTAGAGAGTGATATGGGCTAGGGGGAAGGGTTGTATCTATGTGATTAGTTACTAGGGATGTACTGTACATAGGGGTAAGCGGCAAACTGTCCAGGGTTTGTCAGATGCCCCCACCCGGCTGTATTCTCTCCTGCCTCTCCCCATTGCTTTAGCTCTTCTACATATATCATACACACTGCTTGGATTTCTTTCATATATATGATTCAAACCATAAAAGCGTACCATGGGCAAGGCGCCGTTCTTGACACAGCAGTCCACGTGGACGGTTATACAGTATCTCGCCCGCCAGCATCTATTCAAAAATCGATGCGGACATCTATGTACATCATGGGTGGGCGGCTAACCCCAGAAACAGTGGCAACCTAAGATGAAGCCGTTAACAAAACCCAGGCCTACTTCCCACTACGACACAACCGGCCACCACCTAAACGCAACCCTCCCCGCCCCACCCCCACTTCCCACCGGCCCCTCCCCCTCCAAACAAAAAAGCGCATCCCTCAAACTAATCTTCCTCGCCTCCGCCGCCAATCCCGCGGCGGGACTCCCCAATTTCCTCCCCTCCTGCGCTGCTCCGGTCGTACCCGCCCGACGAGCGAGCGACGAGCCGGGGAGTCGGGTGGATGTCGACAGGTGGGAGTTGGGTAACGGCGTGTCGGGGTTGAGCATAGATTTGCGCTTCCGGGATGTGGGGAGGATTTTAAATGTTCCTGGCGTCGCGGACGTGGAATCCAATGCCCCACGCGCGGGTGTTGCGGCACCCGTACCGCCACCAGCAATCATCCAGCTCTTCATCCCCGCGCCCCCAATGGCGTTCGCGACAGCCGCGTTGGCGAGGTTGAGCCGGATATGGTCCGGCATGTCTTTATCCCTCGCCGTAGCCGTTTTGCGTTTCTTGCGGCCGGTCCCGGGTCCTTCTACGTCGCCGGTGGGATTCCCATCCGCTCCGTCCTCCCCGCCGCCTCCATCCTCGGCCCCGTCTCCGCCGGCCGCGGCAGCCTCCTTGGCGAGCGCGGCGGCGCGCTCGGCTTTCAGTTTGGCTTCACCGGCACGTTCCTTCTTTTCGATCCCTGCCAGCACTCTACGCGGGTGTACGCCGCCGGGGATCACGACGCTGAGGTCGAGGGATGGGTGGTGGTACAGATTATGTTGGTTGGATGACAGTGAGGAGAGTGCTGATGGTTTGTTATTGAAGAGGGTGGCTTTGGAACGTTCGTTGCGCATGAACTGCTCGTGTAGGACGCCGGTGCGGTGTTTGGCGGCGTGGACCATGCGCTGGAGGAGGTCGCGCATGCGTTCTTCGGCGGCGAGGGCGATGTAGGCGGGGAGGTCTTGGTCGAAGCTCGTTATTGAGGCTTCGGTACCTGTTGAGGCGAGGATATGCGCATGGGTGAGATCGATGGCGGGGTATGCGGAACATAAGAACAAACACGTACACAAAACACCGAGCTTCTTCCGCAACGCAGCCAAGTTCAGGAAGCTTTGGTCTTTTGCTCTATTCCCTATCTGCCCTCTCGCTTGCTGAGCAGATGGGCCGGGTATAAGGGAGTTTGCCATGTGGTCTTCTTCTTCCTGTAAATTCACAAATTCCACCAAAGACAACGGTTAGCATTCACCGTTTGCGTCGCAGGCCTTGACAGTATGACGGTACGATACCTTCAGATTCAGACCGGTATATGTAGTGACGTCCATCATATCCGTCACGTTCACTTTGTCGTTGATTTTGTCGTTGATTTCCGGTGTCGCACGACTCGACGCGCCGCCCACATCAGAAACCTTTGGTGTGTTTTCGCCAGACGGTAGAGCTGCTATTCGGTAAGTTTTGCGTCAGCTATCACCGGTTCAGGGGTTATCCGACAAGGGGGAGGATCTCTTACATGTTGTATTGGACGCTGAGCCCTGCGAGGCCTGCTGTTGTAGCTGTTGATACTGCTGTTGCAACGCATTTGCTGCGGCTGCTTTCTGTTGTTTCTGTTGCGCTGCTTTGGTTAGCGGTTTCCCGGCCTTCTTTTCGCCGCGGGTTGTCCCTGATGCAGATTTCCTGACATTCACGGTGTGAGAGCACATTCTTATTGTGACACTGGCTAACGTGTCCCCTGTGACTCACCCCATCGTCTGCGCTTGAGCTATTTGCTGTGCAGCCGCTTGGCGCTTTTTGAAATCTGCCTGAGGCGTTCCCAGAGTGGAGCCCGGTCCCGCTTTGCTTTGTAGAGGCTGAACGGTCGCTGGTGCCATTGGAAACTGCATATTCTTCACCGAGGGCCATTTGCGAACCAACGTCCAGAATTCGTCCGCTGTTATCTTCTTTTGCTGGAAAGTGGTAAGATGGCGGATATTCAGCTCTCTGATTTATCCATCCATACGTCCGACGACGTCAACTCGTGTTTGTTCACTCACCATGACACCGTTGTAGATCTGCAGCAACTCCCCATGCATGGATTGTGGGACGGTGGCCATGAGCTTTTGGAACACATCTGGCCCAATAACCGGATTCGTTTGCCGTTGTGCATTTGATGTTGAGGAGAGTGATGTTTTGGTAGCAGCGGGTGTACCCGGCAGTGGAGAATAAAATGATGCAGGCTTCGCCGCTGGCTGTTGTTGTGGCTGCGACTGCGGCTGCTGTGATAATGGTGGCTGCGGCTGCTGTTTGAATGGGGGTATCGCTGGGCTAACCTGCCCTATATTGCTCAAATCAAACGGCATATTCGCAAAGGCTAGATTCATCGGCGGGTTGGCCGAACTCAACGAGCTCTGATGAAAGGGCGTGGACATAGCAAAGGATGACACAGTCCCTGACCCGGAGGTGGTGGTGGGTTCCGTGGGCGGGTTCAGGCCTGTCAGCGGACTCGGACTCATAGCTAAATAGTCCGTCAGAAAGGGCTGGTTCGTCGGCACCTGCAGCTGTAAGCCAGGAGGGGCGCTTATCATCAAACTATCCCCTGACTGAGGTTGTTGAGGCATTGTATACGGAATCTCTGCGAAAATGGCAGCCAGATCATCGTCGTGAGAAAGGTCTACGAGGCTCTGCTGATGTTGGGGGATAGGCATGGGGGGGAGTTCTGGTGGCAGCGCTGCAAACATAGACATCTCGTCGTCGTCGTCGTCGGCATCCTGTTCTGGGGGAGCGGTTGTCGAGGAAGTTGGTGGGGGTTTCTGGTTCCTGGAGGCAGCGAGCTGTGCGTCTATTGGCGAGGTTGTTTCCAGGGGTCGCTCGTGGTCTGCAACTGCTGCCAGAATGTCCAGAAAGCCGTTTTGCTCGCCGGCCATTGTTGCGATATGGGTTTGCGAACGACGGGAGCTTCCAGTGTGGGCGTCGTTTTATGTACAGTATGTGTACATGTACAGAGCTCTTGTGCAGGGACCGCCCTATGCGTATGGGAATGCCGAAGCCCAAGCCCAAGGCGTGAATTTGGAAGGGGGCGAGAGGGGCGAGACGTCTGCAACGCGTGCGCTCTCTCTTCGTCCGGTGCACTTTCCACAAAGACCTATAGGCGCTCGCTGCTCCTTTGGCACCTTGCAACAGAGACATACTCCCCTCAGCGCTCTCAGGGAAGGAACGCCTTGGTGTTTGGGTAGACGCTGCCATCCTTTGCGAAGAGAAAACGATCGGAGGACTTCGGACGTTTGGTCAGGTAACCTTTCGGAATGCTACTTCTTCAGAACACCGAAATCTGTCCACTTAGCTTTAGCGCGCGGTCCATGGAGACAGCCGGCACGCATGGGTTAAACGGCGGCTGTGTGGAGTGGCGATGGGATGTGCTATGGGAAAACCTGGAAGTTAGGGTGACAGCTGGGTCAATTCTAGGTAGCAGGTTCAACATTGCTTGTACCTTGTCCGACAAATGCCCATCAAGATTGCAGGAGCCCCCCTATGCATGGGTATGAGGGTCAAATTTATTAAGATGTCTAAGTTTAAAAAAACTGCATCGTTGCTACAGGAACACTGGGGGGCCGTCCATCGTACGCCGGTAAAGTCTCGCCAATCACGCACGTCTTGTTACATACGCAGCGTCTCATTAAGGACTGCAAAACACGCCATGGAATACCCATGTCTATCCCTCCATCACTCAACCTCCCCTAAAGGTACTGCATCAACGCAGCAGCAGCCGCCTGCGTATACTGCACCGCGAACGGAAAGATCAATTCAACAGCGGCACCCAAGCCCAGCCAGAAGTACCAGTAGCCGAGCTTGATATTGTTGTGGAAGTAGGCGTCGGTTCCTATTTTTGAGAGTGGGGATAGATCAGTGTGGGTCCCTTTGTGTGGGCTGCAGGTGAGTTGACCACTCACCGCGGTAAGTCCAGGCGGGATTGTAACCGTACAAGTACATGAGGACATAGCTATGGTGACAAGAACGACGGAGAAACTGATGAGCAAGACATCCTCACTTGCGCTCCCGGATCAAACGCAGACAATGCGTACCCCTCAACAATCTCCAACAACCAGACATTGAACGGGAACAGCAACACACGAAGCGGCCACGTCGGAACTACCGCAAAGTAGATGTCGAGCAGGAGCGGCGTGAAGATGATGTTGGCGAAGAATTGATGCCAGGTCTGATGAATGGCGGATAGATATTAGATGGGCGGTGTTCCGCCTCTGCATGCTGGAGTCCTCTTGGGCTTACCGTGTGGCCTTTGCGGCAGCGAGGGTCGAAGGGGCGGAGAAGGATGTCGCCTATGGGAGATGGGGAATTAGGGCTACGAACTTCGCACTTGGTGTATATATATACCCTGATGTCAGTGCTCGAGAGGTGCATGGGGGCGAAGGAGTAGAGCATTTCTGTGCATAAGACGCAATCCGGGCCTTCCGCATATGGCTCGCGAGAGTGTGCTATTGGTATCCCTAGCGCCATCCGTAGCTCAAATGCACCTACCATCAACAGTCTCAATCGTCGTGCTATAGAAGTTGTACTCTAAAACCCAACAACCACATATATCAACATCTATTCCAACTCTCAACCCCTTACGAAACCCGCGAACCCACCAATCCCCGCAAAAGCAACAGCAGCAACAATCGTCCTCAACTTCGCATCCAGCGTCAAATAATTGTACCACGCATACACAAGCGCAATCACGAGCGGGTACCCGAGCACAGGCCATGACTCGCGGGCGGTGGACGGGATGACGAGGTGCGTGTCGTAGATGTATTTGCCGGTGGGGTCTGTTCGGGGCTTGGCGAGGATGTTGCGCTTTGTTACTCCCATTTTGGATAGCTGGAGGTGGTGTCGGATGGCGATAGAGACGGCGACGGATGGATTACATGCTTATATAGACGACTCTCATGGCATATGTTTTGAAGGGGCATAAAGCCGCAAGCGGGTGTAACTTTCCGTAATTTCTTAGGTTTGTTTCCACGGCGAGGAAATGCAGAGCCGCGGAGATCGACGCGTGACGGTGTGTTGTCGATAAGACACCTTTCTCGTTCCCGACTCCCGAGGGACATCATCCACACTGCACAGCCTAACTCAAATAACCGTCGGCGAAGAGCGGCGTTCTCACTGACGAAGGGCAAGCCTCGAATCTCCCTGGACATGGTTCCCCGCGTTGTGTTTGCCAACTCGGTGCAAATGCGGAACGCGCGACGCTTTCGATATTCGACTCGCTCCTGACACCGGCGAGGGGGATTGCGGAAACATCGTCCAACACCCAGAAGTCCAACGCTACATGTACAGCCGGCCGGGAGAAGAGAAAGGAGGAGGGGAGAAGTGAAAGGAGGTCCGCCCTCCGAAGACAACGACGGTAAAACAAATCGGCGGTTATTCGGGTACCCAACGAACTTTTGACGATTCCCAGAGAAAAATACACTGTCCCAAGTCAGTAGTCTACAGACCCCATAGCAGATTTTGATATCGAACGACGACAATGTCTACCGCATCGAGGCTCGAAAAGCGTCAATGACGCTGTCACAAATCCGCGCATTCCCGACTGCCGTTGGAAACGTTGGACGAGATATTCCAGCACCTTGACTCGAAAATCTCAACGAACATGAGAAAGCAATTACAACCGAAAATCTTTTCTCGAGTCCAACAACTCACAAGCACGTCCCCAGAGATGCCCTTAGCCATCGGCCCGCACGTCAAGAAGATTGAGATAGCACCGAACATGGAAGGCATCGCGATGGATCCCACGATTCTGGAATCATCTGTCGGGAGATGCCCTTCGCTTTCGTCGATCAAAACACAAAAACCATAATCTCAAGTTTTCTTTCGCAATCATTTCGGCATGCGATTGCATACACTTGGAAAAAGATTCAAAGACTCTACCTCCTACATCCACCAGGATGAGGAAGCCAAGAATTTTGCTTGCCTCAACCTCACGAGTACATCGCCCGAGATGCCTTACAACATCGCCCCACACATAGGGAAGAGTACGATGTATGGAATGTCGAGCGGATGCATCTGAGGACATGGAATGAAGACATATGGGGAGAGCTAGACGAAGGAAAGATGCTAAAAGCGGAACAGACGAAACTCTGGACTATGAAGAGGGTTGCGAAGGCTATCAAAGCCCGCCGACTGGGGTGCAAAAAGACATCTGAGCTATTGCTTGTGGTTAGTATTGCTTGTGGTTTTTGATTTGCATGGTTATGCTTCCCTCGTTACCTGATCTCACTCGTAGGCAAGGTCTGCACTGCAAGGACTTCAGAGCCGGATTCAGACCCAAAAGATATGCCAACACGACCCGTAAGTGAATCCGTTATGCTCATCACATGAGCTCCCCAGGGGCGATGGTTCATGGGACATCTGGCTGGGATTTCAAGTAGTTTGATTCAGCTAGCAGAGTATTATAGGCATGCGAAGTGATGGCCTGTTAGCCGCTTGTAGACCAGTATCAATGTTGAGCTGTTGGACATCGGCTTTCCAAGTATTGCATCTCTGTGTTCTCATGTTTTCCTTAGTTTCCGCCCATTTTTTACCCGTTGTTTACCGCGTTGCTTATGACGGTGCATGTTGCTGGTCTGCTGAGATGCCTCACTCCTTGCAACTGGGACCCCTTCAGACAGATAACATCGTCCAGGTCCAGAAACAGTCATCACCAGCCAGTACGAATCAACTCCCCAGCAGCCATAGAACTCAGTGTCATCCGATACCTGCGACCGCACAGTACTACGAGCCAGATCACATACCGCCAACTTGCCTGCTCCCACCGGGTACATTTGACCCTGCAGGGTTTGGGGACATCCCCCTCTGACGAACTGCTCTCTGCTCATCACCAGCTGCTTCAACGCTACATACACAGTGACTTTTGCCTCTCCCAGAGGAAGCGCTGAAACGAATTTCCCAGGATGGCCTCCGTTTCCGACACCGCCTCTCCAGGAAAGGTTGAATCGCCAACGACGACAGCAAAGGCCAGCCAGAACAGCAAAGACGTAAAGAGATACTCTAGGAAGTTTCTACTGGCCCTCCGAAATAGCCCCTTGGCTGTCAAACCGGAAAAGCTGAACTTGATTGATTTCGCAAAGTATGTTAGCCCCTACAATGTGAACTTGCTCCCCGGCGTTGGAAAAGGCAGCTTCGCATATACTTGTGGCATGTGACGCTGGACTGACCGCTGTGTGATCCATGCTACTCTGGTAATCTCTAGTGCTACGGCTCCGCCAAGAGAGCGTGGAGGAGGCCGATCCACGGCAACCTCGATGATTGCCGGAACATCTGGGAGCGGGGCACCCGGCGAGAAGACAGTAGGCGATGCCTTACCCCACCCGCCTAATCGGGCTGGATCGAGCTCGAGATTTGCAGGTATGCGTTGGTGTCCAGGTGGCTGCTGCTTCCGTTCAGACGCTAACTCGACAGTCGGTTACAGAGAAGAATCTCGTTTTCGGCCCGCCTAAAATGAGCTTTGCATCTGCGCAAACGAATGGATTGAAGAACATGACGCAAGAAGCTGGTGAATCCGGGAAACGAGCCAAGTCTCCCGAACCAAGTTTGGCCCCTAAGGTATGTACCGGTTCACCCCCTTCCCACATCTACTTGTCCCCATGCTCAAAACCCCCTACCCTGGTCTCTTTAGTATTCCGTCGCCGACCGTTTAGCAAACCGTCCAAACAATCCTCGTAACAGAGACAACCCAGCAATAGCAAGGGATACCAGCGGGAGGGAACGAGACTCTTCCGACCGAGAGCCTCGTGATCGTGAGCGGGATGGCCGAGAGCCTCGGGAAGGTCGTGAGCGGGACAGGGATGTTGCGGGGGTAGGAAAGCCCTCCGTCGTCAGCGACCGTGCCACAGAAAGAAGAAACACAGGACGAAGTGAAGATCGGCCAATACGGACTGAGCGGCCAACGTCTTCGGGTACTGGTGGCGGATCATGGAGGGACCGAACTGAAGGTACGATGTCTGGGCTGGTGAAAGCGTGAATCGGGGTCCCGTGAATCTTGACCAAACCTTTCTGAAATCATGTAGGCGGCGCATCATCGCGTCCCAACACAGCCAAGTCCAACGAACCCTGGTCTCCTGGAACCATGCCCATGCGTCGCGTCGGCCGCGAACGCGATGGTCAACCAGAATGGATGAGCGCAGATTCCGACAAAGTCTCGTCAACCAATGGTGGCGCCGGATCTAATGATCAGTCTGCTGGCGGTGGTCTTTCAGAACAGCAAGATGACATTCAGCGGTTCAAAGCTCAGATGCGAAGACGAGAAGCAGCGAACAGGAAGGAAGAACCAGGCAAATCGTCGAACACTCAGGAACGCGAGAAGGTGCCTGCCGCCGGAAGTACTGCTTCTGGCCCGTCAATGGTCCCATCGGATGCGGATGCCTTAGCTGCTGCTGCGGCCGCCGCGGCAGCTGCAGCGGCTCTTGCTGCTGCACAAACCCCGACAACGGTTCCGGAAGATATGTCTGCTTTCTTTGACATCAACTTTGACATCAACAATGTTCCCGTGAAGAACATTTTTGACTCGTCATCGGGTGGAGAACCGGCCAAACAGAAAGGAGAGCGATCCCGATTCGCTCGTTTTTGGAGTGAAACGCCCGGCCAGCCTAACGACGGGGCGCTGGACAGCAGGAAGGAAAACAACCTGCCTGAGCACAATCCCCAAGCTGGCATGCAACGTATAGGCATAAACGACCTCTTCAGCGCCGCCGGTCGTATGGAAAGCAGCAACATGCAGTTCGGCGGACAAGGACCCCCCGGTATCCGGAATGTCCCTCCACAACAAGCACTGAGTGAGGAAGATTTGCTGGCTGCTTATAGGAATAACGCCAAAAGGAATGGCGAAGGCAAGAGCGGCCCCCCTCAGACACAGTTTCAGCCATGGAATGATCAACACAAAGCACCTGCTACTCCATCAGAGGAGGACCGTGCGGGCATAAGCAGGGTAATGGAGAAGCTCGCGGGATTCAGTGTGAATCAGGTATGAATCCTTCGCCATTCCCTACAGGCGTCAATTTCTTGCTGAGGCATTACATATCCCGTTTAGCAGGCACCGATGAATAACGACCGACTCGGATACCCCGATGATCCCGCCGCGCGCCAACGACTAGCTGACCCGGCTGCGCTCAGCGGTCAGTACGCCAAGAACGGAAAACAACCAACCGGCCCGCCACCAGCTGCCCGCTTCGACGACAAGCTCGGTCATACCAAGGAAAATGCTCGGTTCCCTCCTCCGCAGCACAATATGCAGCAGGGATACTACCCACCCCAAAATCAACCGCAACATCCGCTGCAGCAACAGCAACAACAACAACAACAACAACAACAGTCGCTATATCATAACACAGTGAACATGGACCTGCCGGACGACCCGAGTTTGCAGCTTACCGCCATGATCCAGGCGGCCAGCAAAGCTAAACGAAACCAGAATCAAAGTCAAATTCAGAATCCTCAGCAGCAGCAACACCATGGCCCCCCTGGGGATATGAACCGTCAACCTTATGCTCCGGGTTTACGCAATGAGGAAGGTATGAGGTTCAAGCAGCTTGGGAATGAAATGTTGGGTGGTATGTATACTTCCTGAAGGTTTTTCGAGTGCGGAATACTCTCTGATGCAGCGCATTGTGCCTTCCAGGTTCAGGTCCTTACGGAGATCCCCGCATTCCTTCAGGAGTTCACGAGCTACCGATGGGACCGGGAGGCCCAGCTCGATTCCACCCCATGGGCGGCCCACCCTCGCCTCACAACGGTCAAAGACCCAACTCCGGTTCTCAACAACAACAAGTCCAGCCCCACCAACTTTCACACCAGCAACAACCAGGTTTGCAGCCGCAACAGCAACATACGTCTCCCCCAATAGCACCCTTCTTCAACATGAACGGCGGACCGCCCGGACCACCACCGCCTATGCACCACTTCTTGCCCCCGCATATGTTGCCGCCGCCACCGCATAACTTCCAGCCGCCACCCCCCGGCGTGCATATCGGTGGAATGTTGCCGCCGCCGCCCCCTGGTCATCCGCATCATATTCCGATGCATCATGTCTATGGCGGTATACCCCCACCCCCGTTTCCAGGTATGTCTGACTGCAGACATATATCTCGGGTGGACATCGTACTCATTTATCATCATCTTGCACAACAGTGTTCATGAATCAGCAGCCCCACCTGATGAGGTCGCCACCCGTCGATGAAAGGTCATCTTGAAGACCGACAAGCATAACTCGAGTGACGCGGTATGATGAGAAGACGGAGTCAACGAACGGAGTCAAAGAAAAAGAGATTGTTTAAGCTTCAAAGCGTCGGGATTTGCAAAGCTCAAGGCAAGAGTCGGTTGTCACAAACAGTCCGAAATCAAGGAAAGTGGATGAAGAACGTGCCGAGAAGCAAATGGGCTTCCTCCAGGATAGGCTAACCGGAAATCACCAAAAACCTTCCAAGAACGCGAAAACTGTACAGCTTAGTGTAGCGAAGAGGGACTTTGCGCACCTCACCCCACGGGTAGCTTCGTCAGGGCAGAACTTTGATACCGTTACCGTACATACGTTTGAGTGTAGCAAAGTATTTGGTGGTTTACATCTTCCTCTTCTGTATGGATCTTTCAGGTCTCCTCGTAGTTTGTGAGCCCACCGTCTGGGATGTTCCAGCAAGTGGTCGGAGTAGACGTTCCAAATTGTCCACCGACGTTTTGCATTGGCGGATTTCGTCATTCCCCGCCTCTGGAGTGACTGCCGCGTCGCTAACCCTAACTGCGCAACTTGAACATAACCCCCTCCATCGAGACATTTCATCTCTGCTCTGCGTTTGATTAGAAATCTGTTCATTTTGATCAGAAAGGCGTGCGGCAACAACCAGGTTTGTTTAAACCACCCTTAAGTGGCTGATTAATAAGGGTCGAAGGCGTCGAGGCTCCGTTCGCGCACGCAACTCTTGGGTGCAGCCGGAGAGGGCCGGGAAACACATAAAAGCTCGCCAGCCCAACCCCACATCCCCCCCAACAAAACACTTGCATTCGACAAACGCAGCACGCACCCCGCCACCTTTCGCAACTCACCCACACACAAAACAACTAGCAAAAATGGTCAAGGCTGTCACAACCGCTGATGAGTTCAACTCTATCATCAAGAGCTCGCCTCTTGTGATTGGTAAGTGTCACGAAGGAGATCTCGGTGGGAGTGTGATCCGCCCCGTTTAACCATCGCTGTGCCACTGTATGCTCACTTTCTTCTTCGTGGCTTTTCCCCTTTTAGTTGGTACGTATCTGAAGTCGGAGAGATTAGTTTCGGCTGTTGGGGAAAGGCGACGACGCTTAAGGATACCTGCACGACATGTGGGCTGGGGGCGGGAGAATGCCGCTCGCCTCTCTTGAATCTGATTTGGGGGATGGTTTCCCCGCTGAGTCCCAGCGAATCTATCTAGCTTCTTGAATGGGTGGGAGCGCAGTACTGATCGCTTTCCCGTCCCTCGTATCCATTTTCACAGACTTCCACGCCACATGGTGCGGACCATGGTATGTGATCTCGAGTGTTATACTTTCACGTTCCTGGGTGCAGTGACTTACCCATCCTCGTTCTCCCAATGTGGCACTCGCAGCAAGATGATCGCCCCCAAGTACGAGGAGTTCTCCAACAAGTACAGCAAGGCTACCTTCATCAAGGTCGACGTGGACGAGGTACGTCCCCCCTACCCCTCCCACCCCCTCACACCTCACACCCACGACTCACTGTAACTTCCACCCCCCCTTTCCCCTTACCCCAGGTCCCCGAGGTCGCAGAACAAGTCGGTGTCACCTCCATGCCCACGTTCCTCATCTACTCCAACGGCGAGCGCGTCGGCGAGATCGTCGGTGCCAACCCTACAAAGCTCGAGACTGAGATTAGGAAGTTTGCTGAGCAGCAGTAGATTTACTATGTCTTGAGAATCGGGTCCTACCCTTCCTATGTATATAACATAATTTCTTCTCGCCCATGTTTGGAAATGAAATCATCCGATTTTCCCATGGATCACAGAGTATGCATAAGTTTCTCATTTTGATTCATTTGCTATTCTCCCTCCCTCCTAGTTTGCGGCGGGATCCGCGAGACGTCTCAGAAAACGGGTAAATTATGTACATGAAGGGTGCGAGGGGATAGTTGGTGTGTTGCGGGAAACCCAGGGAGACCCAACTACCCATCCGGTGCTGCCTGCTGTTGAATCGGTTGATCCCCCTCACTGACGCCGGGTACCAACAATGGGGTCACCACCCCATTGCCCTCCTCCTTCGCCGCACCCCCCTCAGCCCACGCCGTCTGCTCCGAGATCCCCGTCGGCACAGGCTGTCCATCTGCATTCCCATTCGCATTCCCATTCGCACCGGCCCCCCTCACATCCACACTCGCCCCCAATACATGCCCCACATGCGCATACCCCTGCGGTATCGACGGAGATGATGATGGCGGAGGCATTTGGATCTGTGAATTGACGGTTGATGGCGGGTCTTGGAGGAGGGATGAGGCGTCGGTTGGGACTGATAGGTTGGGTTGGGTTGTGGGGACGGGGGGTGGGGGGACTGAGGCGGCGCGTTCGAGTTTTGTTGCCTGGGTGGGAGGGGACAGGACAGTGGTTAGTGGGAGTGGGCGGTAGTGGGTGGGTGATGTGAAGCGGGGATGGTCTGGGGAATTCACCACCCCTTTCCCTCAACGGTCGTCATCCCATCCGTATGACTATCTTTCCACGCAAGGGTATTTCCACGCATGATGCGCTGCAACCGCCCGTCCAGTCTCTTTTCGAGCCCGTCCCGCATCCTTCGGTTTCTCCCTACTTTCCAGTCCCTGCCGCGTTTGCCCATCGCCCATCCCCCTTGGTGGAAACACAGCGACACAGTCCCCGTACTTACCTCGCGATACCGGTTGAGATAGACCTTCATGACCTCGCAGTAACTATCAAACCCGAGCGATTGAAACGCCCACAGGATGTCCTCGCCGTTGATAGTTTTACGTTTCTCTGCTACACATCGGTCACTTGCTGTAGGAGGGAAACAAGGGGAATGGTCAGAATCCGGTGAGGCCCGTCGTGAATGCCACTGTTCCGAGAAACCGCTTTCGTCCTGTTCCTTAACGTCGCTGCCCAACAACACCCACACAAACCTCCCGGCCTATTACCCTCCCCCCCCCCCCCCCCCCCCCCCCCCCCCCTTCCGTCTCCCATACACACCTTCCGAAGTAACAAAGCTGATAAATTCCGAAACACACTCCATAATACAATCCTTCGCCTCCTTGGCAATCTTGCTGTTCTCCGGCAGCGCGCGCTTCATGAGCCGGGCGACGTTGGCCGTCGGCAGGAACCGGTCCTGCTCGCGGAAATCGTCCAGGTCGTCTTGCGAGGCGGGGCCGCCGTCCGCGGAGGATGATTCGGCCATTGTGGTGGGGGTTGCGGTGGAGGAAGGATGGGTTCTGGGGAGGGGGAGCAAGTGGTTTCGGCTCTTTTCCAATCCTTTGCTGGGTGGGACGTTCGATCCGTGGGCGGTTGGGGGCACAGTAGAACGCACACATGCACCTTCGGTGAATCTCCTTCAACGCTTTTCAACGCGCCCGTCGTAACCAGCGTTTTGGCAACCTATTACTGTATTCCTGGAAGAGGCGCCATGCATGCCATGCGTCTCGAGCGTCTCGATGCGAAACCTCCAGCATCGGCACGAAGAAGTACCCCCCCTCAACTTCAAACCATGCACGACCGCAACCCCTACGTCCAAAAACCCGACTTCCGCACCCTCGCCCAAAAATACCCAAACCTCAGCCCATAGTATGTATGTGCCCTCAAAACCACCACCTCACACCTTTCTTCCCAACCATCTAACACCTCCAAACGACACGCCCATAGCATAGTAACAACAAAAACCGGCACTCCCGCTCTCGACTTCACCGACCCGCGCGCCCAACGCGAACTGACCTGCGCGCTGCTGTGGGTCGATTTTGGGATTAGGTTGGAGATTCCGTTGGATACGCTTTGTCCGCCGGTAATCAAATCGAAAGGCTTCTTTCATTTATTTACAATCGGTGGAAATTTGGACTGATTTTATGCTTGGAAGGTCCCAAATAGACTCGATTACATTCTTATGATTGAGGACCTTATTTTGGAGTCTGGGAAGGGAGACCGGGAGGTGTTTGGGATCGATATGTAAGACCGCCCCCTTGTTCACCGCAGACTCTTATCTCTCTTTGGTACTAACCGAGGCCAGTGGAACAGGGGCCTCGTGCATCTACCCCTTGCTAGCATGTACACGTAACAAGCAATGGAATATGCTTGCTCTAGGTACCGTAGCAAACCTCATATCACAACACATATGGGCGGGTGAGATGTTTCTTCTGAGTTGGTCTGATTTTCATTGTATAGATATCGAACCCCGAAGCATCTCCTACGCCCGCGCCAACATCTCCCGCAATGGGCTAGAAAAGCGAGTGAAAGTCGTGCTGAACGAGTCATCGGATACGCTCTTACCAGCGGAATTACTCGTCTCCTTCAAAACACAGATGTACGTATGCTTTTGATGCCATATACCCTATCCCGCATCCCCAACTAAACCCGCTCACTTCCCCCCAGCTACGACTTCCTTCTAACCAATCCCCCCTTCTACACCTCCCCCTCCCAAATCGCCGCCTCCCGCTCCGCCAAAAACCTCCCCCCGACTGCCATCTGCACCGGCGCCTTGAACGAGATGATCACAGCCGGGGGCGAGCTGGCGTTCATATTGAAGTTGGTGGAGGAATCGAGGGAGTTGAAGGGGCGGGTGCGTTGGTGGAGCAGTTTGGTGGGAAGGAAGAGTGATGTGGGCGTGCTTGAGGGGGTGCTTGGGGGATACAGCGGGGAGGGGTGTGAGTGGAGGGTGAGGAGTGGGAGGATGGCGAGGACTGTTAGGTGGGTTGTTTTGTGGAGGTGGGGAGAGAACGTTACAGGAGGGGTTGAAGTACAGGACAGAGAGGCAAAAAGGGTTGCTGGGAGTGATCTAGAGGCGAAGGAAGCACGGGTTGGTGGGGCTGGCGTAGGGAGAGCGGCTGGAGGTCGTGAGAGGGACTCTGAGGGGATTCGAGAGATCGAGGGCAAGAGGGAGAGGACGAAGAAGAAGGCAAGGGTTGAAGGCGTGCAGTAATGTAGTGGCAAGATACTGCTCGAGGGTCGGATGGAACCGCGCACGTAGCCTTAGGCAGATTCTGCTCTCATGTTGAATGGGAATCGGCGTACGAGAGCATGCTTCTTGACCCTCGTCCGTACCTGCTGTTCGCCCACCAACCCTTGGATGGAATATCAAAACCCGTTCCTGGGGAAGAGTGATGTGATTTCTATGTTGCATTACTCTGGTTGGATTCACTCCTCATCTATGATTACAGAACAAAAGGGCTACGCTGGACTTCTACAATCTATCTAAACGCCTGCCCACTCTACGCCGCGCAGACGTGTACTCATGCTTCACTTACTGTTCAGTCTTCGCCCCATTAAAGAACGGACACTTAGAACGGTCGCCTCCTTCAACGCCTTCTCATCCACCGGCCCGTCATCCACAACAACATCATCCGTCGTCCCCACCCCATCCGTCCCCACCCCATCCTTCTCCACCCGTCCATAAACCCTATACTCCCTCATCAACTGCGCAATCAGTTCACTAGGGTCATAGAACGTCTCCAACCGCTTGATTCTGAAATCCTCCGTCACCTCCGCCACAGTGACCCCAAAGACCGCAACCACCTTATTCACTGGGTCCGCCTCGATCTTCCGCCCATCGCGGGTGATGGATTTGAATTTCCCGACACTCGTCCCCCAGGGGCGCTACTTGCGTCTCCCGGCGGTGAATGGCAAACGCCAGTGCACATTCCTGAGCTTTTTCGGTGGGCTGGAAAGACAAGAAAACTGATTGACACCGCCTGGATCTGGACGTTCGGTCGCGAGAACAGGTGCTCAGAGTGTGTTTTAGATGCTCGGTGCCCGACGCTATACTGGGGGATGGCTCTTTCGGCGGAAGCGCAGGGGAGCTCAGCGGACAGAACGCGCGGGTCCGACTCGTTCGACATGAAAGGCGCATCCGAGGCGGATTCTCAACCTTCCCAACCGATTCCAAGTTCACACTCCTCAGAACTGGTTGCCTACTCAAAGTTACAAACTTCTATTCATCTCTCTCAAAAACCGACAGTACACTCCAATCTTCCCTCCCCTCGCAGCAAAGTGCATCAAAAGTTCCCTCAAAAGGGTTGTCCATATCGTTGTGGGGTTTCACGAAACACGGGCATATGGAATCATGTCCAATAACCTTTCGATGGGGTTTTCCTGTGTGTTGAAGCCGCTGTTTCTTTACTCTGGCAATTATGGTTGGCTGGGCCTAGTTCATCCCAGCGGCGATCATAGCATCGATCTGGGTTGGGGGAAAACCAAGAATCGTTAGGAAGGGTGCATATTGGCGGTTTGGCATCAAGACGTAACGTACCTCGCGCTTCTCTTGGGTGAGCGCACAGGGCATGCAGCACCAGTGCGCCATCTGCATCGAGATGAAAAGAATGTTCCGTAGTGAGCGTCATATTCACAGGGGAGTGTTTGGTTCACATCTCGCATCCAAAACCGAAACTTACGCAATCAGAGCACCCATCGCCCGTAATATTGAACTTGCTCCTAATCGAAGCCCGTCCACCGGCCCCAACGCACGCCGAACAGCATGGGTTGGTGATGCAATAGATGCAGCAATCACCCCCGCATCCGTCGGATTTGTTCAGCGATTGCTTGTTTTTGCCGTACACGATGCACGGGCAGAACATCGCTAGGCAGCAGGAGCCGCAGTCGCCGAAACAGTCAAAGAGCCCAAATGTCCAGTCTTTCGGGGGGCGTTGCACGACTTGAGTGACTACCACTACCTGTGGGGTTTGAGAGGAAGGTTCTATGGTTGGCGGGAGTGATCGCCGTTCTTATGAGGCTGCAGGTGACATCCTTACATTTGCTTGTCCGGGTATAGCCGTGGCCGGTACGAAGCCGGGCTGGACCGTCGACATCTGAGGTTGTGCTTGCATGATGAAATGCGCTTCGAAGGCTGGATATAGAACCGGATTGATGTGGCAGCGAGACTGTGAGGAGCGTAACAGCAAGCCGTTAGATGAGAAGTGTCAGGAGAACACTTTCCCCCCGCCTGCCGGATCACCCGGCCACGACTGCAGAGCAAAAGCACTCACCTCTCTTGATGCAGAGTTCGGACAGGAATATGTAAAAGATGCGGGTAGGTCGGATCTGAGGAAAGCGCAGAATGTAAGAGGGGTGGATGCTGCGTGGGGGAAATAGTTTGTTTCGACCCCACCTCCACCCGCGCCCACGGGGTGCCTATTTCTCCAGCACACATTTGCAGCAAGCTTAATTGGGAGCACTGTCAGTGTGCGAAAGAGAGAGAGGAAGTGTTCGTAAGCAACTCCGACCTCTTAGGGAGTCACGTGACCAGGCGCCTCCCCTTCCTGCGCGCAGTCGGAGGGAGCGTCTTCCACCGGGTTGTTTTGTCGAGCGTCGCCTTGCCATGGTGCTTCTGGCTGCTATTGTGTGAACTCCCGACGGGTGAGATACACCAGGAGAGGAACTCAGTAGAGACACATTCAGCGCCGCTCCCTCTTTCGCGCCGGGGTCAAGCTACCAGCACATAATGTATCGCCCGAAAACGGTACTCTCCGCCGCCCGGCACCACCTGAACCTTCGCCCAACAACAAAATGCAAAACCTGCGAACGCACCTTCCGCCTCGCCTCCGTGCACCACGACTCCTGGAAGACCAAATTCAAAGACCTCGTAACCGACAAAGATTGGACCACGGAGCGCCGCGAAGAAAGTGCGCCCAGAAGAGTGCCCGCGCGCAATGACTTTGATAAGGAGCACTTCCCCGTGCGGTCTTCCCGCATGCGGAACGACGACGGGCGGTATATGGAGGACCGGGACGCCGAGTATGAGGGACGGAGAGGGCCGTCTAACCGGAAACCCGTTGATGAAGAAGACTTCTTTGAAACGCGACGGGGCGGAGTTAGTAATGGCAACGACGGTAGAAGTGGGGTAGGGAGGGGTGGGGCATACCCACGGACGACAGCCGGTGTTAGAAGTGAGGGATATCCACGGACAACAGCCGGTGTGAGGAGTGAGGGATATCCACGGACAGCAGCTCGAGACGAGAGGGATGCCCCGGGCGATCTCAAGGCATACCCGCGAACAACAGATCGTGATGAAAGGATAGCCCCGCGCGATGGCAGGAGTGAGGCATACCCGCGGAATACAGATGGAGACGAGAGGGAAAGCCCGCGCGGTGTCAGTAGTGGGGCATACCCACGAACAACCGATCGTGACGACACCGACCCGCGCGATGTCATGGGTCGGCTTTTTCCACGAAAACCAGAGCGAGACGACTTTACCGACGGCCCGGGCGATTTCAGACCTCCACGAACAACAGCTCCGGAGGAACAGGAAGCCCCACGAGACAATCGACCGCCCAAAGCGGCATCGCCAGCGGAACGGCAGGCTTGGTACAGCGACCCCTACCATCTGAGCGCCCGCCTTGCGCGGCTTGTGGGTACCGGGTGCGAGGAGGAAGCATTGGAGCTGCTGATGCGGCATCAGGGGGCTAGCACGCCGGAAGTGTTTGGGAACCTGATTGCGGCGTTTGGGAGTAAGCGGAATTGGAAGGCGGCGTTGCATGTTTTCCGATTGGTAGGTTTTCCCGAGCGCATTGGGAGAGGTATGAAAGAGCCGTGTTTACTCAACGGTTTGGATTTGGATTAATAGATGGAGAAGCGGAATTTGAAACCTACGGATCGAACGTATACATCGCTGTTCAGCATCCTCGCAGACGCGGCGGCCGCGAACGGAGATCCTGCCAACCGCAAGAATCGTCTCGAAAGCGCAATCAAACTCTACGAAACCCTTCCCAAACTGTCCACCATCCAGTTGAACGCCCTCCTGAAAGTGTGTCTGTACTGCATCAACGAAGGCGGGTGGGACCTCGCCTGGGAATTGTACCACAAAACGTACCCTCAGGCGGTAGAAGCCGCACAAGGCTCAGAACCCACGGACCCCACACCGTCGCAATTGGCGACCACGGACGCCACCACCTTCGACATCGTCACCTTCACCTACATGCTCCGCCTCTGCGCCGAACGCGGCGGATCCCTCGGCTTCACCCACGCCCTCCAAATCTGGGCCACCATCCAAACCGAATGCACCAAAAACATCAAACCCCGCCCCGCCCGCGCCAAAAAACCCATCACAGACACCAAAGCCTTCATCCGCAACGCCCCCGAATACGTCGACGCAACCCTCTTCACCGCCCTCCTCACCTGCTTCATCCGCGCGCCGACGAAAGAAGACACACTCACCGCCCTCCCGATCATCCACACCTGGCTCGGGCTCACCCCCAACGAGCTCGCGCCGAACAGGATGACCACGCCGCGCGTCGACTGGACCGTGCAGCTCCTCGACCGCGTCCTGCACATCGCGGCGCGGATCAACGAGCCGGGGCTGGCGGTGTTCTGGTACAAACAGTTCATCCGCAAAGGCGACATCATCCCCGACGCGTACATCTACAACACGGTGGTCGGGACGCTCATGACCGACCGCAACCCGGAGGCCGCGTGGCGGTTCCTCGACCACGACTGCGACGGCAACCGCGTGCGCGCGCAGGCGAGGGTCGTAGCGTATGCGCTGGACACGTCCGCCGGGAAGGACAAGGTGTGGCGGGACCGCGCGCGGGACGTCGTGAGGGAGTGGACCGCGAACGGACCGCCGCCCGCCGCTCACCCCGCCGATCTACCGTTCTTGGCCAACCTCGCGCAGCTGCTGGTGGAGGTGAGGGAGTTTGGCGCCGCGTGCGCGTTGTTGGAGCCCCATCGCGTGCGCTTGGTCAGTCAGGCGAGGGCCGCGATCGTTAGCTGTTTGGAGGACCCGCTGAAGTCCGCCGGCGCCGATGGCCTCAGCCCCGTGGAACCCCTGCAAGCCCGGCTTCGGTGCCTGGCGGCTTTACGCACATCGCTGCTGAAACTTACGGCGAAAAGGGAGGGGCACGCGGACAGGTTTCGTGAGCGGGATGAGCAGAAGGTGTTGGAGATGGAGTTGGCGTTGAGGGAGGTTGAGGAGGTTTTGAGGAGCGCGAGAGGTGCGTTGGGTGCGAGCAAGCGGGGGAGGGTGGAGGCGGGCGGGAAGTCGGCGCGGGGTGCGAAACCGCCGAAGCGGAATGCAAAGCCAAAGCCAGAGCGAACTGCGAACCCGGAGGGGCGGGTCAAGCGGGCACGATCTGCGAAAGCGGGGAGGTCGAAACCCGCGCCGAGTGTCGGGCCGGAGGAGCAACCTGCGAAACAGGAGCGGAGCGTCGAAGCGGCGGAGCAGACCGAGACGAAACCCGCGTCCACGACATCGGCAAACAGGAAGAAGACCCCCGCGTCCAAAACGCCACCATCCGACGCCGGATCCCAGTCCGCAGACGCACGGCAGACGAAGAAGAAATCACCCACGAGCCACGCCCCATCCGCCACCCCGGCTCCCACCCGCAAAAAAGCGACACCGGACACCAAGAAGAACCCCTGGGACCGCCGAAAAGCACGCAAAAGCAAACCGGGTGCGGAGGTGCGCGATGCGGAGGATGGACAGCCGGAAACGCCCCCGCAGAACACATTCAAAACGGTGGAAAAAACGTCACACTCGCCCACGCAACCGCGGAGCACGAAACCCGAGTCGCTGTGAAACAATCAGCCGGCCCCCCCCCCCCCCCGGGTAGTGGGGACATGATGTAGTTGAGTGGTTGAGGATGTTATGCGGCGTAGAGATGTGAGCCATTGCGGTGTAATCGTTTTATGAAAACATATGGGTACGACGAATATATGGTTGCTGGACACAAAACAGATTGTCGCAAGTCTGGGAATGTCCATCGCGCGGGGGTTATACGGACTATGTACAGTACATTTATCAGATGTCGTTTGACGAATGGTATTTACAGAAAGGGGGGGGGGGCTATGAGGATTTGCGGGCGTGGGGGGGTCATAAACGACGCTTCGCATCAGCAACAAAAGAATGTACGGCCATTATCAACATCCAGTCTCTCCACGCTGACTGCGTCCTCCCTCCGCCAGACTCCCACCTACGCTACGCCCCTTCTCCTCAACCCTACCCAACCCTACCCAAACGGCCTCTCCTGGAACATCTTCCCGCCAGACACGTGCCGGTAATGCGGGACCGGGTCCCCCTGGTCCTCCCTTTGCTGCTGCTGTGCTTGCTCACCACGCCCGTCCTCACGGTGTTGGCCATGGTGTTGCTGATCCGCCGGAAGCGTGGACGGACGGTGGTGCTGGTCGCGGGACGAGAAGGGCGGGGGCGGGCTCGTGGGGACCGTCGTCGCGGTCGGGGGCGATTCCGCCGACGGGGCCGGGGCACGCGGCAGATAGGCGCTATCGAAATGCTGCTGGTACGCGTCGGGATGATGTGTGTTCAGTAAGGGGGCGGTGAAGTCAGAGTCGTGTGAATGCGGGATGTCGACCGTGACTTCCGAGACGGGACGCCGCGGGAGGGTGTTGCGTCGCGAGATGGCGAGGGCTTGTTCTGCGAGTGCGTCTTTGTGGTGCTCGTTCTCGTTCGGGAGGTGCCCAGCGTGAGATGCGTGGTGCGGGGCGTCATCGTACTTCTCGACAGTGGAATCGGTTAATGTCCCGTACATCCCCTTTTTCTGTAACGTGCTCCTCCGCCTCCTCCTCTGCATCTCATCCACCGGTCCCTCCAGTTCCCACCTCTCTTCTCTCCATCTTTTCAGAAGCACATACAACCAATACGTCCCCGCAACGCTAACCACACCCGACACGAACGCCACAACGATGGCGATGATGACCGTCGCCTCACAGGTGGGCTGTGATCCCCCAGGCAAGGCGGGCGGGGTTCGTTGTTGGCAGAGTGCGAGGAGGGTGGAGCGGCGGAGGAGCATTGTCAGTGGTTGGGCGAGGGAGCGGGCGAAGGAGATGAGGAGGATGAGGGTGTGGAAGCGGAGCCAGGATGTTAGGGGGGATTTTAGGGACTGTGTTGGGGGAAAGGGGGGCCGTGTTAGAGGGGGGTATTTTTTGGGGGTGTGTGTGAGTTTGGGGTGAACTTACAAAGAGGAGGCCGGTTAGAGCGACCAGGCCGGCGCCGGCGAGGAAGGTGTCGGCGCCGATGGTGCTTATGTGGGCCCAGTTTGGATAGCTCCCTGGAATCATAGAGGAAATGGATGAAATCAGGATCACCAAACCATACTCTGCAGAAAGAACGACAAGAACATCCCCAACAACTCACATGCATCCCGCTTCACTACACTGACGATAATGACACCGACGCTCGATACCTGCAATCAACGAGAAGAAAAACGTATTAACAGCCGCGATGCGAAGCGATGAACGATGATCTATCATCAACCCGTCAACAACGATACCCTGCTCGCTCCGTTCGCGGGGAGCCTCGCATCGCTTCCAGCCTTCCGCGTTCCTCAGTCCCATCACACACCCATCTGACCACACACTCACAATCATGAACGCGCTCAACAAGCCGGCGCCCAGTCTGACGGGTATACAACAGCAGCAGACAGCGCGATATCTACTGTGGCGGCTGGGTGTTCCCCTTGGGTCGTTCATATTATCGTTGTTGGGGTTGTAGGAGGAGGAGGAGGAGTGAAAGTGGGAGGGTTGTTGGGAGGACATGGTCGGGTGTGGCAGATAGGAAGTATGGGACGGAGTTCTTTGAGAAGAGGACGGGGGATAGAGTGGGTTGTAAGAGAGGTTATGTACAGTATTTCAGGAGCAAGGAAGGGAGCGAGTAGCGAGGGTAGCGCAGACGAGAGAGAGAGAGAGAGAGAGAGAGAGAGGAGGCTTTGAGAGGCGCGTTTGTTGCCCCTTTGAGCCGTGCGGTCGCTCGCTCTCTCTCTCCTGATGAGACTCAGCCCCTCTAATCTGATCTATTTAGTTGAGGACGCGCCACAAGTCGCACATCGCAACGACAAGCACCCAACGTCGTAGGAACACCTCGCTGAAACCGCCCACATATTCGAGCTGGTTCCCATGTAACCCCCATTCAGGTGCAAGGGACACTTGGGCCGATGCGAGGGAACGGCGTCAGCTTCTGCATAAAGGGTGCGATAGGGCGTCAGGTGGGTGCAGAGTGCCGAGCGTCCCAGCGGAGCGAGCAGGGTAACGTTCAACTAGCCAACCATCAACGATCGCTTCCACTTTCATCGTTCAACCAACAAACATCGCTTCCATTTTCATCGCTTCAACCAACCAATCAACCTTCCCTCACTTTAGAGAGCGAGCGCGGACGGGGAAGGCATTCCGGGAGCACGATATCATAGCCGACATCAAAGTACAAGAGCCCCTATCAAAGCAAGCCACCGGTTGCCGCCGTACTATTCTACCATACACGAGCGGTAGCGGTCGAGGCGCTTTTACGCTGCTTGGAAGGGGTTCCCACATCTGTCCACCACCAGTACCCAGGATCGAATCACTCCTATCGCAACACACATACCGAAACAATACAAAACGCCGACACCGTGCAAAAACCCTACAAAAGCATTTCAAAACCTTTACAAACCACCATCCCCTGGCGTCAACGGTACTGACCAAGATGGCAAAGACGATGGTCCTGACAGTCATGCGCCCACCCGCCCATCCCCGACTCTGCTCGAACATGAACCTTCTTGCAACGTGCGGACCCCATGGAAGATCGCAGCACTTCTGCTGAAGAAACGGAGGCACAGCGCAACCAGGTTCGACAGGATCGCTTGCGAGCTACGTTGGAGCATGATTCTGCGATGCGCCGTGATGGCCTGCTGCAGGATGGATCAGTGGATCCGTTCTATATCGAGCAGCGTAGGCACCAGGGTACATGGATCTCGCAGCATCCGTTCAATGGCAAAAGGCGCGAGGCCGCTTTTGTCGACACATTCTTGCAGAAGCATACGGACTTCATGCTTACTTTTGGTCTTCCGATTGATGACTTCAAGTACATGCAGAAGGTATCTGGCTCGCTTGAAGGCGACGCACCACCTGGTTCGATACCGCATGCAGGCTTGATATGCGGAAAGAGGATTTCGAAACGGCTTTTAAGTTAGCCTTTTATCCTACGAACGCGAAAACCAACGCGCTCAATGCTCTGCATCGAATGACTTTTCATAAGTCGATGGATTCGTATGTGACAGAGTTCAAACGTATCGTTGCCGAGGCACAGCGCAACCTGGAGGTTATCACTCCTGACGATTTGAATAACTTGTTTATTCGCGGGCAGTGCATCATGCAGAGCGTGACCAAGGATGGAGGCCGAGAAACGTCTGTCCGAGCTATTGAAATCACGATGGACGCAATGCTGAAGTCGTAGAAGGCCTGAGGCGCTAGGGGTTGTATTTTATGATTTAGGAATTTGATTGATTACATCATGACAAAAAAAGCGTTCAATTTGGTTTGAGCTGCACTTTGAGTTGACGTTTCCTATGCTGCCTGTGAGCACGTTGCAGCGGAATCGCAGGATGAGACAGCGTGTGTGCATAGACATTATTGTAGTGCAAAGGGAGAGTTCGCCCTATACACGACGAGCAGGCGTGATTCACTCGGATCTCTTAGGGGAATGCGTAGGGTTCTCATCGTTCAGGTGCGCGAAAAGCGGCGAAGAGCGAGCGACGCGTGATGAATGGATGCCCTCCGACTGATGGATGAGCCAACGGGCGGGTGGCATGATTCTCTCACACAGACTTTTCACACTTCCTCCCCCCCTACATATAAGCTCCCTCAACCCACCCTCGCTTCTCTTCTACAAGTCCCACCCCCCCTCCCAGCCATGACCTCCCGAAGACCCGCCCGCCGCACCCCCATCGTCGGCGGCGACGACCAACACGACCCGCTCCCCTCCACCTCGCGGGGGGGTACCCGCAGCACGCCCAGATCATCCACCACCGAACCCCCCACCTCATCCCGCGCGACTGCCGCAACCAACGGCGAGCCCAAAGGACACGCCCGTCGAGTCTCGACCGCTTCTGAGGCTTCGTCCGTGGCCTCCCTTGCTACTAAGAAAGTCACTGCTGCGACGCGGAAGGCGGCTACCGCGGCGGCGGCGCTGGCTAGTAGGGAGGAGACTGAGTCGAATGTTTCATCGAGATTTGAGGACGAGGGGGATGAGAGTGAGGAGGAGGGGGATTATGATGAGTTCTTGAATGAGGATGATAACTACGATGGGTGAGTGGCCGAGCGTCGTGAGCGGCAGGTATGCGTGGGGCGGGCGAGTCCTGGGGCGAACCAGATTACGCCAAAGGCGCAATACTCCCCTCACCCGCATTTCTGAGCGAGTCTCAGCTAGCGTCAGATCTTCCTTGCGAGCGAGCAGCATGTTTGTTGACGGGTGGACCGACGGTTGATGCTTGATAGTAGATAGTCGGTTCATGGGTAGAACGCCAAAGGCGTAAGGATTCCCCCACCCACCGAGCGTTTCAACCATCCAATTATCCACTCGCTTCATCCATCCATCGCCCAAACTAATGGAACTGCATCCCTCTTCGATTCAGATTCGCGCGACTTGTTGACGACGTGAGTGAAGATCAGTCGACCGTGGCGGGATCAGTCTACGGCGATGGCCCGCCGACCACCTCCGGCACCTCCAGCGCGCACGCGACGTCCGCACACGATTTCGAGTTCCTCGGCCCACACGGCACCGCCCTCGTCGTGATCGGCGTGCCCCTAGTCGTGCACCTCCTTCACGTGCTCTGCAACCCGACCCCAAGCGACAGCGAGTCCGGCGGAAACTGCCCTTCGCCCGATTTCTACGAGCGGCCCGTCGGTTTCCTCCTCGACCAGATCCGCCACACCACCTTCTTCTCCTTTCGCGCCCTGCTGGTCGTCACCGGTTGGTTATTGTTTCAAGCCCTCCTGTACGGCTTCCTCCCCGCAACCTACCGCAAAGGCACCCCGATCCCCGCGCTCAACAACCGCCGCCTCACATACACCATCAACGCCTTCTCCTGCTGGGTCACGACGCACATAGGCCTCTTCGCCCTCTACTCCTCCAAGGGCCTCGCGCCCTTCCTCTGGGTCGCTGACAACCACTTACAGCTTGCCTTTGCAACCTCCTTAATCGCACTCACACTGTCCGGTCTACTCTTCCTCTTCTCCCACCGCGTCCCCGAGTCGGAAGCCGACAGGCCCATCTTGGCCGAGGGCGGCGACACGGGCTACCACCTGTACGACTTCTGGATGGGGCGCGAGCTCAACCCGCGGCTCTTCGGGTGGTTCGACCTCAAGTATTTCTGCGAGCTGCGCCCGGGGATGATCGGATGGTCCGCGCTGAACATCTGCTATGCGTGCAAGCAGTACGACACCTACGGACATGTGAGCGGAGCCATGTGGCTGGTGTTGTTGTTCCAGGGGCTGTATGTCCTCGACGGCGTGTGGAACGAGGCCGCGATCTTGACCACGATGGATATCACGACCGATGGGTTTGGGATGATGTTGGCTTTTGGTGGTGCGTCTATTTCATCGTCACTCTCCCCCTCTCAACAACCCCCCCTACTCACCCCCACACCACCCCCTTCTGATACCCCACAGACCTCGTCTGGGTCCCGTTCACATTCACCCTCCAAGCGCTGTATCTCACGACCTCGCCCGGCCCGCTGACGCACTTTGGCCTCCTCGCCATCACCGCGATCGAGCTATTCGGCATGTACATCATGCGCAGCGCCAACAGCGAGAAGGACGCCTTCCGCACGCTGCCGCCCGCCCACCCCCGCATCGCGCATCTGGATTACATCGATACCCAGCGGGGGACCAGGCTGCTCGTCAGAGGGTGGTGGGGCGTCGCGAGGAAGATCAACTACCTCGGTAAGCTATCCGTATTCCACTTTTTTTTTTTCATATCATCCCGAAACACGGATGCGAGCTGATGATGACCCCCCCACCCCCCGATGAATTTGGTAGGCGACTGGCTGATGGGCATCTCCTGGTGTCTGACGACCGGGTTCGCGTCCCCGCTCCCGTACTTCTACGCCCTCTACTTCTTCATCCTGCTCGTGCACCGCGCCATGCGGGACGACAAGGCGTGCAGGATCAAGTATGGCGACAGGGATTGGGAGAGGTACTGTAGGAGGGTCAAGTGGGTCTTTGTTCCCGGGGTTTATTGAGTGGGTGGGTTGCCGATGTGGATGGGCTTATTTGCGGGGTCGGTTTTTTTAGCCCGCCTTTTTACCTGGGGTTGGTGGATCTCATGTGGTATCTTACGGAAATGAGAAAGGGGGGGACGAGATTCTCATCTCGGTGTCCCTGTTCATGGAATATGCGCGGTTGTAGATGATAATCATTCAAATATGTACAGTGGGTGAATCTACGATGAGGGATTCGAGTGTGGATACTGCATGAACGCTCGAACCAGACACGTAACGGGGATGTAAAGAGTGTTGTGACATCTCGGGCGTAGATAATGCGAGATAGTGCGTTGCCCGAACTCCGGGCTGCGAACACTGGGTTGGTGATGGGCGGCGTGAAGGGGAAAGCCAGAGATCTCAGACCCCGCCAAGCTGGTGCTGTTGGAGCTGGCGCTCGAATTTCTGGAACTCGGCTTGTCCGACGGCTTCGTGGGGGTCGAGGACTTGTTCGACGCCCTGGACTTCTGGGATGTAGTGCTGTGAAAGTGCGAGAGGTAGGTAGTGTCAGTCATAACCGCACTCGGTAATGCCGAAAGTCTCCCAATACGCATCGATGCGAGTGACGAAACCGCCTCCACTCAACTCAACTCACCATCAACATAGTCTCAATCCCATTCTTCAGCGTCACAACCGACGAATCACACGTCCTACAGCTCCCCTGCAGCTTCAACTTTACAATCCCCTCCTCAAACCCCTTATACTCGATATCCCCGCCATCCTCCTGGATCGTCGGTCTGATCCTCGTATCCAGCAACTCCTTAATCATCGCCACAACCTCCGAATCCTCCGGTAAGATCTCCGTGTCGCCCCGCAGGACCGATGCGCCGTCCTCGCCCTCCGCTCCCGCCGCACGCATAACGGGTTGACCCGTCGCGAAGAAATCCATGATACAGCCGTAGATATCCGGCCGCATGAGCTGCCAGTTCGCGTCGGGGTCCTTGGAGATGGTGATAAAGTCCGGCCCGAAAAAGACGGATTGCACGCCGTCGATGCGGAAGAGGGAGGCGGCGAGGGGCGAGGTGCCGAGGGCGTCGCGGGGGGAGAGGAATTCGGCGGTTTGCGGGGCGGGGAGGACTTGCTGCCCTGGTTTGAATTTGAGGGAGTCGACGTTGGGGGTTGATTCGGTTTGGATGAACATTGTGCGGCCTGGTGCGGGGGATGGAGGGCGGGATGATAGGATCGTTAGTCATAACTCCACCGTAGATCTCTCCTCTGCCAATGGATAGTATGCTACTTACGTTGTTGTTCCGCCCCCAATCCCGCCGCCCTCCTCCACGCCAAACTTCCAGGCACCACAGTCGGCGCCCTACCCTTCAGCTCAAATTTCGTGCCCGCCCGTCTCACCAAGCCCGAAGCGCATCGCCGCGCCGATAGTGTTACCGCCTGTGTGATTGCGCTAGAGGAACGTTGACGAGCGGTCGATGAGAGGAGGCATATCGCGGAGTTGCGGAGGCTGCCGGTTGTTGTTGCTGTGGGTGGAACCATCGTTTTCGCGAATAGCAACGAAGAACTGACGAGTGAAGGAGGATATGCTGCGAGTGTGTATGCGAGGGTATGTGCGATTGAGCTTGTACTGTACTTTGAAGGAGGGATGAGAAGTGAAATGCAGCGTTTCGTCAAGTCGTAGTCGGGAAGCAGCTGCGAAATCGGCTAGGACGACATGAGAACACGCCGCATTGACTACTGGCTCGTCTGTGTGGCTTGATGTGGCGCAGTGCGGCGTCGACCGTGCAAGAGTCGGCGAGCAGAGCGAAGAGAAAAAACATCGCCCGTTCCCGTCTCTCTTCCTTTTCCCCTCCCCCAGCACATATCCTACGGATCCTATCCTCTCGATCTACGGACTACCTCTTAGCAGAAATGGCTGTCACAGTAAGTATCCCGTACTCCTGCCCGCTGCCCTGCGTCCCACTTGGTTTTCGGTCCCCTTCTTCTCCCGGCGGTGGTAGTAGGTTCGCCGTCCATTCTCCCGCATTCTCGGAAGTCACGTTCTGGGAAAAAAGCTGCGACGAGAATGGGGCAACCGAACGAATGCTACGCCTGTAGCACGACCCCGCTGGATGAAAAGGTGGCTGCGAGCGACAGAGTAGCCTACTTTGGCGTCCCCTTCTGAGCTGCGCGCCAGACGGGGATGTTCAAACGGTTTGCTCGACTGCTTGGAACCCAACCACTCACCATCCGCACTCTTGAGCAGAAGAAGGACAACAAGGCCAAGAAGGCCCCGGTCAAGTTCACCATTGACTGCTCCAGCCCCGCCAACGACGGTATCTTCGACGTTGACTCCTTCGTAAGTTCCCCGCAGTTCACATTCTCAAAAGTCAAAGCATAGAACCGAATTATTCACATTCCACCCGTTATGTCCACAGGAGAAGTTCCTTCACGACCGCGTCAAGGTCTCTGGCCGCACCAACAACCTTGGAGAGGCCGTGACCATCAGCAAGGGTGCCTCTGGAACCCTCACCGTGACCGCCTCCCCCAGCATCCAGTTCTCCAAGCGCTACATCAAGTACCTCACCAAGAAATTCTTGAAGAAGCACCAGCTTCGTGACTGGGTTCGCGTCATCAGCTCTTCCAAGAACGCTTACGAGCTCCGTTACTTCAACATCGCTGAGGCCGATGCTGACAACGACGGTGACGACGAATAGATTACTCGTCTTCTGAGTTCTCTTTTTTGTCTTGTATGATATCTCTATCACAAAATACACTTGAGGGTTTTTGATAATTTATGTTGCGAGCTTCAACCAATTGTTGTTTGGGTCCAAGTGGTGGTGCGGCGCAACTTCATATTTGGTGGCTCTGCGATAAGCGGTATTGCTCTTGTGACGTACAGCTCGGACATGTGATGTTCAACCCCATCTTGGGCATTCTCCCCGCTGCTCCCTTCAAGTAGCGCAATCCCACAATGTTCCGTCTAACCCGCCGCCTCACCGCCCTCCCTCGTCCCTTCCTCTCCCTTCCCCCTCTCCCGCGCACCATCATCCGCACCTTGGCCACAAAACGCATCTTCGTTGGCAATGTCCCACAAACCGCCACGACCGAAGACGTCACCTCCCTCTTGAGCAAGCATGGCACCGTGACCGACGCGTGGCTGTTTATCAACAAGCTCACGGGGAAGCATCGCCAGTGCGGTTTCTTCGATATGGAGGCGGCGGAGGCGATTGTCGCGATTGAGCAGGTGGATGGGAAGGAACTTCATGGGAGGCTTTTGAGGGTGAGTTGTGGGTTGTGAGGTTGTGAGGGGTTGGTGAATGTGCAGCTTGGGGAGTTGGATGGACGGGTGAGGGGTGAGGGATGGATTGTGCTGTGGCCTTGTTTGGAAGGGTATCATTCCCGTTGGGCGAATCCAGTACGCTCGCTCACACTGCCCGACGAAAACAACCTGCATCGGACTCTTTTCTCCCAAAGTTGTATCACTGACCAGGTATGTCTCGGCCGTCTGCTTCCCGATACGCATCCACAGGTCGCTGAAGCCACGGAACGCGAGCCTGCCGGCAGTGCGGATGCGGAGCAAGTTGTTCATCGATCGACGAATAATAATCGGTTCCAACGACGCCCCAGAGGCCCCAGGCGCGATCGGGATGAGGGCGGGTTGTAGGGGTGGTGTTGGGATTGAGGGATGCGATGATGGGTGAATGGTGGGGGTGTGCTGGGGATGACGATGCCGCTAGTACAGCCGACAGGGCTGCAATGATTCCGGCATGATGCGGAGTACACCTACGGCAGATGGATTTTTTGGTCGGCGTAGACGGCATGCACGCAGTCATCCATGGTGCCAACTCGGCAACCCAGTATGGAGTACGTTATCTAGGGATTCGACTGCGTCCCCATCCTTCGTCAGGCATTTCAACCCGCCGCGCTTTCTGATCTCCAATGTTACCCTCGAATGTCCGATGTGAATAGGCCGCAGATTACATACATTTTGAAAGAAGGGGATCGCTTCCCTAGTACGCAGACCTCTCATTGGCTGGGGTTGAGCGATCTGATGTCCCTGTGCGGGCCCGTCGCAGTCCGACAATCATGGGATTGGCTCTCAAGAACGTGGAGGATTTCGGATGCCGTGGATCCTTACGATTGAGACGATGATGAAGGATATCCTGGATATCCGCGTGTGGAGGCAGATTGGTGACCCACAACAACGGGACGAGACGGACGGCTTCGAGCGACCAACATCGCTGCGGGCGTCCACACCTTACCCTACCCACAATCCCTTGACCCAGACACATAGTATACCCGTTGGAGACGTAGATAGAGGCTGCAAGCTACATACATATCAAACTACTTAACTCCTCAACCCAATCCAACCGCAAACGGTGCATTCTTCTTACGACACCATCCCAACCCCCATCCACTCCACATGGCCTCGATGATGCTAACAACGGCCGACCCACCCGACGACCCGCCCCAACGCAGCATCCGCCTCCACGTAACGCTCGATAAAGACCACCCGGAAAACAATATCTTCAATTACGCCGAGTTGATGCGGAAGGCTACCGGCCAGGATACGAATGGCAAGCCTGGGAAGTCGACTACCTCGCCTGCGAAACCGCTGGGAAGGGATGGGGCGGAGGTTGAGGACGACGACGACGGAAGCGCGGATGATGAGGAGAGTGGGGCGGCGTCGGGGGTGAGTTTGGCCCATCCCAATGCACTGTGCGCATAATATTCGAGACACTGGGAATTAACGACCGTTCATGTGATACACCCAGGCAGCACCCACGAAACTCCGCAAGAGCCTAGAAGACGACTACGACCTCGACGACGCCTTCATTGACGACAGCGATCTGTTCTGGAGCGAGGTTGGGTCTGTGCCGCCTGTTGATCTCGATTGCGGATTCTTTGCGTATAAGGGACCTGTTGAGGACTTTTTCTTGTCGGAATAGTGAGTTCTAATGCAGCATGTTATCTCGATCCCCCTACTCGAGTGGGTTTGGCTAAACCTGCGATGATGTCTTCCTAGCAATAAGAAGATGTTTGATCGACAGAAGGATCCGTCGCCATCGAAGAGGGGGAAAGGGAAGAAGAAGGTTGTGGGTGGCGAGACCAAGGGGAAGGTCGCGGGCAGCGAGAGTAAAGGGAAGGCCGCGACGACATCAGGCGAAGGGTCTGAGCCGGTTCGGAAACGGGCAAAGAAAGTGTCGGCGGCTGCTACGGCCACTGCATCACCCGCAGCCGGTGCATCGGGACCTACACCGATGACCAGCCCGAACGCCGGCGGTAATAGCAAAGAGAGACGGTCTTCTACGGCGGGAACATCGAGCGGTGTCGTGGCAGGTATTGAGGTCTCGACGACGGACTCTAGCTCTTCCGATGACGTTTCTCCACGGGCCCAAACATCGAAACCTGGACCGAGGCCAGTCACAATAGTGAAAGTGAAAAAGGGTAAACCCGCCACTCCCAATCCACCCGTACCGATGGGCTTGGATGACGAAAAGACGTTGTCGCAACTCGCGCCCCCTACCACTAAGGAGAAGCCGAAGAAGAAGACCACACAACAGCAGCAGCAGCAGCCGGACGGTGGGACGCCGAAGAAGTATAAATCGACGACAAGCGCGAGCAGCACGAAACCGAGCCCGAGTAAGAAACGGGATCGGAAGGATGAACCTCAAAGCTCAGGTGCCGATATCCCTAGACCTGTAGGCGCTGATACCCCACTTCCGCAACCCGCATCCGCATCCGCATCCACGCCGGCCGTGGGCGCTGAACCGGTCAAGAAGAAGCAACGGAAGGAGAGTGTAGCAGGTCCAAGGAAGAGTAAAGCGCATGAGACCACCACTACCTCCGCTGCTGCAGCAGTGAACCATCGACCCATTACTACGACCGATGTGACCCCTGCAGCTACGCCTAAAACGCAGCCTGCTGTGAAACAACCCATGTCTGCTCCTCCCGCGCAAGATACTGTGGAGGCGGCTACGAAACCCAAGGCGGTTGCGAAACCACATCGGCTTTCGGACGCGGACTCGTTGACGAATGGTTCCTCTTCACATTCAAAGCCTTTTGGAGGGCAATCTTCTCAGGTAAGGAATGGGCGAGTACCTGTATGTCGGAGTATATTGTGTCAGCGCGCTGAATTTCTATCATTCTGCAGTCATTACCGAGGAAAGTAGCTCAACGACTTCGTGCAGCCGCGGAGGCTGCTGACAAAATCAGTATGTTTCGCCAGTGCTGTGATCTTGTCTGCCTGAAGGCTTTTTAGCTTACGAGATTCGTCCGTGCAGAACCGACCTCAGACAACCCACTACCGACAGAACTACGAACACTGGTTTCCAAGGCAGCTGACCAGGCGATCAATGCGGGCTGGCTAAACGAACGCTTCTTTGAGGAAGTTGAGCGATTCGTGCCTTTGGACTCGGACGCCTTACGGGTATGCGCACATCACGATCAACATCGGGATTTCTCCTCCCTCATTCAACTGACACACGCACCTTCCACCATCTTGCCCACAGCGCACCCTAAAAGCCTACGCCATCCCCCGCCGCCTCGAACGCCTGAAACCCCGAATAAAGCAACTCTACAAAGACTTCGAAGACATGATCCACGAAGCGATCCAGCGACCCCCGCAACCAGCAGTCGACAGCACCGGCGGCGACGAGTCCGCTGAGAATGGCGGCGCCAAGTTCAGATGGACGGATAAGTCGAGATTTGCGTTTTGGGATATCTTGTGTGGGGAGTGGGAGATGGCGCAGCTGGATAATGAGTACAAGTACGGTGGTGTGGTTCAGTGGGATGTGGAGCGAATGACACACTTGGCTGACTTCTTCTCACGTTGCAGTATCGCGGTGAACAACCCACCTGCGTTTACGGAAATGGGTGTGCGCAAAGCCATCTACGCTAAGGTGCGATACACCTCATCTTGGTTCACTGCGCGCTATATTTATGTTCCTAACGCACCCTCTTTCCCTCACCTCAGGTCCAATCCTTCTGGCCCGAAGGCACAATGAGCCTCGACGCCCTCTCCCGCGTCTACAGCTGGATGAAACGCAAAATAGCCGAAAAGAACACCGCGGGAGAGGAAACCATCTACGACCCGTTCAAATCCAAAGCGAAGAAACGTAAATCGGCACCGCCGGCACTCGAGTCCGGCTTCGATTTCAAGGCGGAGTTTGCACAACTGGATGATGAGCGTGCTGGTTCTGCGTCCGCGGCTGTGGTTGGTCCGCCGCCAGCAAAAAAGGTGAAGGAAACCAAGGCGTTACAGCCGCCCGTACACAGTCCGGGGAGTAGTGAAGGCACGAAGCTGGTTGTCGTGGAGACTTCGAAAACGGCTCCGGTGATGATGACCGTGGCAACGCAACCAGCGCAATCCACCCCGCACCCGCCACCACCAGCGCTTGAAAAAGTACGTACGCCGCCGGTGGTGGTCAAACGCAAATCGTCCGATGCGACGGGATCGGTCGGTCATAGTCAACGCAAGTCGTCGGATGCCACGGGCTCGGTTGGGCATATTGAACATACCCCTTCACCGAACCAAGCCCCGAAGAAGTCTTAGAAATATTCAACTTCCTCCCGAGCCCACAACCCTCGTCGGAAGCGATACCAACGCGTTCAGTTCACGAGCGATGAACTCCATCGCCTCATCGCTAACCTACGAAATTCCACCCCTCATATACCTCCTTCTGCGAAATGATGTAAGAAAAACTCTCAATTTTTGGGCTTACTCCCTTCCTTCCCTCTTGGGTTTTGTTTTGTCATGCCTGACATGGGGCTGTTACATGTCGACGTCTCCGATATTCGTAGGCCTGGTTTTGTGTTCTCTGTATATACTGGGATGTTTTATAATACCACGTTTGCGTCGTTTGTAGTTGGTGGGACGGGGTGTGTGATGTGGGATGTGGCGGGGAGATGAGGGAGGCAATGTGTACCTTTTTCAGTGTTACGCCGATAGGAGGCATGAAGGATGGCCTTCACTGACGGAACATTTCAAGGTCGGCAACTGCGTGGTGTCTATATATACCAGGCCAGACAATGTCAAAAAGCATCCTCACACACGCTTTGCCCAATGACTCTAAGCGTGTTCCAGGCGCGATGTGGATCGTCGACATAGCTATCACCATCGATTTCATCTCGCATCCTATTGTTCCTCTACGGAAGGGCTGACTTCCCTGCGATTGGATCGAAAGATTGAGTTTCCGGGGCTAGATTTTATGGTTTCTGGCAGCGCCTGGTCACCGGCGGAGTTTTGCTGCCCGACGCCACTTTCTGACAGATTTTGACGGCTTTCCGAACATACCTCAAAGAAACTGGAAGCAAGCCCCGTCGAGATGAAGGGCTTGTTGTTTGGGCAATCTAAGCCTTTGCGTGACTCGCCGATCTACGTTTGTTCTTGATTGTGTTGAGAATAGATATCTACTGAGCCCGAATCCTGCCTGCATATAAAAGGCCGGACCCTCCTCTAAACACTCTTCCCATGCAACCATAATTGGAGCCCCTTTTCCCGACGGCCTCCGACTCGGTAAAACAAACCCTACCTGATCAGCACGCACACTCCCCGGTCGAGCGACAACGACATATTCGGCTCGCAATGCCGTCTCCACAATCAAGCAAGGTTGCGTTCGAGCAGGTTCCCGGACACATCCCGCCACAGGAAGAGGATCTGGAGTTGGAATGTGGGATGGATTACGAGCCAGCTGTGCTGGCCAGAGAAGGTCTACGCAGGCGCCGGGGGAGGGCGTTCTCCATACCATTACCGGTAGCGCTACTGGGGATATTGACGCTATTACTGGCTGCTGTCGTCGTTCCGGTACGCAATGATTTCGGCGGATAGCAATCGACAGGATGCCAACTAAACAGGACTCATTTTCAGTCAAGTACGGTATTCGTCACAAATGCTAAGAGAAATGCAGAAGATGATGCAAGCACCATCCTAAATGTAAGGCCCCCTGGTTGCTGCTCTCCCGTTTTCCGTGCATCTCGCATTGCCTTTGACGCATCCAGGTACATGTAGCTCACAACAATCCAAGCCGTGGCAAGCATCGAAGGGATCATGAACAAGTACTACCGGGCCGCCTACAACATCGGTGCTCGCACAACGGCGAAGAAGGCCATGAGCGCCTCCGTGTTTGCAACAGGCGGCGGTGACTGGAGTTATGAGGTTGCGGAAACACTGGTGAGCGTCACCGAAATCTCGACGTGAGTTCATCGCGGGCGTTTGCAAGGCACTGGATGCCCGATCTCTAACGGGTCCGTCGTCAATCCGACCTAGACTACTTTGCTTTACCGCAGAATGTATGTGATCGTTTTGTCCGGCTTCGCAGACCCAGTAGGGAAGACTGACCGATCATGATGATGTTTATCCACCCGCAGTGCCAACCCCTCTGAATCAAACAAACGCCGCATCAGCATGGGGACCCGCCATGACCGACATACCCAACTTCCGCTTCGCGGGCCACGAAAACCTGCGCCAGCCTCGTTTGTACACCTACCCCAACGGGACCGTCATAATGAACACCACAACCACGCTCGCGTATATGTTCATGGACAATGTCACCTTCCTGGTATATAACTCTAGAATCCCTTGGTACAGTGGATCTAAGCCTAGCTAACAGGTACAGCCCACGGCGAGTGTACCGTTTTGGCCAGACAACACCGGTCCAACCAGGGGAGGGTACTACGAGTTCGCGCAGATGACGGATGATAGGGGCCAGCTGTTCCCGGCTGATGCTATTGCGCCCGCCATGAAAGACAATCCGTATGCGTCGCCGGGATACAATATCAGCGGGGACTTCAAGAAGCCAGCAGATCTTATTACATGGACGTATAATGTCTATACGAAGAACCTGTACGATCCGCGGGTAGGAGCAAATGGGTTCGATGCTTTGATATTATATTCCATTTTAACGCCTGATCGTATGCATTTAGAATGACCGGAACTTTCGGTATATTGCTACGAAACCCGCGCACGGTGTCGCGCAGTGGAATTGGGTGGTGTTTCCCCCAGCCTCCATCTACTGGTAAGCTCAACCAACGTGTGGTTCGCCTTTACGTGGGCGGAGTGGATCCGCCTATACAACCTCAACGTCGACTAGGAACGTGATCGTCCCCATCTGGGACATCCGCGACAAAACCGCCACGGGGCCAATGATGGGATGCCAGGCAGGCGGTGTCATGGAGCGATCAGCTGTAGCTTCGTTGCAAGCCGCGCTACCGTCCGCGAACGCCGTTATCTTCATCTACGATGCGACCACGACTAATCGGGCTGGCCAGGTTATCACCTCGTCGAATATCGATGCGATCCATCCCGTTTACATTGACTTCTATAACAAGACGACTTGTAAGTTGCTGGGATAAGACGCATAGATTGCTTGTGAATTGGAGCGCACCACAGACACCTTGTCGCGTTCTAGCTTACCTTGACAACAACCCCGTTCCGGCTGTTGACCATATCGGCAAATTCATCCAGTCTCGATATCCAGTATTGAGCGACATGCCGACCGATGTGTTAGAATTCAAGGCCAATCTGGGTGGTGAAGGTACGACCAACATCTGCAAGCCCGTTTTGTCCATTGAAGTGGTCGACGCTGATCTCCACTCGAACAGATTGGTACATTGCCACCAAACCTCTTCACCTCGGCCCCGGGAGCGTATCAGCCGGCAGCCGCTGGCAGCTCGTCATCGCCTTCCCGCGCTCCGACTTCTTTTATCGCATCGATCAGTCCATCCGGAATAGCATCATCGTCATCGCCGTATGCAGTACGGTCGGCTTACTGGCCGCCGCCGCCGTGTCCTTCGTCATCACGGTGCCACTGCAACGCCTCGCGCACAGGATGACTGAAGTGACGAACCTGAAATTTAGCGCATTGGAGAATGGAAAGCTGCAAGCTCGAAGCTTACTGCGTGAGATTGGATCTTTAGAAAACACGTTCGCGGTGATGGTCAGAGCTTTGTAAGTGCCTGCTTGTCCGTCACTGCCAATCAACGCTGTTGCATCCGGGAGTATGTCGTCCTCTAATCTTTTCTCCACAATTTCATTCCCACAGCGCCGCTGGTATCCGCAAGAACTCCGAGATGACGAATAAAATGCGATCGGCCACCAGTGGGCCCAGATCGAGCAATGGCCCGTACGTTGTCGGAAACGGGAAGCGGAGCGGACAAGGTTCCGAACAGCCTAAATAGTGCCAGGATCACGCCCGTATTTCGTATATCACTGCGTAATTAACCTCATCAACATGGCTCGCAAGCCGAGACTGCTCTATCGATACCCTCAGATCTTCCTGAAAGCGGATTCAAAGAACATGTATATGCACATCGTAACCACAACCTAATGACAACGCAAGCGGAACTTAGATATGACAACTTGACGGGGTGTACCTAATCTACATGCCTTCGAGAAAACCGTTTGGGGACTCCGTAGCATGATCTGGTAGTCAGTCTGCTGCATGTTCGACATGCCGATGGAAGTGGGCGCAATCTGCCGCGTAGTGCTTCACCGCACAATCACTTCGAAAGATCTTGGTCACACCGTCCGACGTCCTGCCGCCGGAGCTAAGTAGAGATCTTCATTTCTCTCAGCTTCTCCTCGCGATTCAATGAAGCAGAATCCTCGAAACTGCCGTATGAGGACGTGAATGGACAGTCCGGGATCGCTAGGAAAATCTGTGTCCAAATCTGAACGCCAGACGGGTCCCGCGAGACGTAGTTAGGCCGAGACCTTGACGAGTAGCAAACGCTAGCCGAGCATCCGATTACATCCCGGAGTGATCCCAGAGGGACGTTTCCTCAGAAGGTGCTTTCCTTCCCCATAATGCCCATATCCGGCCGTCCCTCCGAAACTCCGTCCATGCAAGATACGCGAAGTGACTCTCCCACGGAGTTCCAGGAGGCGACTGAAGCGACCCTGAAGTTGACTGAGTTTGGAAATCGGTCCCGCTGCGAGTCCCAGAGTCCCAGACGTTGTTCGCTCGACTCGGCATTTCGCATTCATAGAGCTGAGTGAAGTTTCATTTGGCGGTTCTGAGGAAGAATGCGAGTGCGTAGACAGTTAAGAACATATCGCGCACCCGCTGTCCCAAGCGTGGTACGCCATTCCGATTGAACTTCCCCATACAACACGTTCTCCACCCTTGCAGCTCAGACGTAGCTCCATCGTAAACCATCGTAGCTCCAGGATCTACCAGCGTGGTGACAACACCTAGTCCGCTCTCTATCAGCTCACTTCTACCGCTGCTGGTTTGAGCGAGGACTTCAGCTGTGATACCAGAGATGGCAATGCCTGCATGCATGTGCTTGTCGGATGTCCCGACTTTCCAGCCCGGATTTGTGAGGGACGTTCTGCGCAATAAAAGCCACGATTCCAATCATCTCTCTCATTTCAACGCGTCCCGCACTTTCCTTCCTTCCTTCCACGCATGCCCCTGCCCGCTAAAATATATAGCCCCTTTTTCTCGCATCCCGCTCGCATTCGCATCCGAAACAACCACACACACCCTCAGCGCCGCAACAACGACGTAATTTTCATTATGACCTCCCGCAACGACCCGAAGGAGGTGGCTGCAGGCTGCAGCTCGTCCCCATCCATGTGCGCAGGGGATCTCTTATTACTGTTCCGACGCCAGTACATAAGTAGTGCAGCTTTCCCGCCTCTCTGAGAGCCCTGGCATCACTTTCTTTCCCGCTTTGTTTGCTTTCACCTAGCTGCCACGGAGAAACGGTCGAAACATCCCACACCACAACGGTCTCCGGATCCCTGATAACTTATGCGCTTGAAGCTGTGGTGTAAAACTTGTCTGTTTTTGTAACCCAGCTGGTCTGTTGTGCTCCGCTTTCATACTACCTTCTGCTCGCAACGTTGCTCGCTCGTTGCCGACCATCGATATCAAGATCATCTTCCCTCGGTCCGCACTCTGCCCCAATACCTACATAACTCTTCGTCCTACTCGCAAGCACCCTCGAATAGCACATCCCCATCATGCACAGCCAACTCGCAAGCCTGGTCCTCCTCCTGACGCTCCTCACGATCCATCTCCCCACATCCACCGCTCTGCGCCTACCGCTCAAATTCCATCTCGAACGTCTCCTGAACCGCCGCCAAGCCGACTCTACCGTACTCGAAACCGCTACCGTCGTCGTGCACGCAGCGCAGACGGATACCGCCGTTGCAGTCGTCACATTCGGCGGGGCTGGATCAGGAGCAGACAGTGCCATCACGGCGGCGACACCCACTCCGACCGCGTTCGCGGCAGATATCCAGACCGTTTTCTTCACATCCGTAGCGCCGGCCGCAACAACCGCGACATCGGCATCAGCAGCGACAACGAGCCCATGCCCCGCATCGCAGAAATTTGAGGAGTTTGTCTTTGAAGAACAGTTTGCAAACAGCACCCAGGTCGCGGGCGGGAACGGCACCACGGTGTTTGAGAGCATCTTGACATTGAGTGGAAATACGTTTGGGTTCAGTCGCGGGTATGTAGCTTGCATCATTGTTTCGGGTATCACAACCTTACAAACCAAATCCGAGACCTCTGATCTAACCCACATCCACCACGTCTCTCATCCCCCTACATCAACAGCACCTGCCAACCCCTAACCTCCACGCTCGACTCCTTCTACTGCACCACGGACTACACCATCCCCAACTTCGGCACCTTCCAAATCCTCGGCCCCTTCAACCCCTCGCGCACACCCATCATCTCCCTCACCAACACAACCACCGCCACCGCAACAACAGAAGACCAGCCCGCAAGCGTCGTCGGCACCAGCGGCCATTTCTTTGGCGCCAAGGGCGTCGATCTTTTTGCGTTCTTGGTTAATGGGACCAGTGATGCCGCGGCGGCGGTGCAGGTGATGCCCGTGGGTGGGAGGCATACGTTGCGGTTGTGCATCGTCCAAGGGAACTGATTGGGGGATGTACTGTACGTCATTCTCGGGATGTGGGGTGGAAGAAGCTTTTAGGATGTATGTGATGGGATGCGATGTGCGTATATGTGTTCTGATATGATGTGAGGGGAGGCTCTGTATTTAGGACGCAGGGATATTGTGGCGTAGTGAGGTTTTCTGTCCACATGTGAAGTTTTTGTATTGTACGATGGCATATGAAAAGTAACAAATGTGTATATGTTGCCGGGAGAAAGTGCGCAAAAGTCTCGTCGTCTCCCTTGAACCCACCCTCATCCCCGCCCAGTAGTTCGACACCCAGCTGCTCAGAACACTGCCGAATGCGAATGATATCCGAAACGGCGGGAGTAACTATGCCTCTCCTAAGGACCTGAGGTAGCCAATGCCTCGTCATCTAATTAGTGACGCGCATGAATGGATTAACGAGGAGTAACCCTCGGGTGGTTTGCGCACCCAGAGACGATTCTCCATTTGTCATTTGGGATTGTTCACGCTACATATCTATAATAGTGGATACCAACTAAGGCTATATGCGCGAGCTACCTAGTGTTCATTCCTTCCGAATAGCATCAGACTCGGTTGTTTCGCATCTCCCCGACCCAGCGGGGTTGATGTTGGTTTTCTCCAAACAGACCAAAACTAAGAGATGTCCCCCTCAGAACTCGCTAAGGTACGCCGCACGTGCAACAAAGAACTCAATCACAAACCCAACAAGCATAGCCATAATGGCGAGCACAAATCCGCCCTTGTACCCCAGCATCTCTACATCCTGAACGTTCCTGTCATTATCTACAAACTTCTCACTCCCGACTTGGTGAGCCGCTTTCACGAAAAAAGCGATGGCGGTCATGATGGCGGCGAGGGTGAGCGTGTTGAGTGCAACAGCGGCGTAGCCAAACTTCTGGGCTTGTTTGCGGATGTTGAGGATCAAGAGCGCCCCGACGAGGAATTGAAAGATAATGGCGATCGGGATCATGGCTGCGTGGGGGGATGTGAGGGACGACAGTAAGTAATAAGTTTCATCGAAATGACCCGCTCAATATCTCCATACACCGCCCGCCCCTCTTCAAGCTGAACTGACCGGCAGCAACGGTGAGAGAAGTTGGCTGGGAGCCATCGTAGCGTTCGCAGAGCTCTCCCGAAACACCATTGTACTCGATGACGCACGTTTTGTAGAGCCCAACAGTCTGTTTCAAGACCGAGACTCTGACGACCGCAAAAACAAGAAGCTATCAGTTTCCTTTCGCTTCCAAACAAAGTGTGTGATACTTCTAATTCTAGCACTCTTCGCCACCACGGTTCCCCTGCAACTCGCCCCCATTCAAATGCTTACTTGTAATCAGCCCAATTGGGAATCGCGGCGCTCGCAATGAGAAAGGCGAGCTGCAATACGACTAGACCGATTGCGCCGTAGCGGAAGCCTAGCTCCGTCTTGGTTTTGCCGACGTTGCTCAGACCCATTCTGCTGGTTTACTCGTGGCCGTACGTAGTCGGTGGTGGGCAGGTAGATGCAGTCGAACGTTGGCGAGCGTCACTTGAACAAGTAAACAGAAAGCGGGATGAAGCTCCCGGCTCCCTTTTCAGCGGATGGATATCGATTTCACAGCCGCCGACTTGTATACAGTATCTGCGTCCAGTTACCAGTACAAGCCTACAAGGACTTTAATCAAAAGCGGTCCACGACGGCACAAGCATAATACCCGTCCGCCAGCAATACTGACGCGCAAACCTTTAATCGCTTAACTTGATTCGCGCTCCCAAGAAGTCGGTATGGCGTCAATGATCACGCAGATACGAGAAATCCAGCAAACAAGAACACTTGGAAGACGAAGGACAAGTAACGATTTCCACCCAAAGATACGGTTGTCAAGCCATTCAGCCATTTAAGAGGCATGTGCATGTGAGCAAAGCGCTGTAAACACACGAAACGCAAAGAAAGCATAAAAGTGGTTGATGTCCAGGGCTGTGAAGGCGAGGAGGCTAGTTGAATTTTTGGGAGTGATCAGAAATGCAGAAATCCGCTCTCAAACAGCAATGACCGTACATGGACGCCCCATCCGCATCTGATAGCGTCCGCGCATCACGACGGCGAGCGGAGGTGTCGCCACATGCATTCTTAGGGTTCTTCTACCACGCTCCGTTCTACATGTGCACCGGGCTTAGGACTACGAGTCATGCGAAGTCCTGACTGTGACATGTCTGTGTGCCGAGAGGTAGGATATGGACCAAGAGTTCCCCTCCAGAGGCGAGCCACTTGAACGCTTGGAACAAATATATTTCCCCTCTAATATATTTCCCCTTTAATTTTCGCACCCACACACCGCAATCGTCTACATTCTTGGATCTCCGAACACCCAACCCATCTTCGATATGCTTTTCAAACGCACGCACGTTTTCGTCCACTACCTAAGCAGGCCTTCAGGCGCCCGCTGAACCCATCATCATCGTCGAGGGCACCACCGTTGCGAACGCCGTTCAAGAGATCACGGTTGGTCCTGCGCCAGCTGGTGCTCATCTCTTCGTAGATGGCAAGACCGTTATCGTTCCCGCCGAAGGATATCACCACCATCATATCGTCGAGGATATCACCGCCCCCCAGGAGACCACAGCAGCTCCTGCTCCAGCGGCCACTATAATCATCGTTGAGGGCACGAGTACCATGCCGCATCCCACAACCTAGTTTCGCGCTTGCACGCCTCAGACCCGTGCACCATATCCCGGTGGGTTACCCGCAACTCTGCCGCCTGCCAACAGGTGACCATCGCCTGCTCGTCTCAACGCTCGTCGTCAACTGCAGCAACACTGAGACGGACCACCGCATCTCTGTGTACTGGTACGGGAGCGGGACGAAGCCGGACAGCAGTGGGCGTTGGTAAGGGAGTGTCTACGTGAGTTCAGGTTTGTGAAGTTCGTTTCGCAGGAGGCTCCGGTGCTTGCCGAGCCGAATGCGTCGTTCCTCTTGCTCTATCTCTCCCTCATCCCCTGGATGCATGCGCCATATGCGCGAACCCAGGGGCTGCGTACAGTGGTTGGATACGCCATATGCGCCAAACCAACTGGGCAGGGTATAGTCCGCTCTATCTCTATCTCCCTCATCCCCTGGATGCATGCGCCATATGCGCGAACCCAGGGGCTGCCAACTGAATGGGCATGGCGTGGGGCTGGCTATGGCGGAGCCACCGGCAACCACAAAAGCAATGGCAAAATGGCATCCACCAAAAGTCAAGCTAACAATCACGCCTGGCCGTGCCGGCAGTGAATACCACGCCTGGCCGTGCCGGCAGTGGTCATAGCTCTTCTAGTAGCAGAGGGCAACAGTGCCATTGCATTCTGTGGCCCCGCCGCGGAGAACGGAGAAACGGACAGTACATCCGTATCGTCCCCGCTGTTTGGCAAGTGTGAAAAGGTTGGCAATTGCGAAGGAGATCTTGGCAGTTGCCGGCTGGCTGTGGACGACAGAAAACGAAGAGGCGGCTTCGCAACGCGTGACCAGAGCTTTATAAATTTAAAAGTTTATGAGACGCTCATCATCTCGCTCCTCCTCCTCCTCATCATCATCATCGAAATAACCGTCGTCAGGCTTGCCGTACCGCATACTTATTAGCGGACCTTGTGATCTGCCTCCCAAGCACGAGCTCCACCACACACACAAGGATGCCGCCCATTTCGAAGGATAAAACGGCCGTACCTCGAGCGGCTTCGAGCTCGAGCCACCGACCTGTCACCCAGGGTGGTGTAAAAGCAAGGAGATTAAAACCGGACGTTAGCCCGCCGATGGGCCGCCAGGCAACTTTTACACCCATCCTACATCCTACACCTGATACTATTATACATCCTGATAATGACCACGTACTACGAAGACGAGGATAGAGCCTTGACGCCTGACGAACTGTGCAGGGTCCAGCAGAAGGTGCAGGATTGGTGGGCCCCCAATATTCCCCCGTCCAATACGGAGGCGAGACCTGTGTTGGAATCGCCCCCCATCATCTTCCCCGAGGATGCTTTGGATTCTGGCGACGTAGATGAGGGTTTCTACGCAACAGCAGAGATGAAAAGAAGATCTGGGGAAATTATCGCGAAAGGCTTTGTTGGCGTTAATATCGAAGACCCCTGGTAAGTCTTCTTGTTTGCTGTTCCGTGAGGATTCTGAACTTACGTATGATCAAATGCTCATCACTTACCCTGTTTTCATTGGAAACTTTTTAACTTCAGTTCGGCAGATCCTCACTCTGTATATGAGGCCACAGGAACTCTCTGTGCAGGTCGTCAAATACCTGAACACTCGCGAAATAGGGCGTCTTGCTCAGGTACGGATATGTCTCGATGCGTCGATTGGACGCACACCTCGCCGCACACCTCGCCGCACTGGAATCTCACAGTTTCATCTTTGCGCAGACCTCTCGACACTTTGCCGCTGTATGCAAGGATGATTACCTGTGGAACCTGATTGCTGTCCGCCGATTTGGCGGAAGTGGAACCTCTGTCGGTGGCACTGGTCATCTCGATCTGTATAGAAGGCTCGTGTCGGAAAGTATGTATAGAGCGGTAGAGAAAGTGCGACCTGGGGAGCGTGGCGAGCCGTTGCTGGACGAGCCACAAGAATGGTTCAGAGTGGCAAAGAGGATTGCAATCTAGAGGGTGAAATCGAGCTACGCCTGGTGGATCCAATTGAATCGGGCGACAGCGAGATCTTATTACCGTAAGCGCAGGAATCCTCAACACCGAGGTTGAACCGATTGCACAACGCATTCCTCTGCTCTGACATCCTGGTCTCCACGAAACTATTCTGCGGTGGTTAGGAAGGCAATAACTCGAGCGCGTGATATTGACACACTCCAGTCGTCCCCTCCTTCCGCAATCCAGACTCACTTAACGTCCCTGCCGAGAAACTCAACATCATTTGGAATAACGGCCAATGGTGGAAAATCATCGAATCGCCCGAATCGCATTCCGGCAAAGTCGCCCTCCTCAACGCAGCCTGGTGGTTTGACGCCCGCTGCGAGATCAAAGGCGTCCCTCGCGGCAAATACATCCCAACGTGGCGCGTCCAGTTTCATCAGCGCACGGGAGGTCTCGACGGCATCCAATTCCGCGTCAGCGTGAAAGGTGCCGGGGATGGGATCGAACATGGCAACGTTGTATCCGAGACACACATGTCGCAACTTCGTCCGGAGAGCCCTACCACCTCCAATGCCGGACCCCTGTCATTCCGATTCGTGCCAACCGTATTCATGGCGCCTCAGGATAGCACTACCCCGCAATGGGTGGAGCTGACGATGCCGCCGTTGGATGTAGGAAACTGGTCTGGTGCCGCACCGTACTGGTTAGTTGAAATCGAGGCGACCGACCACACCAGCACCTACAAGTACGGACTGCTGATCGACTGGTTCCAACTGGTTCCGCAACGGGCGGAAGTCGGTCCCCGAAACGAGGCTGAGCCGTCCGCGCCAACTCCCACCGTCACTGAAAGCAAAAGTCCTCAAACACCTTCCATTCTCCCAAGTAGGTCTTCCGCCGAGGTATTCATCGAACAGCTTTCTCGGTTCCTCGTGGACTTTGGCTGACTTCCCGCTTTGTACCCAGAGAAACTCCCCTCCTCCATGATATATCAAACCAGATCAACAGCGGGGAGGGCGTCTCCTTCTACATGGCTATGGCTACCGCTGCTGTTGCTCTGTATGCTGGTATCGACAGTTATGGCGAACGTAGAGAAAAAGTTGTTTATGCCAAGGAAAGTACAATCTCTCGAGAACATGTCAGCCATCTGCACACAGTGGAACATATCAGAGGATGTTGCCGTCACAGAGCTGAACGGGCCGACTTGATCTTTGGGGCAACATACTTCTATGGATCTTTAGTTGCAAAGCAGAAGCACAAACCAGGATGTCAGCATCTGGACGCAGTAGCGAATGCTGATAGTTGGAGAGTGTTCAAGCTCCCCCAATCGTTGATACCGCACCAGACTTATGAGGTGCGCGTATGCTGGGCTGCCATCACACCTGCCAACTGGTCAATGGATTTTCTGCGGGATGGATCGGCATATATAGTATACTTAAAGCTACGGCTGATAGCTGCTGGCGTAACCTACAGCGAGAGCTCAGATCTGGTTGTACCTTACACCTTAGCGTTAGATCGCCTTTTATTTGGCGCCATTCCAATGTCCACCGTTCCTGCTGGCCTGAACGTCGTTGCGGCTGTTGCTGTGGGGTATTTCCTGATGTACCCGGCATTCTTGCGATGCTTGGATTTGGGGGAGATATACATAAATACCAATTCGAAGTCAAAGTAGATTTTCTCAGTGGACGGTTATTTCATTGCATTGAAAATTCGTGAGAAGCCACAAATGCAACCAGTGTGTAGCCCGTTCCTCTCAAAGATCTGAAAGCTCAAGTGTCCCCTCCCCAACGCCGCACTGGTGTACAACAAGGAGCCCGCCCTCGGTTCCGGGCCCCGCGGACATTACTTCGCAAGTTAGGGTTCGGTGGGTTCCGCGCGAATGAACAGCCTTCCACGCGAAATAACTTACAGTTAGGGTTACATGCGCGAGTAACAGCCTTCTGCGCGAAATAACAGCCTTCCGCGGGCGAATAAACAGGCTTCCGCATCGAGTAATAGCCTTCCGTGCGCGAATAACAGCCTTCCGCGCAAAATAACTTATCGGTTGAGTGAGAGACCTGTGTCGCGTCTAGAGACGGCAACGCCGCCGTGGCCAGCCTTGTAGTCCGTATACAATGGAGCTCGCCGCGACCATGCGTGGCGTGGGTATGCGATCGGAAAGCAACGTTTGCCGAGTGTCGAAGCCAGCCATTGGCCTGAAACCCACCTGCTGCTAGTTGACCACAGGATTCCGACAGTCCAGCTCGGCGGCTTGTCCAATCCACTGTGCTCCGTTGAACGTGCGGTTACATCGTAAGCGTGGTACACCCGATGCCCATCGGTGTAGTCTTTGAATTCGCTCAGCAGAAGATTGCCCTTCTCCTCAAGGGCTTCGCCACCCCTAGCCATCTCCTCTGCAATTCTGATTTGCGCCAACGCCCCACTCCAAACCCTTCACTCCATCAACCTCCGGACCGCAATGCGAGGGGTGTCGGCACCCCTAAACAAGACATCCCTATCCTCATCATCACTATCCACCTCTTCTGAACCCTCAGTCTCGCTTTCACTACTGGTATCCACCAGTCCACCCCGAAGTTCATCACTCCATGTCGACACCTTCGGGTACGGCCGATCATACCGATCCGCTCTGACCGTCGACCAGCCCATTCTTTTCCCTCGTGCGTCCGATCCTCGATCACCATTCTCTGTGCTCTCGTTTTCCATACGTTCTCGTGCGAGCTGAAGCCGCTGCTCTTCTAAAGCCCGCGCGTGTTCCTGTTCGAGCGCAATGGATTCCGAGAGCGGGAGTGGTTTGACCAAGCCGACTGCTTTTGGTGTCGAGCCTGGTGAGAGGGGGAAGTGTGGCTGGGAAGGATTGGGTATGAGTGGATTGGGTGTGGAGGGTGACACCCGGAGAGTGGAAAGGGTCGCTGCTAGCTGGGAAATGGAATCCGGTGATTCTTTTGGTGATTCTTTTGAAGGTCCTGGTGGACGATTCATGGTGGATGGAACTGATGATGATGACCGCGCCGAGATGGAACCGGTTGACACTTCTGGGGTGTTCACATCCTCGACTTCCGAGTCCCCTCCCTCGAGCTCCGCGAGTCTCTTTCTGAGTTCCTCAAACCTCTGCTTGAGCTTATTCCCGCCGTCCGGAAGTCCTCTCACAAGCGCCTCGTCGTTCAACGTATTTTGGGTGACGATGAGCATTTCCTTAAGCTTTGCTACGTCGCTTATGAGGTGAATTTCGGTTCTATGATTTTTGCGTTGAACTAGAAAGGGTTGTGTAGCTTGCGAGTTGCGATAGCCAGCAAGAAGGGAGCGTTGAGCAATTGCACCCGATGCTCTGGTTCGGGAATGTGGTTGCAGCTCCGGATTCTTCTCCCATTTTGGGAACGGGGAGGAGCGGTTCGAGTTCATTGTGAGCCCGCAAGTCAATGCGTTGGCAGCTGCGTCGATGCTGTCCCGATGTGCCAGGGAACTCTTGGCTCGTTGTGGGTGGAAGTAAAATCTGGCAAAATCACCGGTGATAGCCACGGCACCTGGAGGCTGGTTGCGCAAGCTTCAGGCTGTGCGTCATAGTTGGTCACCTATCTTAGGTTATATTTTGCGTGGGAAGAAAAACCCTTCGCATAACCTTGCCCCTTTTAAGACGACCAGTATACGATCTGACCTTAGCCGGCTACTTCCAAGATACCGCACGATAGCAAACTTGTCCATCCCATACCAGAATCACAAAATGGACAAGGCCTCCTTCGAAATGCGGAAGCACCAGCTTTCGGGGGCTTCGATCTCGACATCAGCAACCACGGACGCCGCTCGCCTCGGCGGATGAGGACAAGTGGACTATGACAGCACATTATCACCTGGCTGTCCTGGTCAGATCCTACTCTGTCTATGAGTAAAAGTAATATGGATCACGTTCTGTACGACGACTTGCAAGCAATCGCCATATCCATGATCTTTTTTTCCGCCAAGAAAGAGGATCCATCGACCTTGCAGAGTCCTCTTCCTTTGCCCTGAGGACTCGCCGTACATCGAACCGACCCCGTGTGGTCGCCGCAGTCTCGTCTTCCGGCCCGGCTACCCCCGTCCCCACCTAAGCGGCCAGGGGCCAGATGGTCACGGTCGCCACAACCCCGCCTCCTTCAGCGGCCTCGTCCTCGACCGGAACCCCCCGACACAAGCTTTCGAGGGTGAGGCAACGGACTCCGCCAACGTCCAACACTCCGGCCCTTGGCCAGAGTCGGCAGCAAGTCGGAGAAGACCGAAAGGCGCGACACCAGCCCCGCCTCCATCATTTTCCCCCGAGCCTCCCCTCCCTGGCACTGGGATCTTGCGAGCTTCCTCGCCGGCGACCCCAACGAGGAGGACGTCCCGCCCCCCGAATCCCCAACCCGCATCCCCCCAGCTTTCGCCCTCCTGCCGGGCTTCCGCAATCAAGAAGCACGCACCATGCTTACCACCACCACCACCCACGAAGCTGCGCCCTCATCCATTCTCTCCACGGGGGTGGCTCCCCTGAGCGGAGCAGCGCCGGTCGACATCGCCGCCCTCGGCATTGGGGTGCTGGAGCTCGCGGCTCTCCTGGAGCACTACAAGGCGGCGTCGTTGAAGACGAAGGAGGAGGTGGCTGTGTTCCTGGCGGCCGCCAAAAGCAGGAGGAAGACGCTGCGAGGGAGGAGGCCCTCCACCACCGTGTGAGTTACCTCAGAGGTTCATGATGAGGTCTTGAGTGCTGTTGCTGATGTTGTCACTCTTTTTGGATACAGACGGTCGCGCATATGTCTTCTCGCAAGCTGCCTCGTCGACGACCCCGACGACGACGACCTCCAACCCCCCGAATTCCCCACACGAATCACTCCAGCTCTCGCCCTCCTGCCGCGCTTCCGCAACCATGAAGCCCGCACTATGCTAACCTTGCCCTCCTGCCGCGCTGATTGCAATGGGGTCACTTCTCCTCGTTTTGGATAGAGAAGGACCGGATTATAGAAGATGTAAGATTGAGTACTGAACAACCAGATGGCCCCGGGCACAACTCACATGCCTGTTCCTTTGTTCACGTCATTCCTTAGCAACAACGGGAGATCGAACGCCTTCACCGTCTACTTGTTGATGTGGTAGTGGAGGAGACCCCGGTAAGTTTCATCAAGATATAGACTCTCTTGACATCCGGCCCAACCATGATCGATTTCGAATCTTCGCAGCAATCAACTCCGAGAAAGCGCCACCGCCAGTAGGACGTTCTTGTTTTTGAGACTTTTCTTGTTTTTGGGACTTTCTTGGTTTTGGGACTTTGTTGTTCGTGGACTTGGTTGTGCTTGGTTTCATTGAGACATTGGTCCGTTTCGTTTTCTTGTACATTTATTTAACGAAAAGCGGACTCCTATACCCGTCTTACATCCCTTGACCGTGACCTGGTAGCTTGGTCTCCCTTTTTGTCGACGTTCGAACGGCATGGGAAGCTTGAGCAACTCATGTCCAGTTTCCCGGACGCGCCATCGAATCGAAAGGCACACGGGGCATACATTGGGCCATTGTGGCATTGGGACAGGACATGATCAAATCTGCTGCCCTGCAAAGTGGAGGAAGAGCGAGGACTTCAATGAACCTGTCTCTCACTTCTGTATTGAAAATCCACAAAAACAATCCAACGCAACGACTCTTTCGGCGTCTCTCGGCCCCTTACAATGAGGAACGCCGAAATGGGAAATGTCCTCCGATTCGCAGAGATCAATGATATGAGAACGCCCGGGGACCGCCAGTCCTCTGCCGAGGAAGGCCCATTAAGGCGCTTGGTTAAATTGTTTGTTTGACCGAAATGATGAAAGCGGTGAAAGGTACAGATACGTAGTGTCAACATATATGTCTGCGACCACCCGTGACTTCCAGGCCGCCCCCCCGCGATTGGCGACTACCAAGCAAGCAGACGGACATGCTGCCGCAATTGCGAGGTTGGACCCGACATCCTGACCTTGGCCTTGACACCTTTCACAACAGCACACCACAGCAACATGGGTAAGGCTCTCACACCACAGAAGAGAGCCTGCAACGTTGCCCTCAAAAAGGCCGGGAAAAGCACCATGGAGCTGGCAATTCATGAGCGAGTCGGCATTACCGCAGTCAAGAGAACCTTGAAAGTCTTTCGAAACAACGACCCCAGCGATCCATGCTCAGAAAATGCGCTGCGGTGATAGCTGCGAACAGGGGAGGCACAAAGTATTAGGAGACTGATGCCGTGGTTGAGGATGATGAGTGCAGCGGTCGACGCTTTCATTTCAATGGCAGCTCGCGATGGACACTTAGAAAGGATATGCAACATGTGACCTTAGATGCAGATGATTGCGACACAAGCAGTGCGAAATGCAATTTGTATTGTAGAGCAAGATATCATATACAAAGTGAGCAAATACAAAGTGAACGCGATCAATCTTGAACAATCTTGAACTGGACCATTGGTTTCCTCGCAAGCGAGTACTACAACAGGAACCGCCACGAGAAGGCTGTCCAGCTGGGTTCCCGCCTAAAAAAGAGAAGATATTGCATGAGCAGCAAACACGTTCGAAGGGAGAGCTATTCTCCAAGATCCAGTCCGATGAGCAGTGGCAACCGCGTGAATGTCTAGAAGAAAACTGGAAATGAGACAATGAGAAGTTAGTATCCAAACCAAGACGGAACGAAGCAGCAAAAAAGGAAACGAAACAAAGACGAGAAAGTAAAAGTTTAGACGGAGAGGAAGCAACAAAACTCACATTTTTACAACACAAAAAATACAGGAATACCGTTCTAAAGCATGTCAGGAGATGCTGTGACCGGCCCCTCGGCGCATGTCCGAATACTGGAGACCGCCGTCGAACACCCAATCTTAGCCGTAGACACTGCTCCGTCCCTCAACCAATGAGCAGTGCGTCGTGCTTAACTCCCGATGGCGAATGGACCGGGTCGCACATCTTATGATGCGTGTTAGCGACACGGAACCACCTCCTCGCGGTGAGCGTTGGGTCCAGCCGTCGCCAGCCATGCTCGTCGAACGGTATTCCTGAAAATGAAAACGCGGTTGCCACTACATCTCTGAGTGTGACAACCTGTCCCTCCATCTCGGAGTCACAAACGCTTATCCCCCTGTACACACAGCGATCAGTACTCCACCAAGTGGCCATGCAAGTCAGTGTTAGCAAGATATGGGAGCCCACCGGAGAATCAAGCACCAAGCGCCGTGTAAGCAAACACAACCAGTTAGATAAAGACGGTGAGTTGAAAAGGCCGGAAAAAGATGAAGAGAAACGAAGAGGACGGACGAGGGAGGTCGGCTATTTATGCGCGCAAAACAAGCACGCGTGCCCTGGCCCGCGACAGCGCAGCTCGGCCTTCCATGGCTGTGCCACCCGCAATCGGCTGCGCCACCGCAATCCGGCTTTTGTCAGCGGAGCCCCTTGCAAATGGCGCAATCCGATAGTGTCTACGGCGGTCGGTGATGTCCAATTCCATGTGTCTGCGAGAAGGGTGGTTCTGCGCAAGCAAGGAGTAAGGGGTAAACGCGTGCCACCGCGCGTGCGGGCCCGCCAAGTGCCGGAAACGCGTACTTCCCTTCGACTGGCGAGCGAGAGCAGAATGCTCATGTACTGTACTTACGTTTGAGTATTCCACTTGGTTTAGTCTCCTAAAAACTCCTGAATTGACCGCACTCAGCGAAGGGTTGTACGTATGCATATATCTTATCTCGCAAACAATTTTGACATGTTCAGCATAACACTTTCCGGCCACGGTAAAAATGAGGGCGGAATTTGGGAAAGATCGACAGCGTGAATCTGTGGACTTTGAATTTGAAGATTGAAAGCTGTCATTTCCGATTCGGAGTGGCTCCGAGAGCGTTTACAGTACCTATATTATATATACACACGGTTACAGCATATACATGGTAATGAGATTACCCACAAAACCTCAATGAAGCTGGACCATGTAATACTATGTCGTCCCTCCTTCGAAACGTTTCTTGGAACCAACTTGGAGAGACTTGTACATGAGTGGAAGAGGAGCCATTTGCTGGACTTTCCAGCAAGTCTGGAGTTTCTCTATCGGTAACCAGCCATTCGATTTTTTCGAATCAGCAGAGAGGGCGCCGTTTCCCATCGCCTGCATGGCAGTTTGCTGACGGGTGCGATAATGGTGACGACGACGAATGGCTTGATGGTGCTAGTTGGTAGGTGGTGCTACCATGCAACGTCAAAGGAAGCTTAATCGAGAACTGAATCCTTATCGGCCGCGGAGTGTGATGGCTGAACTGCGGAGTTGTTCTCCTTCGTCGAGCAAGTGGATGACGTTCGGACTTGCATTGACTTCTTCACTCACTGAGGAGATAGCAAGGTGTTGCTGCTATTGTCGCGTTTGTCTTATATTACATGTGCAGCTTGGCGATCGAGGATACGTCGTTTGGAGAGGGGCCTCAATCGAAACGTATCGCAGTTGAGGATGTGCCCCTTTGGCGTTTTTCACTTGTCCGGCAGTCCTGTTTATCATTTCTGAGGTCCCTGCTGGTCCGCCGCCGTGTGCGAGAGGTAACGCTCCGTATATCCTGCACCCATCGCGATCTGGTTCTATATACATATAGGCAGACAGCCGGGGGTCAGTGACTTTCATGGTGGCACATAACCAGTTACCCCTACTGTACGCGTTGACCGTTTTTTTGGCGCTCGCCACCCGATTTTCATCTCTACATCACAGAGGCTAGCCTGGATCTTACGACTTTCTCGTGTGCATACGGACCTCCACTTTACCGAACCTAATGGCGCGGGATGTTCTCTGCGCCAAGTGAGGTGGCCACGGTCGCCCCGGTCAAGGGGACGATGACAACCGGGTTGACGATGTTCCTAACCCTAAGCCTAACCCTAACCCTGAGATCACGGTTCGACTAGCAAGTGATTTCGAGCCTGCCCTAGGTCATCAAACGAAGATGCCTGGCGTGAATGGGATTCGAAGAGTACCCAGGATACATGGAAGGAGATCATGCATAGGGCGACTTTGAAGGAAGATATCTTGCTTTGATTGCGATTGTATGCGGAGTGTTATGAGAGAGCAGTTGAGTGTGGGTTGAAGACATTGAATCTAATGGAGGCCTGTTGGAGTGGGCTTGTTGCAGGGACTGGTTCAACCTGTGGCAAGGCGTTTGGTCACTGGTCAAGACCGAGTCTCGGTCTTGTCGGACTATGCTCTGAACCCTAGTCCTGACCCTAACTTCCCTAGCCCAAAGGTTCTACGTGATTGAAATTCTAACCCTAACTCTAACCCTAACCACCCTAACCCTAACAACCCTAACCCCAACCTAACCCTAACCCTTCAAGTAACCATCCTAACCCTAACAATCCTAACCCCAACCTAACCCTAACCCTTCCAAGTATGTTGTATGTTGTACACACTATGCAGTGCGGTTTATGTTCGGTCAGAATCTTCAAATCGAAATCAATTAGAACCTTTGCGCACTAAGTGACGGGTTCAAATGGTGCAAGCTATTCTTCAATCTACGTTAGCCGTCGCCAGGCAAACCCTTAACCGTAGCCGTCTTGTCAGACTAAGCGTCACCCTGAAATCCAGCCAGACTGTACCAATCCGCCTAGTAGTATATCAATTGGCGGCGGTTGTTCATCATACCCGCGCAACCCCCGTAGCGATCTATGCAAAATTAGAAATCAATCTTTTCCCTCAGTGTTGTTTTCCATTGGAACTCTGATCCCAACCGCTTGAAATGCCTATTGAACGTGCTGGAGCCTTTTGATCTTTCGATCGGGGGCCCTCCTTGGGGCAAGGGATGTCCGAAGCTCCAGACAACACGCATCCTCACCAGCAGCACTGCCGCAGCACCCGTCGGCCGTCCTCAGCAGCACCAGCAACTCACAAGACCGGGTCTGGGCGTCAGCTTTTTGTCCCATCGATTTGCCCGATCCTGAACGCAGCCGTTACATTCAATGTCCTGTATGTATCGAGCGTCGATCTCATTTAGATGAAAGACCAAAATTTACAGAGTTGTGATCTTGAGATCAAGCACATATTGAGTTTGATGTGATGTAAAGACAGTATATACATGCTTTCACAGAGAGAAAATAGAAGGCGGCTAACCCCTCTGGATTCCCTGCTGCTAGGTTGTGGGCTTGTGACCACCTTTGGCTCATTAGTCAGTCGAATGCAACCCGCCATTCGCCTAACTTGTATCTTGTAACTTGTAACTTGTAACTTGTATTCGCCATCCTGAACGCATTTTCAGTTCACATAGAGCAGTATATTTTGATACGCACATCTTTTTCTTATTCACATGCTGATTTATAACTTCATACGCAACTACCTAATCAAGTTAATACGGGTTCCCATCCAAGTTCATACGTCACAAATCAGATCGTCCTAAGGAAGTGAATCTACTCCATTATCCGGTCCATTTATCGTGCCAACAAGCTGCACGCGTGTGAAAACCGACAGTAGCCATTTGAACTTGAATGGCGTAGTGCGGATGAGGCTGGGATGTAAGCGGATGATCTCAATAGGCCGCCGTAGGAAGTGTAAATGCTAGAGGTATGATCCCTTTCAGCTGCAATATGAAGTTTTTTTTGAGCGTTGGAACTGAATATGCCTTCAGGATAGAAAAAGAGGAGTGCACCCCCCCCCCCCCCCCCCCCTCTTACCACACACCACAGTATAAAGACTCACTTCTTCTTATCGGCAGCTCTACGTCTCTTCTCATCTCTCAATCTATCCCTGCGGCAAAGTTCCATAACAAAGAAGCGTCGGGTCTGCCGCACTGAAGATAAAAAAAAGGTACAATCAAAACAGGGCGGTGATGAGCATTCGATCATACCTAGGTTCATAATCCCCACGGAACAGCAAACAAGGATACTTACCAGGGCTCATCGATATCAATGCCAACAAAGCCTTTCGCGAAAGGTTCGCCAGATCTTGTTTCATCTCTTCTGAGGGCAAGAAAGCCCAACCATCGGGTGATTCCAACACAACAGGTCCCACCGTCGTCGAGATATTGGCGGTCCACCAATGCTCCACCTTCTGCTGAACCTGGTAGAGTTCTTCTGGCGTCAGGGCTCTGTCCTCGTCCTCGTAGTAAGTGGTCATTATCAGGTTTTGCGTGCAGGATGTTGCGTGCAGGATGGGTGTAAAGTTGAGGAGTTGGGGACGGGCGTCCGCTTTATTTACATGTATGCTTGAGCGCTACGCGTGATAATGGGGGGGGGGGGGGGAGATGGGGGAGATGGCCGTTTTTTTTTGGCGCTCGTCACTCTTGTCCCACCCACTATGACGGTAATCCTCCTTACCGAAGGCACATCAGAAGGGGCAGATGGGGGGAATCCCTTCTTCCGTTGTCGTGGGACAAGAGTGATGAGCGCCAAAAAAAAAGGCCATCTTCCCCATCCTTTCCCATCGCCACGCGTCGCGCACAAGCATAAAAGACGCCTCTGATACGTAATGACCACTTACTGTAGTACAAAGATGAGGATAGAGCCTTGAATCATATGAATCAGGTGCAATTGGCAGCATTCACCATCATTCTCGCTGATGGATCCGGGGGGGGGGGGGGGAACGATACGAGGATTTCATGTGATTTCCCCCCCGTCTGATCTCAAGTTGACAAGCGGTATATATATTATAAACGTACTTATCCCTTGGCGGCCAGTAAATGTGGTGGTGGGCGGCAGAAGCGAGGGTCTGTCGAATCGAGGGGGTACAATCGGGTGTCAGGAAAATAAGCTGCCGGTCTCTCAATAGCACAAGAAGATAGCTCGGCACGGATCCCTCTGCTGTGCGCCAAGGGATAAGTCCGTGCCTTCTGTAGGATGACGAATCCCTTCTTCCCCCACCTGCGCCTTCTGCTCCATGATGGGATATGTGGGATATTCGCCAAGAAAGAACTCTTCCATGCCCTTCTGAAACCTCTCTAATTGGTAAAACAATTAGTAAAACAATTAGTAACTGGTAACATGAAAACGAAAGTAGCCAGCAGGCAAACCTCTCATCGTTCGCTACAGCATTTCGCATAGCTGATCTCGGTGTATATAAAGGGCCTTCTTCCTTCTCGCGCAAAACATCTTTTCCTTTTCTTCTACCCTTGTTTGTCTGTTTGGGTGGCTGTTTTTTTAAGTAAATATTCTTTCGTCGTTGAATTGATTCTGAAATGTACATCCCAACTTTGCCCGCTGTTGTCCGAGCGGACTGTCCAATCGCGTACTGTCAATCGCGTGCGCTTGTCCGATTTGCCCACGCCAACGTGCTGAAGTCGATGTCTGATTGCCGGGTTGATCCAAACCTGAAACCTTGGGGCATCAACGGCTGTGTAAATGATGTGTGCGTTAGGGATGGAGAAAGGTATGGGAAAGTTCTGGCCGTCCAGCAGGTCAATCAAACATCCTGTTTGCCATTATGATACATGCCCAATAAACTATTCCACGCAGATAATAAACGCCGTATGTCCATGTCTGCTTTAGAACTGCTAGCGGTCTACGATATGAAAGGATGGTGCCCGACTCATCCCTACCGAATGCTTTCACCATCCACTGCGCAGAAAGGTACTTGCGTAGAGGAATAAGAAACGAACTCCTTCATTTCGCGCGGAAGGCTGTTACTCGCGCGTGTCACCCTAACTGTAAGTTATTTCGCGCGAAAGGTTGACGTCTGCGGCGTCCACGGATCTAGAGTCTTTTCTGGAGGCGGCAACGCCGCCGTGGTCAGCCTTGTAAGAACTATCGAGGACGCAAAGGTGGCCGTGTGGTGCACCGGGCACTGGACATATAAGACGGGGTTTCAATGGAGAAGGGGAAGTTGAAGGCCTGAGAAAGGGCTGACTGATGGCCGTTTGCCGCGGCTTGTGCGAGTTTGGGGCAAGACTCCCGATAAGTTCCTGTTTTTTCCGTCGCAAACTCCCTCAAAGGGCATTCAGTGGAAGTGAAAAGACGTACTCGCTGGTGACCCTTCTTAAGGACACCGACGAAAGGGCCAGAAACAATCCGGTGGGTGCAAATGAAGGATGAATTGCAAACAAAAGCGGTCCGCTCCACTGAAACTTATTCACGAACAATGTATGGAGCCAACGGTGAACATCATTAAAGACATTCGTCATTGGGCCCAGACGTGGTATTTGGCAGCCACCTTGGTCTACAGCTGGGACCGTGCGCAACCGGTATCTCAAAAACGTACGACCTTTTTCAAATGCGACTGAGCATGATGCCGATCTGGTAGATGCGTGTCCCGAAGCCTTGGAGTGGGCAACCTATAAGAAAAGTTTAGTCAAAGATAGTCGCCGGTCATGTTTGGATGCGAATAAACCGACGTGCGGAATCTGGTACCAAGCGGTGATGGAACCCGATCAACAGCTGGCAGGAGAGGTATAAAGATGAAATGCTTCTAGCTCGCCGGTTTGACCTACTGGCGGTATGCAGATGGAGGAGGATAAGCTGACTGCATCTAAGATGGAGGAGGGTGCTCAATGGATTGTCTGTATATATCATTAAATCGTCGAGGGCCAAAGATATGCGAAACTAGTATCTGGTGGATGGCGCGCACAACTCCTCCTATGTACCTTCAATCATGGTCAATACCTGCATTTTGGATCCATGATGATTTCGTTTCCATAGAATAACTCATCCGTGAAACAATGTAATGAATGTATCATCAAAATCTGGCCACGGCACAACGGCCTCCAGTTTCACCATGCACGCCTTATAGTCCGCGAGAAACGTCAGTGCCAGCCTTACTGACTTCACTCTGTCGCAACATGGGGCGGAGGCATGCAAGCATCTGGACGGCATATGCAGCTTCCAATGATGGCGGAATGTCCAACTGTAGTACTTGTCATGTTCACTCAGAATAATGCAAGCGGTAAGTAATACCAGATCTTCCATCGTGTGATGCGATACTGGACAGGTTCCGTCTCATATGTATCCGCGGATCTGGGGATCGTTGAGTTTACATCGTTACTCAATTGACGTCCTGTATAACGTGGCAAACAGTGCCTTAGCAACTATTGACTCAATCGTGCCAATCACGCACTTTAGAGGATTTCAGAGTCTCCGCTTTGTATTAGAAATATCTCATCTCTAAAGTGCACATTCTGGAAGGTCGCGGCGATATTGATCATTCGACATACCACCGTCGCAACTAACTATTGATGGCATGACAACTTCGGCACATGACGCGCATCGATGATATCATGATATGAATCACGCAAGGAGTGGGAGGCTTTGCAGCATGAGGATGCGGGGCAGTATTGTTATAGTTGGCACGTCTAGGGCCTAGGGATGGTCTGTCGGTGTTGCCACCAGCTCGGTATATCGGAAAACGCGTTCTCCGCTGCTTACGTTACCACGCGATCTCTTTCGACAATGGCCGTCAATCAGGCTGGAATTGGCAGGAACGCGCCGGGCTATCCATCCCCGCGGGTCTGAGGCCTCCAGGGCGGTTTTGGCCAGGCTAGGGCCATCATGGCCCGGCTCTGCCACGTTTTCAGCCGCTCGCTCGCTCCACCGCCCTCGCATCCGCAAACGAGTATAAAACCCCAGACCCTCAACCGTCTTCCCTCAACTTTTTTCCACATCCGCTCGCAACTTCCCACATCGGTAAGTACCTGGGCTCCTCTGAAATCTTTCGTCGACTCGTATATTGTTTCGCTCCTTCCGGTTCTGATCTCCGCATATCTTTTCCTTCCCGTTCTTCAGGCTTCATTGGCTCCTTCAAGTTCTTCAACACCTTCAAGCTCCATCGGCAACCTCATCTTCTTAGTTTTGCAATGACCCCTACGGCGTGGCAGGTCAACTGGACCGCGCAACGGTGGGTGGAACAGCTCGCAAGGCTAGGTCCGGCGGTCCTTTTGGGATCGTGTGCTGCGTACTTCGACGGAGATGAGGTCCTTCAAGCTCGTCGGCACCTTCAAGTCCATCGACAACCTCAAATCCTTAGTTTTGCAATGACCCCTACGGCGTGGCAGGTCTTGGACCGCACAACGGTGGGTGGAACAGCTCGCAAGGCTAGGTCCGGCGGTCCTTTTGGGATCGTGTGCTGCGTACTTCGACGGATAAGAGGTCTTCAAGCTTCCGATCAGTTCAAGATCAAGATTTGCCACGACGTTCCATTGAAATATAACCCATCATTGTATTCACTCATTGTATAAACTCCTCATGTATAATTGCTTCTGACCTACATCGAATGAATTATCTCCAAATCTGAAATCCTTGGTTGCGGGTTGCGGTGTTCTACTTCCTGATGTTGACTGCTTTCCAAAGCGCGCTGGTTCAGTTTCTTGACGTCGCATGCCTGCAAAGATGAGAGCCGCTGAACTCCATTGGACTTGCGCGGCCACGGAACTCTGTTTCTGTTGCAAGAATATTGAACGCTGCATTGGGCCAAGCCCGCATCTGTAGACAGTGCAATGCACCAGCATCGCATTGCCAGTGCGCGGCACGCCTGAAGGTTATGGTTATGGTTAGGGTTAGGTATTATTATGGTTAGGGTTGGGACTTGTGGAACCCTGTCCAGTTCTTACTTCGGCAGGGTTAGGGTTAGGGTTAGGGTTAGGGTTTCGGGACTTGTGGAACCCTGTTCCGAACGGATGTGACGATCCGGTCCAGTTCTTACTTGGGCAGACTGTTCGAAGTACGCTGCGTGTAAAGTTACATGTCAGTGCAGCCCGCGCAGGGATTGCTTGGCGTTTTTTCCTGTCGTTAGCCTCAAGGCGGAATGCTGGGAACAGCGTGGTGATGAAACCGTTACTTACACGGAGAGCATTAAAGGTACTGCCTGTTCCGTCTTTAGATTACTTGTTTTGCGCCGCGTATACCACATCGAATCGATTGCGATAATATATGCAAAAGGGAATAGCTGGAACATACGTCGAGGACATATAGGGAGGGGAGGAGCGGGGACGATGGAGATGCCCATGCGGCTGCGTTGCTCGCAGACTTCCAGGAAGTTCGCATGACGGTTTTGCCAGTTCATTTGCCGCCACGACGTCCAGGCACGCACAGAACGGATCTGCGAGCGACGCACGGACGCCGATACTCGCAGATCTAGGACCGTTCATCTTCTGCATCAAGAACGAGCACGGCCAGTCGATCTGCGGCTACTACGCTTGCCGTTTTCATCTACCGTCGCATTCTGGGATGCCGGACCTGAATACACAACTTTGGCCGCTGCTGTTCAAGAAGCAATCTGGATTGCAATATTTCTGACCGAGCTAGACTTTGCGGTGGACCTTTGATCGGCTGCGGCGCCATCGACCTCGCGGACAATAACAAACCAACATCTCGTACCAAGCAGATCGAAGTTCGACAGCATTTCTTGCGCGAGAAGGACACGGTGGGCCAGATAAGCTTGCCGCACGTTGTCAACGATATCTTTTTAGCGTATTTGACACCAAAGCAGCACACTCCTTGCGGTTACATTGGTGGAGTTATATAGCCTCGTCGAGTTAGGGGCCACACTCTCGAGGGACGATACGCTCAAGAACCACCGCGCCGACGCGCATTGCTCGCAGAACCCAATTTAGAGGACGATCTGGCGTCCACGCAAACGCATTTCGCCCCTAGCGCAAATCCCAACCTCGGAAACGTCAAATACGACCTCCCAGGCGACTGAACCGGGGGGCCCCTTTGGGTAAGCGTACTCCTCGACGACCCCATTTCACAATTGTTTGGTAGTACTTCATCATCGTGGAAACTCGGTTGTACTTTCAACCTTGTCAACTCTTCCACACCCGACTCCGAATAAAAAAATCGAAAACAAAACGAAGTGATGCCTCGACCTGTTCGCTCTCAGCTGCTCTTTTTTACACGCGCGACACAAGCACAACAAATGTGAAGCCAGGTGAAAGTAAGTTGAAGGAGGCGGGGATTTCTGGCTGAGGGGCCACACCGGAACAGAAGAGGAAATTACATCTGTCGGTGCTGTGGATCTGGGTTGCGGTATTCGTGCCGTGGGAAGGGTGGTATTTGGGGGCAACTTCCAGAATAAGCCTGTCTCATCTGCGTTGTGGACATCAATTGGATCCCACTCCGCAAGAAGCTGTTGCAGTTCCCATCGACTTGCTGAAACCAGGTCTGTATCGACGGAGGCAGCTTCCCCATGCAGTTTGTACTGAATTTCTGTCAACTGAGACGTGACTGTACCGTCCCTGCCAACCATATGACCGCAGAACTCGACCTCGGATACGGCCCATTGGCATTTGGACGGTTTTACGTGCAAGGAGTGCCGCGTGAGTGTTTGAAGGACTTTGTCGACGGGCCGCTTGTGAGTGTCTAGATCCCTGCTGAAAATGAGGATGTCATCGAGGTAGGAGATCAGGTGTGGGTCGTATTTGTCTCCCAAGAGTTTGTTTGTTAAACGCTGGAAGGTCACGGGAGCGTTGGTCAGCCCGAATGGCATAACATTGTATTTGAAATGACCGAAGCGGGTGCGAAATGCAGTTTTCTCGCGATCTTCCTGGCGGATCATTAAACAGTGGTACGCGTCGCAAATGTCGAGGCCGGTGAACCATTGCATGCCCATGAGGCGGTCGCGCAGCTCCTGCAGGTTGGGTAAAGGGGTAGCGTCCTTGTGGGTCATCTTGTTCAGTTGATACAGCAGCGCAGGCCCCCCATCCTTCTTGGGGGCAAAGAGCACTGGGGCACCCTATGGGCTGCGGGAGTGCGAGATCTACCCTTTCTCCATTAGCCTTGTGAGCTGCTTGCTGAGTTCCTCAAGTTCGTCGGGGCCAAGGTGCTGGAGGGGCTGCATCACCGGTTTGGACCCGGGCTTGAGGTTGATCGCGAAGTTGCCGTCGCCGCGATCCGAGGGCATGCCTTCTTGTTCCTTGAAAAGTGTGTCCCTGTATTTCTCAAGCATGGGCCTGAGGGGGTGGTCGGCCGCTACGGACGCCAGGGGGTCTTCGGTCGTCGTAGGGGGCATATCCTGGCCGTGACGCTTGGATTCGAGGATCGTGCGTTTCTTGGCCTCGGCGGTTCGTACGAAGTTAGCGGTAAGAATCGGAGCGGTAGGTTGTGGCGTCAGGGCTGGGCGCTGCCCTGTCGATTCGATCGGTTTACTCAGTAGCTCGAAGGCAATGCGTCACCAAAGTGACCGTAGACTGGTGAGGTCGTAGGCGTCGACAACGATCATTCAGGTGCCGTTGCCTAGATGAGCGAGTCCATTGGGACCCTGTCCAGTCCGATGAGCTTCACATTTCAGAGCACGCCGCGTGGGTGCCCAAAAGCGAACATGCTGCACAATCTTGCGCATTTGCAAGCGATATCCTAGTCACATTAATCCCAATCCGTTCTGCCAAGCCAGATGTCCCAGAGCGCAAAAGCAAAACGCTTCCCGTAGCGGGCGCCGCTACCTCCCCAGATATCGTAGGAAGCATCAGCGTCGACGCACAAAATACTCCCGGGAGTATTGACTGCTTCTTCATCAGGCGCCTTTGAACGGCGTGCTACCGGTATGCATCGCAGCGTTGAAATGGACGAGTTCGCTCAAAGTACAGTCTGGGAACAGAAAGCTGTGCTTTTCCCCTCCCCCTGAAATAAATCAGCCACTGCCGCAACGCTAAATTCACGGGAGTGACCGACATTGATTTCGATTGGAGGTGGGGACAGCTTTATGGACCGTGACTGTACAGTCTGTTGCCATAAAGCAGGTCGCACCTGGCCGTGCGCAGTCGGCCCCAGCAGTGGTTGCCTAGGACAGTGACAGATGTAGTTTAGATTAGGGGTCTCGTATGATGCAATGATCAGCGGCGAGGACACTCGGACACTCACTTAGTTTCGTGGGCGACCTGCTTTATGGCAACAGATTGCCCATGCCCGCATCGTTACTCAACTCTCCTGCCGTGGGGCGATTGATGTGACCATCCTCCTCCTGTCGCGCTATGGCAGCAGGCGTGCAGCGAGGTGTGATGACAGGCGTCCAACGCCCAGCGGCTCCCAGGGTCCATGGACGGCGGTCCCAGCCTTGATATTCTGTGCACGCAAGGCACCTCATTGATTCTGCGCAAGGAGTAAGGAGTAACGCGTCTTAATTGCTTCTTGACGCGACCCGTTGAACGCCCTCGTCCCCTGATGTTGAACATTGTCCTCCGGGCATGATGGATATGCAATTTCCAGGTATGGTCAGATTGCGTGTACGACGATGCAACGCAGCGCCGGCCAATGCGAGGCCTCTGTCTGATCTTGGATGCAAAATCCAGCGAGTTATCGGGACGCAGTATTGGTCTTGGATTTATTGTCGCGGATATATCAACGCGTCGCTCAAACGCATTCCCACTTCCCTCACGGACACACACACCGGACACACCCACCCCCCACACACACACACACACAAACACACACACACACACACACACACAAAAATGCCCGAGACCACCACCCCCACTACCACGAGCCCCGCCTCCACCACCACCACCACTAGCCCCGCCTCCACCACCACCACCACTAGCCCCGCCTCCACCACCACCACCACTAGCCCCGCCTCCACCACCACCACCACTAGCCCCGCCTCCACCACCACCACCACTAGCCCCGCCTCCACCACCACCACCACTAGCTCCCCCTCCATCATCTTCCCCCGTGCCTCCCCTCCCTGGCACTGGGATCTTGCGGAGTTCCTCGCCGGCCCCCCCAACGAGGAGGACGTCCAGCCCCCCGAATCCCCAACCCGCATCCCCCCAGCTTTCGCCCTCCTGCCGCGCTTCCGGAATCAAGAAGCGCGCACCATGCTTACCACCACCACCACCCACGAAGCCGCGCCCACATCTGTTCTCTCCACGGGGGTGGCTCCCCTGAGCGGAGCGCCGGTCGACCTCGCCCCCCTCGCCATTGAGGCGGTTCCCTCCGCCAACCCCATCTGCCGCTGGGAGCGCCGTCGCGCCGTCGCCGCCGCCCGACAACGCGCCGCCGCCGACGCCGCCCCCCAACCGCCCGCCGATGCCGCCCCCCAACCGCCCGCCGACTCCCCCGTCGTCACTCCGCCCCTCACCCACTCCCCTCCCACCAGCCCTCCACCACTGAAGCGACGACGCTAAAGGATTGCTGTTACTATCCAGCCCAAAGATATTCAGGTGCGTGCCGAGATGTTCTTCCAATTTTGCACGCTTCTATAACCCAGTTCTCTTACACTTCTCCTCTTCCCTATTTACAGCTCGCCCGTCGTCTCCGCGGCGAACGTTCCTAAGTCAAGCCCATCCACTCCAAGTCTCCTCGTCGTCCCTTCAAGAGTTGTGCCAGCGTTTCGAAACGCTTACATATATAGGCCCTCTCAATTCACCCCCATAGTAGCATACCCTCTGTTGTTGGAGCTCTCAGCTCCCTAAGCATTCTCTCTCTCGCTTTCCCTTGTATACTACCGAGAAAAATGCACCAATGACAATATACTTTCGTGCACAGCACATTCTATCGTTCATCTGATGTCGCCCAGAATCTGGTTAATCGTCTTCTAGCTGGGATGGGGCTGGGATCGCTGTCGATGGCACTGTGTTCCATCTCGTGAAACTCCGAATGAAAAGAACCAATTGGTGGAAATTGTACCAATTTCAACTTGACCGTATGTGAATTGTAGTTTTCTTGGCTTGTCGACTGATTGCTCAAAACGTCCCTGACCTACTGACGGCGCACCGCGAGGTCACGTCCATCCCTCACGTCCGTATGTTCGATGTATAATCGATAATTGTCTCATTCCAATGGTTGTTTATCGTCAACTAGCGCAAAGCCGTTTACACTCATGTACGACGGATCTAATACTCGTCCAAAGAAAGCTCTTCATCTAAAGTATATCCATCCACCTATCCTTCATCTACAGAACGCCTGCGCACACTTTCATGCAAGTCTCGAAAAACTACGGAAGTTCTTTCGCGCTTTTCAACCAAACATTAGGCAGAGCCCTTGCGAAACCTTTCATGAAGATGTCGTTATAAACTGAAGCCGCACGAGTGCGAGTCCTCTCAGTGGTATCCACATCCGCGTCCTCCATGGCAACGACGAATCAGAGTCAACAACGGGCACCTGCTGGTGGACAATCTTCCATCACTCCAGAGAAGATCCAGCGGACCGACGCTAGCGTATCCAGCGGGCGTACAGGTTCTTCAGTGATGTTTGCGGAGAGTGATGTTTTCCATTGCTGAGGCGAGACTCTGCGGAGCTGGCTACGGTGACCATGCTCCGTTTGCCAGAAACCGTCGGGCAGTCGTACCATGTCGCATGCGATGTTGTCAAAGTAGAGGTTCGGGAGCAGTAAAAGCAGACTCTGTAGAGCATGGCATAACTCGACGGGTCATATATGTGCAAGTCCAGTGCTCCTTACCTTCTCAGGTTCAGTGGTTGTGAGATTGCAGGAAAAGAAGGTGAGGATGGAGCTAGGACTTGGGCTCGGAGTTTCGATGCTGAAGGAAGGGGATGCGGCGAGTCTTGGGTCGATATGGATAGCGGAGCTGTTCATTTATGAAGAAGATCTGGGCGAAAGGAAGAGTCGGTTGACCTCTCCTCAACTATCACTCGGAGGTCATCTACGGGAAGGGCTCGGCTTTGAACGATGGAAGGCGACTGAGGTTGAGCGAAACAGAACTGCTGACAATGATGTGTGTTTTAAGGTTCGTGCGGTATGATAAATGGTAGCGGAGGGGTCGGGAGTCAACAGTAACTGCTCATCTATTCCACTTTTCACGATGCACTCAAGAAGAAACTCCACTCCAAGAAACTCCAGTGGCAATCGTAGATTGAATACATTCTAGAAACGATGTTTGAGCAATGCCTTAAATTGCAGGGTTTTGCTGCTGCCAAGAGAGAGCACGTGGCCGGCTCAAAAGTGGCCATTTGACTTTCTCTTAGTTATGTATGCATGTGCGCACCGCACCACCCCTCCGAGATCCAAATCCACTCGCATGTGCAATCTGCGCATCCAATGTTGTGTTGGGTGCGATTCTCGGGAGAACATCCCGACGTGCGGAAGGGGTTGCTGGTGGGCACATCTGATTAATTGCCTCCAGACCCGGCATCGAAATCAGCTTGGCGGAAGCAAACCAGAAATACCGCAGCATTGGCGAGCGCCGAAATGCGAAATACCTCTCCAGCTTTGGCGGCACCGAAACGTCTCCACGGAAAACCGGCTTCACGGAAGTTTGCGGAATGAGAGATACTCTACAAGCGGTGTTGCCTTCCCTCGTGGGAGCTCTCATCATCAGGATATTACATGTGCAGCAATGACAGGGTTATCGCTTACCATCGTCAAATGGCAAAACAGTATCTCATGGTTACCGCGGTACGTCGGATGGGGCGACTTCCGTCCGGGTCATTCGGAGACGTGCCGTCAGCGCATGAGTGGCCGCACTAACTTCGGACCTACGGATTAGAACGCAACATAAGTCTGGCGTGCCAAAACAGAAAAGTACCACGGCATCGAAGTACATGCCTGACATCATGGCAAAAAATCCCTTTGGACGATGGTTCCGGATAAAAGCCTCGATCCACTCTGAAGCCGTTGTCGGGGCCGCCCCGAAATTCACATTTTATTCGATGCGCGCGACGTAGCATCCCTCGAGTTTAGGTAGGAGGCTACTGGGGGCTTGTATGAGTGCATGCATCCTGGAATAAAGCCTTTAGTGGACGGTTGATGGGCATACCTTGAATTCACTACTTGCACCGTGTGATTCCCATCCTACCCAAAACACCTTGACAAGGTCTCATCACAAAGCATCGGATGGGCGAATGACGCGGAGTACGTCGAAAATTCTACTGCACCCGAAAACGACCATGTTCCTCTCGATTCCACCTCCACCTTTGAAGCATGTTCTCCATAGCGAATGCAGTCAAATCGCGAAGAGGTTACGTCGCAGAATGGTCAGCGGTGCGTAAAGTGCAAACGTTGAGCGGGATGTTGGAAAGAGGTCCCCGACACCACTATCAAAGGAACATCATGAAGTTGCTTTTCTTGCTGTCGATCGCAGGCAATCGTCCGCAGCAGCATGGTTAGAGGTCGCTGGATACACTGCAGCACACTGCTATGCACTGCCATTCATGCTTCAGAACAAATGGACATGGCGAAACATAGCAAATCCACGATAAATGGGCGGAATCCACCGGCGATATCAATGGATGGTTTCATTGATCCGATTGCTTTTGGACTGGGCTGACAAACATGATCTGGGCATTCTTCCAGCCCTTGCCAGGTTGACCACTGCTTCTAGGCGGTCTTGCTGGCATCACGGATGAGGTTCACCGGTTCATTCGAATCGTAATTAATGATAGCAAGGATTCGAACTTCGGCACACCTTTGCTTGATCTCATCGAAAGCCTTTTGTTACGAGTCGCCCCTCCCAAAGACTGTGTTTCATTAAGGCAGTTACGACTTTAGCGGGCTCTCCGGAATTTCCGCATATGGTTTACTAGACCGAGGAACTGCTGACCTTCAGGGCGGGAGGCCAAGCAGGGCCAGATGGCGATCTTAAGGAGCTTCAGCGGATCGGCACCGATTGCACCTCACGGGATAGGTGGTGTCCTAAGTAGTCAACGTTGGTGGCGAAATCGTTGTGGTGTGGTGGGGAGCCGGGTCACAATTCCGTAACCCTACCTCCCTGCGGTAACCCTAGCTCCCTGCGGTAGCCCTAGCTCCCTGCGGGAACCCTACCTCCCTGCGGGAACCCTAGCTCCCTGCGGTAACCCTAGCTCCCCGCGGTAACCCTAGCTCCCTGTGGTAACCCTAGCTCCCTGCGGTAACCCTAGCTCCCCGCGGTAACCCTAGCTCCCTGCGGGAACCCTAGCTCCCTGCGGTAACCCTAGCTCCCTGCGGTAACCCTAGCTCCCTGCGGTAACCCTAGCTCCCCGCGGTAACCCTAGCTCCCTGTGGTAACCCTAGCTCCCTTTGGACGGTCTGGTTGTTGAGCGGACGATAGCCGGCGAGCACACGGGGTATATCGCATGCTTCTTCAGCTTGCGGTATACCGGAGTCGATAGGGGTTGTTTTCTGCAGCAGGAACCCATCGACCGGATTGCAGCGCTGGGTTGGAGGGATGCAACGAAGCGATGAGTGGCAGTTTCGCCTCCGATTGACATATTGACTCTCGACACCTACATGTGTAAACTAGGGAGTTTCGCAAGCGGAAAACATGGCCTTTCGAGTTTTACCTCTCATGTGCGGTAAGGGCAAAATCGCATCTATTCCTAGAGCTGGGAGAAGGGATCATGGATGAGGATTAGTAAGGCCTGGTCATTGTCTTCGGGATTCTTGCGCCGAAAACGTGCATGAGGAGCTCGTACGGGACTTGAAGACTCCGCTGATTTGAAGTCCATGCGTAGCATCTCGAGCTCCGCTATACGTTTTCGGGCATGACGACCGACCGCTCAACATGGCGTATATATACCGCAGGGGCTCTCTGGCACTCTTCAAGCTCTTAAGCAACTCGCTCCCAGTGGTTGCGTCCCCACCTTCAGTCTCTCCATGAGACGTTGCCCCCTCTTCTGCCTCCCAGTCTTCGGTTCCATCGTCATCATCGTCGTCGTCGTCCAAGTTCATCTCTTCCGACTCCACTGCTTCAAGATTCTCCACCGTCTCCTTCGCATTCTCGTAGCGAGCCTGGTGATGTGCGAAGAGAGTCATGACGAATACCACAAGATGATGTACCTGCACGTTTCATGCTGTCACTGCATTGATCTGGGACCGGCGGACATCAGCTTCAATTTGGACAAGGTTGGTCTGACATTTGGTGGTTGGAGTCCCCGATATCCGTCGTACTCACTCCCCATATATTGAGATGCCCCATGATATCTCTGTGCTGATCGTATCCATGTGTCATCGGCACGTGTGCAATATCCTAAGACATCGAATGGCCGACACCGCGACTGGCATGGCAAGCCGCACAAGCTGAACCACAATCGAAAAGTCGTTGTTGGCCTGCAACTCGATTCTCCCAAGCTCCGGTAAAGTTGAAACGAAGGTACCCCGGCAAACCGGGAACTTCAAAATCCGACCCACATTCCTCGACGCACTCCCTGCAAGCATATGGCTCGTCCGCAGCAAATCGGTTGAGAAGTCTGATCCAACCCTTCCCGAAACTTTCAGGTCTCACCTCCGTATTGGACGGGGTATTGGCGGCCCACCAATCCTGCACCTTCTCCTCAACCTTGAGCAGTTCGTCAGGGGTCAAGGCTTTATCCTCTTCTTCGTTGTAGTTGGACATTTTATCAGGACGTATGTATGTATGTAGGGTGTATATGTAGGATGGGTGTAGAGTGTAGGATGCGAATAAAAGTTGTTCCTCGCTGAGCGTTCCCTGCCACATATTCTCGGTTGTGTGGGGGGCTGTGTCATTCAATTTGCGGACGGGGGGACGCGACGAGGATGCCCTTTTCGATAGTCGGCACAGCAATTGAGACGGAATACCCCATATCTCTTAATTTCGCCTGCTGTGCCTGAGCTCCCAGACCGTCGTTCTTCCGCTTTCTGGTTTCTATCAATCTAGCGTTCACCATCCTCAGCAGCACCAGCAACTCAGAAGACTCCCTCAGCTCAAAGTTCTCTCCGCTTCCTCTCTTCGTACGTCAACCATAACGCAAGATGTCTCCTTCTGCTTTCAACGCCGCCACGGCGCGAGCACACCTTGCCGCTATCCGTCTCCGCACCGCAGAGCCCGGTATCCACGACTCGAACACCCACCTGGGCTACGACCCAGTTAAAATCGTCGACCTAGGCACAAAGCTCCTCGCAACGCAAACGCTCGACACGGCAGAGCGCCTCGCCGTCCATGAGCACGTGCTCAAAGCCGCGTACGACGCTGGGTATATCCCACCGTCGGTTAGGGATCTCTCCCAGCTGTGCACAACCATGAACGAGATGGAGAATGTTGCTGGCATCCACATGGACGTGGACGGCCGTATTGCGGGCGTTACGCGAGTGGTGGCACGCCGTCCAGAGCGAGCGGGGAGGTGCGGGGTCCTAGGTGCAGGGAGCAAGGAGCCTTTGGCAGTCCACCACAGCACGGTGGCATAGACTCTCCGCAACAGCCTCCTAGCGCGCTAGCCGCCGCCGGCAACCACCCGTTGAGCCATCACACGGAAGAAGTGGACCGGATCCACCGAAGAATCCGGGCCTCCATCAAGGAGTGGATGGACGGCCGGCAGGCAAGGAAACAGTCCGTCCCCATCACGTCCTCATCAACTCCCCGACCCCGTCCCCGACCCAGGAGCTCATAGCGCACGCAGAAATGGAGCCGTTGCGACCCCTGGGCCTGTCGTCAGGAGGGCCGAGCGAAGCGAGTGGCGAGCGGAGAGAGCCACATTGCGGCGAAGGCGCGATACTCACTTTCCCGAACCTGGCGAGGAGAGCGAGCCACATGGCGTCAAGGTCGCAATACTTCACTCAGTGCGGTTCTCAGGGTTCGCGAGCGAAGAAAGCTACTCTCCAGCGAGACCGCGGCCCAATGGATCAACAGACGCATGATCGCACCATTGTATTAGAATGTTGATGTGTTCAATACAATAACTTTCACCTCACCTCAAATCATCTCTTTGGAGCAAACAGTTGCGGAGGAAGCTTCATTTGCGGAGGAAGCTTCTCCCATGCCCTGTCCCCAAACCGAAGCTTGTAACATGGATGCTTGAACATGGAACATGGATGAAATATTTGAACATGGATGCCGGTGCATTCGCGTTATACATCGTACTGAACACAAACCCTCGCAGCACCGCTCATAACAAAGCGAGGCGTGCGGTTAGCTGACTGGCTGGAACATGTCGTTTCTGGATCCCGCACACTCTCACATCTTGCGGTTGTTCTCGAAGGATCCAAAATCACCTTTCGCCCTGACGACTTTCGAGGTTGCTTGATCTCGCACTCGGATTTCAACCGGAAGCTGCATCAGTGGATGGGGAAATAGCCTTCAGTCGCCGCTGGTGACCAACAAGACTCTCCCAGCAGGCCAGGCTGGCGCAGGAGCCCTCACCTCTCGCAGGCCGTGGTGGCGCATCCGACCCGAAAAGGTCTCTTTCAAGCAAGCAACACGCACTCACTCTTCCCGCTGCAAACCTCTCTCTCACTCGCATCTTCACTCACCTTGACATCGAAAAATATGTGCTGCCCTCGACTTCAGTTGCCCTCGTGCCCAGGTGGTGCAAGCATGCGGACGCGCTCGATTTCTCGCAGACGAGTCGTGAGATTTCGTCGGGTGTGCAGGCTCAGTTGGCTTCTGCACTCGCTCCCGCTACGTCCTTCGATCCAGCTGAGGAGAGACGCATTCGCCGCGTCCACCGCTGCTGCAGGCCGTCAGCAAATGCGGGCCGCACAATATGCCGGGAAGGCCCGTGCTCACCGAGACAGCTTGAGAAACTGTTCCGGGGAACATCGAACAGCGGTTCCACTGATGCACGGCGATACGCTCCCTCCGGCGTCCTCGGCGACATTCACGTAGAGTCCCGCGTGGATTCGTCAGCAGTTTCTTTTGAAATACTCGCCGGCGAAGACGGTACGACCGACCCACGAACCGCTTTCCAAACGATTCTGCGACGGTTTTCCGGCGAGGCTCCACAACTCTCTGGTTTTTTTTCGACACCGTATATGGATCCGAAATTAAGGGCGACTACAACCGTATCGCTTGGATGGGACCGTTGGGCTGCGGGTGGCCGACGACTTGCGATAGTTCGAGGATTTCGCCAGGCTGTCTTTGTCTTGGAGTGTCGCGCAAAAGTCCGGGTCCAGTCGTCACAGGTGGCTTGTCAGAAAAAAAGTTGATCGAGCCACAACCGCAATCTGCGCGAACGCGTGGCAAGAACGCGTCGCGCCTTTTAAACGAGGTCATATGGCCCACACTCCGGTCAGTCGTTGGAATGGCAGCAGACTGTACTGTCGCACCTCCCTATTGGAATTGCCGTAGCCTGGACGCCGCTATGGCTGCAAAGGCCCAGATACTCCTGCATGTTGTACCGGTGGGTACCCGTAACTGGTGCTAGAAATCGAGGCCTATCCTAAAATCCTTAAACGTCTGTGCCAAACAGGACAAACCCAGCAACCTGTGTGTGCATGTGCAGCACTGGCATGCAAAAAATGTGACCTGCAGGATGTATGCATTGCGTCGACCAACGGGCAATCGTCCACGTTACAAAGGACTTGCCGCAGTTGCAGGGACACACCTTGTTTTCCTCCTTACGGCTCTGTCTGCTTTTTGGCACACCCGCGATAACGCCATCCTGGATCATATTACGCCCACTGTAAGGCCGCCTCTTGGCCAAGCCGTCCATCCCTTCCCATACACCTGCGTCGGAAGCGACACGTTACAGCCCTCACCAAGGCATTTGCCACAAATCCTACCGCCGTATTCCACCGCTGCCTCGGATAACGCAGTCGTTCCCAGGGGGGTGTAAAAGCAAGGAAGTTCAAACCGGGTGAGCACGCCGCGCGTAGCCCCCAACTCAGAACTATACAACACGCCAAACTCGCCAACCTCGCAACCTCGCGTCGTCACTAGTGCGGGGTCGCGTGATATGCTGCCGAAATCCAGCAGCATCTTCGGATGTCGATGAAATGTTTTACACCATCCTGAGTCGTTCCGTTCCATTAGCGTCCATCGCTTGACGCAACCACTCTGCGAACTTCAACGCTTTTAGCGCCAGGCTCGGATTGGCGCAATCCCCGGCGAAGATCGCGCACATTGAAGCTCCTCTCTCTACACCTACATCCTCACAACGTCAACTCCTCCCGCTCTCCTACACGCCGATTCCTCAGCCCGCAGACCGAAATACACATGTCGCACAGCGCAAAAAGATACTGAACACAAACAAGATTATATTGGGGTCAAAGAATAAACTCAGCGAAATACACATGTCGCACAGCGCAAAAAGATACTGAACACAAACAAGATTATATTGGGGTCAAAGAATAACCTCGACGGCTCAGCGGGCGCAAACTCCTTCACAATGTCCATCACGTCCGCGTCTACTTTCGCCTACTTCGATTTCGGTTTACGCGCCTTCTTGGCCGGACTGGACTCCTCGGTTTGCGCAGGTGCAGTTCCTTCGGGTGCAGCAACCTTGTCCTCCCGCTTGCGCTTGAGTTCGTTTGTCGCTGCAGCAGCCGTCCGTTGTTGAGCTCTTGCCAAATTGGCTTGGCGGTTTTTTTCGTGTTGGATGGCGTTCAACCTTCTTAGTTCTAGCTCCCTCCAATATACCTGCTTGTAGGTATGATTGTCTGTTGAACCGGACCCGCAGATAAAACCGTAATCAGAACTCTATGGATATTTCGAATCGGCATATTCGACTTTTCCTGCAGGAACCTCTTGCATCGTAGAATTTCTCACCTGGGAGCTGTTCGTAGTTCCACTTCACTGTCCGTTTCTTCATTTTCCGTAGATCATGGAGGAACCCTTCGCTGAAAGGTTGGAAGAAGCCAGCTGGCCGCTCGCTCGAGTCTGGAGCGTCTGCCGGGGTGAGCTCCTCATGGAGATTAACACCGTTGGTCTCCTTAACATTTGCCGCCGCAATCGCCTTGTCCTCCGCAGCCTTGTACTCGGCCTCAGTACTTTCAGACAGCTCGACCACTTCCCACCTATGATGCAAGAAAGGTAACATCAGGGTCTGTGAAAGGGCATCCCGGGACTTCAAATATGAGCAAAAGACTCAAACCCACCTGACCCTGGAAAACCTTAAAAGACCCTTCCAGAAGCCCTCAAATTCAGCCTCATCCTCAAAGACCTTGTGCTGCTTAGCCTGGAACTCGTAGGCAAAGTCCCCACCCTGGCCGGAGGCCAGTTCCACGGTTTGTTGAGCACCGACGGGACCACGAAGAGTGACCTTCTTGTTGCTGTCCTCCTCAAAGAAAAGGGAGACGAGGGCAAATGCGCCGGGCCCAGGGAAAACATCGGAGTTGGTGAGCAGAGCGCCCTGGTTCTCGTCGCCGAGCTTGACAACGGCCGCGTTATCGACTCCAGCTGCACGGATGCCAGCGGGCAAGCGGGCCACGATCTTCAGAGCGTTGACGGTCATGGTTGGATACGAGAGTGAGGTTGTAAGGGCTGGATGTTTGAGAGGTGGAGGTTTCAAGGGCGAGGTGTGGAGGCTGGTTGTTTGAGAGGTAAAGGGCGAGGTCTCGGGTGCGAAGTCTCTCCATAAAAGCGGACATGGAACGCGTTATCGATGGAAACGCCAACCCTCAGGCTGTCCGAATCTCGCACGCAATAGCACGGCACGATTTGATCACCGGCCCCCTCCCCGCCCATGACGCTGTAGGTTCCAGCCGGTGACTTCCGTCAATGAGTCACGGCTTGGTTGCCCCTGCACGGGCCTACAAAAGCGCGTTCTCGCCAAATTTTTCAAATTTTTCACATTCCTCGAGCATTCCTTAATCATTTCTTGCAAGTCTCTAAAGATTCTGAACGCAAAGACAATAATCCTTAGAAGAGGCTAAGAAAGGTGGCCCCCACTCTGTCCTGAATTTCCGGAAATGGGCAGATTCCCTGTGCGACGCAACGCGCCAGAATGCAGCCAATCATTTACGTTGGCAGGCCAGCGGGAGCTCCCTAGACGCGCAGTCCTCGCTGTTGCCGATGCACTGCCCTCTCTACGCGTCGCTGTGTGGCCGCCTCTCGACATCGCCATTTCGAGACCCCATTCTCGGAATATAAAAGCAGCCCCCCCAAACCCATTCCCTCCTCCCTTCTCTTCATCCCGCAACACACGCCTCACACGCTTCACACGCTCAAGCTCTCTTCTCGCGCACTACTCTCATACGATATCGGTACACGCTTAATAACTTCATCGGCACTCCTCGTCTACGCGTTTATACCTGCATCGGCACTTCTCTTCATCCCGCTTCACACGCTTCACACGCTTCACACGCTCAAGCTCTCTTCTCGCGCACTACTCTCATACGATATCGGTACACGCTTAATAACTTCATCGGCACTCCTCGTCTACGCGTTTATACCTGCATCGGCACTTCTCTTCATCCCGCTTCACACGCTTCACACGCTTCACACGCTCAAGCTCTCTTCTCGGCAACTACTCTCATACGATATCGGTACACGCTCCAAATAACTTCATCGGCACTCCTCGTCTACGCGTTTATACCTGCATCGGCACTTCTCTTCATCCCGCAACACACGCCTCACACGCTTCACACGCTTCACACGCTTAACACGCTCAAGCTCTCTTCTCGGCAACTACTCTCATACGATATCGGTACACGCTCCAAATAACTTCATCGGCACTCCTCTTTCACGCGGTTATACCTTCTTCGGCACTCCTCATCTACGCGCAACATTCTCGTCTACGCACATCATACCTATCGTCGGCAAGCCTTCTCTACCTACGCGCTCATCGGCACTCCTCTTTCCCGGCAAACTTTCTCTACCTACGCGCTCACCGGCAGTCCTCTTCGTCGGCACTTCTCGTCCACGCGCATCATATCTTCGTCTCCCGCATCACACCTTCGTCGGCACTCCTCTTCTACGCGCCCTCTTCTACGCGCATCACACCTTCGTCGGCACTCCTCTTCTACGCGCATCACACCTTCGTCGGCACTACTCTTCTACGCGCATCACACCTTCGTCGGCACTCCTCTTCTACGCGCATCACACCTTCGTCGGCACTCCTCGTCTACGCGCCCTCTTCTACGCGCATCACACCTTCGTCGGCACCCCTCGTCTACGCGCATCATACCTTCGTCGGCACTTCTCGTCTACGCACTTCTCGTCTACGCGCATCACACCTTCGTCGGCACTCCTCGTCTACGCGCATCACACCTTCGTCGGCACTCCTCTTTCAAGCGGTTCGTCGGCCCTGTTCCATCGGATGTTCTTGTCAATATTGTTGAAAGGTGCTCTTTCTTGGTGAGGATGGACGACGGTGTTGCTCTGCCGCTGTACGGAAAACTCACCCCTCTATGGAGAGGCAATATTGCGATTGTACTGAATCACCCCTTCACACCAGCGACCCACGTTCTTCAATATTGTTGAAAGGTGATCTTTCTTGGTGAGGATGGACGACGGTGTTGCTCTGCCGCTGTACGGAAAACTCACCCCTCTATGGAGAGGCAATATTGCGATCGAACGGTGGTGTTACTGAATCCGCATATCCCCCCTTCACCCCAGCGACCCGGTTGTTGTTGTGGTCATATTTGAGAAAGATCCGTCTTTCTGGTGAGGATGGACGACGGTGTTGCTCTGCCGCTGTACGGAAGACTCACCCCTCTATGGAGAGGAAAGTATCGGCCGCAACAATGTTGGTGAGTTGGGCATCTTGTATCAAGGCAAAGTGACCGTGAACCCGGTAGCTACTCCTCTTCGGAGGGTAGACAAACTATTTTTTTAAAACAAAGGCAGAAAACATGATGAAATGATATGATGATATGATGATATGATGATATGATGATATGATGATATGATGATATGATGCTGCTCAAAAAATCCCTCCTCGTTGCAATTCTTCGGAATTGGAAACTTGGGGCGATTTTCTGACGCGCGAAACTTGAAGTATCTCCTTCCCTTCTTCCAGACATATAATCTGGAAAGTTGGTTGCGAGATGTGCAATACGTTGCGAGATGTGCAATACGCAATCCATTGAGGGCTGACTAGTACAGCGTGGGGCGAAAATCGTTCCCCCGACGGCGTCGCGGCGACACGGTCCCCAGGCAATTCCCGGTTTGACGTGCGGGGGACGAATTTCTCCCCAAAATCCATTGAGGGCTGACTAGTACAGCGTGGGGCGAAAATCGTTCCCCCGACGGCGTCGCGGAGAATAGACGAGGCAAAGCTCGGGATATCAACGTATATTGGTTAAAGAAAAACGAAAAGAAAAGCAATCGCAAATAGGGGGAGGGATAATGGTGTGGTCTTCTCACCCTCTAGCTACATCACCCTCTAGCAGTGGTCATAACTTTTTCTACTGGTTTTGGAGGGGCTGAACTACGCTGGTTCGTACGTGCTCTGAGCGCGAGCTCCATTCACCAGACGCCCAGTTAACAATCACGCCTGGCCGTGCCGGCAGTGAATACCACGCCTGGCCGTGCCGGCAGTGGTCATAACTGTTCATCGGTTGTGGAGCGAGAGTCTAAACGAGAGCCGAGGTCGCTTCACCATTCACCATTCACCATTCACCATTCACCAGAAGATAGTTAACAATCACGCCTGGCCGTGCCGGCAGTGAATACCACGCCTGGCCGTGCCGGCAGTGGTCATAACTTCTTCTAGTGTAATGGGGAATGAGCAACGGAATCTGGGGAATGGGCCACGGAATCTTGGTCTTGAAATGCTGAGATGCTGGAGGAAAAAGGTGTTCTGCCCGACGATGCGCACGTGCCGGCCTTGTAGCCTCGGTCCAGAAGGCTCTAAGTGCAGGTCTGGCCAGAAGTGCAGTACCGGATATTCGGTGCATTTTGACGTGACGGTCTGGCCAGATGGTCTGGTTAGAAGTGTATATAAATCAGATTCCTATGGTTCATTTGCAGCCGTGTTGTCTGGCCAGGGCTGGCCAGAAGTGCGGTACCGGACATTCGGTACCTTTCACACGCAGAGTGTACTGTACCTGCGGAGGGTTTGGCCAGATGAAGTGGAAGGCTCTTAGCCATTACCTTGGCAACCCTAACCCGGTTTGGGCTATCAACCCTAATCCCCAAACCTCACAACCCTAACCCGGTGGTAACCCTAATCCCCAACCCTAATCCCCAACCCTAATCCCATGACAAGCACGGTATCGAAGTTCTTGCCCACTTTAGGCACTTCCCCCTTCGCAACGCAACGTCAGTAAGCATCTTTATAACACCTCCTTTCGCTAACCACCACCAGGTAACAACCGCAATTCCTCACCGCTCTCAGCTCCATTACCACAGCACTCACTGACGCGAGTTTTTTGACACACACCTATCATTGGGAGCCGCCGTAGGCGGGATGCCGCTATGGCTGCAAAGCCCCTGCAATGCCGTTATCCTTACTAGCCAGTGGGTAGTCTCTGCCTTAGAGGAATGTCAGGAGGGGGTTAGGGTTAACCCGAATCGCGAAGACATTGCGTGTTGGTACAGACTTATATGTAGGTGGTGCAGGGAACATGACAGGCGTTCTAACTTCTACGAACCTCACGCCTTCGACGACCGCCGTTAACCCTAACCCCCACGTGGAGCTAGATTCACGTCACGCCGCAGGGCGCAGGGGCTGATGGGGGAGATAAGAACCTTTTCTTCCCCCGTACGGGACGCCAAACATTTCACCGTAGGGCTCTGTCTGCTTTGCAGCCATAGAATAGAAATCACGGCAATCACCTACAACACCTGTAATACATACACCCCCAACAGGTAGTCCGGCGTGTCTTTCTCCACAGGAATTGCATGAGAAAAGACACTGACCCTTCATTCTCCCGCCCTTCATTCTCCCGCAGCAATGGGCTGCCCCGAAAGCCAGGCAGCCACTGCGCGTCGACTGCTAGGTGCATCCAGCTCCAGCTCCAGCACCCGTCGTCCGCCCGTCACTCGGAGGCGGAACAACAATGGTGACGGAGCCGGCGCCGCCTTGGGAGAAGGGAGCGGTGGAGGGACCGGCAAAGGCAATGGAAATGGCAATGGGGACGGCAATGGTGACGGCAACGATGGAGGAAATGGTGGAGGAGATGGAAGGGGTGGGGGTGGAGGAGATGATGGAGGGGATGGTGGAGGGGATGGTGGAGGAGGTGGTGATAACAATGGCGACGGGAACGGTAACGGCCAGGGCAATGGTGGAGGGGATGGTGGAGGGGATGGTGGAGGAGATGGTGGAGGAGATGGCGACAGCAACGGAGGTGGAGGAGGTGGTGATGCCAACGGCAACGGCAACGGCGACGGCAATGCGAGCGCTAGTGGAGGAGGTGTACTCCCTGGATGTATCACTATGACCGGAACACCCAAAGTCGTCGTCGATGATGATGACATCCGTAAACGCCTTCGCCCGCGACGTCCCCACCGAGCGAAAGAGATGAACACCGCCGACGACGAGGGCGACGCCGACGTCTACCTCGATCCCACTGCACAAGGCAAAACCAAACCCAGGAAGATCCCCTCCGGGCCTGCCCTTCCCGAAATGGACACGTCGGTCCTGTTCTCCCGGGATATGCGCGAATATCTATGCCAACAATACGATGTGGCCACAGACAATATTTGGATTTTCGACAAGTTGTTGACGGAGCTTGCTGTGAGCCCAAAGAATGCTGACTGTACCCAGTCGAGTGTTGAAGGTCTGGTAGAACTGGAAAGTGGGCGTCACCCAGCCATCGGGGTCGACCGAGTAGGGGTGCCATTGTTTTTGTTCCTGCCGGATATGATAGGGCGAAAATGGCAGGACGGGTTTGAGAAAGCAAAGGCTGTTCTTGACAACAGTCAGGCAGAGAAAAAGGAGGAGGCTACGGGAACGCATTTGAAGGATGTTCGCCATCGTCATATGCCTCCGGATGGCGTCGAGGTCAGCGGTCGAAAGTATACCGTCCACCACGGGGTCTGGCAGACACAACTGGGCAACGTCATGATTTCTCGCGAATGTACAGATTCCGCTGCATCCCAATACGGAACCTACTTCTTTACGCGAGATCCTTTCGTCGAGCGCGTCAACTGGCTACTCGGAGAAGCACTTCGTCTGATCGACCCGATTCACCATTACCGTCTCATCCAATCAATGATTCACCTCCGCCCAGACTTGACGCATTTCTGGGACCGAACAAAGGCGCCAAGGGTCATCGCTATGAACGTGCTCATCTCGAACTACCAGGTTGGTCCTCATCATGATCGCCGCGACATCCCCTACGGCTGGGCACCGATGTGCTGCTTTGGAAAGTTTCCCGAGGGCCGTGGCAGATTCTGCCTTCCGGATCTCAACATCATGCTACCTTATCGACCTGGGGATATTTTGCTTATTCGCAGCCAGGCTCTTGAGCACTTCGTTGAGAGCTGGGCCGCAGATGAGTCAGATTACCGGTATGCATTCTTGCAGTTTACCCACCAGAAGGTGTTTCAGCTGGGATTGGAGGGGTTTGAGAATTTCCACCACCGGAAGCTGGACGGGGACCTCGCCACGGAGATTGTGGGTGCCCACTGGCCTCAGCCTGCTGAAATTTGCGTGGGGGATGGAAAACATATGCGGTTGGACGAGAAGGGGCTGTGTAAGATAGAGAAGAAGTGTAGGAATTGGAAGGAGAACAGAAAACCGGCAAAGAAGATGAAAATGGAATACCTGGAGATCAAATTCGAGGAGATGAAATCTGAGAAGGAGGAGAGGAAGTTTATTGATGCGATGAAGCTGGAGGATGCAATGAAGCTGGAGGATGCGATGAAGGCATGAAGGCAGAGTAGGATGGCGGAGTAGGATGCCGTTCAATATCGGCGTGGCAATCTTAGTGCGGTATCAATTGCTTTGTCTAATATGTAGATATCTACATAATATCTGTGTCTATTACAACTACTTTGGAAAAATTGGCTTCTTGCTTAACAACTTGAGGGCATGTGCTCTGTGGACGAAAGCCCAATGCCAATGCCTTGCCTGCCTCGTTCCCCGCTCCTCACGCTCAACGCGCGCAGAATCGCTGGTCGCTCAACGCTGGTCGCACATATTCCATTGCTATATCCTGCACCACCGCCTCGGCGTCATTATTATACGCCGCAAACAACCGGTCGCCCTTCAACACATCCAAAACATTCTCAAACTCCTCCTCTTTCAGCAATAGCGGCTCGTTCTTCTTCAATATCGCGATGCTGAAGCGTAGAATTGTTTCGATCGCTCCTTCGGCGAAGATTATGTCGAAAATGCGGAAGACGAATGAGAGAGGGAAATTGTAGGTGTAGAGGGTGAGGAACCATTGGGAGGCGTACATTGCCGCGGTGGAAGTGTGCGCAATTGTGCGCAATTGTAAGAAGGAGCTCGGTCTCGGCGGTCTGGAATTTGTCTGCTCACGTCCTGCGCTCGGCCACTAACCCTAACCCTGCCCACGCGCGCTGAAGGCTGTAAGTCCGACGGTGAAGGCTGTAAGGCCGAGACTGTACAGCTGTAACCTCCTCCTCGTCCATAGACTCTAGAGGACTACGTTCCTCGTCCAGAGCACAATGGACTCCATTCGGAGGTTGCTTATTTGTCGATGAAGAGGAAGCCGCGTTCGATGCCATGTCGCGTAGGAATTCGTCGTAGGTGCGCTCGTCTTCGGAGGAGGATGCCTCGGCGTACAGGTCGTCAATGCCGATGGTATAATGCGTTTGACACACCCTGGAATTGGGTACCCAACGCCCCTTCTTGATCGTTTCTTCGCTGAGTCCGCTGCGAGTTTGTGCAGTTGTGACGGCGTGGGCGATGGATTTTGGTGTGAACTCGTCGTCGATCCCGGCGGCTCTGAGTACGGCGTCGACGAGGTGGCTAATGGTTCCGGCGGACATTCGTGAATTCTGGTACCGGTTTATGAAGATTTCCGGGATGCCGTCGCGGCGAGTGCCCTGGATGGCGATGAGGGAGTTGTAGAGCTCAACGACATCGAGGTTCGGCGTGTGTTTGATGCGAGGAACGTCGATTACGCGGTAGTCGCCTTGTTCGAAGACTGTGGCATCATGCGAGTGGTTGGGACGCCATTCCTTGGGTCGTCGCGTGCGGAGTTTGAGCGAGTGGGCGGTGATGATGGTACGTGCATGAACAAGTGTCGCGAGGTGATTGAGGCGACACTTCATGGTGAGCATGACAACGACAGCGAGCTGCGAGGAGAGCCATTCGAGCGTGTTGAGCCGCGGGCGGCGAGCGATGTGTTGCCAGAGCGTCGCCGGGTCCCAAATGGTTTTGGATGCCTTTTCGGTGGGCTTGGTCGAACGTGCGAGACCTCTGAAAAAACGTTGTATGTATATCCGGCGAGGTGCTGATCAGTGTGTCGTCACCGGTGACCTGTTGGAGTGTGTTTGCGATCGCTGACCGGTAGCCTTTTAGGGTTCGGACGGCGAGTCGTTTTTCGGAGTGAACGTCGGTGAGGAAGTTCAGAATCGATGAATAGCCGGCGCGGACGGGATCAAGGTGTTGTCGTATACACCAGCGTACTTATATACTCCAAATGGAGTTGTGATTGGCGTTGTTCGCAAGGAACCGGAGCGTGATGTCGATAGCCGCCTGCGATAGGCCTCGCTGTGCGCTATGATACCGGATAACCGCCATGCGATCGTGAGGGTCCACGGCGGTTCGCGAAGAGGAAGACACCTGGCATCTGTGGGTCATTTCCTAACCCTAACCGCAGAATAACTTTAACCGTCAACCGTAACCCTAACCCTAACCCTAACCCTAACCCATTCCTCTCCGTTGCCGTATAAACCCTTATATCCAGTTTGTCGGGATATAACGCTAACCCTAGCTAAACAATCCCCATCATACTCACAACCCCGGGCAATAAGTTTATCGAAACACCCGTTCGTCCTCGTCCCCTTCCGTTCTTGGATGACCGCTACTTATGCAAACGGTTCATCTAGTTCTCCCGTCTCCGTCCGATTGCTATCCTCCTTCTCCGGTCGAACGTCAAAAGATTCTCATGGGTCATTATAGGCGCCCTGGACCTTTTCTTGAAAGTGCTAGTTAGTAGAGTCGAAAAATTGAAGTTTGATGAATCAACGTTGACATCATCCAGGTATTTTCGATGCGTGGAATAGCTTCAACTTCAAACTTGTGCTTGAATTACATACATAGATAGTGGGAGCACATTGTAGCGATATATTCAGATGAAGCCCTCTGGTTCTGGTCCATGATCTCCACTTGAAGTGTCTTGGCCGTGATCGTGACGGTCTTGTCGGCGGTTAATGCCCGGGATCGGACAGTCGGAGTCGTCGCGCACCCGCTTTCTCCAACTCAGTCTTGCCTCGCAGTGATGTGACTGTATTGACTGATTGCGCCTCAAACGTCGCCGGTTGCGGAGATGTGTAGGCATTGATGTCCCACGAGTTTCCAATGTGCCTGACATTTACTCCGACGTCCTCATGCGCGACGCGATGCCGAATGTTCCGCAGGTTCACTCCGATCGTAAGGTGTAGAGACCTAGCCCAACCAGTTCAAGCGATTCCAGGGAAATCCCATCCACTGAGGAGCGCCTCGTCCGGGTGCGGAAGAGAAGATGCGGTACATCTTGTTGATGCCTGAGCCATTTCCCAGTTATGCGCATGCCCTAGACGGAAGACCGGGTACTTTGTTTCTTGCGTTCGGCGCCACCCGCCTTGATATCATCTACGGTGATGCAGAAATCGATTTCGCGCAGGTTAAACGGATGAACGTTCGTCGTCGTGCAATGGAGTTTGCCTGGCCAGCGTTCCGGTTTCCACTGAAAGCTTCCGGGCGCTCGCAAACAAAAGTCCAGGAAACCCTAGCCGGCCAAAGAACATCTCGCGTCAGATCGAGGCGAAAGAGCTTTAGAGAAGTAGTGTCGACACAGCGATTGAACGGGCATCCTGCGGTGCGAGACGGTCGTTGTGATCAACATCCTCCTGTCGCGTTATGGCAGGAGGCAAACACCCGTCGCTGCCTCACTAGCTTCGGTATCCTCACCTCAAGTTCGACGCAACTCTCGGACAATCGACATGGTATTTTCCTCATCACACCTATGATCCCGACAAGAACATCCGTGAACGTGTGCCACTCGATCAATGTTGGACAGAAGTCGCCATGCGCGGCGGATTGCGGTCTTCTGGTTTGTAGGTATCGAAGTGCCACCTTGGAGTTCCATGGCCGCCACCGCTTGCCGCGCCCACCGCAATTGGAAGAATTGAGTGTGCTCTTCGCGTGTCCATTGCCACCTCCGACTGTGGTGGAGGAACTCAAGGAATGTCATATCTCCCTCTGGTATATTCACCCTTGGTGGTTCGGTGATGGGCCAAAAGGGTGGTGGCGGGGGGGGGGGGGTGGCAAGTCGTCAACATCGTCCAACTCTCTATCCCCATTTCCGTCCAGATCCAACATCTGCATGGCATCTTCAATCTCACGATCGTCCTCGGCATCGTAATCCTCCTCAAACGGCCAATACTCTGGCCCATCTTCGTCATCCCGCTCGTCATCCCGCTCGTTATCCCGCCGCTCGTCATCCCGCTCGTCATCCCACTCGTTACCCCGCCGCTCGTCATCCCAATCCTCTTGAGCAGCCTGATGTTGTTCGTCTGACCGACTAGAATCACAAGATGACGACTGATGTGATCCCGACCCCATCCCCGCCCTCCCCGCACATCCCGGGTGCACGACGAACTGGTAGGTGGGGTTCCGAGACAAGCAAGTGAACCCGCTGCGGCATCCAGAAACGTCGCGCACCATCGGGCCGGCAGTGGGAGAGAAGAGATCCAGATCCAGATGCACATCGAAGCCCCCATCTCCTTCAACAGATCCACCCCCATTTTCACTGCCACCATCACTGTCGGCGCGAGGAACGGGCTTCGTTGGCGTTGTCCATGTCCAGGGGCAGACCGGGGCACACCAAAGTGTGTTTTGTAATGCGTTCTTGTAAACTGGCTGTACGACGAGCATCTGACCCTGGTCTGGCATATTGGGCATTGTATATGCAGAAGTACTGTATGTCGCCTTGTCGGTGGGCATTTCGTGATCGCTGCTCGCATCTCTCTACATGCTTGAGTCATAATCTGAATTGATCAAAATTTGTCTGGGAGTGGGAATTGAACTCGTTGCCTGCACGTCTGCAGAGAGAGCAAGAATCGACTATGCCAAACCAGATTGTGAAAGACCGCACGTTGAAATGGTAACGGGAGTTTTTGGGCGTTACCAACGTTATGCCTTTACTGGGGAATAGACTACATATGCCGGAAACGGTACACGGAAAGTAATGTCCGTAACCGCAGTTGATGGTGTTATCTGTATGAACAGCGAGTATTTCACGGTTATCCACGGTTATCCCCATTTATGTAACGCGCCGTTCTGATTTCATTTGGGCCGCAGTGTATTCCCCAGGGTTCAACTCAGGATCCAACTCCCTTCTTCTTTAGTTGTCCATCACAAGGTAGCATCACCAACAACGTAGAATAACCATAGCCCTACCACCCCAGGACCGTCCCCGCAAGTTTCTCCTCCTCGTTCCACCAATCCGTTGCCCTTCGCCAACTCCCGCCGTAGCCAACTCCCACATCCCCTTGCATTCTGATCTCATTGAACCAAGCGGTCACTGTTCAATTGGGAAGCTACGGCAGTAGGCAGGACGTTGTAGTGTGGTATATATTGTCCAGTGGTCACTGGCTTACCCACCACACCGTACTGGACAGAGCATTGCTTTGGCCCAAGGTCTCTCGCCCACTACGCAACATAGCAACTACCGTCGTAACGCCTAGGAACATGCAGATTCCGTCAAGCTCGCAGGATAGGGAGGACGGAGACGAAGAAGTAGGGGCTCGCGCTGTGAACCAAGATAAAGACGCAGCGTTGCCTACTCGCGCGAATTGGCGGCTCTCTCGAAAGTACGTCTTGCCCAAAACCAGCAGCTCACCGCCGGGCTCTATCCGCGGTCGGGGGCGAACTCGATGACCGACAAGAGCAAGCCTTTCTTACACAACTCTGCGTTCATGCCCGCCGGCATTCCGAAGGCCCGCTCGTCACCGATGCCCGTTTGACCGTACACGGCACGATCGCGAGCCGCCCGGCCACTATTCTCCTCGATACCGGCTGTACGTCGTACATCCTCAGCGATAACTTCGTAAACACCGCAAGGTTGCGCACAAAGTCCTCGAGCATCCGTCTCGACTACGCAGCTCGCGACGCCCACGGTTCGTCGACGGCATACACCATCCAAGATGTCAAGTTGTACGGATACGAGGAGAAGTTACCCTTCTTGGTTGCGAAAATCCGCTACGACGCCATTATCGGGCGACCTTGGTTTATGGCCTGCGCACCGGCATTCGTTACCATGGGACCACGAGTCGCCTTATCCTTCACCAACCCAGACACCCAAGCGAAGCATCTGTTGCCTACCGACGCCTTCATCGACGTACCCATGAAGCAGAACCCTGAAACTTAATGCTCGTGTCAAGCTGGATTGGGATAAGTGGTCGTTTGCGAACCCCCGTTTCCCATCGCTTCGGTTGCCGTCGAGGCGCCATATAAAAAAAAGTGGCGCAAGTAGACGAGCACGATTCAGGATATGATAGCGCGAACGAACCACTAACTTACAACCAAGCGCGCCGGGCGTTGCGGAAAGGAGCGGTGTCCCTTGGGGCCATCAATATCCAGCCCGTCAAGGATCCGGACAAGCCCGCCGACCTCGATTTCAGCGCGGTACCATCGCAAGTCCGCCATATTGTACATGAACACCGGAATGCCTTCGTGCCGAACGATCGTGTAGTCCCGAATGTCTTGCACATGATTCCCACACCGGATAACGGCAAGCCCGTATACGGTCGCATCTACCATATGGCGCCGTCCGAACTTGAACAGCTACAAGCCCGTATCACAACTCTCCTGGCGCGAGGCTGGATCCGGGAAGGCAAAGAGAAGCCTCGCCCCGTCAACTTGCGCGCCCGCCGCCGGCAAACGCCCCCCACCGATGCCCACACCAACGCCTCAATCGGGTGCTTCTTCCCAATCCAAACTATTCGGGCCACCTCACTCCCTCCCCGCTCCCATTTTCCACACACCTGCCCTCCCAACCCCAGGCGACGCCAAGAAGTCGAGCTGGCACATGTCACAGCGATCTTTCGGCCGCACCGCCAGGGTGGATGATCAGAAACTCAATGAAAGTTTGCCACTGAAAGACTCGGTGCCGCTGGTCCTTGTGGTCAACGACCTGGACCTGGCGCGGGACGCCGTTCTCTTTTCTCCTCGGGAAGAACTGGTACCATGGGTGCACACCAGCTGGACCGGCGTTGCGTCGTCTATTTACGAGTGGGTTAGTTAGCGTATGCCACTAATACACTACTAGAACGCGGTACGTACCATATCCTTCATGTCTTGTCTTGCTACTGGTTCCATACTAACTTCCCTCCCATCTCACTGGTCTTTCAGACGTGCCTCAGGATCGCGCCCGCGAGCCAGAGGTTGCATATCAGTATATGCTACCTTGGCACGAGTATTAGATACGGTAGCACAACCTCTCCTTTGTCGACGCACTGGTCCCTTGGTAACTAAACAGGTGCCAAGGTAACTAAACAGGTATGAGGAGCAACGGTAGCTTGTCTGTTGGACGAAATTACTTACTGCGGACTTTTACCAACCAGAACTCCTGAAAAGCGCCAACCCCCAAACAAAGTGCTACAGATCGGCTCTTCCCATTCTCAATGCACAAACGTATGGAAAAGGTGGCCTTCAAAATCTCTTTGGTCGCTCAAACTGACTTTCGGCTTGCAATTCTTAGAGAAAATAAACTATATCGGGCGGAGCTGGAAAGAAGAAGGTTAATGGCGATCAAACCCGAAGAAAACCTCCAAGTCAGTTTGGCAAGAGCAGCTCAACGCCGCCATCAAGAAGCAGAAGCCGTCAATCTCTCGGCACGCTCGCAATCATGACCTGGCGTCCGCGTCCCCCAACCGTAGCCACCACCGCTGCCGAAAACACCTTCCGTGTAGACGACACCTTCCGTGTAGACGAGGAGGACGAGGACGAGGAGGAGGTGTTCAACGGAATCGAAATCAGAATGACAAACAACGGGTTCCACCCCTCTCACGTCGTCACAACGGTGGGAACCACGATCCCGGTGGGAACCACGATCCGGATCAGGTGGGAAATGGATCGGAAGCAGCGACTAGCGGAAGTGACCGCCGCCAGTTCCTGCGTGTTTACCAACCGCCTCATCCTGCACGCGAAACCGCCTCATCCTGCATGCGAAACCGCCTCATCCTGCACGCGAGGGGCCGGATAACTCTAGATGGGCGCCATGAACATATCTACATGGCATTCACGGGCACGACAGCCAGGCTCAACGCAACCGCATGGTTGACCGTCGTGGCGAAGAGCGACGATGAAGAAAACGAGGAGGACTACGTCGACCCACCGTCCCCTTAACGGTCCTGGACGAGGGCGACGAGTGGTGGAGGGGGATGGAGAGGGGATGCGGGTGCGAGAGGAGCAGGATGGGTCGCGGTGGGGACACATTTGTTTGTGTCCACTCATCCGTCCCCTGCACCGGATGAATGGCTCCCCTCAGCGAAGCCCCAGCGAGGATGCGTCGGGCGAGCGCTTTATGGGCAGTAGATAGTCATATACACTCCCTTCTTATAAACTTCGCTTTTACCCTCCCGATGTTGTCAATACGATGCCTTCCCTTCATTCCTCAATTCGATGCCCATAATCTGAGAGTAACGACTACTGGATCACTGGGGAAGTGTAACATTAAAACCTTTGGAGTACGGAGTGTTTTGGTGGCTTTAATCCTAAGATGCATTCATCTTGGGCTCATGGTAAATTGGGCCGATATGGCAAGCCCGTCGTGCCGGTACTTCATGTGGAGCAAGAGTAGGTTTGGGCAGGCATCCTATACAGGTGAACCGCAGAGAGCGTTGAGCATATTGCATAGGGCCTAAGAATCCCAGATGACTGCAGGATATGTACTGTACATATCATCCCTGCGCTTTGTTACAATGGTTGCCACTTCGAGCGTCGCGGAGTTTCCCTCTGAAATTCGCCACGTCGCGCAAGATATGACTACAGCCCCAACCGCCTTATTCTGTAACCGCCGCGGCCCAACAAGACGAGGTTGGCTGCCAACCGCTGCCAACATCGAAGTTGAGCATTCCACTTCCAAACGGAAAGCCCTCAACAAGAGCCGCTGGCTGATCCGACTGCAACGACTCTCTCCCACATACCCCAGTACATATCCCTCACAATGAACCCCGCCGTAAGTACATGGCTACTCCTTTCTTCACTCGCAACCCACATTCTCGTTTCGTTGATCACTTCACTCACACACTCACTCCCGCTCTCTCGTACTCACAGATCACCAACCTGATCGTGGTCTTTGGGCTCATGCAAGTGGTGCGTTACAATAAGGGAACAGGAGAGCTGTGGGGGTTAGCCGGTTGGTGGGATGGAAGGCGGGTGGACGGTCGGGGCTCGAGAATGATGCGCACGGCAGAGCTGAGCGCTACCTGGGGCGAGTAGTTTGTGAGCGGAGAGGGGAGCGAGTGCAACGCTGAATGCGTCATGTCCAACTCGCACGGCTCTGATTTGCCGAACGAGATTTGAGCAACAGCGACATCGTTGCGCCAAAGGCGTAACACGTTATTACACACCCGACATATCCACATCGCTTGCCCAACACCCTTGTCACAAGAAAAGCCAAAGGGCCATCGTTCATCTGTCGCCAGCTATCTATTGCCTCGCTTTCGCTTCGATACCTCCATCCACATGGCTTACTTACTTTTTCCATGACATGCAGGCCAACAAGTTTGAGCTCGACAAGGAGGAGAACACCCCCTACCTCCGTGCTGCCTACCTCGGCATGCAGATCGTCTCCGTTATTGTTTGGGGTCTCATTTACAGCAAGGTCGTCGCTGCTAATGGTGAGTACAGAGGGTTGAGAGGCGACGGACCCGACACGAGGGTGTTTGGTTGTGCGCGGCAAGCGAAAGCGAGAAGAATGTGGGGCGCAATAGTAGTCCCGCACATATCCGTGCCAATCGTGCGCAGCTTTAGAACATCTGGACATTGGTTGCGGTCAAAGACAGCTGAAAGTCGTACCCATACACAAATCTCCACTCATCCTCCGCACATCCCTTCCCCAAACAGACCAAACACCACTAGTCTACACGGAGGCGGCGAACGCTCTAGACCCCAGCAACACAACCACGATCCGCACCACCGTCAAAGACTACGACATCAAAAAGATCATCGAGCAGCTCCGCTCGCAGGCCATCGCCGCAGCCATCCTCGGTCTCATGCACTTCAAGTTTGGATACCTCCGCCCCCTTCTCTTGCAGTCCATCCTCGGCTTCAAGGCTCTTTACTCGACTCAGCTCGTCCAGATCCATTTGTTGGGCAAGCAGCCAGTTGCGGAGTTGGTTAGGCCTTGGAAGGCCGCTAACCCTTTCGGGTATGTAGGCCTGCGTAGAGAGCGCGATGGTGTCTATCATTGGGGAATACTCACACCAACACCACTCTTTTCAACTTCAATAGAGAAACCGTCAAGCCAACAACCGAAAAGGAAATCAAGGCCAAGGAGAAGCGGGAAGCCAAGAAGAAGGCCAACCACCAGGACTAAACCTACTTAGCGAGAAATACTTCTGCCCAACAATCACTAATCCGGCATGGGTGGAGACCGCCGTGTGCGTGGCAACGACTCCCCCTTTTGCTTCACTGTATCTTTTCACACTCACCCTTAGGCAGATATTTATGTATAGCATTTTTGCGAAGACATGGAATAATCAGATGTCACCGCTCACGTGATGAAACCCACGTGATGGAATGCTCTCTCGGACGCTCTCTACACCCTGCTCTACACCCCCAATCTCATTCCTTCAATCTGGTTTGGCATACATAGTTGATTCTTGCTCTCCCTGCAGACGTGCAGGCAACGAGTTCAATTCCCACACCCTCTCACCGCCGTTGCCACCACCATTGCCATCGCCATTGCCACCGCCATTGCCACCGCCATTGCCACCGCCATTGCCGTGGCCAGCCTTGTTACTACCCGTAGCTGCAGGTCTTCTTCACCAGTTCTTCCACACCCTCTCACCGCCGTTGCCACCGCCGTTGCCATCGCCGTTGCCATCGCCGTTGCCACCGCCGTTGCCACCGCCATTGCCAAGATCTTCTTTGAACTTTGACCTACACACCTACAGCACACCCGTCAGCTTCCTGTTTTGCTTTTTGTTTACAAGGTGACTCCAAAACCAGTCTTCTCATTCTTGCCCCGGAAGTAATTCAAACCTCTCTGTACAGTACATTCTTTCGCCGACCACCACCCGTGTTGACCCAGTATATATCCTTTCGCCGACCACTACCAGGTAACAACCGCAATCAAAGAGAGAGGGAGGGAGATAGAGAGAGAAAGTGGACCATACCCTACCCAGATGGTTTGGCGCATATGGCGTATCCAACCACCGTCAGCAGCCCCCGGATTCGCGCATATGGCGTATGCATCCGGGGGATGAGGGAGATAGAGGGAGGGAGATAGAGAGAGAGCGGACCATACCCTGCCCAGATGCCATACGTACTCCTTCCGCCGTACTTCTGCAGATCCTTCTCGTCGTCGCCGGAAGCAAGCAGCAGCAGCAGCAGCATCTACCACCGCACCACGCAATCATGCCCTCTTCTACCGTGATGGCGGTCATCGTCACCTCGTCCTCCAATCTGCTAACGCAGAACCTGCCTCTCGGGGGACCTGTCCCCAGGCTCGTCCTGGATGAGGGGGATCGCGTACGTTTCTGTGTCGTGGGGGGGAACGGGGAGGGCATGCGGGTGAGAGAGGTTGAGGGAGATGGGAGCTTTGTATCGCGTCTCGGTGCGGAAGATTTCGGGAAGGTAGCAAACGGCCTGACAAAGGCGCGCAGGTTACCAGTAGGGGATTATTGGTTCGTCGCCACCAAGAAAGACATCCCCGATTGCTGGTTCGAGGTTGTGGTGACTCCAACATTGCAGGGCATCGACCCCGCCATCACCCAAGCCCTGACCAACAACAGCCTCACCGCCCTTACCACCGGCACCACCGACACCACCACACCCACCCACCCCATCGCTCGTCTCCCGCCAGCTCGGCCAACTTGACCGACGACGGCGCCGCCGCTCCTTCCGTGACCGAGACCGCCGCTAACCAGGCCAACAAGGTCGCAACGGGCATCAGCAGCACCGTCAAGAACGGCACCCATCGTCGCCGATAAGATGGACAGCGTGCTGCACCATCGCGCATCGCAGCTGGAGATTGCGTTTGGAACCGCACTCGTCGCGCAAAACATCATCGCTGATAAGACGCAATCTCCGGCTGCGATGCGCGATGGTGCAGCACGCTGTCCATCTTATCAGCGATGATGTTTTGCGCGACAAGTGCGGTTCCAAACGCAATCTCCGGCTGCGATGTTTTGCGCGACAAGTGCGGTTCCAAACGACGTAGAGAGGGTCCAGAACAAAGGCTCTAAGTCCGCCGGTGAAGGCTCCAAGTCCGGCCTTACACCCATCACGCCCGGCCTTACAGCTTCACGCTCGGCCTTACAGGAAGACCCCAACCCCCTTCTTTCCCAACGCAATTGCGAGCAGATCTGTACTCGCCGACCACCACCAGGTAACAACCGCAATTCCTCACCGTTCTCAGCTTCATTACCACAGCACTGACGCGAGTTCTTTGACACACAGCTATCACGGCAATCACCTGCAACACCTGTACACACACCAGTTATCTCGGCTGCGGGCAATCTGACCTCAACGCATCCACTCGCCTCCGACATCCAATCTCGTACTGCATCTCCGTAGAGCCAGAGCCAACCGAGGGCAGCGGCGACAGTATTATCAGCGTGTCCAGAGAGGGAGGCTCCAGGGAGGCTCCAAACATCGTCAGCATTGATCCGGGCAAGCGTGACCTCTTGTTCTGTCGAGACATCAAGAAGGAGCGGTCATTTCCGTACGTTTCAGTGGATTACTACTTTTGACATTCCGTTGCAGCGTCCTCACAATGCACCACCCCGTATCAGATACACATCCAATCAACGGGCGTTCGAGACATGACGGAGTGAAAGATCAATGCCGTCGCTGGCGAGATGGATGTCGCTCGCGTCGCATCCAATCGCTGAGATGGAATCACATATTCCGTCGCACAAGAGCATGAACATCGAGGCGTCCTCAGCGTTCATCGTGGATTACAAACATGCAGTTATGATGTATAATGCCTCGTCTTCAAATTTGGTAATACATGGGCTGACATCCATATCCCAGATCCCGCCCTGGATGAGTTTTACCAGGATGAGATTCACGTGGCTCGCAGATTCAAGGCTTTCTCACTGCGGCAAAAGTCTGAGAGCAAGCTCATCAAGAACATGCGACCCCTGTATGGAAAGCATTTTTGCGGTCATCTTGGGTGATTGGAGCGACGCCGGAAAGACCATGCGCTTTCAGGAGTCATCAAAGACCAAAGGGTGAGTGACTATCAGTGTTACTATGTATCATAATATGCTAACTGTAATGTGGGTTGTCCGGTCTTATTGGAGAACGACGCGTCAGTACTTAGCAGTAGTCGGCAGAGGAAGCAGGTAACTGAGCGAACTCTATGTAATGGGGAGACGAAGCCCTTTATTGTATATGAAGTTAGACAGAGAAGTTTTGTCTAGTCTGGAAAGAGGACACGAGGTACGTGAGGGAAGAAAAGCGTGAAGTCCCGTACACGTAAGCGTGGCGTAAGCGGGAGGTGAGTCACGAGGGGAAATGAACTACTAGAACCCTAACCGGGGACTAAACCACGGGAACCCTAACCAGGGGCTCGGGAGGATGATTCCCCCAACATCAGTGAAAGACCTATCGCTGTCTAGATGAAAGGCCTTCCAGACAGTGTTCTCCAGTGGACTCCAACCTCATGGGTACTATAACAGTGCTCGTCGCGCGTTCCTATGCACAACAAATAGTTCTTTTACTGCATATCGAATAGCAGCGCCGACGAACATCCAGTCTGTCTACAATACCTTATAGCAAAGTAGTTATTGTATATGAACATCTGTTATACAACCCGTGTGGAAGGTAGTCCACATCACACTAACTCATCAGGGAAATCAGATTCCGCACACTGTTTGCAAGAAACAACATTCCATGTTGCTTGCTAGATGAGTATCGAACGTCTTCCGTGTGTCCAGACTGCCACGGCCGTGTGAAGAAAAACATCCGACGGCGGCAGTCATCTCGGCCGTGGCAAGCTAGAAAGGGAAGAATGGAATACGTCCATGGATTGGTGGGTTGCCCCAACCCCGAATGTATCAACCAAGACTGGACGCCATTTGAGATTCCTGGAAGACGACCACTACAGATGAGTGCACAATCGGGACGTCCTAAGCACCAAGAATTTCCTCTCGATTGTGCGTTCGGTGGTGTTTGGCAATGGCCGCAGACCAGACGCAATGACCAGACGCAATCTCCCGTAACCGGTAGTCTAGAATTTTCACCCCATTCCATTTTCCGTGGTGGTTATCTGCCATCCACATCATTGTACCTCTGCCTGAGGCGTCGCCGATGATGGCAACTTGTAAATGCACAAATATGAAAGGGAAAAAAGTCATGAAATTACAGATCAGTTCGTGATGCGCAGGCCACCTAGAATCCAATACGCCGGAAAAGTAATGACGAAGATGACCTACACCCTATTCCTGCAAGGATGTCTACAAAAACGATGGGGGTGCTCCCGGGTGCGCTACTAATTGTCACCCCTCCCTTACCGCTCCACCAACTCCTCGGTGTTGTTGGCCAGCGCTGGCACGAGATCCGTGTAGAAATCGACGCCGTCGAGGAAGACGCGTTCGTTGAGGTACTCGTCATGGTCGTGCAGGAGGACGGGGGTGTTGCGCATGGGCGAGATGCCGAACGCTGGGATGCCGATTTCGCGGATGTAGCGGGAGTCTGGGGGTGGTGGGAGGAATGGGAGTGCAGTTAGTTATGGAGTGTGAAGGATCGGAGGTGCCGGAGATGGAGTGGAGTGAACGTACCTGTTGCGGCGGGGAAGATTTCCGGTTCCAAGTCGACTTTCCTGTATTTGGGTGATGAATAAAAGTGGAGATTAGTGGCACATAGCGATATGATACATCACAACATCCATATTCCATACCGTTTCTCCGCAACACCCTTCAACAACCTCCACCAAGGGTTATGATCCTCCGGCGCCGTCGTTGCATTCGACCAAAACGTATTCACATACTCAATCCCCACATCCTGCTCGGCACACCACCCCTCAATCATCTCCTTGAACGCATTCAAATCCACTGTAGGCGCCACGCGGATATCGATGCCAGCGGACGCGGTCTCGGGCACAACATTGTGCTGCACGCCGGCTTTGAGGATGGTGATGTTGGTGGTGGTCACGTCGCCGAGCTGGAAGGGGACGGATTTGGCGGTGCGACCGTGTTTGAGGCGGTTGGATTCGGAGTCGCGGAAGGCGAGGAATCTGTTGAGGACTTTGAGCTGTGTGCAGTCGGTTTGGGTGAGTGACAGGTAATCAGATTTGGACAGAGAGCAGCAATGAAACGTACCAGGCGAACGGTGGCGGACGGCTCAAGGAACTGGCTTCCATGGCCGGCTTTTCCCTTAGGAAAGTTCGGAAACTGTGTCAACCTCCGTTCACGCGCAACGAACTTCCTCAGATTCAGCCAATCCAATCCACATCCCCTTACCTTGGCGGTAATGGTCAACCACCACGGCGCGCGTTCGCCATAAAACACCTTGTACGCATCCCCGGGATTGGCCAGCCCTTCATCGAGCGCGAATCCGATGTTGAGCTTCTTGTAGTCGTCCGTCTTGACAAACAGTTTCATTCCGTCTTGACCGCCGATCTCTTCATCGGGCACAAAGGTTACATGCACTGAGGTGGCAGACGACGGATTACCGCTCTCACTCTGAATCACTTCATGCCAAGAGAAGGAATAGAGTGTACTCACATGTCCGCTTCAGCTGGACCTTTTGCTGCTGCTTCAAGATGCGGATGGCTTCCAGGTACTGGATTCCGACACACTTCATATCCTGCGCTCTGTGGGATGAGGAACCGATGTCAGCGCCATTGAAATACCTTTCCGCTCGCAGTCGCCCTCGACCTGAGTCGCAAGTGACACCTACCCTCTGGCAATGATATCCCCATTCTCCAGCTTATCCGCCGCAAAAGGATCATGCGTCCACTTGTCAGCGCTGACAGGTACAACATCCGAGTGGCAGTTGAGCATAATGGACGGCAGCGAGGCGTCCGTGCCGGCCCAGGTTAGAATGCAGATGGGCTTGCCCTTCACGCACTATAGTTGATGAAAGGGAAGGAGAATTAGCGGGCAGGATAAGACTGGATGTGGGATGCTCGCTTCGCTGCCCAAGGAGATGCCGTCGGCGTATTCCGCGAGCATTGTTCGGGCCCCTGCTCTCGCATCCTTCCGCTTCACGCAAAACACCAAGTCCGCCAGCACCTTAGGTCGGTACCATGCGCCTTTCCGCACTTACGTGGAAGGCACAGGTGATCGCGTACCGCCCATGGCGCTTTCCCGTCGCGAGCGCTACCCGTTCAAACCTTCCCTCGCCCCACTGCATCCCCGTTTGCACTCATGCTTCCCCCGACCCGGGCCCAGCCCTATTCCCTTTCCCTCAGGATGACCATCATCTTACCTCGACGCCTGTGTAAGCCAACCCCAACTCCTCAGCATACTTCTTCAAGAACGCCTCACATCCCACATAGTCGGGTTTTGGCTGAACCGTTTTGACTCTCAGGAATTCGCGGAACCGGGTTACGGCGATGTGTTCGTCTTTTTACGTCGGAAAATTGGGATGAGGAAAATGTCCAATAGTTAGTTTTTGACTGGTGTAGAGGGTTCGCTGACCGCCTTTGCTGCTGCTGGGACAGGGTGAAGCAAGCACACTTACCTTTGGCGGTCATTACGAAGTATACTTTCTCTGTTCGATTGTTCAGGGATGCAGTACGTGAGGATTCCCAGAGGATTCCACAGGATTCCACCGTTCCACCTGCGGTTCAGCCTGCGGTTGAACCAGCGGTTGAAGGACCAGCGTCGCAGCACAGTTGCAGCGAGCGACGCGCAGATGACCTTGCAAGTCTCGCCGTCCTTTTCAGCTTGAACAGCTTCGACGTCTGGGACTCCTCAACCCGTACCGTAGAGAAGCATATCACATATCACAACCATAACCTCCCGACCCACCACCAGCAAATATGGGATGTTGGGAGGAGAACTGTGCGTCGGTACAGATTGCGGGATCATTCAGATCCCATTCAAATGAGGAAGGACCGCTGGATCGTCAACAAAGCGCCTCTGGGAATCAATGACTCTGCTGCGGGAAGTTATGTTAGCGCAGGTTCAAACCCAGCACCATTCCCCTCGTCCGCCACGACCCCAAGCAGTACGAAGGCTGCGACGTTGACGCGGCGCTCGTCTGGTGGCACTACTGCAACAGGGAGCATCCCGTCGTTGCCCGCATGGAGGTGGAGGACCCCTCATGGTCGCAATGCCGCCCGACGTCGGAGAGGCGGACCGGACCGAAATCCGCCAAGACTGATCTTCGCCGAATGAGAAAGGCCACCGGCAGCGCTCTGAACTACCAGGTAGTTCTCTTGGGCCCTGGGGGTCGCCTACTCCCACGTGCCCGGCGTGCCCAGACGACCCGACCAGCAGCTCTTGGAGCACAAGAGCCGAACCTCCGGCCAGCCATCACAGCGCGAGCACGATCGCCACCGTGCGGCGTGCGTTCGGAGGCCCCGCTCTTGAACTTAGGAGACTGGCGCGCGGCTCGCCCTCAGCCCCAACTCGTCCCTGCCGTTGCCGTTCCCACTCCCATGGAAGTGGGTGATATAGTGGCTCCCCCTGAACCGAGGTGAGCTCAGCAAGACCGACGCCCCCTTGCGTCCCGGGCGTCAATTCGGCATGCTATCCAAGATTTTGAACCGGAGGTGCGGGGTGGAGCCCCAGCGCGGGAGACTCTAACCGCCCCTACGGTCGTCGGGCTCTTTGTTTCGGTCTCGCCGCATGGTGTTTCGCCCGAGAACCATAGAAGAAATGTCGTCCCCGCGGAAGTAGATCAAAGGAGTCTAACCTATTTTCAGGATTGGAATCAGCTAACGAATTGTTCAGCAGAAGGAACTTCTAGTTCGGCGTTCTATCGCGCAATGATAGCAGAGAGATCATAGGTTGACGAGAATGTAGATACAAGTAGAGTTTGGCGTAAATAGGCGTTTATAGGGAGACGGCGTATATAGGGAGACGGCAACGTGGGGTCGTGGTCAATGATAGAACACAAGAGCATGTTTACAGTGATACGGCAACGTGGGGGTCGTGGTCAATGGTAGAACACAAGAGCATGTTTACAGTGATTGTGGTGATCACGAATCGGATCAAATTTACAAACGAAAGGATATATACTGTACATCTTATCATGTTGTCTTCTACGGATACGCCACCAAACATCGAACATCCTACATCTGCGAAAGGAGCCATCGCTCCACTCCATTCCCTCTGATGCATCTCACGCTGTCGCCTCCTACGTATACGCCATTAAACATCAGACATGTACATCAGTGAAAGGTGCTATCCCTCCACTCCATTTCCTCCGGGACGGTCGTTACACGTGCAGCAAAGTGCACTGGGGCAGGTGGGTCGGGCCCTGGCCATCTTCGGACAGGCGCTTGCTTCCAGTCCGTCCGTGCCTGTCTGGGTTTTTCATAGAACGACACTGTGCGGCGATGCGGAGCGTTGTCGAACCGGTGGCGGCCCGCGCCAGGCGCTGTCCACCGAGTCCGTTGTGGTTCTGGTCTCTCTAAGATGGGAGTTTCGCGGTGCTGCGGAGCGTTATCGATTTGCCGGAGGCTTGGGCCCGACTCTGTCATCCGTTCAGTCCGTTCTGGTCTTGATCTTTGTGAAATGGGAGTGTCGCGGTGCCACGGAGCGTCGTAGGACTCTCGGTGGCTTGGGCCATGTGCTGTCGTCCACTCAATCCGCTCTAGTCCTGATCTCTGTGAAATGGTCCCTTCGCGTAGGTGTGGAGTGTCGTCGAGCCGTGGGCGGCTTGGACCGGGCGCCGCCGTCGAGACTGTCCATTCGGGCTCCGATTTTCGAGATATTGATACGCGCCGCTGCTTAGTTTCAAATAGCCGTCGGGGGCTTGAGTCATTCCTTGCCGGCAGCGATGGCCGTGTGGGGCTTGAGTGAGTGGTTAACAGCGCTGCCTTCGGGGCTGTGCGTACGGATTTCGGCTTCCGGGACGGCGTGGGCGCTGCATTGCTGATCGTTTGCTCTCGTTCCTGCGCTTCTTTGAATGCCTTGTCTCGAAGTCTCTTCTTTTTGCTTTTGCGATTTCGAATCCTGGGCTGACGAGTTCGAGTGTTCCCATCGACAACGTTTTTTTCATTGATAGATTGAGCATCTCCATCGACAGCCTTATCAACAGCTTGACCATCTCCATCGACGGCTTCATCGACACTTTGAGCCATCGACATGGTAGGTAGCGTCATGAGAGCCCATTCTGCCGGAGCCGCCACTGCTGCCGCAATTTGAACCATCGACATGGGAGGTTGCGCCATGACTGGGAGCTGTTCCGCCGGAGTTCCCTCGGGTGCTGCCTCTATTTGAGCCATCGAAATGGGAGGTTGCGTAATGACTGTGGGCTGTTCCCCCGAAGACGTCACGGGTGCCTGAGTTGTCGACATTAGGGGTTGACTCATGAGCTGTTCCGCCGAAGCCGCTACGGATGTTGCCCGGATTTCATCTCGTGGCGGTACAACAGCTTCATCGACAGTATGAGCCATCGGCAGGAACTGTTCCGCCGGGTGTGCTGCCTGCATCTCATCTTGTGGCGTTGCATCGGCTCGTACATTGGGATCAAGTGATTCGGGTGGGTTTTCATGCTCCAGCGCAAGATGAGGCGGGTTTCCCCTGATGGCCGTCCATGCGATGCTGTGTCTCACTTGCAAGATCCGCTTCTCGCTAAAGTGCAGCGGAAGAAGCAGCTGTCCCACAATGCCTCTAGTGACCCAATCCATAATCGCGCAGCAGTAGACTCCGCAGTTGACGACATCGGTACCTTTCTGCGACGGAGCCGTCAGTAGGCGTAGGACAGAGAGTCGGGGAAGGTTCGGGACGACGCTTGCGAGCCAGTTGGCTCGTCCTTGGCATTGCCACCGATTTTTCGTGCGCCATTGGGTATCGTTGCCCGCACCCGAATGCGCCAGCCACAATGGATCGTAGAAGAATTGGTCTCCGGTATGCAGATCGACCCAGTATGCGATGTAATGGTTGGCGTTATGCATCATAAGGAAGATGGCAAACCTATCGACCGCTGGGTCCTGTACAAGAAAGGAAAGCTCATTAATCCTCGGCTTGTCAGTCGTAAATCTCCAGCGTATTTGGTACTTACGGGCAGGCGAGCCTTTCCAGAAACGTAGTCACCAGGTCCCTTCGCTGGTGAGATCTGATCGCCAACGGCCGGCGGTCCATACCAGAACTGATAGCCCAGCCCTTCCTGCTGCCGGTAGTGGAACTCCAGTCTCCGCATGTAGTAGTTGATACCCTGCACGGCGCACATCCGATCGGGGTTGATGACAGAATAGAGATCATCCCGATCCACCGTCTGTTGCGGGTCGTCCTCATGCCAGTTCAGCGCGTTGTATTTCGCTTTCTCCTCTGTAGTCCAGGCACCGTATTTTCCATCAACTAGTGAGTCCAACTCTCTTTTCTGCGAGCTCCGTAGTGAAGGGAACCCAAATGGCGACCACTTTGGAGTCGGAATAATCTCCAAGTTGCTGCGCCATCTCAGCGTAAGCGCTCCTGGCTCTTGGATCGGCTCGAACTCCTGCACTCGGGTCGGCAGGCGACGAGCGTTACCAAACGCCTTCCACATGTCTGGACGATCATAGCGTTGCAATGAACCGAAGGGTACAGGTTCGGGCGAGGGCGAAGCGCGCTGTTTCTTATTCGCTGATTCGTCCTGAACAATTGATGATGGTTTAGAATCTTTCAGAAAGATTCACTGCATCCTATTTGATGGTCATGCATCTCACCTCCGCATCCGCGAAAGATTCTCCTGCCGTCTGTCAAAAAATGATGGAATGAATCGCTGGGCGGGTGAAGTTGCAATCAAACTTCCCTCAGCTAATACCGCACATACCGCGGAACCCTTTCTTTTCCGAGACCCCACCGCCGGCGCAATCGCCAGCCGCGCAGTCGCCATTTCGCGTAGGGTGCTCGCACGCATCACGACCGCCTGTGCAAATATACGCGCATGCTGGATAGAAGTCGACAGCGCGTCCACATCATAGAGTCCTTTCACCACCGCATTCGACGAACGGAGCTGCTGCATGTCGCGCTCCAAAGCCCGAGTCGCATTGTGTCCAAGGTGGACTTGCGGGTACAGGTTGAACATCGTCATGGCCTGCAAGTATCCTTCACGAGCGGCTCGATACTCTCTCTTCCACGCCTTGCGCATGGCGTCGGACGCGGACATTGTGCTTGGGTATATACGCCGTTCGGACTCCCCGTTGGAAGGTGTCGGCATGCGGATCGTGGGTGCAGGCGACGGAGACCCTATCAACATCGGAGACGGAAGATCCATTCCAGCAGCCGTTGGAGCGTGAGTAGGCGTGGGCAGTGCGATTTGCGTAGGGTATATCTCCGGGACACACGCAGCTTCAAGGATGCTCCGCATTCGCGCCTTGACCGCAGCCGGCGGAGACGGCACCAAATGCCCGCCATCCGTATCTACGGTATCGTTGGGAGACTGTATGTGAACAGGCGGCGGAGCACACGACCGGACAGGTGTTCGAGTGAGCTTAGGCGGCGACGGTCGAGCGGGCTTCCTAACAGGCATCGGGCGAAGCGTGCCCGGGACCTTATGAGTTTGCCGAGCATCTGAGCTGCCAGCAGCCTGGCCGTACACCGTGTTCCAGGGAGCCAATGGCGTTGACCCGCATTCGAAATCTCCTCGGAAATCTGTGTCAACCGCGTCCGGCTCGTTGAATGCGGCGATGAATTCCATTGGAATCGATGCCGATGCGTCAGTGACGGTGCATACTCCCACGGACATTGATACGTCGGCGCTAGGGTCCCTCGAGGCTTCAGCACCGTCATTCATGGGCGCGGCCACGAAACCGGGATTCAAGGGAATTTCAGCGTCCGTGACAATATCCAAATCCATGGGTACGTACTCATCGCCAGAGGGGTCGACAGCCAGCGCTTCCTGATCGCTGGCAGGCGGGGTGGCCCTCTTGTCCTCATTATCAGCAAAATGGATCTCGTTTGTATGCGATGAAGGATTGAGTACCCCCTTGCTCTTCTTACCCTTGCCGTTTAATTCAGCTGCAGCGGCTACGGCAGAGGATATGGCAGCGGCAGCGGCAGCGACCACATCCTGCGGGGTGATCGTCCCAGCGGTGGTGGATGTCGACGACGCCGGTCTATTCCGTGCGCGCATAGCTTCTCGCTGTCGTTCGTTCACCTTCTTACGAAACTGATAAAGAGGAGTGCCTTTCAGCGGGTCTTCCGGATGCTCGGGCGCGAAGAGCTCGTCTAGCGCGGTCTCGTCCTTTCTCTTGAAGTGCAGATTGTCCCAGTAGAGAGTCATTGATATCAACTCTTCTTTGGTTGCCGCTTTGCTGAACGTCTTGCCGTACAGGATGTGTGGCGGCCATCCGACCGCTACGAACGGATAATCAAGTGTTCCGATGGTCAGCCATGGTGTTCGGCGGGACTTCCTTCCCGTCTCTAAGATCAGACGCTCCCTGAGCGACTTTGCCAACGCTGTCTTCCCTTCACCGTGGGCCCACCGGTTGCGAATCATGGGATGTGGCGCCACAGGTGCTTTTTCAACCTGCTGAACGGCATCTTCCCATTTCTCTTTGCCGATGAGGCTATGCTGGAAGTCAACGATAGCATCGACTGCTTGGGTATCCGACGGGAGAAAGGATGCTCGTATTGTCGAAGGAACAAGGGCCTCCGTTTGACAGCTTGCCGCAAACGCCCAGCCGTTCCGTTCATCGTTGGTGGACGACATAACAACATCCTTCTGCATGGGATGTGAAGCGACAAAGAAGAAACCGGAGGCGTGTTCAGTGAGGCTCGCCTCTCGGAGCTCCTGCAGGGCTTCGAGGACGTTCTCCTTGGCCTTTAAGTAGCGTTGATGGGGTTCGAGTCGGGCATATGCTCGGAATCGTGCAAACTCTTCGTCCGTGAGCTGTTGTCCAATCGTTTGTGCGTGTTTCTTGCGAATCCTCGTCTCGCGCAAATTGGATGCCCGCCCCGACGCGTATCCTGAAACTGAGGCCTTGGCGGCTGCGATTGCAGCCGCGTCGTCTATTGAAGGAAAAGCGGCGAGCAAGCCGGCTTTGTCCCGGGCGTACATGGAGGCAATGACCTCTAGCTCATGCTTGTCCAGCCGGCGGGTGGTGGCGTTTTTGGATGTGAATGTTATGGCCGCGGCCAGCGATGTTCCTGCTCCGGTTTCACATGCATTGTCGTTGAAATTCTTCTTCGAGGACGGCCTTTTCGGGGATGACGCGAGATCGTCGGGGCCAGAAGTGAGATTCATGAGATCCGGCTCTTGTCCTTCCAAACTGGGGCCTGCCGCCTTTTCAGAACTCGGCGGAGGTGGCAATGCCCTTTCTTCACCATTGAGCCGATCGGAAAGGCCTTCGGAGGAGTCAACAGTAGAGCAGTTGATCTCCATCGCTGTTGCGGGTGGCGACGGTTCGTCTTCGACATTGAAACCATCCTCGTCAGACTCGTCGAATGAGGACGCAAGGCTATTGGGGCCTGTACGGGTGGACTTCACCTCCAGCTCATGCCCTTCCAGCTTGTGCTGATTGAAACCCTTGTCGGGACAGCTTGCGGATACTGTCGGATCTTCGTCATTGTCCATCCCATCTCCATCAACATCTTCGAAAGAAAAAGCTAGCGTGTCGGTGCCAACAGTAGACGCAGTGAAGTCCATATTGTCGTCTTCCAAAACGCCAATGTCCAGATCCAACGTGGAATCCCGTTCTTCGTCGGGTCGTCCTTTCGCGGCTACAGGTGTCCCTGCTTCAACACCCTGGTCGGACTCGTCCGAGGAAGCCGGCACCCAGCGGCGTATCGGCAACGGCGTGTAATATCCGCGCCGTTTCCGGAGGTTGCGTGCGGGTGCCGATTTGCATTCTCCGACATTTATTCCTATAGCGCCTTTGCGGCCCTCGTCGAACTCAACGTCTTCAATCAACTCGGCCGGCTCAGCGTGTTCAGACCTGAGCTGGTGGGGCCCAGTGTCTTTGAGCGCATTCTGTGCCTCCCCAACAACTTCGGTTAAGTCGACCGGGTCCCCATTTTCGGAACCGTCGTCGTGAACGACAGCGTCTTTTAGAGTATCCTCGCCGAGTCCAACGTCTTTGAGCGCAGCATGGAACAGCTCATCGTCTCCCGCCGCATCCTCGCCATCGCTTCCACTGTCTTCAGGGCTATCTTTGCGGATCTCAACGTCGGACGTATAGGTGCCGAGGCTAACGTCTTCCGATCGATCTCCCTTTCGCTCAGCGTCGTCTAAGGTCCAGTCGGGATCAGCCCGGCGCTCTCGGTACCAATCTTCCTCATGCCACGTGTGTGTCGAGACACGCTTCTTTGGCAGAAACTCTCCAGACCCATCTTCGCCGGAACTTTCGTAGAGGGACCCGTTTTCTTCGGATGCATCGTCGTCGGACTCTTCGTCATCTGATTCGGGCTTGTAAGAGCTAACACTGCTGGCCTCGCCATCAGAATCCTCGAGGCCAGCAGAATCCTGACGAGGTTGTGTCAATGGACTTATACCAATCCGCTTGGGTTTGGGACTAATGGAATGGCTCGGTGGAATTTCCGGCGGGGTGGAACGTGGTTTGGTGAACTGAGCAGGGAAAGTTGGGGTATTCGGGGCAGAGTGGGCGTTTTTTCGAGGGAGTACTTTACGCCTCGCCGGGACCCGGGACGGTATCACCACCTCAACTGTACAGCGTCCGGGGTGTGGAGGTAGGGACACGGCAGGGCTGGCAGGGCTGTCAGCCACGTCCGTCATGGCCGGAACAATCGGCGAGCTAGCAAGCGGCGATGAGGGAGCTGAGGCAGCGGGTGCAGATGATGCAGGCGATTTTTGGCCCCTGGATATGAACCCATGGTCGGACTCATCGTCAGATGGCTCTAACTTGGAAGAACCGACAGAACTCAGCTCGCTCTCGCTGTCGGTGTCCATGGTGGACAGCTCGCACGATGAGTGAACTCGTAGGCTATACAGTACTAGGTCTGGGGTACATGGATAAGGGCGTGAACAAGTGGGTTTGCCGACTTGCAACGACTTGCAATGACTTGCAACTCTCAGAGCTCTCAGAGCGCGGCACAGGTGTTGACCGACAATCAGACAAACCTCGAATTGACGTTTCCCACCGAATATGAATTGACAGCCGGGGCGACACTGTGGAGAGCACATATTCGAAAACACAGTAGCTTCCGACGTAAAGTGCTCGAAAATGGTGGAGGCGGACGAAGGCACTGCAGGTGCATATCTCTAGGCAGGGAGGCGTCGGAGCTTCTAGCTCATCACTATGCGCTCACTTCGAACCGGCAAAATCACGGAAAAGATGGATGCCTCTTCCTCTACCACACTCACGGTGCATAGCAATCTGGCGGAGAACTTCAAAGCCAGACGGACCTCCGGAATCGACGAAAGACCACTCCTCGGTCGAGATGCTTCGTTTCACGGTAAACCGAACCCGGCCCCGTCGAGAACGATCCTTGGACGCCTCTCCCGTCGCCAGCGAGTGGTGTCTTTCGCATTGATATTCATACTTTTGCTGTGTCTCGTCATAGTCTTGATAGCGCATGTGGAAAGATTGGCATCGGGGAGCGAGCTGAGGGTTATCGTTCAACCTTCAGATGTTGGAGCGGAGGATAACAGCTACCGCGCACTGGTCACCGCCACGGCACATCAAGTCGCTATACGCCTAACGACGAATGCACCTGCGGTCTCCGACATGGTTATGATACAGCCCGAAGACGTGGACGCCATACATGTAGTCCTAGTAGGCGGTGAGGGAGGAGCTTGGGGCCACATCCATCCCCATTGGAACGACACCACAAAGCAGTGGGCCGTCGACTGGCAATTCGAACCAGGTCGCTGGGTCCTTGGCCTTACGGTGACCTTCTCACAAGCCGGCGATGAGACCGCAAGCGAATTCCGAACTAGCGTCATGCTAAGGGCCGGAGGCGAAGACACGCTACCATCATTTGAAGTCTCATGGTTGTCTCGAACAAATCCCACGATGGACGACCATGGATCCCGCAGGTTCCCTCCATTTCCCAAACCTGGAAGCATCCTCTCCCATTTGTCCATCGGGTCGAATCTGAACAGCGAGGATTCGACAACAGCACCTCTCATCGATTTCGCGGTTACGTTCCGCAATCAAACGCTGGCAGGGCGATCTCATGTGTTTCTCGTTGCGAGGGATTTGAGCTATCTTCTGCATACACACCCATCTGAACTGTTCATGTCGACAATGAAAGTTGTGGAGCGGCTGGCCGGCGAATGGTATCTCATAGTGCAGGCGGAGACCGCGGATGAAAACATTTGGGCATTCTTTGGCGTGCACATCTGATCTCTGATACGGTTTCTCGATAGCTTTGTAGATGAGTCATTGATCATATACATCCTAGTTTGTGAACATCAATAAATAGCAATGAAAAGGTGGTTGTCGTTTGACGGGCATATTCGAGCGAGACGCATAACCGTAAACGGAAACATGTAGAAAGCGATGTACGCCATAAGAGGGCACACGCATGAGGCTACAAGCAAGCGTAATAGGCCAGCGGATAATTCGACGGGTATCCCGATGGTGGGGGTTCCTCCAGTGCCCATGCGACGAGCTCCTACTCAGAAATGCAGGCGAGGGCTGGAAAGACCAAGAGAGCACGGTGTGCCGCCAAACCGTATCCGTCACAACCGCCCCATCACGTCGTTCCGAAAATAGCGATCGTGGTAGCCATTCCCATCTGGCGGATTCTCTTGTCTTCAGAGGCGGAGAGTGCGGCGACGCGGAGGAGCTTCTCACCAACGAAGCCCTCGTCAAGTCAAAGCCGTTGTGAGCAGGGCGACCCACCTTCCGGAGATGATGGAGCTCGCCATGCCAGGACAGTCTTCGCTTCCGGACGGTGACGTTCCCTCGGGCTTGTCGGACTAATAACTGCTCGGCGCTTTCCTTCGGTCGACGTCAAAGGAATGGGGTGCGACCCTGCATGCGACCTCGCCCTCTTCATTGCCTGCCCTCCTCTGGGCCTCCAGGTCCTCCCATATTTTCACTTGCTGCCTTTGGCTTGGCCGACATGTTGTGCACCACCAACAGGGTTTATTCGGTCGAGTACGCATGCAGCATCGTCGGTGGAACCAGCCTCCCCACTCGCAAGTTCCATTCTTTCCTGCACACCGAAGCCAGCCACCCGCCTCGAGCTCCAACCTCGGCTCCCCACTCTGTGGCTGCACTGCTGTCCCCATCCCCTCTCTCGGCAGCCTCGGCAATGTCGGTGGCAATGTCGGCAGCAATGTCGCGGCAGTGAGGTTATGCGGGGCCGACCGCGCTACGAAGCATCGACATGGCTGATGAAAGCACTGCGTTTGGGAGAACGGAGAAAAGCTTGGATACAGATGCCATCAGTGGTTGTGCAATTGAACACTTCTTAGTTTTTGCGATTCAGTAACGATCTGCGAGTGGTCCTAACACGAGCATCTCATCCGTTGGAGGAGGGACTGGGACTTTGGCTGGATTACTCGGCTTACTATGAAATAACGGTCAATACATCCCATCATAACAAGAAAGTGTCGGCGAGAGTCCGAGAAAGCAGCGATGGTGGCATCAAGCGGGTTGTGCGCTATCTACTTGATCGTCTAACCTACAGAAGCCAACTAGGCCTCGCTGTAGAAATCGCAAACATCATTTTCAATGATGTCCTGTCCATAGTCTGCGCGAGAATTCGCCTCTCGATTCGATGGTTGCGGCCGCAGATCCATCGAACCCTCCTGTGACGACTCCTCGATCCAGTCGTTGGCGCTCCGGGCTTCTGTGAGCTCACCAGCTATCCTCCTGCCGAGTTGATGTTACCGATGCAATCCAGGATCCTGCAATCCGGTCGAGATCTGAAGCGGTTCCGGCGATTCCGTGCGGGACCTGCCCAGAGCGTGCTTCGCTGTCGTGGATTCATTTCCTACGCTCGACCAGCGTAAAACCGTTTCCCAGGTATGAGATATTCAGGATCTGTCATGGAGAAGCTGCCGACATCCATGAAGCCGTTGCACGGTTCAGCTTGTTGCTTGCATTGGCTGAAGCACGCTGACTATCGTCACAATACGGGCACATGCCATGCGTGCCCAAAGTATTCTGGGAGTACGGGGCGCCTCTCCGACTGCCTGCCCCGGTTTGGCATCACGGTCGCTACCTATGATGTATCCCGAGCCAAATCCACCACAGATATAGCCTTGTTCCCCCTCCTTGTCAGCTTGAACCGTCCATTTCTCTCCGTCGCTGAAGCGGACGCCGGCATAGGCGATCCAGGGAAGCCGCGTGAAAGGTTCCATGAACGGCGGTCGCGATGCCGTTGTGAGCTCCAGACGGGACGGGGTGCTAACTAGTTCCGAACCCGCCGGTAAACGTTGCTAGCAGTACAACGAGCTTCAGCTGCGCTGAGCCTGCGACGGGGAATGCTCCTAACGGCCTCCCCAGAAATGAAGCTTTTCCGTAGGTCATAGTAGTAAAGGCGGCTAACTCTTCTGCAAGGTTAAGACCGGTCCTGAATCTACATTGGAGCTGATGTTATTTTCTGATGTTTCCTGACGGTCCTGACGGTAGGTATCGTTCCAACACGGGGGACTCAATGGCGGCACATCCGGTCGTTTCATGCGGGGTTCGATTGCGGGCAACCATAGGATTGCTCCAGCATAGGGCGCCTCTACGCGCTGTTTGCAGGTGCTCCGGGAGGAGACAACGTATGGCGCGCATGCAACATTGCTGAGGTTCTTGACCGTCATGACCGAGCGGTGTTCCGCTGACAGAAAGGAAAGAGGCGGCTGGGTTACGAAGGTGATGCTGACAAGAAGCAAGGACAGCATGCTACCTCACCTGTGGAGGGATGCTCAATGAGAAGTCTCCGAAGGTCGTGGCGGCCAACGTTCGAACCAACACACAGGTTATACGGCGCAGCCAGCATCCGGCTTTGAGCACTATGCCACGCAAGAGAGTTGAAGGCTTGAGTGCCGCTATGCAAACCCCACTGTGTGCTTTCTAGCGATTGACGATGGCGCATTTCGCACCAACGAAGCCCTCGTCAAGTCAAAGCCGCTGTGCGCAGGGCGACCCACCTTCCGGAATGCCATGCCGCGCTCGAGATGATGGAGCTCGCCATGCCAGGACAGTCTTCGCTTCTTCCGGAAGGTGACGTTCCCTCGGGCTTGTCGGACTACCCACTGCTCGGCGCTTTCCTTCGGTCGACCTCAACGGAATGGGGTGCGTCTCCCCTTCACGTGGAGCCGAGGTAGACAAAAGGAAACCCGCACCTCGTTTCCGAAGCGTCCGATTCCGCAGGTGCTGTCCCCATCAGCCCGTAAGAACCCTGTGCATTCACTAACAGCTCCTCTTCGGATGGGAAGGCATCGCAGCGAGCCCTCGGTAAATTTGAAAGGGAGTACGGAGTCAATGCCGCTGTCCATCTCCTCAGTCGGTCAAGTCGATACAAACCTCCTCCGAACTTGATATTTGCGATGACTAAATGTCTACAGTTCTACCACAGTGATTTAAGCCGCAATATATTGCTGGAACAGCCTCTCTGCCATATGGACCCGAGGAGATTGATGAGCCTTGAGCAATGAATTTGGTTCTATGGGCTCGCTTTCGATACGGCAGAGTCTGCGGGCTGCCCTGCGGCAGTCACAGTGCGCACATACGTTTGCGCAGGCGCGCGTCAACAACCCCGCTGCCTTCGTCGACGCGTTTCCAGACTACCTTTTTTTTCCCCAAAGCTTGCCCCTTGCAAAAAGGATACCAAACCAACTGACCAGAGAAGACTGCAGATCACTAAACCAGCTATGAGGAATCACATAAGCTATTCAGTCTTGGTTTCCAGCTATTAAACAGCAGACATTTATCAATCAGAACTGCTGGGAGCGAAAATCTTCAAAGCAACCTCCGACTAGTACACCTCCTTTTCCCCCGCAGCGCCGCAGCTAACCCTCGCCTATCTCTGATCCTGAAGGTACGGCAAGGACGCTGTGCAACTTTCAGACCCTGGACATGAAAACTGAACCCTGGAGAGTCCGTTGTACTCTGCCACTCGTTGCCCAGGAAGCCTTAGGATTTTGGACAGCAGCAGAACGTCTGTACCATGTTATATGCACAGTCTGCGCCGGCAGCTCGAAGCGAAATCCTTTTCTAAACCATTCCATCTCTACAGATTCCAAATTGCTCAAAAACTGAAGGAGTTTCACTGATAGCCCATTTTCAGAAACACGTTTTTTGATGCCGGGTAAGCCGGTCACTGTTGCACTGACAATGTCAATGTTGGTGTGATATAATGCCAACAACCTCATTTGCATTTGCAGAGACTTGCCTCAAAGAGTACTGTACATCCCGTTCGGGCAGGGGGGAGAGCTTGCAGCAGTCTGACAGGTTACGGTTCACTCGACAAACGACAACTACAACGGCGCAAGAGGCCGTGAGGTGTCCCGACGTGGCTTTGTACACCACGCTTGGGAGTCCTGGCGCACAACGAGTACGCTTTCGGTCAAGAGTCTTTGTTGCAGTTTCGCTACAGTCCTTGAGTTGCATAGTAAGGAGGGGGTTACACTGTACGATTTCTGCACCGGAGACTTGAGACCAAGGCCTGGAACATAGAGGACCTCACATCAACATTACCAAGTATGCCTTCCCATGTGGCCCTGGAATATGTGTCTGGAATATGGGTGCAGACTCTGGGCCGTGCAAACTTCGAGACTCAGCATCACTTGCCATCTCCGCTGAGAACTGTTCCGACCGATGCACAACACCTGCTGTGTAGGCAGCATACTGAGAGAAACTTTTATTGGAGAGTGAGACCATCTGCTTGAAAGTACGTGCAGCAGTGGAGAACCGGTGGGGAAGGCTGCTCTACAGGCTTCGCCAAGAGCTTCTTAACTATGTGGACGATATTGACAGCTCTCAACTCATCAGCACGGCCTGTTGTTTGTACCGCACACAATCTGCTCGAGGTGGGAATATCGACTCTTGGTGAAGGGTTACCGACGGTTAGGGTTAGGGTTCGGCGTCTTGGGTCGTTGAGCAGGCCATTTGCCTAGCTGCCGGGCAGGCCTGGGAGATGGGCAACGCTTGCTCAGCGGTAAGGTTCCAAGAGGGCTGCAGGCCGAGGTTGTTGGGAGCCCTCGATCTCGTACCCGGCGTTCGGTAGCCTTGCGAATTTGGGAAATCCCCACCGATGCCCGCAGGGAAGGGCAGGAAACGTGAGTGAACCTGAAGCCGGAGGGCCTCAATCCGAAAACTGTTCTCCATGCTGATTCCCGTTCTCGAAGATGCCTGTGGTCTGGCTCAATGGCGAAGCGGTCGCTGACCCCGTTGAGAGACCTAGCTCCTGCTAGGCTGGCTTTATGTTCTGGTATATCCGTCCAGCGGTCGCTGACTTACCAGTTACATACTCCCAGAGACCGCCGTCTATGAAAACAGAAAGGGAATCTACTGGAAGTCGCCGCTCGCGGAAAGAGGTTGAAAGGAGCTTGCGGACGGCGCAGCGCTCTCATGCAAGCACAACCGCCAACTGCTTCCATGCAACACCCACCTACAACACGATTATCAATGCTTCACCGGCAACGCCAACTTTACCAACTTATCGCGGACCGTATACGGACGAGGCGAAATCTCCCAAAATAATGCCAACCGACTCGCCGCTGCTTCCGGCCCCTCAACCTCAACCCGTATGCATGAGGTCATGCGATTCGAAATATGGTTCTCGTCTGGTTACCTTCGATACTATCATTTGGACGATAGTACTACGCAGCATCCCTTGACGGCTTTTTGTGATAAAACATTGGACCGGCTCGGCCTCCCCAGATATGTTGGCCTCCCCCCACGAGCGGACGCTCCGGCTCACACATCAGTGCCCCACTGTCTCGCTGTTTGTCTCTGGAGGGGCGTAGAAGGTGCCATCGCGGCTCGTGTGAAAGAGTCGTCGTTCGTTGGCCGCATTCTCGTCTCGGCAGTCTTGGAGTCAGTAAAATCGCTCAGTTCCTTGCGTGCTGGCATTTTCAATACCTTATCGTCGGGACTTATACCCCCCTTTTCACCGAATACAGACTAGAAGCAGAGCTGCGGCGGCTACGAAGGGTGTCCGCGCCCGTCGATCAAGGCGAAAATTGCGCCCCTGGAGCGGCAGTTCAGGGCAATGCTGTGCAGCCCGCGCGTGCTTTGAAGTCGAAGGGGTCCGACATTCCTATAGATCTGAAGGCAGGAACCCGCAAGAAAGTTATCGCTCACACGCGTTAGATTCTCAAACTAATCAAGACGGGCAAGAAACGAAAGTACCAGGCTGCAATACCCGGACTTGAGCTATTTATGACCCACAGGACCGAAGGAGGTGGCGCCGGTCAGGAGCCAGCGCTGTCTAGGCAGGCATCTAACGCGAGGAAGTAAGTCAAGAGCCCGTTTGTACCCACGCGCATTTCCAAGGTGCCATACTGATTATGCACGCAGGTCAAAGTCCTAGGCGTACGGTGGGAACGGTGGGAATACGGCCTTGGGAAAGCTCACAGATCGGTCGTTTTCGCAACCTGCTCATTGCGTGATCTGCATCCTGGCAAAACCATCAACGGCCAACAACCAAATGGTCTAAGTTTCGTAGGTAGCCTTCAGCAGAAAGCATGGCGTCTAAGAGGGTCTAAATGCCACTTCCTTATAATCCATGAAAGGTCGACATGGCCTCCGCAACTTGATCGAATCACAACAAAAGCGAGGGTTTCACTTGCACATACTTTTGCTCACGAGATGTATATAAATCGATACTTGGGTGCCCCTCCCAGGGATTCCACGTCTACATCTATCTCTATCTATGTGCCGAAAGTATATGGACTGTGTTTGCGGTAGCAGATTGCGTCGTTGGGTGTTGTAATCCATCGGTCATCGGTTGTGTGGGACCAAAAGGTCATTCGTTGGTGTGTGGGTCCGTCGCTCTGAGCGGGACGATCCAGAGCGATTGTTTCCACTTCCATAACACGTCCGCGGACGCCGACGGCATCATCCTTTTCATTCCCATTCACCGCATCGCATCGCCGTGGACTGGTAAAAAAATACCTCGAGTATTGCGCTGTTCCCGAATGGCGTTATCTTCGTTGTCCAATGCGCTGTCTAGTGCGTTGCCGCCCGGCCTTATCGTGATCCCACTTGGCGGATCCTCGAGTTCCAGCCGCGCCCTGACCTCAAAACAACAACGGTGCCAGTGCATCCAGCTCAACCCGAGCTCCTCCTGACGGCAGATTTGTCGGAGCTTCATGTCGACGAGGAGCTTGAAGGGGAGAGCACCGACCGGGACGAAGGGAGTGAGGCGCAGCATGCAAATGAGACTTCCTGGGCAATAAGTCGAGGTGATGCCGTTTCATTCGGGTCGGGGCTGCTAGTCCAGATTGGTGGCTGGGCATCACTGACCCCTTCTTTCTCTGCGGTGCATCCAACGATGTCTCCGACTCACTTACGCCGTAAAGATAGAGAAGTAAGAACTCGTCGCCACCGGGAGAACCGCCGATCCCATAAATCCACTCTCTCACCTCGTCGACATCACGTCACGGGGAAACGTAAGCCTCTCCTCGTTCGCAGGACGTGTATCTAGCCTGTTGTCCCGCTCCAAAGAGAATCCCTAAGTCACTGGGACTATCTCAGTGAGCGCCGTTCTGTCCTTCCGATTCTCGCTCGTCGAGTCTCTGAGATGTCAAGGTAGGCATGAGAAGCATCATGCTAAACCCTCAAGACTCTCGTACGCAGTCCCGGTCTCCGTGTCCACAGTGAAAATTTCCAGTCGCTTCAAGTCCTCAAGGGTAAGGTCATCCCGACAACGACGTCTCCGAAGCGTCAAGTCAACGTGAGCTATCCACGACCTGTGACGGGTGCACAGGCGAGCAGGGGTGCACAGTTGAGCAGAAATCCATTTGAAAGGCATCCACTACCGATGGTGCGCCGGAAACTGCTTGGTGCGAACTACTTCACCTCCGGCTACTGGCTATCAAGTTTCTATTCTCCAGATATCGATCTCGGGAATGTCCTTCATGACAACGGTATAGCCTCCGACAATTGACCTAAATCCAAGATCGAACCTTCCCCCTGCATCTTCTGATACTGATCCACTCACATCTCATGTACGTACTTGTCGGATCCCGCGCATATATGCCTCACTCCAAAGAGCCGCTCAAATGACCCGTACTATCTGTAAGTCGCGGAATAAATAACCCCTCTTCGCCAGAACGTACAAAGGACGATGACGAGCAAGCTACTGACCTGTTTATCCCCAACGTTTTAACTTTGAGCTATGCTCGTACTGGAAACATCCGCCAAAACATCTAAAGTGATTTCCGCTCGGATCACTCCCGAATATCTGAACGCATCTGCTACGACCTGCCCACACGAGCATTCATACCGAGATGGCCTTCATAAGTTTAGCAAGCAGTGTGAGCCTCATCCGGAAGCGGTTTGACGCCGTATTTACCCGTCCGAGCTGCCGTACCAGCGAATGAAACGCGGAAAAGATGCGATGACTATGAGACCATAATCATAGAGGGGCAAGAAACGAAAGTACCGGGCTGCAATACCCGAAATAACAGTCGTGACGGCGTTATAATCTCCTGCGCCACCCGCTTCAACCCAGGCTTCGACAGATTCCACAAATCGCCCAACGCTCAAAAGTCACCAGGGCTTCACATCAAGCTGCAAACCCCTGACAATGTGGTTCGTTTTGCGAGGGAAACGTATGCTAGCTCTGTCGGCAATGCACAGCTCCGTCCATGCCAGCTGAAGCCTGCCCTGCCTTCGCATTCCTCCGAAGGGCTCCACTCCTGGTGAATGGGTTACCGCAACTCCAAGCGAAATCAAATCGTGTTGGAGCAGGGATGCGACTTGCGGTCGGGTTGGACCGGCCTCGGCCTAGTTGATTGGGCTTCCGTGCGCTGGTTTTTGGATTTGCTTCGGCGACTGAGCGGGCGGGGAGAGGAAGGCGGTCCAGCTTTTAGGTGAAAGCTGCATGCAGGGTTGAGCCCAGGAACCACACAACTAAACGCTGGGCTAGCCGCGGGCCAATGGGTCGAGACGTTCCAAGTCCAGAGTCGAAGGCCCATAGACGTTCGGCGATGCTGCAGAGATAGTATGATTTGCATGCTTACACCCAAAACGAACCCTCCGTCCCGTCCAACTCGGCCGCCGTTGAGCAGTTGCATTCCCTGCGCTAACTTGTACTGACATCACTGATCAAAAGTAGAGGCCAAACTTGACGTTTCCGGACCGCTTGGGTGAGAGTGGGAGAGGACCTTCGATGCGGTGGTGGGTGGTGGGAATGACTGCGGCACTCGAGCACCTTGGACGGGCAACTGGGGACGATCCCTCTTCGGAGAATCATATAGATGCCCCGCCGTCCCCGGAAACCCGTTCCAGAGGTGGATGATCGGAAATTACATCACCCGGTTCGGAACAGGAACATCCTCTGCTCGTTCCGACATCACGGAGGTCATTCCCTAAACGTCGGCCGGGGCCGATGACTTTGTTTACAAAAGGGGCGAGCTCCATAAGGAAGTGTCCGCGGCTGATGCCCGAAGATGATGGGAATACGAGCCGAGGAGCCGAGTAGCCTCGTGTTGCGTACAACGGTGTACTGCCCAGCCTCTAGGCGTCGCTGAAACACTTGGCCCCGCGGAGTAAGGTTGATTCGAGGCTTGAGACTGAAGGATGGGAGCGTTCTGTCGTGACTCGGCTTAGTCCGTACCCTCATCGATCCTCCTCCGTTTAGGGCACGCAGCCTAGCGACGCTGATGCTGATCGCGGCGATGCGTCAGAGACTGCCTCTTCTGCGCCATCTACGCCGTCGTCTTGTACGTCTACGCGCAACGCACGCAACGGTGTTGTCTCCATCATTCGGCGACACCGAACAGCTTCGTCCAAATCCTGGCGGCGTTGTGCCCTGCCATTTGTTCACAATCTCCGCCCTCTTCCCCGTGGTTATCAGACTGAAACATACCTCTCAACGGCCGCCGGTATGTCTCGTGGAGGTTTGGGGCGAGATCCTTCTCATTGGCGTTGACTGTAGCCCGAAAAACTGCATATACGCTGAGTATTCCGATGACCGGCACTAATTCGGGCCGCTATCTTGCCCAGCGCAAAGCGTCCGAAGCTCCCTTGCATGCACCCTGCAAGGGTAAGCTATCCAAATAGCGATCAGCCATCACATCATCCGGCAAACTTTCCTGCGTATATCCGAGAGACTCACGCCCGGCACCAGATCCGAGCACCGATTCCTGTTTGTCAACGGAGTTGTACGGAGTTGTAGCGCCGTAAACCACTCAGGGGGTGACTTTAACCTGCGGCATGGATGACGTCGGGTAAGATATGGTACGAACAGCGGGGTCAGACTCACAGGTCGGAAGCAATTCGAACTATACAGCGTTTTGACCCCCGGCCTGTAAGAGCTTACCATCGGGCTTATCTCTGCAGGTCACCGTAGCCCAGTCCCACTTCTATGACGCTAAACTCGCCGTCCCAGATACATGTATCGTCCTCATTCCTCCCCCGTTGACATGAAGTATCAACGAGGCCTTAAAGTGAATAAGCCAGATATGGATCAGAAGGGGTCAGGGTCAGATATCACTGGTGGCAAATATGAAGCTTCTCGGAAGCAGTGGACCACATACGTGTGGCTAGTCTACCCCGCGAGTGGCTCCTCCGGAATCTACCAAATGCTGACCTTTAGACCGTGCGGTGCAATTTTACACGACCAAGTGATTCCTTGAGCACGATTCCTCCCTACGACGTTGTAAGAACTACATACACTACGAATCGAATCCCTTCCTCGGTTTCGTTTGGACTGCCGTTATATGTGGTGTCTCGTTGACGACTCGCGCAAAAAGTAATCTGGTCAGCCTATGGGTTCGCACTTTATGGTTCCCACAAGCCGGAATTCCCCCACAGGAAGAAGACTATCACAGTGCACTCGAGCAGATGCACGCATACTTGCTGAATCCCTCTGCCACACACTCCATTCCGGCCTTCAATGAGATATTTCTGACGGCCATTCTGCACACAAAATCATATGATTAATAAAACATCAAAAGGGAGTGACACTTCACGTGATTAGCGGACCCTTTGGGTTGACTTCCCATTCGTCATTGAGCTTGATAAGGCTGACATGTCCAGGGGCTCGCAGGCCCTGGAAGAGCCATATCCGCTCGTAAGCGCCAAGTCAAGCACGCAATCCGGGCCCCTTGCCATAGCGTAGCATGAGGAAGGAGGGGTTAGTGTCAATCACACCCGCTTCCACGCGTTCTCGACCGCTTACGTCTCACGCGTTGCCGCTTCTCCCTCCCACGTTTTTCGTTTTTTTCGCCGACATTCCCTTGGGGTCCTGAGCCAGAAGGGGTTGGGCCCGGCTCTGGCCACACTGCTACGCTCGAGACGCTTCCACAACGATCTCTGCTGCGTCCAAACGCAGAGCGCGCGACACCCTCGCTACTGGCATCTCTCGAATATAAAAGAACACACCCCAACCGCCCCCCCTCTCCATTTTTCTTCACTCCACACACCGCTTCCACACCACTATCATCCTTCGTAAGTACCTATTTTTCAGTTGGATTTCTTCTGCCGTTGCCGGGTTGGGTTGTTCGCGTTTCGCTACCATTCGATTCTGACCACTTTCCCATATTTCCACTGAGGTACCTCAACTCGCGCATCCGCCATTTTCAAGGTCAAGGTCAAGGTCAAGGTCAAGGTCAAGGTCAAGATCAAGATCCAACAACCCCGCTACGTTACGGCACTTCGCTCTTCCACTCCTGATCTCTCGGTGATCTTCGTCTTCATGCATCGTTGTACTGTGTAGCTGCTGCGCTCTGGCCACTTCGCTTGAGAAGGCAATCCCTGCCTCAGACATTGCCAGATCCTTGTGATCTGGGGCATTGTGTGAGTGGGCAGCGAAAAGTACAACATGTGTAAGTTGGTGGTTGCTACGAGTCGAGTGGGACCCTTCGGCACACGATTCCATCTTCGTCCTCGTCTCTCGGTGATCTTCATCATATGCATCGTTGTACTGTGTAGCTGCTGCGCTCTGGCCACTTCGCTTGAGAAGGCAATCCCTGCCTCAGACATTGCCAGATCCTTGTGATCTGGGGCATTGTGTGAGTGGGCAGCGAAAAGTACAACATGTGTAAGTTGGTGGTTGCTACGAGTCGAGTGGGACCCTTCGGCACACGATCCTCGTCTCTCGGTGATCTTCGTCTTCATGCATCACTGTACTGTGTAGCGCTGTGCTCTGGCCACTTCGCTTGAGAAGGCAATCCCTGCCTCAGACATTGGCAGTTCTTTGAGCTGCGGCAGCGCGTGAGCAAGCAGCGAAAAGTACAGCGGTGTGTCAGACGGGAAAGCTGGAGTCGGGTGAGAACTCTCGGACGATTCGGTAAGATCTGTTCGTGTTGGGCACTGAGGCATATTGGTTGGATACTGACGCATATCATGTACTTCGTCGAGAGCAGGCACGGTTGGGCACTGAGGCATGTTGCACTGAGGGACACATGAAAGGTGACCGGATGGTCTCTACTTGTAGAGATCATTGGGCACCTACGGTAGCACTGAGGGCATATCACAGTTGGGACACAGTTGGCACAAAGGCATTGAAGGTGATGGCCGAGGGGCACACTCCTCGGCTCGTGTCACAAGGAACAGTGACATCCCTTCTTTGAGCAGGTTGGACGGCATTGCGGACATTGAAGGAGATAGCCGAGGGGGTTTATGCCTCGGTGTTCTCTGATGAGAAAATAGGGCACGTTGCTCCCCTTCTTTGTCATACGCAATGTCGGCTGGCCTTGGTGTGGGCATTGGCAGCCCATCCGTCTACGGGAACTCACCCCCATACGTGGGGATGTAGATGGCATCTTTCAGGAGATGTACCGTGAGTTCCGCCCCCAAATAAAGGCAGAAAAATATAAATATGAATGTTCGCGATGTTTGTGATGATGACGGTCATTGTTTTGTACTTTTCTTCTCCGGTGCTCCTTAACTCTTTTTACTTGTGCGTTTCTATAATCGCTTCACTGAATACAATATCTGTCTATTACTGATTGTCGCCCGAGTGTGACGCCATGGGCGGGACGTGGGCGGGGTACTGTTGAGCTGCAGCGGGATTGAACCAGTCTTCCTGTGGGGGGGCTGAAGCACGGCGGACGACTGTGGTAGCTGCTGCGACGGCGGCTTGCTGGCCTCCTTCGTGGATGTTGATGGAAGATCCTAGTTGCCTAGAAGGTCCTAGAAGGTCAATGGATGCATGATGGAAGGTCGCTTCATGAGGCTGTCACCTCCGTTGGGATCTGACATTAACGGAATCTCCGGAACTCGAACAGACTCCAAGCCGGGTCTGGTCGACCCCCGGCCGGCCTGGGGTGGAGTGGAGAGCTTCGATGGCCGGCGTGGAGTGGAATTGGAGAGCTTCGATTCGAGAGGTTGGAGCAGCCGGTGACACGGTTGTATTCATGCTGAGTGTGACATCAAAAGCGCAAGTCAAGCCACGCATCCGTATTTAGAGCATACCGCACAAGGGTTAGACGAGTATCCGCGGTTGACAGTCAGGCATATCATTCAAAATGCTCTTTCTGGGATGCACACGAGATTTGCGTCGCCGTGATGGTCAGCACGACTCTTGCTGAGCAGCGACGGAGCTCGTCGAACTTGCGGCAGCAGGAGACAACAACATGATTGATCTATGCTGGAAGAGGAAGAAGACGAAGACGGAAGCATCGAGACGAATATATACAATCCGATGAGCAATCTTCATACAAACATCATAGCTGAATCGTTTCGCATCAACTTGCCAAATGATCCTCACCATAATGTTTCGACGTAGCCCAGTCCAGCCAAAATTTTGATCCACCATCCAGCACCATTGGACTCAAACGGGGCCCCACTCCTGTAACGGTCCCTGGACGATACATGTAGAGCTTCCCATCGGCGCCTCCTTCATCCAACGTGACAGTATGGCGTGTTTTGGGATCGTGTTTTGGGATGTATTCGACATCTTCCCAATTTCTCGAAGTTCTTTCACATTTTATAGTGACGGACTTCGGTGCATTTGGTATAGGGCCGTAATTGGTCCAACGAAAGATAGGTAGGTTGGTCATCGAGAATTGTTCAGCGTAGTTGAAGAAACGCCAGAAAGGCATTCCGATAATAGCGTCGTAAGCCAGATTACTGACTAGCCAGGGAAGTTGTCCAACCGTAGAGATGGCGGGCGTGGTGCAAGGAGACATACAGGTTGGAATCATAGATTGAGACTGCGAAGGCGGCGGTAGCTCCCAGCGCCAGCAATAGATGAGCGGAAAATGGCTCTATCGCAATGCCCTTCATGTGGAGTGTGAGCCGCAAATCGTTTTTTCAAGCATCAATGCAGTTTTAACGGCGTATATGTGTACATGTTCACATCAAGTTTCCCTTCCCAACCATATTTCCATCGTTCACTTGAGCATATTCAACAACCCACCCACTTCCAGAAGCTCGATGGGCTAACATATGTATTGCCGGACTACTTTGATTCATATTCAGTGAAACGCAAGGAGGAACTAACAGATGAACAAAGTTCCCAGTGCACCGGGGCGGGACCAGTAAATGTTCCAGTCATTTGAATGTTGGCAAAATCCTCCCGCCTATTCAAAAACATATCCTTAACGGTCGCACCCAATTTGATTCAAATCTCAGTACATCAGACAAATATTAGAACAACTCGAAGTACCAACGGAACAGGGAGGACGAAACTACCATCCAACGGAACAAGCTCGAAACGACGAGGGAAAGAAAGCACGAAAAGGAGATCCGCAAATCCAACAGAATCTAGATGGCCTTGTGCTCGAGGCATCATATCGTTCTGGGGCGGCAAGCCGACACAAGCACGAAAGATGTTCGCAGACGTTGTAGGTCCAGATGGTGTTGCGACCGCCCATGAAGATCTCGGGGACGTACTCGTCGAGGGCACGCTTGGAATCGCCGACCGCGGGACAGTACTTGATGACGACGATGGGGTCGGGACGCTCGCCCTTCTTGTAGAGGCGACCGATGGGATCGCGACCGTTGTGCTATTCGACTGATTGCGTGGGGATGGACTCGATTTGGATCGCGACGTTGACGCCTTGGATGGTTTCGGTGATCGTGTCGTGCGGGCCGGGGTCGGTGCTGTACAAGAATGAATAGGGAGCGATATGTGAGTTGGGTCCGCCAGCATCGGTTTCCGAAGCGCTGTACGTCATATTTATGTTCAACCTTTTGGCAGCAGCGGCGGCAAGGGCGGCTTCCCGGTTTCTGTTACGTTGTGCTTTCTTCGGGCCAATACGTTTCCTCACTTTCTTCGGCCCTGTCCCGCTTTTGGCGGCTATTCGCAGTTCCTTTTCACGGTTCGCTCGTTCGTGGCGGACCGTGACTTCTTTGCGCACCTCTTTCCGAAAGCCGGAACCTGGGTAATCAAGAAAAAAAGTTCAGAGCAAAGTCACTCAGTGGCTCCTGTCCAGTGCCATTGACGAAGATGCAATACGCATTGCCAATGAAACTTAAGCTTAAAGGTCTCTTACTTGGCAGGTTTCGAGCCAAAGACTTCAACCTCCTCATTCTCATGCGTGCCAACTCCTCAGACCCTTCTCGGCTGATCCAATATCTTTCCTTCTTGCTTCGGAAACCCGGATCGAAACCATCTCCCGGGCCTGCTCAACTTCATCGCTTTCTCTCTCGCTCGTAATCTCTGTCGCAACCTCTTTGTCCGCAGGTTGATGGAGCCAGGTTATGATGTTGTGATGTTCGTCGGGCGCCAAATACTGATAGGCGTGAGATTCGGTCATTTCGATGGAGGTTTGAAGAGGTTTGAAAATGTTTGAGGTGTGGAAAGGAAATGGAATGGGATGATGGAGAGAAAAGGATATCACTGACATTACGCCAACAGCACGCGTTGCTTGCTACGTACGCAATCTTGCCAGCTTACGTACCTGATACGCGTGCGACCACATGAAAACGACGGAGACTCCATCATTGTTCACCTTTGTCATGGAACATTGTTTGACTCGATTACAGGGACGGAGTAGCCACCAGTTGTCCTGGATGAGGTCTTGCTACAAGTGGACTCTTACAGGTATCAATCTGCATAGGAAATCGGGTCGGCGATCATAACTTCGAGCAGAGACCTATATGCCATCACTGGGCACCATTGCCTGACTTCAAATGAATTTTCCATCACAAGTCCTCCGGAATCCTCATGCATCCGGTAGCATGTGCAATGTATGGAGCGACCATCAAATACGGACAACCATTCTCCTTTGAACGGTGGGGTTAGAGCTCGTTATCGCAGGAAACCTGCCTTCCGCTGGCATTGTGCGCAGGGCAAGGGGTGCAGATGTCAAAAAGGGCGAATAGTGACTTTACACTATATGCACCATTGACCGATCGGCAGCAGTGCAATCACCAGCTGCGTTTTTCGGTGATGTCAACGGACGGCCAGATCCTGTTCCAATAGCCGAAACTCGGATGTGTGAGCTTTGTTGAAGTTCGGAGATTTTTGTAAGAATCGTGCCTCGTGGAGCTTGAACCATTGCACGTCCGCAGCGATTTCCAGGAATGGCGGCTGTTCCTCTTCACTTTAGGAGTGCTGCAGAGTGAGTAATGATAATCGCCTTCTTGCTTCTTGGGTGGAAGCAATTTCATGTTCGTTGGCCAAACTTCCAAGTGTCTAGCTGACTTCCTCCATGGATTCGAAGGTCTTGATGTGTGGTGCTTTAAAATCTACGTCTAGAGCTGTCGAACGGCATCTTGACAGCTGTCGAAGTCTGGATTCGAGTCAAAGACCCTCTTTCGCCCCTATCCACCCAGTGCCGCGGCAAAACGCTTGGCGGTCATTGCGGCCTAAGATTGTAGCGCATTTATTAGTACTGTGTTCCACTGTCATTTTGCTTTGGAAAGATTTCAAACGGGGATGCAACCGGACCAGTGGATGTAAGACTTTTGAGAGTTGTATGACCGGCCTCGCAACCACGTCTTTCCCTCAGCCGGCGATCTGCTAGATGCTGCCGAAACGGTTTTGCGAAGAGATGCTCCATTATGTGTACCTGTCTATGGGCAGTATGGCATGTATGGTGGGTGACCACAGTAGATGGGATCGAGCACAACAGCCAGGCGACCGATTCAAATGCGTACTCGACAAACTACAAGACACGCGGAGGCTCGCTGCATTAAGCAGTGCTTATATTCCAGGGCCCTCAGAAAGACCGTAAAACCTGTCATGTTACACTGCCCGCCCAGGATTCGGCGCACCGTTCATAACCCCAGTTTGCAAACCTTAAGAAGGGCCTATTGAGGATGTGTCAAAAGGCGCCATCCGAAATCACAGAGGATTGTCTCGGCATTGCAGCCAGACTCCACAGCACACAATCTTGGACTTGTGAGCTTGTTTACATGTTCCATGTAAGCAATGTGGCAACTAGAAGAACGGGACTGCCCCTAACGCGTCTTCAGCACAACAGCGTTGGTTTGACAGGGATTTGACAGCATTGTCCTTCGCAATTCACCCCACAAAGTTCAAGAACTTGAAACCTCAGTTTCTTCCACACGAGAGAGGTTTCACAGAGACTCAGGAAACGTTCATTCAGTTTCCAATATCAGTGGCATGCCCCTCGCCTGGGCATTCACAGTCAGTTCTTCCAGATCTCGTTTCTTTCATCAACTGGGTTGATTCATCATCAACGGAGCCCTTCATCCATTCTCTCATTCACCCACCCACCACTCCGCCTTTGATAAGCAACTAAAACGCCATCCACTGCATATATATATCTCGCGAAGCCCCGCAGACCGTGATCGAGCTCAATGACTACGGAGTGCCCTTCTCGCTATGGAGGAAGGCAAGATCTACCAGCGCGCGTTCGGCGGACAGAACTTGGAGTTTGGCAAAGGCGGACCTGCGAACCGATGCGCCTCGGTCGCTGATCGTACGGGACACAAGATTCTACCCACTCATAACCGCAGCAGGCCTCCAAGGTCAACAGCCTGTAGTTGGTGGACCAATGACGATAAGGGAATTGGCAAAATAGATCCGTAACTTCGGGAAAAGTATTGGTTAGGTGCATTGAGCTGTGGTTCCAAAGTTTGGGATTGAGCTGGGGATACTTGAGCTTTACGACAGTAGCAGACCCGACCTGTTTTTGGGTGTGGCGAGCCATGCAATGCTCTGGTGCACACTTTACAACCAACTTAGATCTGGTACCGACAATGGAAATCTGACTGTCGAATTGAAACATAAACTAAGGACCGATAGGCATCATCATGGAGGGGGGATGTCGAGGAAGGATGAGAACAATACCTGGCGCCAGTGGAAGGGGTGTGTCGAGCGTGAAGTCAGCAAGCGCGTCGCGTGAAGTCAGCATAACGCGTCGCGCTTAGCCAAGCAAAAGTTCCAGAGATCCGACCTTCTGAAAGATCTGACCTTCTTTTCGAAGGTTTTGGCAAGCACGGAATTCCGTGGGCTTATGCATGAATGACATGGATGATATGGGCATAGGATGGGATTACCGAGTCTCGAGGATGCCGGTCATCGCCCGGCCTGAAAATCTCGTCTCGCCTAGCCCGTATATAAAGTGCAAAGCAGCATTTGTTGCGCTTTCGTTTTGTGTGCGCGTAACGAGCAACCTTCCCTACAACCTTCCTTTCTGCAAATCTCTGAACCATCGCAATCATGGCCTGGCGTCCGCGTCCCCCAACCGTAGCCACCACCGCTGCCGAAAGCACCTTCCGTGTAGACGAGGAGGACGAGGAGGAGGTGTTCAACGGGATTGAAATCAGAATGACCAACAACGGGTTCTACCCCTCTCACGTCGTCACGACGGTGGGAACGACGATCCGCATCAGGTGGGAAATGGATCGGAAGCAGCGACTAGCGGAAGTGACCGCCGCCAATTCCTGCCGGTTTACCAACCGCCTAATCCTGCACGCGAGGGGCCGGGGCTACGCCCACTGGATAACTCTAGATGGGCGCCATGAACATAACTACATGGCATTCACGGGCACAACGGCCCGGCCCAACGCAACCGCATGGTTGACCATCGTGGCGAAGAGCGACGATGAGGAAAACGAGGAGGACTACGTCGACCCACCGCCCCAGGTCGCAGCAGGACCTCGGGCGCGTCGGGCGCTGGTGGAAAACGGACCACTTATGCGTAAGTCTTTGTCGGTCAATTGAACGTTCAGCGATTGTACTTCAGTGAGCTCAATTTTCCGTCGTCCGCATCCATCAGGTCCACGGCCCAGAGAGTACACCCCTCCGCCCCGTGCCTGGCCCCATCCGAGTCGCGGGAGTCCTCGTCGCGTTGCCGGATCCCCGCGCATTCCAGACGCAAGTAGCGACCGACGGCGAAGATGAACAACGACCGGTCGAGGAAACCCCAAGGGCCTGCACCTGGCGCGGAACGCCTTTCTCTCTCTTCCTCGGGAAGAGGCTGGTACCATGGATGATGCTGCTCGGCATGTGTGGGAAACGTCGTCTTCCGCCCAGTAGCAGTGCTGGTCCCAAGCAGGGTCCTTCAAGCACTCCCAAGACCGAAAAAGCGGCCGGCGCTGCCCCTGTACATGCCTGGGAGACGCCGACCGCACAGTCCTCATCCGGCGGTATCACCAGGCCCACTAACCGGATGTGCAAAGTCTCAGTATTTCCAGGTATGGTTAGATTGCGTGGTGAGAGTTGCAACGAGTATTGATCTTGGACGCGGATATATGAACGAGTCGCTCAAACCCATTCTCACTTCCTTCACACACAGACCCTGCCACTTCCATACACACACACACACCACAAAATCTACCCTCTACTACCATCATGGCCGAAACCACCACCACCACTATCTGGCGCAGCATGCTTACAACCACCACCCACGAGACCGCGCCCTCATCCTTCCTCTCCACCGGGAATGGGAGGGGATGCGCGTGCGTCCGGTCGCGGACGAAGGATCATTCGCGTGGCCTCCGGGTGCGGTGGATTTCGGGGCGATGTCGGACGGCTTGACGGATCGACCGAGGCTGGTGGTGGCGCACACGTCGTCGGAGGATCTGTTCACGCTGACCCTGCTTCTGAGGGGAGCGGTCCCCAGAACGGTTATGGACGAGGGGGACGAGGGGGACGAGCTGGGGGGGGGGGGGGGGGGGGGGTTGGGGACCGATCCTCGATGAGGGCGATGAGTTGGTCTTCCGCGGGGGGGGGGACCCATCCTCGATGAGGGCGATGAGTTGGTCTTCCGCGGGGGGGGGGGACCCATCCTCGATGAGGGCGATGAGTTGGTCTTCCGCGTTGGTAGGGGGGGACAAGCCATGGAAGGACGCGTAACCATCACGCGCAAGTCACGGCGGACGGCTCGACGACCCCCTCTCATTTGGGGAAAAACATTTGTGGGGGGGGGATGGGGAGACCTCGCCCTCATCCGTCCTCTCCACGGGGGTGGCTCCCCTCAGCGGAGCGCCGATCGACATCGCCGCCCTCGTCATTGGGGTGCTTCCCACCGCCAACCCCATCTCCCGCCGCCAGCGCCGTCCGCCGCCCGACAACGGCACCATCAACCGCCGAACCCCGCCGACTCGCCCGGAATCACTCCGCCCCTCTCCCACTCCCCTCCCACCAGCCCTCCACCGTTGATTGAAGCGACGCCGCTGAAGGATTGCTGTGGTGGTGCGGTGTTTCACCATCCGGCCCAAAGATCACATCTTCGTCTCGCCCTGGCCAGGGTCCATGCATCCTCCACAGAAGCACGTTAGTGAATGGAGCGCAATGGAGCGTGAACAGTCAAGAAGAAGCGATAGCAACCGACGACGCAGACCACAGGGACGAAGATGAACAAGTCGAGGACAACGCCGAGACCCACGCAACACCTTCCCACGCGGCCACATCGCTCGAGCCGCCCAAACACTTTCTTCCATCAACATCCACAAAGAAGGCGAGCAAGCCGCCGCCGAGGCCGCAGCCGCGGTCGCCACATCCGCTCCTCCACCATTCACATTTGGAGCCACGGCAGCAAGCAGCTCGTCCACTGGCATCGCTGCCGATATGACCGCCAAACCGGGTTTCCCAAGCCTCGGCATCAGCGTGCCATCCACTACCACAACGGAAGCATCCAAACCTGCTGCTGGTACAAGTGTGGAAGAAGAGGAGGACGAAGATCTCTTGATGATGGAGATGGCGATGAGGGTGTCGGCGGCGGGGGCAGACGGGGATTTTGGACTGCAGCTAGCGCTTGCTCTCAGTACGGCGGAATATGAAGAACCCTCGGTACCGTGCACTCTCTGCCGGACCTTGCCGCCACTGCCTCGCTGCACCCTGTCCAAGACGATCCTTCGAATCACGAGGCTTACGGACCTTCCGATGTTAAGAGCATTGGAAGGAATATTTCCCGACACTTCCAATTGGGGCAATGCTCGTTCACACACTGCTCGCACCGCTGTATACGCGGCGAAAGCGGCTTTCTGTGACGATATCAGCGTTGGAGACCGAGTGGCAGAGGGTACCTCGGATGGGGATACGGGGATGCGATACTCATCCTCGAGAGTAACGCACGCACTCCCGGTTTCTGGTCAAGCTCGCATAGATAGATTGAGAGTATACTGTTTCACCTTCCCCGCCCGCCCCATTTGTTCATACGAGGATTTACATAGTATTCCTGCGATCCCCGCCTCATTCATTCCCTTTGTATGATCGAGAAAAATAACATCGGGCGCGTTGGACTCGGTTCGATTACGATGGTGGGCTTGAAAGCGACGTGGGTCCGTAACAGGCAGTAAAACTTTGGACTGATATGAGGAGGCGGGCACCGGTTATGGGCTGCTTAAATTTGGAGCCAAAAAGTGGGCGGGGCGGAGAGGTTGGGGTTCGGGAAGGATTAAGGCATGCCAACGTTTTTGTGTGCAATAACCGTAACCCTAACCCTAGCCCCTTTCGGAGTTTGTGTGCAAGCCATTTCGACAGCGCGGCTTCTGTCGGTGTTTGCTTAGGTGAAATTCGAGGCAGGCTGGAAGTGGGGACGCAGGGAGGACTGACCGTCGCTTCGTAGAGTGTGAGAAAGAGCTCGCAGATAAAGATAATGCCGGAGGTTGGTGATGCGACCGCTGTAACGCTGATGGTGGGGGGCATGCTTAGCGCCTATTATTTTGAGCTCATGAAACAGGAATTGCATAATGGTCAACTAGCAGATTATGACTTGCCCATCCGCGAATTGGGGCAAAAGCTGGCCAACGGTGTATGATACACGCGGACGATGGCCGTCGCAACTTCAATCGATTGCTCAGCGGAGTTGGGATGCGCCCATCCGTGCATTTCAGACCTCGGCGCCGTTCATCGCCGATGGCTCTTATCAAGGCGTCTGACCGTCAGATGCCAGACATATGTTCGTTTGCCGCTCCCTCCAGATCCTGGAGGTCTTCACCTGCCTTGCGTCTCTCAAGTGTTTACAGTAGGTCCAAAAACAGCTCCTCACGTGGGGAGGAGTGACGGAGAGTGTCTTAAATACATACATGAGGGGCACAGTAGTAGTGAGGTACAAAAGCCGAAACGCTCATAGGCGACGCAATCCATGAAGGCATAACCGCTCCAAAAGTTTCGCCAGTTCCATCAAATGTGAGTACAGCGCGGTCGAGGTGTGCAAGACTGAAGATTTGAGCTCAATTGCTAGCAGCGGGGCAATTCAATTCCCACCACCCATTCCCAAAGGCGAGCTCCTCCCCGCGCGCTCCGTCACATTCCGCCCCAACGCCGGGCTCGTCGTCCCGCTCCTCCCGCTCCTCCCCGACCCCGCAGCCGAACCCTTCGGGGAGTCTGTGGTAGCCGACATCCGCACCGCATCGGCACCGAGATGCTCGTCGATGTCGTCGAGGAGGGATTCAGAGTCGGATGCTGTGTGGTAGGTGTGTAATGGATCCCCTCCGCTATCGTCATCATCCTCGTCGTCGTGTAAATATGGATTCGCAGAGTCCTCCATGTTCGCGTTATCCGAGTCCGAATCGTGGATGTCGACTGTGGAATCCGCCAACCCGCCCCCGCCGCCTAAATCGTCCGTCGACGCCTGATCGCCTACACGTCGATAGCTTCCCGCCAGATTTCTCCGTGAACTGCTGCGACGGTTGAGGTGGTGATGCGGGTGCGGATGTTTGCCCTTGATGACCATATCAATCAACCAAGCCTGCACGACATTCATACACAGAGGGAAAATGAGCATGACGACCAAGACCTGCAGCCTCGGGTCTGTGTCTCCCGACACGAGCGGGTTGAGGATCCAGCCGGCGACGGTGGCGAGAAAGGGGAAGAGGGTGAGGATGGCGACGACGGTGAGTTTGACGAAGAACCAGGCGATGAGGAAGAGGAGGAGTTGTTTTGCCCAAGCGCGAATCCGGGGCGGGTAGCCGTAGTAGCCCGAACGCATGTCGGACATGTGAAATTTGTCGGCTAGTTGGTGAAGGAGGCGGAGGAAGAGGGCGAGGATGCCGACGCCGAGGGTTGTGTCGAGGAGGATCTGCGTAATGAAACGTAGGGCTTGTTCGTGAGCTCGCGTTAGGACTTCAACGATATGAAACCACAGACAGCGCTCCCTGCCGTACTCACATGCAAGAAGTACCAAACACACGGATTATCCGAGTTCTCCGATTCGCCTCCCGTGAACGATGCTATCGCAATGTTCGCAAAATGCACCAAGCCAGCCGCTACCGCCTGTTTGCTCGTATCCAATGCCCTATCGTGCAAAAATGATAAGTGCTTTGACTTTTGTTGGTGGATGATGGACCGCTGGTTGTTGGTGATGGTTGATGGCAATCCTCGGGACTCGTGTGTCCTCAAGCAACATTGCCCCTCGCTTCGCTCGGCGCAATTGTGCCGGCCGGCCCCACAAAGCTCCATGCCACATCTCTAGGCCATATTACTTCCATATAGCGTACATCGTATGCTCACCATATTTTGAAAGGCCGCTGCGGCGTCTCTCTATTCCGCTTTACTACGCGTCGAAAAAGAATAGCGTCAGAATACCGTCCAGCAGCTCACATTTCCCCAGCAGCACTCCAGCATACAGTACTTATCAGAGAACTCAGGGCAATGCTCGCCATCAGAATCTGCACCAGAATCGCAAAGCCTGTATGTACAAGGGAGAGGAGTCGGCGGTCAGTCCCACCCTTATTCTGGAGAACAAACTCCAGGGGCGGAAAGACACCAGTCTAGCCTTACCATCCAACAACTGGCATTTGAAGGGCTCTGGCGGGTGTGCGCCGCCTTCCCGTCCCCCTCCATCCAATAGCCCGGGTATGGACCGTGGGATGTGCGGTCTGTACATGCTGCGATAATGTGCCTGCGTAACACGTCGACCGGCCTCGGTGGTTGATGGGCACCAATCCGTGCTGCTGACGTTGTTCGTGCCCTAGTCGACGTTGGCCTACCGCTGGCTACCCTCCCACTGAACTTGTTTGGTTAGAACGGTGACCGGACTCCAGGCTCGGTTCCTTCTGTGAGGTCGGCGGCGGGTTCGGTGTGTCGGTAGTGTACAGTACGTCACGGGCTTCCAATTTCGGAAAAGGCCACGATGCACTCTTGCGCGGGGAGGGAGGGAGGAGAAGTGGCTCCTTATGATATTGTATGACGTCCCAGAAGCGCTAAGAGCAGCTGCTGTTTTCGACTGGATGGGGGGTGAATCTACTTTTGTCAGTAATTGAAGTGCCGTACGTTCCAGCTTCCAAAGCCTCTCAGAAGTGATTAGTCTGAGTCTCATGAGTGCCGTGGGTGACGGTGAGCCCGAAACAGAGCCCGAAATGCCCATCGAACCCACGCGCGCGAAAACCAATGAGAGGGACGAGAACACTCACTCTGGAGAAAGACAGTTGTTTATACGCCGACTCGCACGCTTGGTGGGAACGTATTGTACACGGACCCGGAGGAAGAAGGCGCCTGCGCTGGAAGGGAAGACATACAGGGGTCTTGGCGAAGAAGTCAGCTTCCTCCGACTAGGATGACTTCCTGTGGCTCTCCTGCGAGACGGCCCGATGCACTATGCACTATGGACACACACCACATAACCCCACGTACTGAGCTTTGCACTAGTCGTGTTCAGATCTGGGAATATGATAGGCCGAGGACAGCGACGCTCGAGGCGGAAGCGGCATCGAGCCTCAAAACCACGATTGCGGCGGTCAGGGTATCAGGAAACCCTTGTGAGGGATAAATGACCGCCGAACGCAATTAAGCGACATATAAATCGGTGTTCGCTTTGATGATTGAAAAGCAGCGTCCGTCGAAAGGGCAGGCACAGCATCATGGGTGAGTAGGTGATCCTCACGTTCGAAGTTGGATTCGACCGCTGATCAATAATCACAGGTGTGTGCGGACAACGACCGGTCAAACGCAGGAAGCTCCGTACCGGCCAAATGATATCGTAGCAGCAAGAAATCTGTCCAGTTTGCCGGGCGCGCGGCGAAAACCCCAGGGGCTTGCTGATCTTCAACTCGGTAAATGAAAGGTTTGGGAGAGTCCGGAAGGATGGAACTCCGTTTGCTAATACACAAAGGAGCGTAAGTGTCTCCATACTGCCGAAAGTAGCGTCGTTGATGCGGTTTTTGCGCGATCTGATTGCCCGCGCATATGATATTTGATAGGCGCCTGATTCGGAAGTTCTTTGGCTGTCGCATGGCGACATACAACGAAAGAAAAACAGTATCCCTCCCCGAGCTTCACCAACGCACCAACATTCTTCCGGCACCAAACTCTTTTGGGACAGCTCTGGGATAACCTTTGTGCCGAGGCAGGATAATTCCGCGCGGAAGGCGTGGCACCCGGCCATCCACATCACAAAAACGAAGAAGAAAAAAAGGGAAGAATATTTAGTCAAGTGGAAAGCCTTCGATGATCCTACCAGGGAACCATGCGAAGTCATCAAGAACGCAGCTGCCCTCTCCGCCTTCACTGGCTTCGAAGAAGATGGTACCCCATACCAAGCTGAAGCCTCTGTCGCCACTGTACAAGACGCAGACGAACCCACAACATATCACGCTGCCATGAAATCCCCAAATACGAGCGATGGCCTTCTAATGCATGACTACATATAATGTGATTTTCACATGTTGCGCTTATTGGCGTCTCGAAGATGGTTGAATGCATTTTCTCGTACTTGGCACCCAATGACGAAAGCCAAGCACACCCAGTGGTTGGAAGGACAGGGCGGCGCGATGGGCTATGAGCAGAGCACTGACCCGCCTCTTGCTGGTGGTTTTCACGACGTCGATTGACAACTGCCTGCAGAAGATGTAGGAAGAGACGACATTCTTTTCCTACCAGTACATGTACACAGTCCATAGTAGGAAGGTTTCGTTTGGACCTAAAAACAACGGCAGGTAGTCAGTCGTTCATGGACGTTGATGAACGGGACCTCGTTTCCCGACGCGTTGCTTCAGGGCAGGTTTCGCAACGCATGCTCAAACGCCTTTTTGTTTGAGAGGACAGACCGCCGTCTGGTCCCATGTGTTCTGCCCTATCTTTAAAATGGGCGGGCTGGAGCAGTGCTTGGTTACGTCTGTGTTGTTGTCGATAGGAGGAACTGCAAGTCCAAGTCCATTGTGAAGCTCTTACCTGGGTGGCTTGCCCAACCGCTAAACCTCCAAGCCGGGACATGCCTCTATTCCCATTCCGAAACCGTAGTGAGTTCCTGGCTCCTGCAAGGATTCCACATTCCTGCGGCACCACTGTGCGGGTGAAATGCTCAGCAACGACTCCCGCTGGAAGAATTCTCGCTCCCCAACCCCTCCCTCGCAAGGTGTACCTCCGAAAAAGGATGGGTCAGAACTCCCCGCGCAACCCCGGTTACTTTCCGCCTCGCAAACGCTCTGAAAGCCAGTCGTCACAGACGTAATGGCATTGCTGTCAGGTCTGCCCTCTACCGAACGCCATGGGCGAGATTCCCATTGTAATTGAGGGCGTCGGTCAAAGACGACAACCCGTGACAAATAGCAATTCTGAGCTCCGCATTTTGACAGGATAACGACAGCACGACAATCAAGATCTCGACTAAGGACTATGCGAGGCATCCCATTCGGTCAGTTTGCCTAACACAAACATCGCCTTATACAGTACAGTTACCGACGAGAACGGTTCCAGAACACTGCTACCTGGATATCCATTGGGGTGGAACCCCAGATCCACGTCCATCGCGAGGACAGTCCATCGTGCTGAGGATGCTTATCGGCGTGAGGATTAAGCTTGTCGGTGAGAGCGATCTTCGACCGGTGCAGGCGCCACGGATCAGAGTAAGCGTAAGCTTCAAGGAACCGAATAGTCAACTGCTTCATGAGGGCGCATTCGAAGCCAACGGTATTCCAGCGGTAGCCAACAACGTCGAGGCTGTCATATATAAAGCGCCGAGAGCGAAAAGCGCCCTGGACAGTAAATTCGTTAAGAGTGGATTGGAAGTCCGTGTTTTCCCGGACACCGCCACTTTTCCCCTGCGACTATTTTCGCCTGTTCAGACTCTTAGTTCGCTCTACTTGTGTTGTTGCGGGACTTCGAGGGAAGCGTATATCACCGGGTGGATTTCGCATCGGCATTCCATCGACAAAGATGACTCGCATCACCAGCTCTCCGGTGGCAATCGCCGTCGCTGCTGCATTATGGCTCATCAACATGGCGGGCAACACCGTCGCAGCCCCGACGGAGATCAAGCTAGGATTGATCATGCCCGGGGTGAATAATCCTGATGGTGACGTGGCAATTGCTCGTCGGACGGCCCAGGCTGCTGTCCAGTAAGTTTCAGGCTCCCCAAAAAAGATGTCGACCCCGTTTCACTATCGGAATCATGGTTCACCTTATGGGCTTCCTTCTAGGTATGCCAACAGCCTTACGGACCTCCTGCCAAACACCCATATCAATCTTGTCTTGAAGGATTCCCTCGTCACCACCGACAAAGCGGGGGCCATATATGCCGCGGTCGAAGCAGTGAACGAGGGTGTCTTTGCAGTGATTGGACGTGAGTCAGGGAGCTTGGGTTTCATTTCTTTCCAAGACGGGCCCGGGCCGCTCATGAACGTTATGCACAGCACAATCAAGCATCCAGGCTCCGTATGCGGGCCTGATCACAGCATTGTACGTGGGAATCATTTCTAGAAGCGCTACCATCCATGGATTTTCAAACTTATTCTCGGCACCTCCCTATAGCCACAAGATTCCTCAATGTGTCACCGATGCCGGAACAGCCGATCTAAACAATCGGGTCGAATATCCGTACGTCTTGCTCACACTTGCACTCGAACCACTTCCGCTTCCATACTGATGCTGTTCGCCATACAGGAATGTGTTCCGTATGCAGGTCTCCACGAGAGTCTTTGGCGCTCGGTTGATTGACTTTGTCAATGTGATGGGATGGAAGAAAATTGCATATATATACAGGTGAGATCTCATAGAGACTGTACATCGTCGATGATATCGGTTGTTCTCACACCAAACGCCGTGTGCAACGCAGTGCAGCTGCGGGGGGTATTGGAACCACTTTCGGCCCGGGAATCATTACGGCCGTCCAGAAACATGGCATTGAAATGCGAGTCAATCAAGGATTCAACGGCGACGGACAAATGGGCGATATGGAGAGCTGTATTCAGTCCATCATCGCTTCGAAAGTCAAAATCATCGTCGTCGCAGGTGAGTCAAGAATGTGCGAGTCTCCACTCACCGCTGCTTCGGTGACATCCCATGCTATCAGCCTATGAGGATGAGTTTACCCCCATGTGGATCAGAGCGCGCGAGCTTGGACTCACTGGCCCCGATTATGTGTGGGTCACTTCCAATGGTAACGTGGCAGGGTCATACGCTTTGTCGAAAAGTCACAGCCCAATGACGCTCCGTCGATACATTAGGGATCATCGACTTTCCGTACGGCGATTGGGGAATGAGTGACTCGGTAGCTGGAATCCTGGGAGAGGACGTTGCCAATAATGCGGGAGTTTTGATGGAAGCCACCGCAGACCCAGATTACACCACCGAAATCTACGCTACTTTCAAGGCCCAATACGCACTCGTTTCAAAAGCCGAAAATGCGACGCGTGATATCGGGAGGGAATATATCGCCAATGAGTAAGTTCGATTTCGGTTTATTTCCAGAAGAAGTATGGAAACCATGGGCCAGATACCATAAGATGACAAACTAACGCTTTCCGCATTCTGCTCCTTCTAGCCGATACTGGGATTGTACGATGGCGATTCTCTGGGGATACCACGACGTAAGTGGATGATTCGTCGTGGTCTTCGAACATGTTCTCTGAGCTGAACTAATCAGAACGCTATCCCGTCTATCGTCAGTATTTCGCACGCACTGGCGACACTGCAGCATCCTTGGTGCCTCCCCCTGGTAACATAAGGGCTTCACCGCCGGCCGATCTCACCATCTTCAACACGAACAGGACTGGGCTGAGCGGGCCGTATTACTTCCTGCCCAACGGGGATTACGCTTACAAAACGAGTGAGTAGCAGGTGCTCCATTCTCCAGATTGACTTTGAACTGATCAGACTGGTTCAATGTCCCGCTGAAACCCTCGATCGCCCCCTCTCAGTCCAGATCCTCCCCCAACTCTACGGCTCCAAGTACGCCGCCACAATCTCCTACCCAACCGCCGTCGAATTCGTCGGAGACACAGCCAAAGTCAACACCACCGGCCTCCTCTTCGCCGGCGGATCCACGCAAATCCCAACAGATTTCCCTCCCTTAACCCAACTCAACCCAGCCTGGAAATCATCCGAAGGCTTGCTCTTCACGGTCCTCGCTGCCATCCTCCTCGCCACCAACGTCGGGTCGATGGCGGCGGTGTACACATGCCGTAATAAATCCGTGATCAAACGCGCGAGTTGGAAATCGTTGGTGTTGATTTTGGTTGGATTGCTGCTTTTGGATATCACGCCGTTCTTGTATACGGGGACTTTGAAGAAGTGGACTTGTGTCGCTCAGCCGTTTATTTTCAATATTGGGTTTGGGCTCGTGTTTGCGAATTTGATGGCGAAGACTTGGCGTGTGTACAAGGTATGATGCGCATCCCTTTGCCGACCGTTGCTCTGATATAGTTCCTAATCGCTCGATGCAGATCTTCAACAATCCCAAAATGATGGAACGGGCCATCTCGGATATGTACCTCATGGGCTTCGCTGGATTGTGAGTTCTCAAATAAGCCTTTTCCTGCTCAAACCGTCGTGAAACTCATCACCCTCCCTCCACCTCCGGCAGAGTCGTCCTGGTCGAAATCATCATCTCCGGCATCTGGGTCGGCGTCAGCACGCCGGTCCCCACCACCATCAACGTCAACGACCTCGAGACAGTGCAAGTCTGCGTGTCCCCTAACGCAAAAGTTCAGCGCACGATGACGGTCGTCTCGATTGTGTTCAACGGGATCCTGCTCTTCCTGACCACCTTGCTCAGCTACAAGACCCGTCATGTCGTGTCGACGTTCAATGAGACAAAGTGGATTGGGATCTCGGTCTATAACATTGTGGCGGTTTGTGCTTTGTTTTTGCCGTTGGTTTATACTACGGTAATGCTGTCCTACTATTTCAGAGGATGGGATCTGGACATGTGTTTGTGTGATCTACCGCTAACATTCATCGCATTTGCAGACATTCGCCAGCTTCGCCCACCTCCTTCGCTGCCTCGCCGTCCTCATCGGCACTGCAGTAACCGAATCCTGCGTCTACGGGCCCAAATTCCTCATCCTCCTCAACCCGATCGACAAACCGCGCGCGCTCCAACAACGCGCCGTAACCGCCAACACCAGCTCCCGCAACATGCTCTCCACCGGCATCGGCGGTGCGGGGGGCAAAGTCGGCCCCACAACCATCGGCGGCACCAAACTGAGCACCACCACCACCCATAAAGAAGTCCGCAAAGTCGCGGGCGTCCAGCTGCACAACGTCCCCACCCTCCAGATCTCCGGCGGGACGTCCAAGATGCTCAACTGGAACTGGGTCGCACGCTGGCGCACGGCGAACGTTACTGCCGTCACGGGGTACCTCTGCGTGGACTACCCGCCTGAAAGCGAGGGCGGGAGTAGCAAGACAGAGGTCTATCGCACCGAACACGCTATCGTGCGCAATAACGCCACCTCCCTCGACGGAACCGGGGCGTCGTCCACCGATAACATGAGCACGAGTAAACTGAGCACCGTCGAGGCCGCGGAGAAGGGGAAAGCGGACCCGGCCGCGTTGACGACGCTGAGAGTGGTGACCCAGGACGGGACGCTGGAGTTTGTGTTGAGTGAGGCGGCTGCGAAGGAGTTGGCCGCGTGCGTTGTGGGTGTCGCGGCGGGGACGAAACGGTTGATTAGTGAGAGTGATGCGAAGTCGAGGACGTCGAGGGTGGGGAATACGGGCCGGTCGATGGGCGGGGACGTGGATAGTGATTGAGGGTCCGCTACTGTCGCTGTGTTTTCCGTCGCCGTCCCCCCTCGCCCTCCTCGTGGAGTTCAGCCTCGGCCCATGTCGCAGGGCAAGGAAAGACTTACGCCGGGTGTCGGGTCTCTTCACGCTTACCACGACGCAAGTGATCGGTTCTGAAAAAAAAGCTATCTGGAATTTCCTATTGGGGAAGCCCCGGTCCCGAGGTTACTTCCGCTCTCACATGCGGGTGCCTTGGATCCTTTAGAGCCCCTGAGATTTGTCCCCGCTGTATCGCTTTGTGTTTTGCGTTTTGGAGTTTTTTTATTTTTGGATCCGCTAGAATGAGAAACTTATCATCGTCTAATGTAGATCGCAGTGTCTTAGTGGTGCGATCGCAGTGGTTTATAGGCGCAATTCCATGGCATCTGGCTAGATACAGATCTGCACGTCCTGGGTAGGTGGGAGGATCGATCTCTCATGCCAACCGTCTTCGATCGGCAAACTGTCCGCTACTCCATTCCCATCCGCCCCCGTCCTCACTTTGAAGAGTTCCCTCCCATTTCACCAGGGCATGCAAACAGTGAGCCAGAAAAAACACAACAGTGAACCGAGGTTGGCCTGTTTCGCATTTATCATTTGTGGTCCACAGCGGGTCCGAAAACATGGTCGAGCTCAAGACACTAGATAGGATAAGGTGGGCTCACAATGTTGTCAGGTAACGAGTCAAAGGGAACACGGGCAATCAAGGATGTCTCAAAAATATGGGACGGTATAGGATGCGGTCCAATACTACTAGCAATTCGACTGGAGTCGATACTGTCAATCTACTTCTTGCCCAACGACTCGACCTGGGCCTCGAGCTGACGTATCCGTGCGTCGCGGTTGGATATTTGGTTCTTCAGGTCTTCGTTTTCTTTTCGGAGGGCGTGGTAGGCGTCTTGGTACTGTGTTGCGTAAGGTAGGGAGTGGGAGGGAGGTCGATTACCATGATGCGCTGGTGGTATGTGGGCTTCGAATGCGCCAGTTTCCCGAAGAAGGCATCGCATCCCCAAAGCCAGTTCCGTGATCTTGCAAACCCCGCACAACAAATGCCAGACTCTGCCTTACCTCCTTTTCCGTAGTCGGCACCTTCTCATTAACAGCCTCAACCGGCTTCGCCGTCGTCACAAACTCTTTAGCGGTAGTAGCGGCCGCAAACCCAGTCTCGAGGGAGATGAGCTTTGGTGGGCTCGTTTTACCGCTGAAGAACTCGTCGGCGGTCAAGGAGGGTTCCGCGCCTAGGGTTTCTGGGTACAGGTCGGATTGGAAGGCGTCCGACTAGGTATGTGGAAGAAGTCATGTGTCAGTCATGTGTGCTTCGAAGCGGAGGTGGATGCAGAAGAGCCTGAGATATATACATACCTTACGCGGCACCTTAAAAGAGATCGGCTCCACCAACGTCGGATGAACCTTGTAAGCCCTGGCAATCTCCGTCTCGGAAACGTTGACAGCACGCTTGGGCAAGAACGAGAGTCCGCGCTGCGGGTCGGCGGATTTGTACTCGGAGAGGAAGTACAGGCCCTTTTCGTCGTCGACCCATTCGTAGTAACGGATGTTTCCGTCACCCTGTTGTGTTGGAAGAGGGGGCATTAATGGGTGGTATGGCGAATGGATGGTTCATTCTGAGAGCGGAAGGCGACATTATAGTATAGCGTACCTTGCCCGCAAGGTAGAGCATGCTCGTGTCGGCATCGAAGAACGGCATGAGCAGACTGCAAAACACAGAGGCACTCATGAAAATCACATTCCATGCATAATGTCTACCCCCAAACCCCTCATCATTTCCAAACCTTACCCAGAGGCGGTATCGATATTCTCCTGCTTAAGCGGGGCGCTCAAGTTCTTCGAGTCGTAGATGTACACCTGACGGTCACTGGTTCGCGAGAAGCCCGTGGTGACGAAACGGTCGGCGTTGCCCATCCATTGCACGCGGGCGCCTTTGATGCCTTGGTGGCCGACCGCTTCCTGTAACAAAATGCCTCTGTTAATGCCGGGTGAAGGGATGTTAAATCTCCACAGCTCATGTCCACCTACCTGAACGACTTTATTAGCCCGCACATCAAACACCCTCAACTTCTTATCCTTGCACGTGGTCGCCAGCAATGACCCATCGTAGTTCCAGGAAAGCGACTGGATTATCTCCGTGTGGCCCGTCAGCTCCGTCTTTTCCTGGCCCGTCGCAATGTCCCACAACTTGATGGTGAAATCGGCGGACGCGGAGGCGAGCACGTTGTCTGCTGTGGGGTGGAAGAGGACGTGGCCGACCTAATTTGGGGGGGGGGGGGGGGGGGGGGTGGCAAGGCGAAAATGGGTTGATAAGTGTGTGAATCAAGATGAGGAAAGAAACGTGCCCAGGCTTAGACGTTCAACTCATCGCCCGAATCAACCGCCACTCCAAGAGAACTCCCTCAAAATACGCGATCGTACCTTCCTGCCATGCCCCGTAAGAGTAGCCGCCGGGGTCGAGATACTCTCCACCGGCCCACCCTGCGGGATCGTCCAAATCATAACCTTCGTATCCTCACTCGCACTGGCAATCACATGATCGTTGAACGGGTTGAAATCAGTGTCGAGCACAGCGGCGGTGTGACCGTTGTAGACGGCGAGATTGTCCGAGAGCTTGCCCGTGTTGGTGTGCGAGAGGACAGCAAAGGCGCCACCGCCGCTGGCTTCGATGTTGACGGAAATGAAGAGCGGGTTGGCTTTCACCAGGTTGGTATCCCAGGCGCTGCGGGAGACCTGTCGAATTTGTGGGGGACAGAGTTTAGTGATGATTCCGAGAGCAGTAATATCTTTTGCAAAGCTCTATCCTCCGTGTGATCCCTGATTACTCCTCCATCTCTGCCGATCAACTCTCCTTCGTCCATGGAGCGCATCTGCAGGGTTGGTCCACGATCCTGCGAATTCCCCTGCCATCCCGACTCTTACCTTCAAGTTATCAAAGCACTGGTCGCGCTTCGTCGAGTTGCCAAACACATGGCGGTCTGTTATGTGGGCGATACAGACGTGTTAGGAAACGGAATGACGAAACGAATTTGAATCAATCGCACTAAATCACAGAGCCAAAAAGATATCCGAAATGCTCGCCTAGGCTCACGAACTCGGTGTTGCTACAGGAGACTACGCTCGCTATCCGTCGCCAAAACTCCTCCTCGCTGGCTGAACAATGGCGCTTGCATCCTTTCGCCAGGAAGAAGAGGTTCTCGCTATGACTGGGATGCTGGCAAAGTGCGTCCAGCTCCTCCTAGAGCGCGCGATCCTTCCGCCGCTCGTGATCCCCGGTCCTTCGACCCAAACACTTACACTTTGAAGCCCTGACGAAACGAGACATAGTTGCGCGTCGGAAAGAGTATGAGCGTACGTAAGGATGATACTAGTGGAAACAGAACCAGATAAAGGGAGTGAGTTGACCAGCAAGGATTAGAGCGGGTAGTTATGGTCATGTAGTGAGCTCCATTCCCACGCGTGCGTCAGGGTCATCGGTCCCATCCTAAAAGGCCGGCAGTCGGGACCTTCTTCCCAGAACCCCCGGCAGGTGGCATCACCCCGGCTTTGGCAAGTTTGCTGTGCGTTTTCGTAGGGCACCGCCTACGGCAGAGTGAGTCGCGCCCGCTATCGCAAACAGCCAGTAGTCTGGCAGCTCATCTTGCAACGCCACCGAAGAGTAGGCGCCTGGATGTTCCCGAGAAACTTTAGAGTGTGGGACCAAAGGCAGAAGAACACTGCGTACGGCAGTGCCACTGTTGCCGATTAGCGGTCGCTGAGCATCCGACAGCGAGAAGGAGCGTTTCCCACAAGATTGGTAGGGGTCCGCCAGTCGTTCGTTTCCCAGGGGCTCCAGACAGGATGGTGCTGGTGGGAGGCTCGTTGACCGCAGTCCAGTGATACTTACGTGCGAGTGGTCGGAGCGACGTGGGGGGAGTGAAGCCAGATGCCAGAGACGGAAGCAGTCGAAGAAGGTGTTGTGTTTGTTGTTCATGCGGTTCCAAGATGCTTCTTGCGGCGGCCTGCCCGTTTGTGCGGTTGGCCTCTCGGGGCCTTCGTTGGTGGTGTGTCACCGCACGGGAAACAGCCAAAGCGCGCCTCAAACAGCGGGAAGAGCCTCCGATTCCACCGTCCATCGCACTAAATTACAAGTTGCCATCATCGGCGACGCCTCAGGCAGAGGTACAATGATGTGGATGGCAGATAACCACCACGGAAAATGGGATGGGGTGAAATCTAGACTACCTACGGTTACGGGAGAATGCGTCTGGTCTGCGGCCATTGCCAAACACCACCGAACGCACAATCGAGAGGAAATTCTTGGTGCTCAGGACGTCCCGATTGTGCACTCTCATCCGTAGTCGTAGTGGTCGTCGTCTTCCAGGAATCTCAAATGGCGTCCAGTCTTGGTTGATACATTCGGGGTTGGGGCAACCCACCAATCCATGGACGTATTCCATTCTTCCCTTTCTAGCTTGCCACGGCCGAGATGACAGCCGTTGTCGGATGTTTTTCTTTACACGGCCGTGGCAGTTGGGGCACACGGAGGACGTTCGATACTCATCTAGCAAGTAGCATGGAATGCTGTTTCTTGCAAAGAGTGTGCGGAATCTGATTTCCATGATGAGTTGACATACTGTAATACATATTACCAATGATAGTCACTCACCCTTTGGTCTTTGATGACTCCTGAAAGCGCATGGTTTTTCCAGCGTCGCTCCAATCACCCAAGATGACCGAAAAATGCCTTCCATACAGGCGTCGCATGTTCTTGATGAGCTTGCTCTGGGACTTTTGCCGCAGTGAGAACGCCTTGAATCTGCGAGCCACGTGAATCTCATCCTGGTAAAACTCATCCAGGGCGGGATCTGGGATATGGATGGATGTCAGCCCATGTGTTACCAAATTTGAAGACGATGCGTGATACATCATACCCGCATGTTCGTAATCCACAATGAACGCTGAGAACGCCTCGATGTTCATGCTCTTGTGCGATGGAATATGTGATTCCATCTCAGCGATGCCGGCATTGATCTTTCGCTCTCTCATGTCTCTTTGAAAGTACCGAGACTTTGTCTCGACCGCCTGTTGATTGGATGTGTATCTGGTACGGGGTGGTGCATTGTGAGAACGCTGCAACGGAATGTCGCCGCAATGGGGATGGTGGGGATAGGGGCGGTGGGAGCGGCAGCGGAGACGGGGGGATGGTGGGCGGAGACGGGGGGCTGGGTGCGGAGACGGGGGGCTGGCGGGGGGCTGGCGGGCGGATACGGGGGGCTGGCGGGCGGAGACGGGGGGCTGGCGGGCGGAGACGGGGGGCTGGCGGGCGGAGACGGGGGGCTGGGGGGTGGAGACGGGGGGTTGGGGGGCAGAGACGGGGGGCTGGGCGGTGGAGACGGGGGGCTGGCGGGCGGAGACGGGGGGCTGGCGGGGACAGCAGGGCAGTAGTAATCAACTGAAACGTACCGAAATGGCCGCTCCTTCTTGATGTCTCGACAGAGCAAGAGGTCACGCTTGCCCGGATCAATGCTAACGATGTTTGGAGCCTCCCGTAGTTCGGCGATGTGGTGCTCAAAATACAGCTGCTTAACTTCTTCCTGCATTTGGGCTTTGCTGCGCTTCTGGGCGCGATGGCCGTACTTTAGCCCTGGCTTCTTGAAGTGGATGGTAGCGGAATACCCGTTTGTGCTGATTGACCCATCAAATTTGAGACCAAGCTTCTTTCGATCCTTGAAGACCTTGTCCTGCAATCCGTCATTCAGCGAGGTGAGGTGAGTGAAATAAGCGCAGAGGGATAGAGACTTACATTCACGTTGAGAAACTGCCCCCACAGCTCCTGCTTGCGTTCATCGGTGAGTTTCCCCATGCGATGTTGGCCCAAGCCCAGGATATGAGTGCCTAGGATCTCCGTGTCGATCCGAACAGATGACTGGATTCGAGATTTGCGCAGCGGGATAGCGGAAAACAGCCGCATTCCACGGCGCTCATAGAGGCGTGAGAGCTCACAATAGGCACCTGTGATGAGGCGAGGCAGGTGCGGACCATGATTAGATAAAAGAGGAACCCGCAGGGGGGTTCCGCTTCCTGTTGGCCGGGGGGGGGACCACGTTGGCCCGGGTCCCGGCGCGCAGCCACTTGGCCAGGTCGGTGTACCAAGCAAGGCGCTCGCTCGCGTCGCTGCGCAGTCACGCACGAGCTGGAGGGGGGGGGGGGGGGGGGGGGCAAATGTACGGGACATAGCTCACCTAAATATGGCATTGCGTCCACCGCAAGGCTGTACGCAAGCGGCTCATCCCGGGGAGGAAACAGAGCCCATAACTCGTCGAGGATGGTCCGCTCAAGTCGTGTGAGGCGCGCAAGCTCCTCTTCGGTTGGGTACTCTTCAAACGTCGCGTACTTTGTAAATTGACGGACACGACGATAATAGTGTCGCCGCTGCGCTCTCCGGAGATGCTGTTAGACTTGCTTCAAACCAAGCCTTTCATTGACGTAGCGCAGAAACATTTGCATGAAATGCTCTTGTACGTTAACTTTGAGGTTTGTGAGGATGCTTGTAGCCGTGTACGCTGCGGTCTGTTGGCAATTTTGCATGCGGATGGGGGCGAATCCGTGAACATTACAGTAGTCTTGAACCCATGGACGCAACTCTTGCGCGATGAGCGGATTGCCATTGTAGCCTGGATTGTTGAGCAGCTCAAACATCACACTGATGTGCTTGTCGGTGATGTCCGGGAAATCGTGTAGAGGATGGTCAGCTGTGATGGGGTGGGCAGATGTAGCAGTCAGGACATTGTTTAATGGGAAGTATACAGTATAGTGTATCTCAAAAACTCACCAAGGTAGTACTTGATAAAGAAGGTGGTGTGGCGCGCAAGGACGTGAACATCGGCGATGAACGTTGTCAGGCGCTCCCTTTGGACTTGATTGTGATTTTGGATTCAGTGAAGGGAAACCTTCGTGCTGGCGTGTGTCTGCGGGCGGGGTCGTTGAGCTGGTGGTGGTGGCGGGGGTGGTGGTGGCGGGGGTTCATACACCAGGGGTCCACCCGGTGTGCTGGGAAAAAGGAAAGGGATGGGCGCGGGGAGGTTCAGTGGGCGCTGCAGACCCCTGTCCACGGGTGAAAGCCCTCGCTGCGGCTGCTGCTGCTGCCCGTCTTCATCGCCGGAGCTCTCGCCAACCATGTCTGCAATTGCTTGGGGCAAGTGGCGCTGGACAGAAGGTGGGAACTCGAATTGCGGGGGTTGCAATGGTGTCTGCACAGCGGTTGGCAGACGTATGGGCAACCGCAGGGTAAAGGGCAACCGCGGGGTAACCGGAGTAACCTTCCTCCTCTTCCGCCGTGGTGTGGTTACTCCGGTAAGGATGCCACACCACAGGTGCCCCTGGAGCGCCTGGTGTGATGACATGATGGCTGTGCTGTGCCTTAAGTTCAGCCGAGACAGGTGTTGCAGGTGATCGCCTTGATAGCTGTGTGTCAAAGAACTCAGTGCTGTGGTAATGAAGCTGAGAACGGTGAGGAATTGCGGTTGTTACCTGGTGGTGGTCGGCAAGTACACATCTGCTCGCAATTGCGCTGGGTTCCGGTAAGGCCGAGCGTGAAGGCTGTAAGCAGTGTACAGTAAGGAGCGTGAGGAGCGCAAAGAGTGGAGTGGGGATCCCCACGTTCTTTTACACGCGTGTAAAGGATGTGGGTGTTGTGGAACTCGTTACTTTATTCCCCTTTCACACACACACCACTCGTTTTATAGACATTCGATCGGACGGTCTGCCCACACACACAACCAGCTCTCTATCTGCAGAGAATAAAAAGGGGGGGTACGGTAGCTATAAAAAGGAAGCTGTGGCTGAAACTGGTTGTTTACAACACTCCCTCTCAGACTGCAGATCGAATTCAGTCCGCAGTCGCCGTTGCAGTCACTCTGCATGATCCCATAGAACGTTCCGCTCTCAACTTCCGCGATCGCTTGAGTCCAGATCGGAGTAGGAGCCGGACTCGCGATTCGCTCTTCAAGTCACGATCGCTTGAGTCCAGATCGGAGTAGGAGCCGGGCTTGCGATTCGTTACGCCCTGAACTTTATGCCATCAACTTCCGCCATCGCTTCCGCCATCGCTGATCTCGACGCTTCCAGTGCTGAGCACAACCGCCGCTTGCGGGAGGTCGACCGGCATGGGATGTGTTGTCGCTTCGCCGTCGTAGTCGTGAATGCCTCGGTAAAAACCTCTCCCAGTCGCAAAAACCTCCGTGAGGAAAAATAGATCCTGGGAGTAGGAAAAGAGCGCATCGCTGTATCAGGCAACATCGGCCTTTCGGCGCAACCCTAGAGCGTGAACAAACTTCCAGTGTTTGTTTTCATCTAGGGATTTGGTAAATATATCCGCAACGTTGTCGTGCGTATTGATCTGAGTGATTTCCAGGGCAGCGGCGGCGGCGGCGGCGGCTTCTCTGGCGTTTGGCGTAGTAGCTGCGTTAACTGTGTTGGCTCTCGCTCTGATGAGTTTGATGTCTTCGTCCTTGAAGGCGAGAGGCATAGTGGTTTGAAGTTCATTCCATTCCATGAATGCTTTAATCTCATCTTTCCAGATTTGGTAGTTTTCGCCGTTGGCAGCAAGGACTTCTACATGGTTCAATTTGGAGGCGGCAACAGTGGCGTTAGTGGTGGATGACATGGTCAGATTTTTAGGGTAAGCGTCTTGTTTTGTGGTTTTAGAATGTATAGATTTTTCGCCAGTGGGATTGGGTTTTTTTTTTTTTTTGTGTAGTGGCGTAGGCGGTCTGGCTCTAGCTCGTAGGTGGAATGGGTTTTGGCGTAGGTGGTCTTTCTCTAGAGTAGGACACAGAGTAGAATGGTCTATGGTGCTGATAACGTGTTGTGGAACTCGTTACTTTATTCCCCTTTCACACACACCACTTGTTTTATAGACATTCGATCGGACGGTGTGCGCACACACACACACACACACACAGAAAAGAAAAAGGGGGGGGTACGGTAACTTTAAAAGGCAGCTGTGGCTGAAACGGGTTGTTTATAACACTCCCTCTCAGACTGCAGATCGAATTCAGTCGCCGTCGCCGTCGTAGTCGCTCTGCATTCTGATCTCATGGAACGTTCCGCTCTCAACTCCCGCGATCGATGGAGACAGCCCGGAATAGGGGCAGCCTCGCGATTCGCTCTATGATGAGAGAGCGTGTGTCAGGAGCAGTGGAGATGGCGGAGACAGTTGTCTCGGAGACAATGATGAACTCACCCTCACGCAAATGCATAATCCTCCTCCTCCCACAACTCGGAGCCCGCTGTCTCGTCGCCACCAGATGTAGATCCGTATGACGACACGGACTCCGAGTGTGGGAGGCTGCTCTCCACCGACGTATACTCCTCGTCGTCATCCTCGGCGTCGTCGGAGGCCGGGGTGAAGGCCCGCGCTTCCTCTGCCTTCTGCTTTGCTGCGGCCAGGCGCGCTCTGTGGGCGTCGAAGAGGGGTGTCGTGTGGGCCTTCATCGCCTGGCGTGTTGCTGATCCGCACGTCTCCCTCACTAGCTTCCCCAACGCGCACTAAATTATACTACTGCATGCATGGCTACTTTAATAGTTACCAGAGCAGCAGGACAGGACATGCATGGTAGGGCAAACACAAAGAATTTGGGGGGGGGGGGGGGGGGGGGGGGACTATCGGGTACGCCAGTCCGACGGAAGAAACAATCGAGGTGACTGAGCAGCCGGGAAGGAAGGAACCACGGCTGTTTCTTTCGCTCCCTTCTGCGATCTATCTTCATTCCCACCGAATGCCTAGCACCGCAATCATTTCTGATGCTCCCGTGATAGAGTCCGGCTGTTCATTGCACATGTCGTGCCCCGGCGGGGTGCCATGGAATGCCATGCTCCTTCCCTGACTGGACAGCCGTTGCCTGCATTTGTTGCCATGTTCTATGGACAGCTGCGCCGGCTTTGGACTGATGGATGAAGAGCATATTCGACTCGGGTGTGTTCTTCTGGCCGTGGTGTCGGCGCTAATTAGCGGGATGTGCTGCGATATATGTACAGTGTCGCTCTGCCGCTCACATCTGGTGACTCCGGAATCCAACCACGTTGGATGCATCTTGTTACTGATGCACTCTCATAGACGTCGCGTATACCAATGTATTCGGGGTCCTAGGGTTCAAAACACATTTGTTCTGTGTGACTTCAGTTTGGAAGTCAACCCCCTTTCCGGCTTCATATGTACGCCATCCCGAAGCCATGATTGCCCTTGTGCAGGACAATAACAAAGGACATGGATAGCGCGTAGACAAACGAAAATGGCAGCTGCGGGTTCTCTTCCCAATGGTCCTGATCAGAGCAGAATCAAAAAGCCAAAAGGGGATCCCTTTCTCGCTTCATCACTCGTGCAAGCTTTCACGCTTTTTGCTCAGCGGGCGTTACAGAAATCCGGGCGGCGACTTGACAGAAAGCGACAGCGCGTTCCTCGAGTCCGATTCCACAAAGCCCTAATTGATTGCGCTCGTTGAAAACGCAGATTCACTATCCATGCCCTTTCCATATTGCACTCTCGCTATGGTGAGCACTACGCAGTCGCATCTAATGGCATGCCGGACCCTGCTGGAAACGGGCAATCCTTTCGTTTTGCAAGACGACGCCCTCCTCCTGGACACCTTTTACGACGTGGCCACGCACGCCCTGCAGGCTGCCCGAGATTCGGAATGGGATATCATTACTGCTTGGTGGTTTCTTTTGCGAACCGGCAGCTACGCAAGTTGGCAGAGAATGTACAGGGGCCTCTTCTTAAGCGAAGAGTCGAAAAGATCCGGCAACGCCGCAGCACGACTCGGGCTTTTGCGAAGCAGTATCCCCTCAGTGTATATGCATTATCGATTTTTGGCAGGATCGGCTGGGCATTGTATAGCCAACGAAGAGTAAAAATGAAGGAAGAACCGGTTTCTGCCGGAGAAGAAAACCAATCAATCATTCTTCAAATAAAGGGCGATAAAGATTTCCTTAACATGCCAAATATGCTTCGGATATGTAGATTTTCCAATTCTGCAGTGTTCAAACGGACCACACTACATTTGTCCTCAATGCAAACAAGGGTGCAGAAATGCGAAATCAGCAAAAGCGGGCGCTTCTTTCACAATCTTGAGGGTTGCGAGAGGGTCCTCCTACCGTGGCACAGAGAAATTCATGAACTCGAATGCCGCTTCAAGGTGTATCCTTGCTTCTTCTGTGAAGTACATGTACAGACTTCCGTGGGTGACTTGGAAAAGCACTACCGTGAGCATTGCTCATGCACTTATATCGAGGTGGATGCAGGTGCTGGCACCCTTCAGACGGTTAGGCAACTTGGTTGCCCCAGAGCAGAGCGAGCAATCTTCAGCATGGTGACTGTCTTCCAAGACATCCCTCCGTGGTATGCGGCAGGTGCGAAGGACCTTTCATTAGAGATGGAAGTGATGGACCAAACAGGGCAGTTCCCTTCCTCTTTATCACTCATGAATGCAATCATTAATAATTCTACAATTTGAAACACGTATTTGTTACCATACACCAGATTATGCAGAAAAGCTGAAACACCACACATATGGGCACAGCGATTTGGACGACAAAGTGGCTGAACTAGCAGCTCGTGCTTCGACGAAGCCTCGATTATCAGATACATCATGCTATTTGACGGTGCCATTGGCAGACATCCGCTTCTTCCTAGGAGTCGGGTGCGTCTTTGGAAGTGCAAGTCCCGTCGGACGCCGCTTCTTCCGACCCCCGAACGCTGCTAACAATTCCAGTGCTGGATCATTTTCCTCTTCGTCTTCCCCCCCAGCACGGGCTATCAGCTCTTCGTTCCTCAGAACATGCATCTATAGGGATGGTCTCCGGTTAGCGTGTTGTTAGCAGTGACAAACTCAAACAGAATACCCACCCGCATTGTGAGGAACATGGTGAATATCATGCCGTTAGCTTTGATCACCGCCGGTGAAATTGACAGTGACAGTTCTCTCCAGTCACTGCCTCGGCACCGCACGATGTACCCATTTGGGGCATCCAATAGGAGTAAGCTGACCATTGGCCCATATATTGCGAGACCTGGCACTGCCATGGAGCGTAGAAGGGTCTCTTGGGAGCCGCCACGGCTGTGGTTACTAGAAAAGATGTCCCGCAGGACTCTTGGGAGCTTTTTAACAGTCTCCACCATCAATTTAGTTCCCTTGAACCCTTCCCATTTCAGGCCAGCCTCGGTAGCTGCTAGATCTCTGACTACGCCGTCGAAAGCCCTCACGTAGCCGTCGCCTTTCTTGCCAACGCACTTTTTAACCATCTGCGTCATTGCTGGCAATGCCATTTGCATGTTCTTTCGATCAGCCACAGCAACACCACCCTTCTCGCCGCTGCACACAACACATATGATGAGCATTCGCCTACATGACTGACAATCCAAGGAAGAAAATGTGCTCCCACCTCAGGAAGAAAATGTGCTCCTTGTCGCCAAATAAGATTTGAAGGGCACGGTACGGATTTGCCAATAGCCACGCTTCCGATAAGTCTTCACTGATTTTGTTGGTCTTTGAGCTTAATAGAAGCCTTCACGTTCATTAGTGAAAGAAAGAAACCCAAACGAAACAGGTTTTGACCTACATGTCAACCAAAAACGAATGGTACAACTGACAATGCCAAAATTCTTCATCCGTGCTTCGAGAAGATTGAAGCTCTTCTTGTTCACTAAAGAGCATGTCCCGCAAGGCGTCCCCGTTGCCACAGGCGGCGAATTTATTGTAGAAGTTGTGGAAGGTGCCCCCTTTGGTAAAAGGCGGGACACATTTCGTGTTCGTTTCTTCTAACTCTTCTCGCTCTTCGTCCGTAAATAGCGACGTGATATTTCGGTCGGTATTGACATAGCAGAAACTATGGATGTTGCTACGACACGGTGTAAGACTTACAAGGAAGCTCTAACATATTGCGAGATTCAATTTACCTGGTGTACTTGAACTTCATGCCAGCCTCGTACATTACGTCTTCGACGCAGCGGCCGGATCGCAGGATCCATTTGTTATTAGGCTCCATCTCGCTATAAGCCTCTGTGAACAGGATTCGGTGCTGTTGGTTAAACTCATCTTCGTCTGATGAGATCTCCAGATCCTTATCGATGAGATTATTGTCTGTTGAAGCAAAAGAGACGTTGCTGCGACCATTGCCGGCGACTCCCTCGCTAGTGGCAGTGATATCTTCCACTTCGCTGACATCGTCGTTGCTTTCGCATTCCTCTTCGGCGGCCAGGAGGCTGATTGGCGTTGACTGTATGTCGACTGAATCCTTGCCAGTAGTTTTCCGCCGCTTGGCCGCCGAGCCCTCCTCATCCTCCTCGTCCCCGCCGGCACGCTTATCTCGTTTGGACCCCAGCTTTCGGGCCGATTCCTGCTGTGCCTCCTGCACAGATTCTTCCCCAAATGTCCGCCTGCCTGGTCATTGTCCCCTTCTTTCTTAAGCGCGACTCGTGGACCTCCCAGAAACCCTTCCAGATCTCATTATTGCCGTTTTCTGACTCCTCTATGAGGAGCATGATTTTAGCGTGAAATATTTTTCTTTTCAAAGCCACGGAATCGGTGGTACGAAGATGGCGGAGTTCGATATTCTGCAGCATTTCTTTCAGCTGGATCAGGACAGTCTCCGGCGAATCATCCTCCTCAATTTTTGCGTACGCAAGGAATTTTCGGAGGGTAAACGTCGGAGTTTTGATGCTGTTCCAGACGTACTCTGTTAGGGTATGGGTGTCTGCAATACGGCTGGCATCACCGAAAAGCAAAAGTGGAGCAAGACAAGTCAACGATTATGATCGATGGAGGAGTGGTTTATTCGAACACGCTTATTACCAAAACAGTTGCACTTACAAGTGGCAAAAACATATGTAAAGGGTTCATTGAGGTGAATGGCGGGGAATCAGAGGAATTGGTTGGTTGGTTGGTTGATGCGTCGATAAGAGTATGTCGGTTTAATGGGCGATGAATACGTTGGGGACGAATATCAATGTATGAATGCAAAGGAAAAGTATGTTTGAGATGATTAGCATCCATTCCATTCCTCAACAATAAAAACCGACTCTCATCCTGCAACCTCGCAGGTAAGCGCCATCGCCAGCCGGTATGAGACCTTGGTCAAGGGTCCTGGACCGGGTTACAAAACCGGGCACCCAGGTTAGCCGAGACCACATCAGTTTTTCCCCGTCAGGGGCCATACCCTCGGACACACCCTCCCCATTGCGAGTTAGGGATGTTCATGTCCGCCATCACGCTTTCTGAGACAAGAAGCGATCCGATGCGATGAGCTTACGTGGGAAAGCGCTCCGGCGCCAGCCGGTATGAGACCTTGGTCAAGGGTCCTGGACCGGGTTGCAAAACCGGGCACCCAGGTTAGCCGAGACCACATCAGTTTTTCCCCGTCAGGGGCCATACCCTCGGACACACCCTCCCTGTTGGCGTTACAGGGCTGTTCATGTCCGCCATCACGCTTCCTCCAAAGGAGAAGAAGCGATCCGATACCCCGCGCACGTTCAATAGCTGCAGGACCACGTCCTTTCACTGGGCTGGGTCCAAGATCTAACGGCTCACCTTTCATTCTGGGATCGAGGCAAGGATGATCGGTGAATTTTGGTAGTGGGCGAGTTATTCAGGCGCGTCGGGAGATGGTCGATTGGCAAGCCAACCGGATTTGGTTAGATTGACTTATGTAATTCGACGCGTCCTGAAAGTCCGACGTCCTGAAAGCCGTTCGGTTTTGGGTGATTCCGATGAGAATGTCCGAAGGATCGCTTTTTCGGTTTCCGATGACATTGTCCGAAGACGGCGGGGATCGCTTTTCCCATCTTAGGGTTGGGGTTAGGGTTAGGGTTAGTCTAAGTTAGGTTTTTTACCCTAACTTTGGCAAAATTCCATTAGGGTTAGGGAATTTTCGTAAAATCTTTGGGCGAATAGATTCGGGAACGTATAAACGTCCTTCATGTCGTACGAGTCCATTTTCGAACGTATATCGTAGTTCTCTTGAGGTTTTCTCATGTTGAGGTCTTTGTGAGATTTCATCGAGATAATCCGAATACGGATCTTCACGTAGCGCCTTTTTCCATTCTTCTTCTGAGCATGTAGGTGAGTTTTGTGGATCGTCTGTCGTAGCGTTGAGGAAAGGTTCACCAGCAAGCGTATTACTAACCTGCGTATGCATGTCGAGGCGTCGTTGACAATCTACATACCGAGGTGCATAAATCGGATTGCGAGAAAGCATGGCGGCGATATGATTCCATCGTCCAGGTAAAAACTGAATGTCGAAATCATACAACACTGGATGCCACCATGAAATGGTTCCTGGAGAACTACGAGACGGCCCGGAAGTGAGATTCCAATATAGAAGAATGTACGATGTCCCCATGTGCCAATACAGTTGGGAGCCGTTTGTACATGCACATTAGAGATTACTGCCTTTTTGGTTGTGAAGAAAGAGCGAGTGGGATACAGATGTACAGAATTGGGTGATGATAGAAAAAATATGTAAGTGAAAGAGTTTGGTTCACTTGCGAAATGAGAAGGGAATACGTATGTCCTACGCCTTGACATCCTCAACCTTCCTTTCCCACCCACCACCCTCCGGGTCTCGATTCTCACCTCATCCCCCTTCCTAACCATTGTCGCATTCTTGCCCCCAAAATTCACCGTTCTCCCATCCTTTCCCACCAACGTATCAATCCCGTCCCACCCCACTCCCTTCCATCCCATACGGCGTAACCATCCTCCGTTACTCAACATTGACACCACCACCTCTTCCTTAAACTCCACTTCCCGTACACACTCATCCCCACCGCGGTACAATCCCAGGACGCTTTCGTCTTTTTTTCCTTCCAAGAACCTGCAACCGCAGATGAACTGACTCCAACCCAACAGCCGTGGGGAGCCGTCCGGACATAAGGTTCTTCTCACCGCAGGCTTTGTTGGCGAAATGGCTTTTTGACAGCGTGCCGCTAAGCAAATTGACGGCACCTCCGCCAAGAACCTTTCACCCAAAACTGTTCCCAGGCTTCCACGGTATTGAAGTCCCATTCTCTCATCACTTGCATCAGCAAGCTTAACGAACCACGTTCCTCGAAGAACCCAAACTGCCGGATCGCTAACCTCGAGCCCAATGCCCTCCCCAACCGCATTCCATCCGCTTTTTGTGTACGGCACCCTCCTCACCGGCCTCCCCAATCACTCCCTCTTCTCGTTAGCCGACAAAGTTACCAATGTGCGAGGCGCGATCCTCAAACGACACAATATGTATTCCCTAAACGACTGGTATACGGTCATCGTCGAGGCGGGGGGAGGGGAGGAGGCGGAGGCGGCGGAGGCGGGGTGAAGTGATGTACTTTGCTGAAGGTGCGCGTTTGGTCGCGAGAGATCACTCGGCGGAGAATAGACCAAGAGCTAACACTGGTAATCCCTTTCACAGAACACTATACATCCATCTTGATGCAACTGGACGAGCTTCAGAGTTACCACGGACCCTCGTCAAACTCCAATATGTACATCCGTGCAGAGGGAAAAGTCACATTAGCATCGCCACCGGTACCATTAGCAGCAGCAGCAAAGCGATCATCACCAGAGACCCCTCAGGAGAAGGAAGGAGAAGAAATACAGGTATATTACTACCGGTGGAATAGACCCCTGGACCCGCAGTACTTCAAGAGGATAGAGAGTAGGGATTGGAAGGAGCATATAGACGCGATACAGTGGAAGACGAGTAAGCAGCAAGACGGGATTGCGGGCACTGAGCGGTCACTGGAGACGGAAGAGCAATGACAATCATCTCAGCCAGAAAAGCACGCACTGGATCGATCGTGCCGTCAGTTACTCTCAGCGGGGTTACGTGTTGATCCGACCCTATTCATCTTGATGTGAGCGACACAAACAATTAATCGAGACCGATTCGTCATGTTTTGAAGCTTTTGATGGTAATGACACATTTGGTTAGCTTTCAGATCTCCCTCCGCAGCATCGACGAGGACCATTATCGCGTGATTGACGTGACGACGCATCGGGATATCGAGGATGTGAAGATGTCGAGGGTGCCGTGCGCGCTTTACGAAGGTGCGTTTTGCGTGTCTCCCTAAAATTGTTGTTGCTCAATTACCAAAGTCTTGTGTGCTTTGGTAATTTGGTCAAATTCAACGCGTCTCATTGGTTTTACCCCACAGGCTCGGTATTCATCCAACAAGGCCGGTCCTACATCGTATTCGAAGTCGACGCGGACAAGAAACTGGCCAAAGTCCGCCCAACGACGGTGGACTATGTGACTGCTAATAGGGATTTCACGGACGTTGATCCGATCCAGATCTCGGAGACGCGGGAGGTGGTGGTTGTTGCGGAGGCGGAAGCCTCATCTACGGAAGCCTCATCTACCCCAGCAGCTGATGCTGCAGAGGCCGAGACCCCACCGCATGAAGTGACTCAGCCCCCGCCCACGATCGTAAACTACGGCCTCCTCCGCCTGCAAACCACCGTCTTCGGCTACTTCAAGCTCAACCCGCGGACCAAACAAATCCTCGAAGCCGTCGACGGGCTTGAAAACCCGCCCATCACAAAACATCGCGCGGGGTTCTGGGTCGACGTTCCCCACCCGGCCGTCACTTTTTTGAAGGAACGGGGGATCAATGTCGAGTTTAGCGTCCACGCCGCCGCTCACGCGTTGTTGGGGTTGCTGCCCACGTGTGTTGTGATACCGACCACGGGACAGACGGATATCAGGACGGATTGTAAGCATCCGCGCGCGGGGCGGTTCAGGTGCCCCGGATGATCATCTACAACTTGTCGTCGGCTGTTCCTACCGCTAATGACGGGATGAGGACACCGACGACGACAGGTGGCGGGTTGGTGTATAAGGCGTTCAGACATATTCCGGAACTGTTGAGGCGCGTGTGGGTGGTTGTGAGGGAGTGTCCATGTGAGGACGGGTGTCCGGGGTGTGTGCATAGGGCGGGGTGTAAGGAGGGGAATGAGGCGTTGAGTAAAGAGGGCGCGAGGGTGGTGTTGGGAGCGTTTTGTGGTGAAGTTTCTCGATAGTTTTTTGATGGTCCAATGTCATGGGACACGATGCGAGACCGAGATCCCCTCACAGTTTGGACGCCGCCTGGTGCGAATTGTAAATACACGCGAACTTTTTTTGGTTTCAATGCACCGCGATAAGGTGTGATTGGGGCATGAATCGCGTGGGGGTTGACGCCGGCGGAAAGGAGGGAAGGCGTTGAAAGTGCCTAAACTCTGTTCACGCCGAATGGAAGCATCAATACCATCAGTTTAACCCCCCTCCTCAGTGCTCTCGACATCCTCCGGCACCATCCTCCGAGTCCCAATTCACCCGACGGCATAACCCACCCCTCCATTCTCTACCACCCACCAGCACACAGCCGTCGCGCCCGCCATCGCCGCCACAATCGCCATCTGCCGCGCGCCATCAAGTGTCACATGTCGCAAGACCTTCCCCAACGTGTGTTTACTGCTCGCTTGGGTGGAAAGATTATGCTGGTGAGCGGTGGTATAGGCGGTTAGCTGGGCCATGCATTCGCCGGGGGTTAGGTGGCGGGGTTTGCGTTTTGTTGTTGTTGTTGTGGGCTCCCAAAAGGGAACTACATCGACATCCCAGCGCTCCACACACGACGTCGGGGGTAACCGTACCGCAGCGACATCCCCCTGCAGCGTCGGGGGCGGGAAGCGCGCGCACATCTCTCCTGCCGCGTGAATCAGCTCTTCGACATGGTCTAGGTTGCTGAAGCGCGCGCAACTAGACAAGAAATGATGCACGATCGCGTAATCGGGATCAGGAAGAGCAAACAGGTCCGCGCGGCGGGAGATGACGGTTGCCGCGACGAGATAGAGCGGCATGAGCAGGTTGGAGGCGAGGAAGAAGTTGAGGAGGCGCGGTGCAATGGTATGTGAGGAGTCTGCGAGGTCGTGGGTGAACCAGGTGAGGACCCAGGAAAGACAGAACCAGGGAGTGAAGCCCTCCACATCCTGTGCCAAGAACGCATGGACGTCCGGCGCGGATCAACGCAGGAGCGGGAGGAGGAGGGAGAGATGCTGCAGGGCGGGCTGTAATGTGGGCGCCATGAAATCGCGCAAGTGAAAGAGTGAGATTGTTTCGAGGCAGCGGATCGTTTTGGGTGTTGGCCCGAGGGTGAGCAGGATCGTGGACGCAACGTCGTGGTAGCCTTGGTAATAGTGCAGGTAGGGGTACTGCGCAAGGACGGAGAGGATGGTATGGGAGAGGTGCGCGCGCATCTGGATTTGGTGGGTGGTTGAGAAGTGAGGGGGGATGAGATGGGTGAGGGAGCGGATGACGTCTAGGGCGACTTGGGGGGCGTCGCGCGGTGGGGATCGTGATGGTGTGTCGCTATTCGTCCCGTCGACGGCAGTGAGTAGCGCCGGCCATGCCTTCCGCCGTAATTGGTCGTTCAAGAATCCGCCTTGGGAAAGGGCTAGTTGGCGGAGAGTTGTTAGATCGCCCGTCCGTAATGCCGCGGTGATTTCTCGGGCCTTCTGTGCCGGGTTCAACCGTAATGCGTGTCGCCCCGCAGCGCCCTCCTCCCCAACCACCCCTATTCCCTTCGTCCAAGCATTTCCTCGCCTGTGTTGCTCGGTTGTGGTTGTGTCGTTGTAGAGGGTGTCGTCGTCATCGTCGTCGTAATGCTCGCGCCGGGTGTGGGTGTTGGAGCGCCTTGAGCGAGCTGCGGCTGCTCGTTTGCGGCGCCGTGCACCTTTCTTTGTGCCGGTCATTCTATGCGGAGGGACGGACTGACGGGGTATGGAACAGTGGGGTTATGTGTATGTCCGGCCACGTCCCAAATCGTCGAAGTGGCTCTCAAAGTAACAACCGAACAGCTTGCAACATCGGTGCCCACCCTTGGGGATCAATCAGCATCAACTCCTGGTCACATAAATGTTAGGCCGCAAGTCGAATGCACGGCAACTTTGGAACTTTGCGCAGCTGTGTCCTTTATGAGTGCTTCCGAATGAGTGCTTCACGAAACCAATGCAGACTTGACCATCACGACTGTCAGTGCGCCAAGCGCAGCAAACGCACCGCCATCAGAAGCCGTGAAGTTTCCGGATCTTCATCGGCAACATTCCACGTTGAAGCACGCTTTTGAATTATGAAAGCGGCGCATGTGGGAGCTCCTTGTAAAATGGTCTTAATCCACTCCCGTGTCGCCCATAGGCGCTTATGTTCCGTAGTGGCGGGATGATTTCCTCGACTTCCAAATCACCATCGGCGTTGTCTTCCAGTACATCTAGCGTGGCGATGCTACCCCTCTCCGTGCTGGAAGAACATGGTGTGGCCGCCCCAAACCCTCGGCCACCGTGGATCCTCCCCATCATGGCTTACCACCCACAGCCGTGACACCGACAACGCTGCCCGATATAGGACACGCATGACGAGTACATTGGACACGCCAGTGCTAAGGAGGTCTGCACTGGTCCTTGCGTATGAACCTCAGCTTCAAGAAACAGCCAGCCCCACCGCTTGCCGCATCTGCTCAGGTTTTCGCAACCAAACCCGTCAATGCCCATGCAATGTGGCTAACGTAGTGGGGGGCGGAAACATAGATTCGATGGCAGGACCGTCGAGAGGCTTTGGTCAGCCGTACATAGGCGAAACGGATGGTGGTGGTGAAGACGGAGCGTGGCTGGGAGTCGTGCGATATTAAAGGATATCGCAGGCCCGGAAGCATACACCAGCAAAGCCAACGAATGGAACCCATTTTACCCAAACGTTCCTAGAACTCCCGCTTCTGCGGGGGGAGGGGGGGGGGGGGGGGGGGGGGGAAGAGATTTCGCGGTGAACTGCACAGGCAGCAAACGTCTGTAATGTGTTCGACGGGCCAATCAGTGTTGTGTTCAGGAACGCTGACCCAGCTCCGGCAGACATGCGCGTTCCTTCTCCGCCGACGGGTGGGGAAACGTGCGCTCCCACGTCCACGGCCCCCAATGCAACATGGGACTCCTACACGAATCGATGGGACTTGTGCGGGACAGCAACCGCCGTCTACCCCGCAACGCTGCCGACCGCCACATGGCAATCGCTGTAGAGAACAGACCGTGGCCGAGGAGCCGGAGGGCATGGTGGGGGGACCCCAACGCGGGCGTGGACACCTCGCCGTCCCCGTCCGCCGCCGCCACCGCCGCCGCACCGACGCAGGGCAATAATGATGTGTGGTGGTGGCTCAAGAACCCGAACGGGTACCAGCCCTCGTGTGCCGCGTCGCCGACTTTCTCAAGCCCTTCATCTTCTGCTGTACATCATCGCCCTCATCTTCGACACCCAAACCCACGTCCACGTCCCACATCCACATCGCCAACCATATCCCTCCAGCCCCACAGCCTCCTCCTCATAACAACCTCCTGCGCCTCTCCCGCCACCCTCCGCGGCCTCTCCATCGCCCCCCTCTCCTCCACATCCTGCACGGACACCGCCTCCATCCGGTACGCGGCCACGGACTCCCGCACGACCGCCAAAAGCGACCTTACAAACAACAACCGCGTCGAAGTGCGTGATGGCCACCCTCGGCGTGGGAGGCGGCGAATGCGCCCTTCACCGGGACGCTGACGGGGAGGATCGGATACGTCTCCGCTAGCTCCAAGCGACACATGCACAGGCCAGGCCCCCCGACAACCCATCCTCACCGCATGCATCGTCGTCCCCAACGGCACCCCCTCCGGCGCCGCAACATCGTAAACGAGCGCGAAAGGGGTGCTGGCCGACGTGTCGATCTGCCCAAAGCGTGCGAGCCCCGGGTGTCGGAGGTACGCCGCGCTCGGGAACGCCGCGGCCGCCCGGGGTCAAATGTTCGGGGGGGAACCGTATCCCTCCCTCCCGCTCCCCGCGTCCGTGCATGCCTTGGTGGTGATCGCCGCGATCCCCCGTTGCGCGACCCGACCCGAACACACGCGCAGCGAACCGTCCCACACACACACACGCTGGGCCAACCCACCGGTCTCGCGTGCCTCATCGCACGTACTGTACAAGGGTGGAAATGTCACGGCCGGGGGTGGTCGCTCCTCCGTCGTGTTCTACATCGTCGCGTATGGCCGTGGTCGGTGTTCACGAAACTGGTGGGGCGGACCATCCACACCCCTCGGATCCACCACGAGGCATGTGTCGCGGTGGCCGGTGTGGATACCCACTCCCACTGGCGATACCCAGGGGACGGTGACCGTACTCGCAACCCTGGCCACATACGCGTTTGAAATGATTCTTGCGGGTTGCGCTGATCACGAGGCAGATCCCGCGCGTCCGGAAAAAAGGGAAGCGACCGCCGCGAGATGGTGGACACATGTGCGGTCGCATACGTCGCTGTTCTCGCCGTGAATGTCAGGCCGGGCGTGGATGCCGTACGGGGTGCGGAGATGGGCGGTTTTGGATATCGGGAGGGTGTTGGCGTGCGGGGCCGTGGGGGCTGCTGTAGAGAAGCTCACGGGTGAGAGTCGTGAGACCGCGTCGGGGAGGGGTGCGCCGACGCCGACGACGATTCGGAAGGGGCTGGGTGGGGGCGGGCAAGCACAGGAGGGTGCACAGGAGGGTAGGTCGCCGAACATCCGCGGAATCGCTGAAAAAAGGCCCCCCTCGTTCCCGGCGAGCTGGACCAGAGCAGCGGGAACTATACCACTCCCTAAGTCGACCGGCAGGACATGATCACGTCATATCTCCAACGCCTAACCCACCCGCCGACTCGTTAGGACGGACACCTCCCGTCCACCCCCGGTCTTGTCATCGTCGCAGGAGGGGACACATACGCTACCAACAGAGCAGAGTGGCTCCTACGAGTAAGCGGGGAACTGTTTCTGACAAAGGCGGCTGTCTAGCTGTCTGTCTATTGCATCGGGAGTAGAATTATGTGCGACAACCTATATACAAAGCCCCTCAATCCCGTCCCCCTCCTCCCTTGTCGGACTCACACCGGCAATAGACGGACTATCATGGCCATGCCCATCATCACCATCCCCCTCCTGATCAAACGGATTACTGACAACAACGCCCTCCATGTTGACCCCCCACCCGGTCAACCTCGCCGACATTGATCTTTCCCGGGCGATAATGTCCGCTCTTTGTATTGATCTTCCTCAACCTGCCCTTGTCAACAACGATGCCCCCGTTCAAGAACGAGGAATGGTGGAACTGGCCCTTTTGTTTGCGGGCGATGTCTAGCTGTCTGTCTAATTGCGTCGGGAAAAGAATTATGCGCCCACAACCTATATACAAAGCCCCTCAATCCCGTCCCCCTGCTCCCTCGTCGGACTCACACCCGCAACAGACGGACTATCATGGCCATGGCCATCATCACCATCCCCCTCCTAATCAAACGGATTACTGACAACAACGCCCTCCATGCTGACCCCCCACCCGGTCAAGACGCCCACGACCTCGCCAACGTTCATCTTTCCCAGGCGATAATGTCCGCTCTTTGTATTGATCTTCCTCAACCTGCCGTTGTCAACAACGATGCCGCCCGCGGCACACGCGGTGCCCCCGTTCAAAAACGAGGAATGGTGGAACTGGCCCTTTTGTTTGCGGGCGATGTCTAGCTGTCTGTCTAATTGCGTCGGGGGTAGAATCATGCGCCCACAACCTATATAGAAAGCCCGTCAATCCTGTCCCCCTCCTCCCTCGTCGGACTCACACCGGCAACAGACGGACTATCATGGCCATGGCGATTATCACCATCCCCCTCCTCATCAAAGGGATTACTGACAACAACGCCTTCCATGTTGACCCCCCAGCCCGTCAAGACGCCCACGACCTCGCCGACATTGATCTTCCCGGGACGATAATGTCCCCTCTTTGTATTGATCTTCCTCAACCTGCCGTTGTCAACAACGATGCCGCCCGCGGCACACACGGTGCCCCCGTTCAAAAACGAGGAATGGTGGAACTGGCCCTTTTGTTTGCGGGCAATGTCTAGCTGTCTGTCTATTGCGTCAGGAGTAGAATTATGCGCCCACAACCTATATACAAAGCCCCTCAATCCCGTCCCCCTCCTCCCTCGTCGGACTCACACCGGCAACAGACGGACTATCATGGCCATGGCCATTATCACCATCCCCCTCCTGATCAAACGGATTACTGACAACAACGCCCTCCATGTTGACCCCCCACCCGGTCAAGACGCCCACGACCTCACCCACGTTAATCTTCCCGGGGCGATAATGTCCGCTCTTTGTATTGATCTTCCTCAACCTGCCCCTGTCAACAACGATGCCGCCCGCGGCACACACGGTGCCCCCGTTCAAAAACGAGGAATGGTGGAACTGGCCCTTTTGTTTGCGGGCGATGTAGAGTTGGGACGTCGGGGAGAGGATGTAGATGTGTTTGTAGGCGTTGCGGAGGCGTTTTTTGCGCAGGCGCTCTTCTTCCGTGTCGTTGGGGTCCGAGTCCGGGAGGATATCGCCCGAGGAGGAGGAGGTGGTGGTGGGAGGGAGGGTGTGGACGGGGTCGCCGCTTTCTTTGTAGATGAGTAGACCGTCGTTTACTGTCACCTATAGTAACATTGATTCAAAAGTCGCGAAGAGAAAATGAAAAGGGTGTCGTCGCGGTCGGTCGTCCACCACACGTTACCTCATAAGCCCTCCTCTCGACCTCATCCAAATACCTCACTCTTTCCTTCATCAACCTCTCCCTACTCCTCCCTTCGCGTTCCAAATCCACGTCACGGCCGTCCCCATGATCCAACCAATAGAAAAACGGCTGTGGGGTCCCGCTTTGCACCCACAACTCATGGTACGGCTTCAAGTTACTCCCATACCGATGCAAGCCATCTGAACTCTCCAACCAGTGCTCGGTGAGTAAGGTAAGTGACTTGTCACTGGATATTCCAGCTGAGCCCTTGCCGAGGATGGATGTGAGGAGTGCACCGCGTTTCCATATGGCTCGCGTTGTTGTTGTTGTTGGTGAGTTTGGGGCTGAAGGGAGGGTTTGGGCGGCGGTCCAAGTAGCGTTGTGTTCGTGCAAGAGGGCGATGCGGGCGTTTTGCAGGGCGGTTGACCAGAGTTGGGAGGGGGATGCGGCGAGGGAGGCGAGTGCTTTGTTTGTGCGGTGGGAGCGGAAAGCGGCTTGTATTTTCGTTGCTGCTGCTTGTTCTTTATCGGGGTTGGAAGGAGCAGGGGGAGGAGGAGAGGGGGAGTGCGGTGGTGGTGGTTGTTGTTGTGGAGGGAGCAGTAGTGGGTTGTGGTGGGAGTGGGAGTGGGAGTGGGAGTGGAGCATGCTGTGAGTTGTGTTGGCTGTGTGTGTGTCTTGTCTCTCTCGCCGCCGTCTTTGTTGTTGTTGGTGGGTTGCGCTGGCGGGCTGCCATACTGTAGCGAGCACGGGGGGGGGGCGGGGGGGCTGCAATGACTACCGTGGTCCGTAATGCATCTCCCGCGTGCGCCCACTGCAGTCTGACTACTTCTTCGCTCCCGTCACGCTTCATCACGTGCTCTATCCCACCATTCCCACTCTCGAGGACACATGATTCCCTGATGGAGGCGAGTCTAATAGGAGGTCGTGGAGCACGCTCGAAATGCCTACTGTACATACACTGTCTGGGGGGAGGGAGAACTACAGTATCTACTGTGTCCAGCCCACTTCATGTGACTAACTCTCCTGCAATCCTTCATTCACTCGCACGCGGGATACCTATCCTCCAAGAACGCTTTGATCTGAATATCGAAAGAAGGTGACAAGAATGAGTCTGTCTTATATGAACCAAAAATCGGTCCGCAACACCCCCGCACCCACCAAAGCAGCATGACTCAACGGCTTGCTCAAATCCTCCACCGTCCCATTCGTCCCGAAATCCAACAACACCAGCGTCCCTTCCATACTCAGCCGCCTCAACTCCTCCACTTCCTCATCCACACGCGCTAGTTGTTGTGCGTACAGGGGGAGGTATACACGTTTTCGCGCTGTGACGTAGTCCATGAGGGGTGGACTCTCGGAGGCAGGGGGAGCGAAGGTGAGAGCGTGCCCGAGGACGTCTCCACGGCGTGCGGAACGGCCGCGTTTGAGGTTGGTGAGGTCGGTGATGTGGAGGCGGGAGGTGTCGGGGCCTTCGTTGGTGAATACTTTGAGGCCTTGCCTACAGTACACGTAGCGTGCGTTGGGATGGGATGGGATGGGGGTGAGAGTCAGTTTGCGGAAGGAAAAAAAATGGGAGAGTGTGTGATTTGACTACTACGAATACAACTCACCAGACACCCTCAACACTCTCACCCACCCTCCCCTTCTCAGTGGGCACCTCAAACCCCCCATGCGGCCAGAACGGCGATAGTTTCCGCCACGGCATCTCCGCCTTGGACGTCACATCGACAATCGTGCACCCGCCGGGGTAGCGTTTGCGGATCTTTTCCACGGGGGTTTGCTTGTGCGCGATCGCAATGCGCATCGGGTTGGGTGGCGATGGGGGTGTGCTGGTGGAGGTGGTGGTGGTTGCCGGGGCAGCAGCCGGTCTGGGGCGTCGGATTTGACGGGGTGCGATGTCCATTTTTGGGATTTTTGATTCCTCGTCGGGGATAAGCGGGTGGTGGTGGTGACTTGGTTGAGGAGCGGCGAAAGGAGAAGGGCGGGCGGCTTTATAAACATCGCAATTGGGGGGGTATAATGCGATGCGATGGCTGTTGAGTGGTTGGGAGGGACTGGGGGGAGCTTGCTTGCCCACAAGTGCTGGACCCCAAACTTCGAATTGACGTTGGAGGAGCCTGTCGAATTCACGCGTTTGGTGACTCATCCACGTCAAACTGTCAAACCGCCCTTCTCCGCTTGTTCCCGCTCCCATATCTCAAACACGCAGGAAAGCAAGCACACCGTGGGACACTAGTAGGAAGACTCTTGGGGGCAGGGCAACCTAGTTGGGAAACAGCCCGACTTCACATCATCAATGCATAGCAATGGGAATATGACTTTCGCAAACCTCCCTTTCTTGTTCTTGCACGACGGCATTGTCAACGCAAAAAAACGACACTATTCCATTCCCCGCCACACCACTGAGTGTTACAATTCACCCCCCTCACACCACACCCTAAACAAAGCTCGGCCCAACAATCCCCACCAACACGCCCACCAGCACCACCCCCAACCGTGCACCCCCCGCATCACCGCCGCCGACGACGACGCCCCAATCGTCCATGTCGAGAACGTGCTCGTCGACGCAATCACCTTCTTGTTGCTCGTGTCCACCTTCGTCTCTACCTCCTGCCAGGCCCCGCCCGAGGAGGACGCCCGCGCCCACTTGAGCTTCTCGGGCGTCACGCCGAGGGTGGCTAGCACTGGTGCCAATGAAAAGGGAAGAATTGGGTGAGACTACATCGTCAGCGTCAGTCTGACCTGCTGTCTGACTATGAAGGCAAACCTACTTTCATCGGTGTACGACACGACCAAGGTTGCGACAAACGACGCTGAGTCCGTGTCAAAGTGATAGTACGTGTTGAGACCCTTGGCGAGGGCAGTGACCCCGCTGGGCGGGTCCGGGGACACGGTGACGTTGACTTGGGCGTTGTCGCCGGGGACGAGCGTTAGGGCGAGGTTGCCGGGGGTTCGGATGGTTGCAGTTGTGTTTGCTGTGAAGCCTGTGCGTAAGAAAGCGAGGGAAATACAATACAACAATGGGTGAGTGGGCTTCCGCTTCGAGTACATGTACATCAACCGGATATTCGACATTTGCATTCAGTGATGGAGTAAACTCACCAGTCTTGACCTGCACAAGCACAGCAACCAACGACGCCTTCCCACTCGCCGCGACCTTCAACGCACACTTCCCCTGCTCACACGTCGCACTCTCACACTCCTCCGCAGCCTTGCAACTCCCCCCAACCGCGCCCTTCTTCCCCGGCACCACACACGCCCCCGCATAACAACTCCCACTCGCACACTCCCCATCCGCCGCACACCCCGCGTTCAACCCCACCTTCCCCCTCGCCGCGCAGAACCGGTCAACGCAGTTCCCGCTCTCGCACTGCGCGTGGATCGTGCACTGCCCGCCGGCCGCGACGGAGAAGAACGAGGCGCAGACGGACGAGGCGCACACGCCGCTGGCGCATTCTTTGTCCTTGTTGCAATCGGCGTCGGCGGGCTTGAGGTTGGGCTGCACGCACACGCTGCCGATGCAGTTGCTGCTGGCGCACGACGAGGATTGCAGGCAGACGCTGCCGAGGGGGAGGAGAGAGGAGGAGGTTTCCGAGGACGAGGAAGATCCCGAGGAGGTTTGTTTCGGGGAGGACGAGGCCGTCCCCGAGGAGGAGGACGGATCCGGGTCAACGTAGCTGGTCAGCGCGCCTAGACTGGGGATCGTCACCACATTGTCGGTGCTGACGACGGCTTGTTTCTTGGCCCAAGCGGTGATACGGCCGCCGTGGATAAAGTCGGTGTTGGGAAGGCAGTATTTCCTTCCATTCTTGGGGTTTTCCTGCGGATCGCGAAAAAGAGGGGCGGCCCGCCCCCCGCGGTTTAGCAATCGTTTCCCCCCCATCCGCCCCCCTTATCAAAAGCGCTAGAGCGTCGTCGGTTCGGGACGTTCAAAACTCACATTCGGCACCCCCCCGAAAACAAACTGCGCCAACACGTCGTAATCCTGGTCCACGACGCTCGCAGCCCCGCACGCCGAGCCGTCCTTGAACTTCCGGTCGAACACGTTGCAGATGTTGGCGCTCGCGTTGTTGGTGAACAGACTCATCCCGAGAAGATCGGGCATCGTGATGTCCTTGTCGTTGGGCAATATGCCTTCAGGAACCCGAGTGCACAGCGCGCTGGCCCCGCAGTCCGAGCCCTACATACATAGACGTCCGTGAGTTCCAAATGTCCCCACACATATGAAAAAGACCAGCAGCGATCCGAGCCCATACCGTCGCGCACGGCTTGGCCGTCATCAAGTACTGGCAGTCGGCCCCCACACAATCGAGGTTCAACGACGGCCAGATGGCCCCCGAGCATTTCTGCGCGTTGCCTTGCACCTTGACGTCCAGCTGAAGCAGCTCGGCGAGGCCGGTGTATTCGATGTTGCAGGTGCCGGTTAGCAGCCAGGTGGTGAAGGAGCAGGTCGAGGGGAGGGCGAGGGTTGTTGGGGCTGAGTGACACGTGCGGGGAGATGTGGTGAGGAGGGGAAGGTGGTTGTGCGCTGTCGGGGGGATGTGCTGTGCAAAGCGAGAGTTGGGGGTAGCAAGAAAAAACGTACCTATCCCGTTTTTGAAATCGGTCATCCAATCCAACGCACCGCCGGGCAGAGCCGCGCCCTGATGGGGGGAAAGGACATCCAGGGGTTGGTTAGGAAATCGTAAGCGTATGATCGAAAGGGGTGGTCGAGGGGGGGGCGCCCTACCAGTTTGAACGTCCCGGGATTCCCCGCATCCGCCGCAAACAACCACGGATCGAGCGAGTACATCCCCCACCGCACGCTGAACTGATCCGCGGTCAGACTCTTCCCGATGCGGCACTCTTGCTGTGTTTTCGCGAGCTGTTGGACGTAGCTGAGCAGCGCGGGCAGGCCCGTGGGGTTGAAACGGACCCGGATGAGCCCGTCGAGGAAGAGGAATTCGCCCGTGCAGGTGGCTTGCGCGAGACGGGCTTTGGGCGGGGTTAGGGTGGTTTGCGGGCGGTCGAGGACGCCTGTGGATCGGGGTGGGAGATGTCGAAACGCAAACGACGGATTAGATCGTTTGCGAGGGTGACCCCCCAAGCTGGATTGAACCCACCACCACCACCCCCGAGATGAATAGCAAGGACATGTGATGTCAAAACTCGTACCTCTCAAAGTCGGCTCCAAAACGGTCTGTCCCGCATCCACCGCATTCTTCCCGCCCCCAATCGCTCCGTCCCACGCAACCAACCCCTTCCCGGTAACCTGCATATTCATCACGCTATCAAAACACGTCGGCGGCGCCGTTCCCACCGGGAACAACGATGTCGTGTGGCCGTAACCGGGGTTGGATTTCTTGAAGCTGCCGAAGCCGCAGAGCCCAAACACGTCGGTGACGCCTGTGTTGGGGAACCAGGACCGGACGTAGGTGAGGATGTTGGTCACGAGGTTGTTGGTGATGGTCGTGTCGGCGGGGTCGTTGAAGCATCCGGGGGCCTAAACCGCAGTCCATAAACAACCGTCAGCATTCCAACACCCTGCGCGCCCGAAATCACATTGTCGTGACTCGGGTTGCAATGCAAGGTCTCACCTCGCCATCCTCGTAAAGACTCATCCCCTTCAACACATCACTCAGGAACCCCGCCTGCTCCTTCAGCACCGCCGCGAGATCCGTCGACGACGGAAACAGGGCGCACGCCACGCTGCCCCCCGCGCAATCCGCGTCCTTGGAGCACGGCTGCAGGATCGTCTTGCAGTTCTCGCCCAGGCAGTTGAGCGCGAACCCGGGGAGCGGGCTGTTGGGGCATTTCCAGAATGCGGCGCCGATGGAGACCGACATGGCTGGGAAGGTCTGTTGGAGCGTGCATTTGGACGTGGAGCGCCAGCCCGCGAGCGTGCAGGTTGCTAGCAACATAGGTGGGTTATGTGTTGGGGTGGGACGGTGGGACGGGGGAAAGGAAAGAACTTACTGGGCCAGTTGATAAAGTCGTAGGCCTTGGCGAAGTCGAGGAGGTTGACGGGGAACTGGCCGGGGCATTGGGTGGTGGGCTCGGTGGTGTTGCCGACGGCGTTTAGCCAGGCTGTCATTGGGTCGAAGAGGAGGTCCTGTGATATATATTCGTATAACGTTCAGATCACGTTGAGGGTAACTTGAGCATCAGGCGTGTGGAGGGGACTCACATAGTCGTCGTCGGACACTTTGACCAAGATGAGGGGTGGGTGCATCGGTGGTTAGCATTGATACATCAGCGAAAGAATTAAATGCGACCTACGAGTTGGGCATCGGCACTTTGCACGCTTCTTGGCTCGTTTCACAGCAGCGCTCAAACCCCGTTCGATAGATGGCACATCAATATTGAACCCGATCTGCGCATGTGAAAGACACGGGTCATCCACACATCAGGTCCATTGCGTATGCGAACCCCCAAATCACACGAGCAGCCGATCCCTACCGGTAGATTCGGCGCAAACTCAAACCCCCCACCACACTCATGCCTCACAAGGCTCGTCCAGCCCTTCCCACCCGGCAACGCCGAGGTATCCGGGAGAAGGCCGCTGCCGTCACGGCGCTTAACGCTTCCCGTCTTATCATCTTGCGGGGGGGCGTCTTTGTCGGTGTTGACGGGCAGGACCCGCATGTCTGGGCGCAACATGTTCCGGATGGGCTGGGGCGCCCCGCGGTGGCGCGGCTGAGCGACGGCTGTGCTGGCGCTGAGGAGGGCGACGGCGATGCATAGGTAGAAGGTTTTCATGATGGAGATGTGGGGGATTGCGAGTGGAAGTTGCGAATAGGACTAGATCGATGTATAGATCATAGGATAACGATTTGGGGCAGGTGCGGGGATTAGTCTCACTCCTCTGCTTTTAAGCGGATCGATGTGCTCAGCCCAGGCTGTGTTGAATGAATGCCTTGGTATTGAGTCGGGTAGGTATGAAGAGGAGGGATCGTCCTTCACGGAAATAGAGTTAAATTTCGCATCGCATGGGATGTGGGGTTTCCTTCTCAGCCCGCCGCCCTACTACGTGATTGATGGACTCGATGGATGTTACTTAACCCAGCTGCTATCCCACCCAGAAGACAGTTGGCCTTCATTGCGTCAGCATCGACAGAAAAATGGGCCAGTACCTCGTCAACCTGCACACCGCCATCCGCCGGCATGTCGACAGCGGCGCCGACGCTCTAGCCCATAACGTCTCAACGAATCCAAAACGATGCATCACCATCGCCTTGCTCTGCAGTTTGGTTCCGTGCCTGGGGCTCTTTCAGGTCCATTGGGAAAGCGATCCGGTCAAATTGCTTTCGGCGGCGGGCAGCGCGGTACAGATGGAGCAGCAGAAGGTTGAGGCGTCTTTTGGAAAGTAAGTCTGGCTGTCCAAATATGCCTGCCAACGGCGCTATCCATCGTTGTTTCCGAAGTTGATTCATATCTCCTTATAGAGGTGGCGGCGTCAGCCTGATCCTCCGACCAACCGTCCCCGGCACGTCCGTGATCCAACACAAGTTTCTTCTTGCGCTCTTTGATTTGCAGGAAACGATCATGGGGATCAAGGTGAACGCGGGTGGGGGGACGGGAATGAAGGGGTTGGATGATATCTGTGTCAAAGTGTTGACGAGCGGAGGGGAGGTGGGATGCTTTATTCAGAGGTTTGTTTCGCTTGCTGTGAGCGGAGTGGTTTACGTAGCGTGTTCGATTGACACATTTCGACATCATTCCTTCTACTCGCGTATGCCGGTCCCACATCCCCTTCGGGTGCATTGCAGCCCCGTGCAAGACGTCTGGGCCACCCGCCATGACCTGCTTACCGACCAGCACATCCACCGCACCCTTTCATTCCAACACACCTCCTACTGCAAATCCTCCTCCGCCGCCTCCGGGAGCACCATCGGCGACCTCGAATGGACAACCCACAGCCCACGCCTCGTTTCACGCGGCACCTCTCTCAAACTCAGCATCCCGTTCTTCACCGCCGTCGACGATGCCAACGCAGACCGCTTGACCCGGGCATTTGAACGGGAGTTTGTGCGAATCGTCACAGAGGCGAATGAGCGTGGCTCCGACGAGACGTACGGTCGGCCTGGTTTTCAGTTGACGTACATCACGACCAACAGCATAACCGACGAGCTCTCGCAAACGGTCGCCGAGACCGCCTTCCTCTTCCTCGGCGGGTTCATCATCATGTTCGCCTACACCTCGCTAGCCCTCGGTGATTTTCACTTTGACCGTGTGCGATCGCGAGCCGGGCTGGCGTTGTTTGCCTTGGCGAATTCATGTGTGGCTATGGCGGGCGGCGTGGGCATGGCATCGGTTTTTGGAGTGCCGGTGCATCCGTTGACGTTGCAGATTATGCCGTTTTTTGTGTTTGGGGTTGGGCTGGATAACGTGTTTTTGTTGAAAAGGGGGTTTGCGGACAGGAGTCGGGAGGTGTGTATCGTCGAAGTATTCGAGCGGGGATTTGAGTTTTTCTTGTCTCAGCGTAGCATGATTGCTGATTGGTTTTGCCCGATTTGCAGCTACCGGCAGCGGATAGGATGGCAGCAACAATGCACAGCGTCGGGTACGCACTCTTCACCGCAACGATCGAAATGACACTGGGGCTCTTCCTCTGCTGCATCCTGCCCATGCGGCTCATCACATCCATGTGCATCATGGTAAGAACTCCGCTTCCCCCCTCATTCCCATCTACATTAACAACCGAGCTTCTCGTTTCATGCAGTGCGCGCTGGCAATAGCGCTCAACATGTTCCTCATGCTCACCTCCGTCAGCTCGGCCCTCGTCCTCGACGAACAGAGGATACGGGAAGGGCGGAATGATTTGTTTTGCTCTTTCTTACCTAACAACACCGCACGACATGGGCATGCACATGCTGGGACAGAGGCCAGTTTGACGTGGCTGGATCGGAAGTTAGGCAATTTCTACGATGCGTTAATTGGGACGTCGTTGGGGAAGCGGCTTACGGTAGGGCATATCTATGAATACCGTGTCATACTCGAAGCAAACATGTCTCATAGGTAACGATTGCTTTTCTCACTGTTTTGCATACCTTTCAGATAGGTACATTCGCCGCCTTTGCGCTCCTTGCACCTCTCGGTATGGCGTATATCCAGCGAGACATGTTTGTGCTCGATTTCGTCAACTCCAAGGGTGCTGTGGCAGGATATCTGGCGCAGAACATGCAGGTACGGCAGTATTTCCAACTCAGTTGCATCCCACTCGGACTAACCTATCAAATCATTTCAATCATAGGAATACCCCTCATCAGAAACCTTCACAATAGTCTTCACAACCCCCAACCAACTGTCTGCCCCAACTCAACACTCGCTTCTCTCCCTCCACCAAGCCCTCCAAACCCTCCCTTACGTCGACCCTGGCTCCCACCTCTGGCTCGCAGATTTCAAACTCTGGCTAACAGCAGCAAGCCCTCACAAATCGGAAATACCCCCGGCGGCAGATATCATACCTCCAGAGAAAGCCGGGGAGTGGTTGGCGCTGTTTTTGAATGATACGACGTACGGCGGGATATGCCACCGCGCGAACATCAAGGTCGATGACGAGGGACAGGTGGTCGCATCGAGGATGTTTGTGGATTATAAATATAGGAAAACAGTTTATGAGTATACGCCTGCAGTTGTGGGGGTTAGGGGGGTTTTGAATTCGGCGGGGGTTGAGGCTGCGGTGAGTTATTTGAGGGTGTTTAATGCTTTGAAAGGTGATACTACGCTAACGTGGATTTCTTGTAGACGTTTGGAAGGGTGGATATCGTTGCGAGGGTGTTGTAAGTCTCGCATATATCACAGCTTCGGGATTTCCCGAACCGCCACACTAAATCCCCCCTCCTACTCTCGTGTTACAGTGAGGCACTAACAGCCGAAGCAGCATCCGGCCTCCTCCTCTTCATCGGTACGTCCTCCTCACACCCCCTCTGTTCCCACATGACCACTTACATGATACGATTGCATTCCAGGCGGAGCGGTCCTCGTCAACCTGTCCCTCTTCGCCAACGCCCGCAGCACCTTCCTCTCCGTACCCATCATGCTCGCGACCGTCATCACTGTGTTTGCATCGCTTCCGGTGCTTAATATCCAGGTGCGTTCATTCATATCACCGACGACGATACTTCAACGTAGAATTGACTGGTGTTGTGATGTGTGATTTGTGTAGTTAAACCCGCTGATTATAGCAAACGCCCTAATCTCGATGTCGATCGCGAACGATTTCCTGGGGTATATCCAAAAAGCCTACATCGAGTCCTTATCGACATCGGAGGCCTACACCCTCCTCTTCCACGAAACGGTATCGCACAGCACCAACAAAGTGAAGACATCCAAATGGTGTACAGCGACCTTGGTATCGCTCACCTACGCCCTCGTGGGAGCGCTACTCTCCGTGCTACTGTTGGCCCTCTCGCCGATGCCGATGGTCAGCAAAGTGTTTTTCCGGATGTTTTTGGGGAGTATTGGCAGTGTTTGGGTGTTTTGCTTGGGGGTTTACCCGAATCTTTTGGTTTGGTATGGGCAAGGGAGTGGGAGGAAGGGGTGGGGAGGGAACAGGGAGGGGGCGGGTATGCAGAGCTTGAGACAGAGTAGTTTAGAGATGGAAGAATAGGTTTTTGGAGGAGCGCGATTGGGATGTACTAGTATCTTTGAGATAGGACCCAGCTGTCGACGCTACTCGTAAGATGAAAAAGGTATTGAGATGCTGGCTGCACGCCGCATGCCAGGTGTCTGAAGAGACATCACACTACACCCCTAGGGCAGAACGGCCCAACGTCTATTTACCTCCCCTATTCATTCTGTCCCCTTAAAGCGTCCCCTTCAAGCGCCGAAGGTATGCCCAAAGAGCGGTCACCATGAGGTGGCAGAAATGTTCCCAGTCAGAAAGAGTGAGGGAGGGAGGGAGGCCGCGAAGTTCTTTCGTATCGACCCCGCCTCGAGATTCACTATTGGGAGGTGTCATTGTCCTGAAATCCGGTCCCCAAAAACCGCATGGGAGTCAACTGACGGGAAGACGCGCTGTCGAAATTCTCTCAGGATTAAGGCGCGAACTCCGCTCTCTTGCGCGACCAACAAAACTGTTCCAACCAAACCCAAGGTCCGTGAGGCTCGATGACTACATGCATGAAATCTAGACTCCCCTCCCAATGTGAAGTTTCCACGTCCCGGTAAGCCGAGCACGATTCAGCCTCAGTTCCAGGATGCGTCGACATGGGAAGAAATGAGGGTGGTTTGTAACACGTAGCGGTCTTTGAGGTCAGTTTCCGCAATGGTGAGAAGGATGATGCTGGGACACTGAAAGTTGTGCTGTGCACATGCTCGCCCTAATGTGGACACTGGGGTTGGGTTGCGCTGGGACCCCGAGCGTGAGCGAGCGCAACCATTGCAAACGCCTTCGTGAGCGCAGTGACTTCCGTGCCGCAGGCGCAACGCTAGCGATCGACGGCGAGCAGCAAATGTGAGATCCAGCGACCAATCGTTTGTATGTTCCCGTTTCATCCTTTCATTGCTGTTTGTCCATCCATCCCTCTTTTCCGAGACGCCGGCCCAAGGCGTTCTCCGCATGACAGTTCCCGCATCAACCTCCTTTTTTCGAGACCGATAGACACCACGGAGAAATCCGAGCAATTGTGAGCGAAGCTAAGCATCGAGTTTCCCTTCCCGCGGTCCATCATCCGTTGTCTAGGTTGGGCGATGAATCGTTCGGAGTGACTGTGACACCGCCAAAGGAATCCGGATGGGTGTTTGAGGCCTGGAGCATTCTTTTGCTAGGCGGAGAGACCGAGGAAGACCCGAAGCTGCTATCCGCGGCCTGATAAGGCTCTGCACGTGTAGCTCCGCTATGGTGCTCTTCCTCGGAATGCAACCATGCATCGTCCAGCCGGGGAGACTGTTGCATTCTTTTCCGCTTATCGTGCGCAATGGGTACTCTGGTTCGCCTGCATCTGGAACTTCCTTCGCTGTAAACTTTTGACGTGCGCCGAGCAGAAACAATAGGGGATAATGCAGAACCGGCCGCAAAGGGCTATCACCGTTACGGAACTAAATGCGGGGAAGACACGCCAGGGGCTGGGAAAACTAAAGTCATGATTCAGACCGCGCTGTGGAACAATCAAACCCCCGAAACCGGGTGCGTGAAGGAGCAGACGCACAATCGAACAATGCGACAACCTTGTTCCAAGCAAGATTCCAGCGGCGCATGTCCGCTATCGCTATAAAGGGAAAGTGGGGCAAGGCAGACACCCAGGGGCTAGGGACATGGGGCGTTGTGTCTGCAACAATGCGCGACTCCTGAACCGCCGGCGCCCACAACCGCTGGTGCCTTAGCTATTCCCAACGCCCGCTGTGGCCTCTCCTTTCCTTTCCTACGCGCCAATGTGTCTGCAACAATGCGCGACTCCTGAACCGCCGGCGCCCACAACCGCTGGTGCCTTAGCTATTCCCAACGCCCGCTGTGGCCTCTCCTTTCCTTTCCTACGCGCCAATGTGTCTGCAACAATGCGCGACTCCTGAACCGCCGGCGCCCACAACCGCTGGTGCCTTAGCTATTCCCAACGCCCGCTGTGGCCTCTCCTTTCCTTTCCTACGCGCCAATGTAGCTTCCCCTACGACGACGACGCGTACGCCGGCAAGGACTTCGCCAACTACCATGCAATCCGAAAAAGGGCATAAAAGCCGGCCACCCTCATTCAGATCCCCTCTTCTCATCAACCAACAACAACCGCCTCGCAACAACACCAACACTACCTCTCTCAACAAGCAGATCATCAACCATGAAGTTCACATCCGCCATCCTCCTCCTCGTCTCCGCCTCCACCGCCTTCGCCGCCGCCGTCCCGGTCCTGGAGACACGTGAGCCCGCCCATTTGGTTGAACGCAGCGACATCGAAGCACGTCTCTGGAAGGCTGAACGGGTTCCACGGGACATTGAAGCCCGTGAGCCCGCCCATTTGGTTGAACGCAGCGACATCGAAGCACGTCTCTGGAAGGCCGAACGGGTTCCACGGGACATTGAAGCCCGTGAGCCCGCCCATTTGGTTGAACGCAGCGACATCGAAGCACGTCTCTGGAAGGCTGAACGGGTTCCACGCCGCGACATTGAAGCCCGTGAGCCCGCCCATTTGGTTGAACGCAGCGACATCGAAGCACGTCTCTGGAAGGCTGAACGGGTTCCACGCCGCGACATTGAAGCCCGTGAGCCCGCCCATTTGGTTGAACGCAGCGACATCGAAGCACGTCTCTGGAAGGCTGAACGGGTTCCACGCCGCGATATTGAAGCTCGTGAGCCCGCCCATTTGGTTGAACGCCGCAACATCGAAGCTCGTCTCTGGAAGAAGGAGTGAACACGTCTCTTTCTGACCTTCCTTGTAAATGTATACATAGCGCGTGTGTTTTCTATGTGTAGTGTGTGTAAAGTGGCGAGGAAAGCGAGGAAAAGTGTAAATCTGTATATTAAAATCTGATGCGAGTGCAAGATGCTTTTCGTTCTTGATGTTGGGAAGCTCAGTCGCGACGTTGGGAAGCTCATCAGACCTGTGTATTGGCCCGAGAAGAAACCAATAACGACGGACGAATTCTGCGGGGTGGAATGTCTCACTTGCAATCGCCCCATCACGCCTCAACGTTCTCCAGCTACTGTGCGTGTCGAGGATCGTTACGCTTCGCACACCACTCCTGCCCTTCCACCCGCAACAAAGCTCATATCCTTATCCAACGTTCTACGGCAAGGTGGCGGAATCTTGCCAAAGCGGGCGAATGGTCAGGAAAAACACGAACCATGGAGTTACACAAACGAGTCAGTGTTATGCCCATTTTGCTGGTGCTCTGGGGGACGCAAGTTCTTGGCTTTTGTGAAACCCTCGGACCCAGAAACGTGTATGGAAAATAGCACACATGAGGGCGGGTTGGCAGAATAAGAACACCTTCACGCAACAACTGGAGAATGAACGATTCAAGTTTTCAGAATCCACAAGTGATGGATGGATGACCTTGTGGCGTTGGGAGGAGCTTGGATCCCAAGGCTTCTTCAGACCAGAGGACGTCCGCGAGATTTGTCTCGCATATTTTCAAGCGCGGGACGGACCAGTTTGGATTCGGTTTCTCGAACGATGGACAGACCACGATCCATAACAACGTCCTGGCCAGAGATTACAAACATCAAGGACGATTGGCGATCACAACCCGGCATTGGAACCCGTGACGGCTCCATTTCAGTGACACTGTGTCAATTGAGTCAATTCACAACACCGCCGGAAAACGCCCCATCCCTCACCCTGCGGCGGCGTTGAACATGTTTGTCCGATCTATTTGAAGATGTTCTAGCCAGGGAAAACAAGGCGTCGGATGGCTTGGTGCGCCCAGAGTAACTGCAACGATCCTTCGAACGTTGATGACGACGGATGGGGGATGGGTGGATGAGAACGTCGGCCCCACTTGCACCCTTCAACAAGGACCGTCTGCCCCGTAGCACGCAAACATCGAAGCGACTGTTCCAGGAAATACAGGCTCAAATGCCAGGTGAGCGGGGCATCAAACCGACGCGATCGACGAACTGGATGAGCTCCCATCGCCCAACAGCGGGGATCCTTACTGGGCCGAAACAACGTCGAGGGGCATCCAGCAGGCTGGGGCCGACTACTACGAGGAGTCCTTTGCCGAACTTATCCGCCGCCGCCGCAAAACCCTGCCCCAGTTGAAGCCCGCCCAGTCTGTCTCCCCCCAAAAGAAAGTAATGGCAGTTCTGGCCGTGAGTCCGCAATGAAGTTGTGTTCTCGGCGTATACGTATGGGCAACGGGTCATCCCTCCGCATGAGAAGGGATGGACGATTCGCCAAGGGGAACTAAATGTATTGTACGTTGCGTGGCATACTTGACTAAACGTGAAAGTAGATTGAAGTAAAACCAGTGTAGATATACAAGTTGAGGACTCGGTGTCTCTCAGAATGAAGACTCTCTATATAGATCTAGATCTAGTATATACAGTACGACTGTCCGGCCGAAACCGGAGACGAATGATGGGAAAGGAAAAGTGTTGCTCTTGGGGACATCTACTCAACATCCATCCCACCCACATTCCCCATCCTCATTCACGACATACAAAAGTTGTTAATCTCACTCCTAATAGTCGCACCCGACCTACACCCCTTACTAAACCACACTCCCCCAACCGTCTGGGATGTCCCATACTTCGTGGTCTTCTTCGCAGCGATGGGCGGGTTCCACCCGGCGGGCTTGCCGTTTAGGCGGCAGCTGTTACCGGGCCCTTCGAAGCGGATGGAGCACCTAGGCCCGGGGACGTTGACGAGCACGCGGTCGATGGCGACGGAGCCGGAGTAGCAGCCGACGGAGGATTGGGAGTCGATTTTGCCTGTGATGGCGGTATGTTAGGGGAAATGAAGCGAGGATGTGACTCTGGCGAGCGGGGGTGAGATGGCGGGTTACAACTTACCATCAGAACGCATATCGCTAACTCGGTAAATACACGAATTGGCCGCGCAGGTGCTGCAATCGCCGCCGCGGGCGATTTCCCAGCGGGCGGAGACGGTGCTTGCGAGAGCGGCGAGACCGAAGACTGTGGTGAACTTCATTGTCTGTGGGGGGGAGTTGAGGTAGCGTTGCTTTGTTGTTGTTGTGTGTGCTTGGTGTTGGTGACGTGTGAGTGGGGTTCCGACCGATGCCCCCCTGGCCTTTTTATAGATTTGCTAGTTGGTTGGGATTTCAGACTCCGTGATGCACTACCAGGAAGCCTGATCGCTCCTCCGGAGTGTGAACCCAAAGGCCAACACCGTGCGTTGCATGTAAAGCAACGGTCAGGCTATGCACCATAAATATGCGGCCCCGCGGCGCGGACGTTCAATCTCCACCGCGCCCATCCAAGGTTGGGTCCGGCCTCCCCCAACGCCATCTGGGATGGGAATGCATATGCAGCAGTCCTTGAGTCCCTAAGTCTTGGTCTTGGCCGTGGATTTGTCCTTGACCGGAGCCCTCGCCAAATGCTCTCTAACAGCGGTCAGAGACCCCCGCCGGGTTCCCCTGCAGTAAAAAAACTGTAAAACTGTATCTCCGCTTTCCCTCACACCGCTATCGCCGCTTCTTCTACCGCGCTGAGACAGCGGGGATCTAACGATCAGTAGATGTCGATTGAGTAGGGTACGCTCAATCTCTCTCTCCGGTGCATTCCCATCGGGTGCTGAGCAGAGCAGGGGACATTGCCGATCGACAACGTTGGAGCCATCGGGCGGCCTCTTCCCAGCCCATCACATGCACGCACGCACGTTCGCGCGGTTCCCAGTCCAGTAATCGGTCAGAACGTTCGAAAATTGATCGCCGAAATGGGGGAGAGTACTAGCTGTCTAGCGCTTCATATAAAGCGTGCATAGGTTCCAAGCGTTCCCAAACGTGCTAATAGTTGCCAAGCGTTTCAAGCGTCCCCAAGACGAAGGCATGCTGATGAGGCGAATCGAACGTTCGTTGAGCGGATGTGCTACGCGCTGTCAGATTTCCTCTAGGGCCACTACTCTTGGCCTGTTGCCATGCTATCCAATGGGCCGGATGACTTTTGTATTTGGAGGGTGGCCTTGAAATGGAGGGGCCCTTGAGCATTCTGGTCGGAGTCCCAGCGGCCGGATCTTACGCGCCTTACGTAAGCATGACTCTCTGGCAATTTGGGCGGAGCTTCGCACACCCCAGATCCAGATCTCTTTTTCGCCGTCTCCTTTACCTCTAGATCCAGAGCTAACGTCTGCCGTCTATCTAGTCGCCGTGGTCTGTCGGCGAAACTGCTTCTCCGCATACACTCCTCTCACCACCTAGCTCTCACCACACAACCGTCTACAATGTCCTCCCCGTTACACTCACTCACCGGCCCCTCCGCCCAGCGCCCTTCCTGAAAGGCCTCCCGACATGGAGCAAGGACAACGCCTATGCACAACTTCGTACTCAACTCTGCGAGCGCCGGACCACCCTCGCCAAAATGCACTCATGGGGTTTCAGCCAGCCCGTCGCCGTCGAGGTCGCCAACGAGTTCAACAACGTCAACCTGTCGCTTGAGTGGCAGGGCGACGACGGCGAAGTGGCGGATAAAGAAGAACCGTTTTAGTCCACATATAGTCTTTCGTAGCGTTACTGCACTAGAATGACGGCGATGCCGGGATTGCAGAACGATGAAGTGCGCTTTGGAACCTTCTCATCCCTAGCTTACGGGCTCGGCGGCTACGTATCCCTCCGCGTCGGACATCCGTACAGCTTGCCCCTCAAGCTGATCAAAGACCACGGCAGAATGACAGACCACCTGAATCCCTTCATCATCGACTCTCCTCTTTTTGACGGATCCCGCAGTTTCAACCGACTGGTACATCCTCGATTTCTACGCCGCAAACGGCGCACGGTCCTATGCGCATCCGAAAGTGGTTGGTGTTGCACTTCCCGAAGAAGACCCCATCCCGTTTTACTTTTTGGGGCAAAGTGCGACGTGGTTCAAGCACATGCTGTGGCGGCGTGGTGGGGTCGGAAGAAGATTAATTTTAGGGCGGTGTCTTGAATTTTCATCGCTCAAACTATCGAACTTGTTACGACCGACGGCAAAAATTCCGCTTCACAACTAAAGTTGTCAGAACTAGCTATATATATCATGATTGGGTAGGCCATACATGCGGAAGCGTGGTAGACAAGATACAGAGGAAGATATTAAGAAATTACGCCGGAAGCTAACGAGACTATGTGATTTCAGACGGTACTCAGTCGTCATACCAGCACACCTCTCTTTCCTTTCTTTGCATTGCACTTCGCAGGGCCGCTACAAACTCTGCATCCGGGCTCCACAACGGCTTCGAAGGCTTCCTACTTCTAGCTTGTGCTACAAACTGCGCCTCTTCTTCGTCAACGTGAGGACTTTTGGCCAACCCTACTAGTAATTTCTTACTGTACAACTCCCAGGCCATGTCTTGATAAAGTTCATACGGTTCGATCTCTCCGTATAGGTCTTCTTCGTAGCTTGAACGTGAAACGTCGCTCTTTACTCCACCGTAAACTCCATCGTAATCATACCGGAAGTCTTCGAGCCGGGCATACTCAGGTGCGTACACTGGTCTCAAACAGTCTGGAGGCAAAGAGACGATCAGGTGAGGTGGAAGGACGTGGGGTGTTGTTGGGGTGTCGACGCTATATATGCTTCTGATCTCATGGTCTGACAAAGAGCAAGTGGGAGGCAGCGTATTTGAAAGGTTCTGCGGAATGAACAGAATTAAGCGGAGATGGAATGAGAGAAATAGAAGATGAGAGACAGTAAATGGAGACCACATACCGAATTGTGGGAGGCTGGCGCTTCTTTCAGTAAATCTGTCAGATTGAGTGATCCTATCAAGAGCCGTACCGCGGAGCTGATATCAGCAGGTGCCTCGGTCTTGGGTGTCTCCCGTTTCTGCATTTGTAAAACATATCAGCCGATTATATGAAAGGCGTTAAAGGATCATTTTCTATACCTCTATAGCAAGCGTCACGTAGTCATTGTAAATCCCTCGAATTTTCGTTTGAGGTTCGCGGGAATCAAGCTGTGGTTCGTCATTTGAAAACATTGACTTCATTTCAAGAAGGAAGAAATGGCTCTCCAAGCGCTTGAGGGATGCCTTTGGTCGGCTTCCTTGCAGTCGTGTTCTTTCCTCATTCGCATATTCGTCCTTCGCTTGCGTTTTGAAGAATTCTAATGCGTTCCATAGAGCAGCTCGGCACAACGCGAGCTCCACAAGATCGGCCGCAAATGCTCCACGTTGACGATAGATTTCGCCCCGCAACGACGAAGAAGCCTCCCTAAAATAGAAGACCGGGCCTGCGGTAGCATGCTCATCGAAGTACGTCATCGCGTTTTCCAGGAAATCATCGATCCAAAGTTCGTAGGAGTTTGTCGATACAGAGCCAGTGTGAGATTCCTCGTCTGTCGTAAACAGATCGGCATTGTACTTTGCGTTTTGTTTATAATACGGATTCTTGAGCGCTCGAATGCAAAGATGCAGAGCATTCTGGTCCATCGGAAAGGCCGGCACGTTCGGTTTGAGGAAGTGATACTGGGTATATAACCATCGGTGGACAGCAGGTGTTAAATCTTGCAGGGCCGCCCATATGTCACTTTGATCACCCAACTGATGGGCCAGACGGGGAAGATAAAATGCCAAAGTCTTCGCGATGTCAGCCAAAATCCTGCATAGAACGTTGGATATCAACTTCAACACGGTAATGATAGCTCAGAAGTAATGCATTCATGGTGTTACCTTTTTCTAGCCTCATCGTGCCTGACGTGAATATAGTCCCCATACTCCTTGAGAAGCGCCAGAGTCCTGTGGAGATATAGAAAGGACCACGCCCAAGTAATCTGCTACCTCGGTATTGGCAAAGGGAAGCGCACCGTGTTTTTGGATCATCGGCAATATCGCTATCCAGCTCGACAGCCTTTTTGACCCACTTGGGAATATTTTCAATGAACTTGTTTATTTCTGTGGTGAAAATATTGCCCGATTCATCCGCATCAATCATTTTGATCCAGAAATCCGGCGATATTCCGAAGTATCGGGCAAAATGCTCCTTGAACAGGGGCCGAGTAACACCTTCTGCAGGCCAGCCCGCAGTTGCCCACATTTCTTGAAAACCGGCATCGTTGATCGAGCTGTGAACTCCACTCTTGATGGCAGTTTCGAGGTCTCCAAATCGTTGCTTCATGAAATTTTTGCAGTCATCAATCGCCACCTGCAATTTCACGCTGTTACGACTGATGATATCTGACAGCTCCGTTTGCAGTGCTGCCTGAATTTCGTGGGCATCTTCGAAAGTACGTCACATCAGATTATGGATTCAGGAACAATTTCGAGCTTTTTGGGCATAGTGAAATTGCGTAGGCAGACGTGACAGAACTCACCCTCCTTTGATACTATTTCCTTGAAAGAGGTACCCATGATGCGTTGGATATCTTCCCATGATAGTGAGACCGAGGTGCCGACAGCGGCGACGCCTGCTGCTAGCTTGAATGATTGAATATCGTCTTCCATTTCCGCTGCTGCACGATCGGCCAGAGTTGCCTGTACAGCCACCAACTTTCCATGAATTTCGGCAATGCGACCGCTTCCATGAAGGCTGTGCTGCAACAGCAACCCCTCCTGATGCGATTGCAGCTTATTCGTGAAGGTATCAAACTGCTCCTTATGCTTCGAAGCGCGAAGCCGTCGGAGACTTTTTGCTGAGCAAACAATTAGACAGGGCATAAATGTACAATGGAAAAGCTCAGAGGCTTACTTACCGACAATGCTTTTGCCGCATATAGTCTCTCTGTAATACATGATGAATGCGTAGGCGTCCCGGATCGTACGATGAATCTCCTGGATGTGGCGCTCCACAATTATCCCGATAGCTGATAGTTGTTCCGAGGTGGGCCCCTCCAAAGTTATGGACTGAACAGTCTCCATGATACCCATGACATCAACAATTTTAGCCCAAAGTCCTTCACCGGCTGAGGTAGCGGAAGCTTTCTGTTCCTCCAGTTCCAGCGCCCACTTGAAGACGTCCAGGCATGGGCTATTCCACGCGAAACAAGGATCGCACATCAGGATTGCTCACGCGTTCAAGATTCCTCGTCTTCCTCCGTCCCCAGTGCCCGAAGTGAAACTATACATACCCTATGATCCGACCGAAAACCGGATCAGCCTTGACAACCTGTTGCAAAGCCGAAAGTACTTTCGAAGCGGCCTGGTTTAGGAAGGTGGGGGTGCTCTTCATCACATCCTGGAATCGGGAGTTGGCTGTGATTGGAGCAGCAATTGCTTTGCTGAAGCGGCTCTCTTTTCCGATGGCGGCGATGGCGGTGCGACCGTCGGAGAGCTCAGCCTTGGATAAGGGCACTGGCAGTTTCGCCCTGGGTAAAGGCAGTCTTTCCCTTGTCATGGTGCTTTCTCTGACCTTTGATTTCGCACAGCGCCGGCAACGAGGGAAGTATCACGCCGAACACGAGAAGGGTCGCCCATTGCCCATACTGTATATATACCAAGCCCTTGACGCTACATACCGTACTGTATATACACTTTATATGTACTGTACTTGCCGCTACGTACGTACTGTACAGGACATATGATACAGTACAACTGTCCTTTGTACAGAAACTGCCTGCATTCCTCTCAGCAGTCGCGCCCTGTGCTACCACACTACGGCCCACGGGTTTCCATGAATCTTTCCATAAATGGACCGTAATGGAACTGGTGTAATGGGATGAACTTGCGTGTAGGCGGATCCGTATACAGTTCAATACGGGGTCCTCGCCGTCCGTCGGCCTTTCCTTCATGCCAAAAGTGTCTCAAGCGGACCACCAAACCACGTAACATATACGGTTGTGCAATGGCCGCAATGGATTTCTGGCTGTCCGGAATCTGCACGACGATTTCGATCAACGTCTGAGGCGTGGTCACACAAAGTGGGGTGCCGCGTTTTTTGGCATAAGCGGAAGACAGCGAACACCATGGCCGCGCTCTGCGACTCCCGGAAGGATATTTCCCGAACGGCGTACGCGGACCACTTCCCGTCTGCCACATTGTGGGAACACCACTTCAGGTGTTCTGTTTTTGCGCACATGCATGGAAGCGGGGATCCGAATGAAGATCCGGCCCGGGAAGGTGAACCGCAAGCGATGCTGGCGACAGAGCTTGCCGAGATTGAGGCAAGTTTGGGAATATTCGACGGCACGCCTCTCGCTGATTCAGTGAAGAAAATCCGGGGGATGTGGTAAAGGTCTTCGACTCTTCGGTGGTCTTAACGATGCGGGCGTGCCGATGGATGTTCCTGCCCCGTACATCTGAAATTTTCTAAAGCCATCATGCGCCCTTGAGGCTTGATTGAAGGTGGACCAAATACATGCCCTGTGCCCATGGAACATGGGCAGAAGGGCTTTCCCAGACGAAATTCGGATATTGTGGCACCCGAATTAGACCCTTTCTCAGGGAATAATCCACCACTTTCACACATTCCATCAACAGCAGAACGAAGACCAGGCCAAAGATGGTCGTGACCCGCGCGTGTCTGATGAAGACTGGGCTGAGCTCGAAGAAGCGAAACTAGCGGACGCAGAAAAGATGGAGCGCATCCGCAGAGAGATGGGTAAACAGGCCTTGCAAGCGGAGATTCGCAAAGCGCAAGCTGTCCAAGAGAGGATTCGTCGCATTTGTCCCTGCCCCGCGGGTTTCAATTGGTACAAAACACTCCGGCTGGCGTTGTGGGGGTGGCACTCATTTTGTCAACGATCAGGAGTTGCAGGCAATGTTCACGGCGTAGGATCTCTTTATTCCCGTGTGTAGTTTAGGAGAGTTTTGCCAAGTAGCTTGCATTCGCTGCACTGGCCAAAGGTGGAATATGTAGGCCATAGATATATAGGTCATATGTAGTAGTAGTAAGGGAATACAATTGATTTCCAAAATGGCGCTGACAACCTGAGTTTTCGTCGTTGTTCTTCGTTGTCCTTCTTCCTTCTTCCTTCTTCGGCTAAACCAGCACATGCTTGCTGTTTATTCTCGGCCGTAAGAACCCCTGAATTGCAGGCCCGTAAATTCAGCTTGCAGCTACGTCGACCACCTTCGGAACCCGTCTGCTCTGAGAATAAATCCCGCCGATCAGCTGAGCATGTTGTTCAACATGACAGAAAGAAACAGATTTGACTCATTTATTCTGTGCGTTTGGAACTCTCCCGCATGCACAAACTCTCCTGTAGACTATATGCTGTACGTTGTGAACTCCATCCACCGCAAGCAGAAGTGCAGAAGTGACGGCGCCTCATTTCGACAGTCTCCACGCCTTACATAATCATGCTGTCGTTGTCGGAGCTGCATGCCATCGGAGCCACCCAAGGCTGAGCTCTTTGTTCTCTACGAAGCTGCCATTTTGGAATTTGGGGTAACTTGTCTGCCGGCGGTATTCAGCGCTAAAATTGCATGCAGTATCATTAGCAAACTGATCAGTGCAGAGTACTCGGTCGTACCACGGCCCCCTCGGGGATGGTCGCCATTCATTTGTTCTTGGAACTTGTCATTCGGGAAATCCGGGGAAACATGGATCTGGGATTCTGGGCCCACGGGGGCGGTCCAAATTCCTATCGAATTTGGAGATAGCTGGTTAACCGCGAAACCTATGGTGGGACTCCGCCCGAGTCCGCCTTCTTCCAAGACGGCGGAAGCTCCTCCAGGCGGCAAAAAAAATGTTGATTAGTATTACGTATCGGTAAACAGTCAGATTTCATGGATAGATATCTGCGTCTGTTTCCTTCGGAGATATTTGACCACAAGTAGACTGTCTTGTAACTCTTCTCGTCGTGGGATGCGCAAAAGAGTTTCGCCGTAATAGTGGAAAAGGAGAAGCAAAATGGACAGCATCGAAGATGGCAGATCGTCCTCAAAGAGGGGGCAGACGAGACTGATTCGTGAGCATCCCTTTGTGGCTGCAATAGTAAGTGTGATGGAGAGTTTTGGTTGTGTTTCAATGGGTGAAAACGCGAGTGTCCCATTCATATTTCCCACACTTCATATTTAGTTCGGGCTGCTCCATGGTACGTAGCTCAAGCACACTGCATTTGATATTGTGATTAACGCGCTAACCTTGAGTACAACATTACTTGTTTTGGATAGCCATGACCCACGGAAATGAGATCCCCGTTACTATGGGATGCGCCTTGTCTGTTCTGGAGGACCTGCAGCTGTTCTCTTTTGCCTTGCGCCCAAATATGGGATACGGCAAAATGCCCTCATGGTTTCGTACGTATGACGACTGAAGGTCGATCATAACTCTTTGCTCAGAGCCTCCGCTTTGCTAACTACAATGCTTCCTCAGCGCTGATATTCAATCCGATGTCTGCAAAGCCCGACGACGACATCCGTTTTGCTGCCTTGTTCTACATTGCCTTCGTGGTTACAATCTTCACCGCTGGCTTGACCTTGGTGGTCGGCTTCTCTATGAAAGGTTCCCAGATAAGAGGTAAAGCGGGAAATTGAATGTATCGCCGCGAATATTCAGTACAGTCCAGGCTTTGACACACCGTCGGCGCAGTTGTTTGGCCTTTGCAGATTTTGCGTATCATGACGACACTATTAGCAACGGTTCTTTTCATTCCGCTCCTGGAGATTTTCTTGCATGGTCTGGCTTGTATGGACACATCCAACCATACAGTGTTGCTTGTCTCTTCACCATCAAGCTGCTTCACATCAAAGTATCTCCCGGAGTTCATCCTTTCGATTATCAGTCTCCTATACTTGTCTGTACAGGTTCGTAGGGTCTACTATCGAATTTGGCAACCGTATTGCTCTCTGGTGCCCAACGCCATTTTTCCTTATCGCATTCTTTTTTCCAGGGCGTCGTGATAAGTCTAATATTCTTCAGGATCGATCCGATGGGAAAGGACCCTCATGCGAAAACCACTGGGCGCATCGATGCTTTATATAGCTGCTTGCGAATGCTTCTGTCCGTCTGTGCTACAATTGCAGCCGACGACCCCGCCGCTGTGCTTACCGCCATCATTATTTCCTCAACGATTATGCTCTACTTGACATGTCGCTACCAACCCTACTTCAAGGGGGTGATCAATGATGCGCGCGCGGGAATGTGCTTTGGGAGTTTGATTTGCGGGATTACTTCAGCTATCGTGCATAACCATCCGGAATGGACTGATAGCGCTGCACCGTTCGGGTTTGTGTGCTCTCTCGTTCTTCCTGGGATTGCCATTGGGTTTGCATTGTCCCGCAAGTCAAGAGAACGGACCGCTGCCCGAGTCTATGCCCAACTAAAAGGTCAGGACCGAGTGTCATTTCAAGCGAAGTGTTCCATAAATAAGTGGACTTCTTACCCGGTTTTTATTTTCATTTTGACAGCCGCCATGAAGTCGGAAGGCCCTCGAGGCAGAGATGGAACCCTTTCTCGAAAGACAAACCTTAAGAGGAAAGGGTCTCTGCTCCAGACGAACACAGTTGTGGGAAGCAACGATGTGGATTTAGAGTCTAGTCAGATGGAGCCCATCGATAACATTGTAAAGAAGCACGAGCCGAAGGCGATCAAGCTTTTTGCGAGTTCATACGACGTGGAGCTCTCTCTCAGATTTTTGCAACATAACGCCGATACGAGCGCCAAGAAACTCGCCACAATATTACTCCGCAGAGGGGCTGAACAGTTTCCGGGTTCTCCAAATGTTCATTTGATGCAGGCCCATTACATTTCCTACTTTGAGTTGGGGCCGTCAAGCGAAATCTGGGACTGCCTTGTTGCTGCTAAGGTGGGTTGGAGTAAAACTACTGCGAGCCTCTCCTCCTCTGGGAAAAGCGCGGTACTTAGTCTGTCGTCACGCATTTACATAGGCTGCCAAACCGCACGTGGACACTCGCTTTTGCATCTTCATGGAAGAAATGTCTCTTGAGCAGGAGCGGCGGAAAGAAGACTTGGTAGCCTCTTCCATGGGGGTCGCACGATACGCAGAAGTGAATGCCCTGGAAGAGGAAGCAGAGCGGTATCATGTGGAGACCTTGATCGCCATCAAGAAACTGTGGCAATTCTTGCGGAACGAAAAAGACAAATTCGCTTGTCTGCCCTATTTGCTGGAACACATGCAGGAAAAGCGATTGAAGGCGCTCTCCCGTTATGAGAACCTGGTGGCCAAGTTCCCGGTATACTAGTTAATTGCATTGGCTTTTATTGGTTCTGATTCGAAGTTAATTTTGACTTATGAAAACACAGAACTCCAAGAAGATACTCCAGAGCTACGCGAGCTTCCTTCTGAGGGCAACGGATGATCCGGAAAAGTGCAAGAAGCTTCTTGCGGTAAGCACAGTATTTGAAGGGGGTTGTCCCAGCTTTTATTCAGTATAATCTGATTGGCATGTCCTCACTTGTGAAACAAAAAGCAATTGCAAGAATTAGAAAAGGAAGAGGCTAGATCCGCAGCGGCGGCAGCGGCGAATGCCGGCCTCGCCCGAAATACTCCAACAAAAACGTACTCCAGCATGCCCAGCATGCCCACCGTCCCCAGCATGGTCATGGAGTCCAACTCGGCAGTCCAGTTCAACATAGCGAACGACGACGATGAAATTCAAGTTGGCGAAGACGCCGCTGGTGCAAGTCGGCGGTTCAAGTTCTCGGAACCCTCCAGAGATTCCACGAAGTCGCGCCCAGGAGGCAAATCAGTAACCACGATGCCGCACCCGGAAGTTTCACTCGGAGAGAGTAGCAAAAAAGCCCCACCAGCTCCGCGAAGCGTGACAGGACTGTCCTCGGGCGGCAGTCAGAGGGAACGCAACCAGCGCTACCTCAAGGACGCCATCGCGAAAGGGTTGAAAAATCCCATAGACACCTTCAACATCACTGCTTCAGCTCTCATTTGTTTGATTTTTATACTTATCGTCGGGGGTTTCGGGTTCTGTCTGTCTGTGTACAGCCAAATCCTCTCGGCTTTGCCCCTGGCTTACGACCGAGCCAGACCTCGGATCTTTTCGTCGCGATGTAAGTGCAGTCTTCATTTCAGGGATGAAATGGACGACAACCGGAATCTGACCGTGGCTTTCAAAAGTTACAATGTACGCTCGTCAAATTAGAAACCTTGGAAGAGGCGTTGCTCCTGTTGGCAATCCCGCCACGGAGTTCAACACCACCATGAATCTGATAACCAGCATGCTCGGACGCACTTGGGAGCCAGTGTGTATGGCGCTGCTGGAAGCAGAACGACTAGGCGATCCTCTGGATATTGTCATTCGCGATCGCAATGCTGGAGGAGGTATTTGAAACCCACCTACGCAGTTCCCGGTGAAGGTTCTCCATGGCTGACATCCATAATCTTCGCTGTTAGATCACATGGAGGCATACAGTACTTTCACCTTGGGTCGGTCAATCACCAACCATGTCAACGACATTACGGCCCTTGATATTACCAACTCCCAGTACTCGTTAGCTCCATTGTGGTTCATCGACAACATGAACACCATGGCTACCGCTTATACTCAAGTGGCGTCGGATGCTACCGCCACGTTCATGACCAGTATCACTGGAAGCATCAACGGCATGAGTAAGTGATCGGAGCACTACTTTTTGGAGAAGAGAGTCTCTTCGTAATAACGACTGCTTTGAATGATAGTTGCGATCCTGGTCGTTTTGGGGGTTGCCAGCGTCGTGTGTGCGGTGTTTCACTTCTGGCCAATGATAAAGCGAGTGCATGAAAAGCAATTAGCTGTGCTCAATCTCTTTGTCGGTATCTCCCGAGAGCACGTCACGCAGATGATGGAGGCCTACGACGCTGAGATTGAGATGATCATGGAGAAAATGGAGAATTCAGAGGCGTTTGCAGAAATTGCAGCTTCCAATGAGGCGGGGTTTCCACCAGCCCGCATAATGCTCGGCCATGGACCCAAAACACAGATCAAGGTATTATGAGGATTGAGGCGTTGTTGCCTGCAGATGTTTATAGCAGGCTGATGCCAGCCGTTTGCGCATCTCCATTTCAGCGTGTTGCCATCTTTTTCTTCTCCGTTATTCTTCCCGGCATTGCAATGTTTATTCCCACGTTGTCACAAGGATCGGTGAGTGGAACTTGTATTGCATAGCCTGCATCTCGTCGCGGAGCTGACAGACCACCTATTGTCTATACTCCCTGTAGGATTCCATCGTGATTTCCCGTGTTATAGCAGGAGTGTCTAATCGGAACCATCTTACCATGATCACTACAGCAACCGCGCTGGAGCTAGCATCAAACGAGACGAATTATGTTGTGCCGCCGGAATCTTACCGAGCTTGGTTGACGTACTGGAACAACGCGTTCAAAGCCCAGAACGATGACCTTCTCACCAACGGTGGCGGCTATCCGTCAGTGTTCGCCTTTGCGAGTCTGGGCAACTTTCTTACGACTAGCGGGAATTGCTTTTCGACCTACCTCCGTTGCAATCCCAGTACAAGGTTCGAGATTCCGTCTGTTGCAATCGTTGGTGACGTGTTGGGACTTATGTGATCGAGTTCCTCATTAGATACTTCAATGCTTCCATTGGACTTACTTATGACCTTGTTACGTCACCTTACGAAGCACTAAGTACGTGAAGGAGGCGGAAGCACATTGGGATTTGTACCTCAGAGGGAGAGGTAGCTAACTTCAAGCTCACGTTTACCTCAGTGTCAAGATGGGTGGCCAGCCTCGAAAATTTCATCTCTAAACCAGCGGCTGAGCAAAATCTTTATGATCCCGATCTCCAACTGGCATATGCGATACAAGATGATCTGTCCGGGGGGGCAAAACTGATGAGTAACCTCATCGTCAGCGATGTTAGCAACCGGAACTCTCAATTGAAGGGGATTACGGTGACCTTTTTCGCCTTATCAATCACGGCCTTTGGCGTCGGCTATGTTCTTGTCATTCGACGATTGATCAAGACGTTCGAGGCACAAATTGATGGCTGCCTGTGGATGTGCTTTAGTTTGCCTGCAGATGCGGTCAATGCTCTTCCTGAGTTGAAGGTCGGTCTCACGGACACTCTCAACATTTTGTTCGATATGTCGACTCATTTTGCATTTCGACTCTTTCTAGCGATTCATTGACAGTGCGGGAGCTATTCTTCCCCGTGCTGGGCAAAGCACTTGAAAAACTTGCGGAATTGCAGGCGCACCATATTGGGACGGTTGAAAGAAAAAGGGAACTGCAGGGAAACATCCTACTATCAAAGGAGTGCAGTCTCTAGGGGGAGGTTACTTCTATGTGTACGTTTTGAGTAGTAATCATAAAAAACCAGCTTCTCGAGATGAACTTGGAGCAAGTAGAGATGTTAGCTTCATCTCGCGCCACTTAGAGATGGGACATACGCCACTTTGTCATTCCTTCTCACCGGCTTTATCTCAGTGGCAGCATACACCAAGGCGTTCGGTGCCGCGGAACGATACCATCTGGTCAGCCAACCATCAGGGGTAATTGGGACCCACTTCGGAGTTTGTGCGTCGCTCCGAGTATCGGCGTTGTTGGGGGCGGGAGCTCGAAGCATCGACGAGCACGGCGACAACATTCCTCTGGCATAGGTAATGGATCTGACACGAAATTCACGAAATGATATTCAATTTTCATTCGACTCAAGACTCAAACATAAACAGAAAACTGTATGGTATATTTACATTTGCTGCCTGTCCTCTATCTCCGTCTCCATCTCCTTACATTCCTCCTTTGACGCGCGCTCACGTTCAGCCAAGACCAGGGAGAGAAGATCAACTCGATAGTCCCGCATCAAATCCAACTCCAGGTGGAACAGTTCGACCATCTTCCGATTTATTTCCAATATGAAACTCTCGATCGCGTCCTGCCATTCTTGGTGGGATTGATAATGGTCTCGATCAACTCGTAGATGTGCTTCTCGCAGCACCTCTTCAAAAGGACTGAACAACAATGCGTGCATCATGGTGAGAGCGGAAGTGTCCATGGGATTCATTGTATGCAGGATGCTCTGCATCATGGTGTACTTGTAATCCGAACGATTCCCAACGATTCCGGAGGCATTGAACACAGATGAAACATTGATGTCGATCGGCGTGTCCCTCATGAACTGACCACCGCGTATTCGTTGACGAACTTGGGCAAGCGCCAATAGCCTGATCTTCTTCGCCTGGCTGGATGGGACGTCGGACGTGCACGGTTGCGGGCACGTTGCGGGCACGGTTGTGGGCACGGTTGCGGCAATGGAAGCGGGGACGGATGTAGGAGGCGGCCCCATCTCATTGCCTTCACTGTGGACGGATATGATGTTGTCCTCCGCAGCGGTCGCCAAGGAGTATGGGGATGGATATTTTTCTACAGGAGGCAACAAGTATGCATCCCCATACATATGCATCTTCTACCCCCTTGCAAGCTTTCCCCAAAATTGCGGAATGCTTCACAGAATCCCCATCCGGACATGGTGCGCAAGGGCGCACCCATGGGGATGCATATTCCCGCTCAGATTCCCGCTGGAGGTTCACGTCTCACGCGCTTCGGTGGGCAAGCAGTCGCCCGTCCAACGAACTCATAACTCTGGTGGGCGAGCTCCCTCGACGCTGTCAGGCCAGTATTGCAACAACAGTCAAATTTCATGGACTGCCGAGACCCGACGCTGCTTTCGAGTGGTTAGCGATTCTAACAACAGGGCTTTGGCTTCAGCCGCCTCCAGCGCGCCGTTGTCCGCCGTTGACCGCCCCCCGTCCCGCTCGGTAAAAGAACCCGACATGCTAACAGTGCACCCAGCAGCCGGGCCACCCCAAGGACGTTCCACCACGCTCTCAAAGGCCAGCGATAGCGACCGCACCTCCCCAATGTCGTAGCCTCCATTCCTCGACAAGGCAACGTCTCGCGCAATCAACTTGTGATCCGTGCGCGAGCGTTGAGCGTGACACAAATTAGGGCTATCAACTGTTAGACTATCTGTTCATCGGGCAAAGGCCAACAACTTGAAGGGCTTTACGCTGCCGTCGTGCCGTTGGAGCTATGCACTTTTTCATTAGCCAGAGCGGAAAGTGGTTCTTCCCCACCCACTGCGTAGATCCCGAGGAAGAGACCCGCTCATTGGACCGGGACGAAAACAGCGAAGGAGCAAAATTGTTTTGCGCCTCTATTGTCGATACCGCTCTCGGTAGAGTTCGTCATCTGCGACAATCTCGCTAGCGGCGCCTTTCTTTATCCGTTCCAAATGCGGGCGACGCTCCTGGATCGCGGCTTCTCAAAAACCCCTCACGGAAAGCTAATGGCGATTCAGACTGGGCCGTGGCTTTCTGGACGGCAGCAGGACGCGACGCTTGACGGCGATTTGGAGTTCCTGATCGTGCGAACCGAACAGCAGCTGCGGGAAAAGGTCTTTGGGGTCGAGATGAAGGCATTTGAATGTGATGAGGAAGCGATGGAAGCCCTCTACAACGGCTTCGTCGAAGATTCGTTCACTGGATCAGACTGGTTTCACGTTCTCGGCTACACCGTCACGGAGGAGAATGGCACAAAGCGGAAACAGCTGACCATAGCTGCTGCGCGTTTACTCGACAGGGATGCTGGCGTCTCGATGCTCTTTGGGGTGGGTGTGGTCCCGGAAGCGCAAAAGATGGAGATGGGCGCGGCTGCGGTCGAGTTTTGTATGTTCTATTCTGGCGCTCACGGCCGATGATGATGTACGGCAGTTTTATTCGAAATTGGATTCGCGGACATGAGCGATGTCAATGACTACAGTTTAGACACTGAAGGTGGCGACGGACGACTCGAAGGCGTGTGATGACAGCAAAATCGAGGTCCCATCCAGATCGAGTCCCTTACCGCCAGTGTCGATGAGCGATTGACCATATTTAAGGCATCCCCTTGCATATCATAAACTATTAAGATTCACCGGACATAGATATCGGTCCTCTTAGTCATGTAGAATAGAACGACCGGCCCTGACGACAAGCTTCTTTCCTTTCAAAATGTGAAACGAGCTCGAAGCAGCCATTGCTCCCACATAAGATTACACAGCGTCGTGCAGGATGCAGTGCTCCGTCGTAAAGGCCTCCGGTCTTTGCATCGCGCCGTACGCTTCCTCTTCCCCTTACATCTCAACATCTGCGCCCATATCGCTCGTTCCGGCCTCAAGCGCAGGAGAAAGGGTTACAATAACCAAAAACTCAGTCGTCAAAAGTGTGGACAGTGCTTGTAAACTTTGTGGAAAGCGCCTGGGCCGGCATGCTTATTTTTATTACAATGGTATGCGTGAAAACTATATGTACGTTCCATCTCGGACCGGGGCGCCGGGCCGGCATGCCCATTAAGGTCTCCTTTGGCTACCACTCGACCAAACCCCAATGCTGACAAGCTCCCATATACAGAACCAACTCCATCGCCGCTGGCATTCGAAATGCTTACTTCTCACACCATCTTACTCCATCCTACAACCTTGAAATCTCCTCGAAATGCTGAATATTCAGCTCCCCATCCAACCACGGGCCCACAGTCTTCCCAAACTCGGCATAAAACGGGTTCTTGATATGCGTCTGCAAATCCGCTTTCGATTCGTATCGCTCGACGATCGCGAATTCCGTTGGTGTCTTGGCGGATTGCATGACGAACCACGAGAGGGTTCCCTTGTCTTGCGTGTAAACTGAGGAGGCTTTGGCGAGGAGGGTGCGGACGGAGTCGGTGCGTTCGGGTTTGACTTTGACGTTGACGAGGAGGGTGTAGACCATTTTGGATAGTTGGATCGATGTAAATGGGGTATGAAAGAGGAGGTTTATTATGGAGAAAAGGAAATTCTACGTAGTCTCGGAGGGAGCCGAAAACGAGTCTGCTATTTATATGCGTGCGCCTGAGATGCGTTTGTCATCAGCAAGAAGCGGGGCTTGTGGAGATGAGTTTGGTCCCGCGTTTACAGTTACTTTACGCGTTGCTGGAGGACAAGCCGTTGAGTTGCAGGACGGTAGCACTGAAGCCGCTCGAAGCCACTCTGGGACCTATATCGACACTGACGGTAGGGGTCACAGCATTCTCGTTCAAGACTGTAACATTTGCAGACGACGAGGCGACGGATACAGTACTGTTTACACTCGATCTTGAGCCACACAAGCAGTTTGAAATCAGCAAGGGCCTGAAATCCGAAGGCCCACATATACTCTTTTAAATCATTGTAAGACGCAAAGTCAACTTGAGAAGGGTCGAATTTAAACAAAGTCCTCATGAGTGCCCTCTAAATCCTCTCTGTACAGGAACATCACTCTAAGCTCAGGATATGATCGTAGACATTTACATCTTAGTCAAGCTTCCGTTTGTCGCCCCTTGATCCAAAGCAACACTGTAGGGCGATGTTCAGCAGTGTAGTGATACCGACCACCATGTGCCAGAAAGCGGTCTCATGGAGTTTCTGTGCGACTTCGGAAGGAAGGCCCGATGCCCCGTTTTTGTGCATCCATTCTTCAGCTGGTACGATCTTTGTGATGAAGGGGATCCCCGTGCCGCCGAGGAAAATTAGGAAACTGAGAAAGTGCTTCGGACGATTTATTTTGTCCGAGATGATGCCTCGAACGAGCACGCCCATCAGTGTCGTGGATACGAGAAGGATGACAGAGATGAAGTAGGGAGGGGCTTCGGATCCTGCCTTGTAATGTGCCTGAGTGTGGGCCGCAATGGTAAACACCAAAAAGAAGGAGAGAGAAATAAGAGCGATGAAATCGCTTGTCAATATAAGTTGTCCGATATGACTCTACGGGTCAAGCAGAGTTGAGGAACCATCCATCTTCTTCCACCTGACCAGACATAGTGTCGAAGAACAGAGGTATAAACCGTAGGAGAGAATGGTTCTCCTCATACGTTCTCTTCACACTCCTCTGCTATCGTAAACTCTTCGAACGTACCAGTGCACGCTGCATGACGCCATGAGACAGTTCGTCTCCCCTGAGCGAGTCCGAGCGAAGCCTGAGATAGGGCCACCAATGGTGGTCCTGCAAGCTGTCTGTCAAGACAATGCCAAACAAAATGCCCAGGCAAGCCGTGACGATACTAGACATACTGAACGTCTGACTTCAAAGACGAGCGGCTTCGTACGAGATTAGGGGCTCCCGCGTAAGAAAGCTGGAGAAGCCGTCGACAGAACTCTCACGGTTGATTTCAGTACAGTCACGTCGCAAAAAGCTGTGCACCCCCCTGAAATAAATCAGCGACTGCCACAAAGCCAAATGCACGTGAGTGACTGATATTGATTTCAATTGGAGGGGGTGCACACCCTAACCCTAACCCTAACCCTAACCCTAAGGCGCACACATCGACATGACGGGCAAACGACTTAAGTATGTATGTATGTGCAAACGTTTTCAGGCTCAAAGGCTCAACCTCCTCAGCAAACTTCCATCTTGACTGCTAGCGTAGAAGTTTGTTATCAGAAGAACGGTGGGGGTAATGGTCAATACGGGTGCCATCCGCCACTCCAAGATTCGCCAAATCTAAACAGCTCCCATTACTAGAGCTTTCTGCTTCTGTGCAAATCGCCACAATGAGTCGACCAATGAAACAGACGACAGCACGGCCATGTGCATTGAGCCAAACTTCAAGGAATCATGAACCCCACAATCCGAACCACTGGCAGGACAAAAGGTGGCAATCACTGTACTTGTGCAAATGAAGCTTCCGCCGTGGGTCGGCACATCTCGCACAAGATGTGCAACCCTGTCCCTACGACACTTGCGGGCAGGATGCATAGTCTCTTCATGCGGTGTCGGCCCCGGCCTACCCCTTCAAGACGGGGACTTTATCACTTTGAGTGAGGGCTCTTCACAGGTGGCCTCATTTGCACTCGTAGGACGTGCATGCCACAACCCTGACCTAACTCCCACCGTTAACGCCTACTACAACCCCCCCATTAATGAAATCGTATTCCCCGCCGGTACACTCCTGCGCCCTTCTACGGAGCTGGTGTCCCGACTACTTGTACTATGGTAGGCTTCCCGTCGCTTCCGACAACATACTGTCGCCGCATTAATACCATCCGCTTACTATCTTTCCTCCCCTAGGTCGTATCGGCGTGGTCCTCGTATATGAATCGACTCATGGGTTCGGTGACAACGGCCGTCACTACCGTGCAAACGGAGCGGTCGAAGACGGCTGGACCCAGACGACTGCGGCTGAGTTCGAACAGAAGACAGTATGCTTCAAAGACCAATGCTCGTCCTTCCAAGTCACCCGACGGCGCGAAGGCCAGCGTCGATGGCGCGCAGACCTTTGGCGAGAACCTCGCTAACGACGGCGGTATGGCCCAATCCCTTAACGCCATGTGGTCCAAGGAATACAAGTCCGCCGACGGTGCCACCCGCAACCAGCTCCTCCCCGGAATCACCAACACCCCCGGGGCAGCTGTTTTTCCTCCCCTTCACCAAGTCTGGTGCCAAAACATCCATCCCGAAGCCCTTTACGCTGCCGTCGCCTCCGACGCCCACGCTCCCGCCAGGTTCCGAGTTGCCGGAACTGTCGCCAACACTCCTGAGGTCGCCAAGGCGTTCCAGTGCAGTGCTGTTACTCTCATGAACCCCGCCGAGATGTGCAAGATCTGCAAGAAGTGCAAGAAGTCAATAGGACTTCCGTTTCCATAAGGTTGACCCCTAAGACTATACCATTGACTATAGACGATATACCTCCCATACGCCCTAGACCACACGTATGAGATCTGTAGACAGATTGGGCTGGCTCTTAGAAATTATTATATGTCTTCGTTTAGGAGTATTCGTATACATAGATCGCAGCCAGTTGGGATGTATAGGACAAGGGTTACATGTCGCCAATGGACACCAGGGAGGGCTGGGACCTTGCCCCCGATTCGGCTATGTTCTGCGAATTCTTCTTGCACATATTGTTCATCAGCATTCGCAACAGAGATGTTGTTTGAAATGTCTTTTGAGACTGGATGGTTGTAAGCACGCCTTCATCTTAAGTACGAGGGGCTTCATCGAGACTTTGCTCCTGATTGCTGCACGTGCGTGCTACAGTATGCATCCAGAGCACCTTAACGTTGCCGAGATGAAGTGTCGTTCTCATAACTACCTTTCCTGGCCAGCTAGCGTTCACACATCGCATTTTGCATTGGTTCACCCGTGTATGCTCCGAAGATGCTATCCAGCAACCCTGACTACGAAAGCTACCGACCATAGGCGAAGCCTTCATCTTCTTCATCTGAAGTTGCCCTGAAGAGTACTCCGCTCCTTTCATGAAGAAGGAGGAATTCGTCATTCAAATGGACTTTATGGGAGTCGTGTGTCGGTAATCAACCCGAGGAATATTTCAAAATTAATTTTCAACGAAGTGCGCAATATTGAAACTCCGAAATGTGGATGTCTCGAACTTGGGCTCGTCTTCGATTGAAATTGATTGCATCATTTATTTTAGCATTTCGCCCCAAAGAAGAAACTGAACCGGAAGACTCGATATATGTCCACGTTTCACTTGACAATGTGTACAAGTTCGGGAGTGCAAACCCAGGCTAAATCCCGCTAAGCGTTTCATAAGGCTTTCAGGCTTAATGTCCGTTTCGGAAGCTTGAGATAAGTGATCGAATAGTGTTACAAGGTGCACCATATGTTCCCGAATAATTGCGCGGTACCGCTAATTGCGCCGTATCGATCCCCTCCCCCCCCCGCCCCCCCCCCCCCCCCCCCCCCCCCCCTCGCCGCCCCACCACCACTCGGAGCGAACGACAACTCCCCTACTTTCTCCATCTCCTCATCAGTCACTGACGCCTCCTGGCGCCGCTTCACCTCCAGGAGCAATGGGGTTACCGAGCGTCGTTTCAGGTGTTGTTTTGTTGTTGTTGGCTGCAATGACGGACGTTGCGGCGCCGGGTGTGGGGTTCCTTGTGGAAGGGGACGAGGAGGCGGCAGCGAGACTCTGTCCGCTGTCGTCGTTACGCGTCTGGTTGGCGCTAGAGGATTCTGCAGATTTCTTGTCTTTGGCGACGTCTTGAGGGATCGGGGATACCATTGCGATGGTTGGTTTTCGAGTGCGAATGTGCGTTGTTCCTTTTCGCTACGTATGATGCGTACGATTTGTTTTGAAGAGTTGCCGGGGTGGGTGTTGGACACCGTATGGAGTGCGAT